ATATGGAAAAGAATCGATGTTTGGAGCAGTAAATCATTTACCACATATGTTGACCAGAAAATTAAATATTAAAATTCATTCTCTGACACAGATACTGCAACTGATATTTGTAAAGCAGCTACTTATGACGAAGTCAAAGATATCTCATTCACTTTCTAACACAACACTCCTAGTTTAATGGTAATTCTTAAAGGTGATGGAGATCGTTGGGGAATATCAAATATCGCATTAGCAATTGATGAATGTCCTTCTGGATGTGATTCATGTAGCTCTAGTTTATGTTTAGATCAAAAATAAGTTCCTATCTCAATTACTTGGACAACTGTAGAATCGACACTAACAGCTTCTTGTGGAGGTATGTATATGATACTTATATGTCAGGGTATTCATACTAATATACAACCGGCAATTTTATGGAAATTCACCTCACCTTAGATCCTCATAATACAATAAATTCAGCAATGAAATCTCATATTGCTAATGCAGATAATCCAACACTAACAATTAAGGTAGATAATCAAATTGTATCTGCTACTTAATCGCTCTCAGTTAGACTATCTAATGCAGCATTTTTCTGTTTTCAAAATCAGATATTAGAAGTGGTAATAAATGATTTGGATCACACAAACCCTACAATTACATTTCGTATTGAAGTTGTGATGGTTAGATATGATGCAGGTTCAATTATGCCTCTTATTGGAATAAAAGAATCTTAATTGTTTATTAAAACCGTGATAAAATAAATTGTCTCTCTAGAATTGCCTTTTGAAGGTTGTTTGATGAGTTTTTCTGAACTTTTTGAAGGATGTTCTTTTTGTGTTAGAAGTTTATGCTTACACTGCAATGAAGGTTGGGAATATATACAGTAAGATTAGAGATGTCAACCAATTTGTGGTGATGGATTGATAGTAAATAATGAAGAATGTGATGATGAAAATTTAACTCCTTATGATGGTTGTTAGAATTGCAAGTTCTCTTGTCCACAGTTTTGTTAATAATGTGTAAGAGGAAAATGCATAAAATGCGAACTCCCATGGAAGTTAATGAATGGACAATGTCTATATGTATGTGATTAAATTTTAAACTACTCTGATCAATTATTCTCTGGATGTTTTTTTCAAATTGAAAATTTTGTAATGAATGGATATTATTATGAATATAACTCAAAGATGTCGTTATAACATACATTATTGAATAATGCTAATTAAAAAGAGTTCCGCTATGAATTTTTAGAATGTGAAATTTCAGATTATGGAATGATGGGATATTAGTATAATTAGTGCATTGTTAGATAAATTTCATATTGTAAAAAATAATTATGGAATAAATGTCTTGAATGTCAAGATGGCTATTAGTTGGCACACAATAAATAGTATTGTGAAACTAAATGTAAAGATAATTATAAATTGGATTTTGAGACATGTGATGATGGCAATAATATTTAATTTGATGGCTGTTTTTAATGTGAATCAAGTTGCCAGTTAGAATGCTTGTATTGTATTAATTAGGAATGCTTGTATTGTAAAGAGGGATGGTATTTAATTGAGAACCAATGTTTACCAATTTGTGGAGATGGAATAACTGTTCCAACTGAACAATGTGATGATAATAATTAAGAATCTGGAGATGGATGTTTTGAATGCAAAGCTGAATGTTCTAATTGTAAAATATGCAATTACAACAATAAATGTTAAGTTTGTGAAGAGCACTTTGAATTAGTATCATAACTTTGTTAACCTATTTGCGGTGATAAATATATAGAACCTGGTTTGGAAGAATGTGATGATGGTAATGAAATTTAGGATGATGGTTGTTATAATTGTTAATTAGAATGCTATTCTGGGTGTAAGCGATGTTACTTTGGCTTATGCACCGACATTTGTTCATTTGATGAATTGTATGTTGATGGCATGTGTGTAAAAGAAGAAATTAATGTTTCATAGTGTAGTGATGGATGTTAAGATTGCATTAAAGGGCAATGTGTGAAATGCAAATAGAATTTTTAATTATTAAGTGGAGTTTGTTAAGTGTTCGCATGTGGTAATGGCATTAGAGAAATCTACGAAGAATGCGATGATGGCAACATTTTGAGTAATGATGGTTGTTCCAAAAATTGTACAGTAGAAAATAACTGGACTTGTTTAAGTAAAGATTCACAATCTAACACTTGTTATTAACTAACTGAAGTCAACCTAGAATATTTGAATGTCACTAGATAAAATCAGTTTGTTCAACTATCCTATTCTAAAAAAGTTAGACTAAACTTAAATTCCGATCCTAATAATTTTCTAAATTAATATTCCTTAAAACTTTTAGGATTGCAAGAAGATTAATACTAAATAACATGCTTACCCAAAATTCCTATTGCTTAAGACGAACACAGATCTATCTTATATGAATTTCAAATAATCCTTTTTTAGCAGATATTAAACTAACTCAACTTTAACGTATTTATAAATGATACTGTATTGGATGAGAATGATATTGCTGTAACTTCATCAAATGTTTCTATTTAACTTAAAGTGCCAAAGATCTTGACTGCTTCTTAATCAACTTTTTCATAGACGTTTAGAAAAGTAGGCTACAGCATGATGATAAGCTTGAGTTGTAGTAGTGTAATAATGCTACTTTTAGGAGAATTTGCACAAACAGTTGCATTATTAGATATTCTTCAATATTAACAGTATCTAAAATATCTAAATGTAGATTATCCTTATAATGTGTATATTTATTTTGAGTCTTCAAATTTCATTACTTTGTAACCTCTCCTAAACTAATTGAATTTTATTGAGTTTTATCAAAACATAGTTTAAGAAAACTTTTAACAAAGCATAGGCAAGTTTAAGGAGTACGAATTAAATGCTGATCTCCTAACAAATATTGATAGTTTGTTATTTTAACTGATTTGCGGAATGATTTTTCTTTTGATTCTTTGTATTTATGAAAAATTAATTTCAAAACACATTCCTATAGTTCAGGTTGCCACTTATGTTTAAAAGTGGCAATGCAAATTAATTCAAAGTATTTTCAAATATCTTTATAAATACAAAAGAAAATACTTAGAAATTTCAAAAGTTGTCAATATTAATACTTTTATTCAATTCTTTTATGCTAATAGCTGGGACTTAATATTCAAGGTGTTTTTATTTTTGATTTCAAATACTTAATCCTAAAATAGATAAAAAGCCTCTCTATTAATTTGTATTAGCTATTTAGGAATTATGATTAAAATATTCCTATTTGATATTCGAAAAAATATGAGTAAAACAAGGGTAACTTTAATTAAAGCAGCCTAACTTGAAAAGTTAATTTTGTTTAAAAAATTCTCTTTCCATTTTCTATTAACATGGATGTAATACTATCCGATTACTTAATGCATTTTAATTCCATTATTTATTTCTTCATACGTTGTCTTGATATTGGGGTTTAAATTGAAAACTTAGAAAATTGAAATTTTGACAACTTTATCACTTGAAATTCCTATAATTCTATGTATATTAATGAATATTCCTTATTGTGAGGATTTTCAAAGTTATTTTTCTATAAATTCATAAATTTACATAGGGTTTGCCTAAATTGGATTATTAATTCTTAGTTTAATAGGTCCTTTAGTTTAAACAGGTTTTGAATTTTATTGTAAATTGAAAAAATATCTAAATTCTAGAAAATAAACGAGATTAAAAGAACAACAGAATAAAACTACTACAAATATTTTTATAGAGGCACTCTGAAAATTTGAATAATTATTTTGAAATTATTATTTAAAATCATCAATAAATAATATCTTATATACTTTGTTTTTCATAAATGTGTTTTTGTTGGAATACAATAAAATGTTGATTTAATCATTTTTTAATATTGAATCTTATCAAATCATTAATTCCTTATTAATTCTTTAAGTTTTTTGTATATAAAAGTTTATGAACAATATGAAAGTGCTAACCTGATTTTTATTTTAAATCTTTATTTCCTCATAAAAAAACTCTAAAAATTCTCAAGAAAATGAAAATTATAAACAAATTTTATATTTAATTTGCGAATAAACTCAAGATAAAAACTATACACCTGAGGCATTCAAAAAAAATTAATTTTATTATTGTTCAATCTTAGATAATTTATTCTTATCAAATAAATATAAAGAATAATAATCAATAAAAGTAATGATAAATAAATATTACGTGATATATTTTCTCTTTTTATAAACTTTCTGTTTTACTTTTCATTATGGAATAAACATAGCTTATTAGTTTCCAAAATATTGTATTTTTTCGATATGTAATTCTTTATCGACAGCTTTGTCATAAGAAATCAACTCTTTATAGAACAAGTCAGAACACTTTCTAATAAATTCTTAAAAATATAACAACTCTTACAATTTGGATTTTACATTGATATTAATACAAGATAACAAATAGGCAAAAGGAAGATTTCATTAATTTCACTCTAAAATAAGATTATTTATCAACAAATCTTAAATGAATAATAATTATAAAGTTAGGAATAAGAATGAAGTATATATATTTATTTAATAGTGATAGGATAAAGGTTTATTCTGGAATAAACATAGTTTTGAAGTAGAATAAAAGATCAATTTAATAAAGGTAAATAATAAAAATTGACCAATAAAAAAATTCAGATCATTATTTTTGAATAAAAAATAGAAGCCGTCGAATTTGCCTTTAATTGAATAATACTTGTGAAATTTAGCATTCTGTTTCTTAAATATCAACTATTAAATCTTAATAAGCTACTTAAGTAGGTATAAGGGAAAAGGAAATTATAATTTCTTAGTAGGAGTCCTAGCAGTTGTGGAGTATCGGATTTGTAATACTATTTTCATTAGGATTTTGAAAATTTAGGTTTATTTTCAAAGTTTCTTAATTAGTGCATTTTGCACGAACATTTAAAATTGGTTATGTATCTGTTTCATCTATGATAAGTCTTGTTTTGCCTAAATCTGTTGCTATTTAATAATCTCCTTCAATTATGACTTTGAAGGATTGGATGTAATCAACCTTGCTATCAAAGAACTACTTAATTAAAACTGAACCAATTTCAAGAAATGTCGCATCGGTGATATCGTAAAATTTCATCCATTATGGTATATGCTTGGAAGTTTGAAGACAGCAGCAAGTTGTTTAATCACTTTAAAAATTTCCGCCATTAAATTGATACGCCAGACTATTACTGCCTAAAGCATATTCTTTTTTGAATAGGGTTGCATTTATTCCATTGAGTTAAAATCCTTAAAATGGCAAAAGGAACCATGACCATTAGATTAACGTGAATTAAGGGCTGATATAAGGTAAACTTATTGCTTGCTACTAGTATTATTCAAAAATTTCATTAATTCCTAAAACTATTTGGTAGCTCAGAGAGGTAAGATATTATAGCTAATTTTATGGACCTGTTATTTAAATTGTTAGGCTCTTAGTGTTTAATTCAGAGACCTAAAAATTTAATAATTAACTTACTTTGACTTCAAAATTTACAGCTCCTGTAAAAGAAAAAGCAATGACAGATATTAAGCATTTTAAAGCGTTTGGGTTGGGATGATCTAGAGTTATTTGCTCAAAACTTCTTATATTAAATTTATTAATAACTTAGACTCTTGCATCATCAATTGCAAGCCACTTATAGTGAACTCCTTAAACTACTCCACCAAAGCATTTTATTCTGAGAGTAAACTCTAAATTATATATAAACAATTAAACTAGTTAAAGTAATTTGCGTTATTTCCAAATTGTAGTCAACCTTAGTTCCAGGAATATCAAATAATTCTGGAATCAAAATAATTTGAGGGATATTTTCAAATGAGTCTCTAAATGTAATATCTCTTGATCTTTCTTTGTTATCGAAGCATAAGAATACTCCGGTGACAATTTGAAATGCTCTGAATTTCCCTTCATCATATGTGATGAAACCATAAGAAATTAAAAAAAAAGTAAAAAATATCATTTATTTTAATATTTCCTTAAGTTAACAAATTTATCAATTTGGACTCAATTATTAGTGATGAAGCTAGGAATTTTAGGAGAAAAAATCATTTATAATCACATAATCAATATTGCTATTTCCATAATGATTTTTCATAACTATTTGATGTGTAGAATAATTTATGATAAGAATAAATGTAAAAATTTATACAATATAATGATAAGGATTTTACAATTTGTATCAGGCCTTATTTATTCAAATATTAAAAAACGATTTATGGTTTAATAAATTATTTATTATGGATACCCTTTAAAATTTTAAAATTTATCCAAACATCATGATTTCAAGTAATCTATGCTCTAGGTTATAATTTCTTTTTTTTCTTGGTATAGATCAAGGAATTAGTTTCTTAAGCATTTACTAATTCGTTGGATTAAATTATTAGCTAATTCTTCTATTTGATTTCACTATATTGTCATGATTAAGAATTAAGATTTTTAATATAGGATGTATTATTTGCAATAAAGGAGATTAGAAAAAGAAAGATAATTTTTCAAGTAAAAATGGAAAAAAGCCTCATTTAAGATGAAAATAACAATAATAATAATATTTTAGTAAATGATTCATTAAATTAATTCCTAAGAATCGACAAAAAATTGATACTTTCAGAATGGTTTTAAGCAAGGCTTATGGAATGGATTGATTAATAATTTTTGGATCTTTTAATTAACTAATTTATACTAGAGAGGATAATACCTTTTGAGAAAAAATTACATTATGGAAATATTTGTAAAATAATTAAGATATGTTAAGTTATAGTGGTGAATTATACAATAAAGAGGGTTTAATAAATGGAAATTAGACAGTTTTGAGTGATAAATTTTTGGATAATTCCTAAGTCACTCATAGTGGTGAATATAAAATGGTAAACAAGTCTGTATTGGGGTATTTTTGCAACAGGTAGTTTTCCTGGGTTATAATATTTGTAGATTTCAATCTAAATCAATTTATTGGTGGCGGTGAATCATATTATGATGAAGGCTCGATGAAAAATGGTATGTGGATTATTTTTTCGAAGAATCATTAGTCACTTACTATAATCATTATAAATATGGTGGCAGATGGAAATTTTGCAAAGGAAAAATGGTAGTGACCCTATTGAATATAAGTAAATTTAAAAATAGCTAATATATCAGTAATGGAGGATTATGTGATGAAAGAGAATAAATTAAGATCGGGAAAATTTGATTGAGTTAAGCCATGGTTTTGGAATAACAAGTAAGTCTTAGAGGTCTGAAATTAGGATGATAGAATACTTTTTTTAAGGAAGTTTGGTCAGGAAAGTTTTGAATAAATTCAATAATTAAATGAAAATCTTGAAATCGTGGATAATATGATGAAGGAGTTAAATTTAGTCAAAGGTTTTGAATGGATCGCAAATAGCTATAGTTGGCCAAAATTAAAATGGTAAATGAACTGGTAAATGGGATATAAGGTCTATGATGGATTTTTGTCATTATGGAATAAAAAGATTACAAGAAGAAATATCTAATAGTAGAGGAAGAGGATGATATCAAGAAAAATTTTCAGTAAGATTGTAGGATGGTTTGAGTGGTGTATTAACTTTAGGAATGGGTTTTCTGTGATTTTTCAATTTTGAGATAAATGTAAAATAACAAAGTAAACTTCTTTTCTAGATTCAATTAAATCACTCTATTCTGTTACTTAATTATATACCTTTTTATTCAATGGTTCATTTCTAAAGATTATAAGAATGATACTAATTGAAATCATCTCACAGTATTTTTCCATTCTCAAATTTTCAAATCCTCATCATATTCTCCTTACTACATTTTAGTGTTAAATGATTTTTCTCATTTTGCAAAATTAATTTGAATTTTGTTAATTTATTATTAATAGATATATATTAGGCAATAAATGATTATATTCAATTTATATAAATATATATTTGCATATTTTATAACTTTAGACAATAATAAATGAAAATTAACAATCCAGAATTAATGAATATAAAATCTCCACAAATTAAATTTATCACAACAACCTAATAAAATAAACTAAGATTATCATTAGTATAAAATATCTTATTTATGGCATTATCTATTTAAAATAAATTTAATGATTAGTTAGGTTAAGATATTACAATACAAATTTGGAGATAATTAATTCAAAAGAAAGCATTATATAATCAATTAAATTACTATTTTTAGATGAGAAGTTTTATTTTTAATGGAAAAAAGTTTATCATAATAAAAATTTCTTTAAAATTATAAATATACAAAAATTACAAAAACTTATTCTCCATTCTTTTACATTATAATTAATCATTTCAACTTTAGCATGATCTATGATTAATATTCTCTTATTGTTCTCTTGTGCTTTTATTAAATTATTTCAATAGATTTTAACAAAATACTCATTTTACCTTTATTAAATCTCTTTACAACAGCAACTGATTTAAATAGAGAGAATAGAAAACTTATTACTAAGTTATTTTACACATTCTTGAAATAGTCGTATCCGTGCAATTTATTTTGCATTCATCTTTGTTCACATTGTAATTTGTTTTTCTACATCAAATAAACTAAACTTTTTTAAGATACCTTAAAATTGAGTAAATCTTGAATATTTATGAAGAATAGGAACCGAATCAACTTTTGACTCGATATCCTAATTGACATTTAATTTATCATAAAAAATATTAAAGAATTTATGTCTGAAAAACCAAATCAACAAAATCCTAAAAAGGGAGAGCCTTGGAAGCCAAAAGAAAAATTTGATAAGAAGGCTAATAAAGAGAAGCAGAAGCAGGAATAAGAATAAGGTGAAGGAAAATAGGAAACTAATTAGCCACCATAATAATAAAATAAATAGCCTATCCAATAATAGACAGTTGATTAATAGCCTACCTAATAATAGGTGCCAACAAATGATAAATAAGTTGCTTAAACAAATGCTTCAAAAGAGTAAAATAAGCGAAAAGATTTTCTTTCGCATCTACCCATATTTGAAGATTATACTTCTGTAAGTATCAAGACTGTCAAATAAATTGATGTAAGCAATTTCTTAGAATATAGCCTTTAACTTTGCATCATGCATTTATAGAGCTTTGCATTTAATATCAAAATGGATAATGTATAGGGTCCACCCATCGATGTGTTGAGTTTCTAAATGCCTTAAAATAATTTATACGGGATTATAAGCTATCAAGACAATCAAATTATTTTGCTATGGCATTTTTGGATGAATTAAAGAAAATCTTTAATTTGATGAAAAACTTTAGAACAGTGAATGAAGGAATGAGCACATCATATTTGTTTATAAGAGAGTGTTTGATGATCCTGAGAGACACAAGACTTGATGAAAACGAATCAAAAGTTTGGCTATGCAATCAAATTGATTAATTCATTCAATCCAAAATAATCTCAGCATCAGAATTAATTGTTAAAAATGTATTGATATAAAATTGTATAATTTACAGGCTACTTAATTGATATAGGAAGGAACAACAATTCTGGTGTATGCAAGATCCTATTTGATTGAGAATTTCATAATAAACTACTTCAAGTAAGGAAAGCAATTGACCATTTTTGTAGTCGATAATCCTCAATTCGGAGAAGGGTCTTAATTAGTGAATCGCTTATAATAATAGGGTATTCCCTGTTATCAAATATTGTTATCTCATGTCAGTTACATTCTGTCAAAAGTAGAAAACGATGAATATTGTTTAGGTTGACAAAATTCTAGTAGGAGCATCATCTATGTTATGTAACGGAGCTTTGGTTTCTAGAGTCGGAACTGCTTTATTGGCATGTCTAGCATCAACTCACAAGATACCATTTTTAGTATTTTGCGAAAGTTATAAATTCTCAGAGAAAAGTCAGATTGATTCTTTATCTTGGAATGAGATAGCATAATTAGAACAGGGCAATGAAAATCAATAATACACTTCTTTAAGTCTCAGATATGATATAACTTAATCCAATTACATCAATATGGTATGAGTAATAGGCGATTTATTAGATAGTGACTGAGGTTGGATTGATACCGGCAACATCTGTAAAAGCAGTAATTGGGGAATTCAAAAAGTATAATTACGTCGATGCTATTGAAGTTCCAAGGAAAGAACAATGATAATGATAATGTTTAATAGGTAGACATCATATATATATTTATTTCATATTATGCTACATCTGCCCAATAATTTTATATATTTATATATGTTGCAAATAAAGGTCTCAGCCTTGCCGTAAAACCCACATTTAATCAACTAAATTGAATAATTCTTAGTTGACTCCAACACTTTGATCAGAAATGTAAGTTCTCTCTAATTTAGGGATATTATCGGAAATGCATTACGCATTTGGATGGACAATATAAAAAACTGCTACCAATCGAATCACCTTTACTTTTGAGGATAAAGGTCTTGAGGAGATTGTGTTATTGCACGTTAATGTATTTCAAGTTGAAAATCAACAAAAACGAAGTTAATTAGGGCAAAAATTAATTCATTCTTTGGTCTCGATTTTAATTATATCTGAGAGATTTTCATGATAGTATTTCTCTCTTGAAGATCTAGTTTAAGAGTAAGTGATAGTAAAATTCCTAATTAGAAAAGTTTTGTACTCAAGAATTGGTATCATTAATGATAAAGGCTATACTGTTCAGATCTCAATATTATTAGAAAAATCAAATGGTAGCCAGGGGTCTGTTATATTTGCATCATTTGAGTGGAACAATAATAGAACAGGCTTTGATAGATAAAATAAGGTTTTTCTTATGCTTATAAGGGTAAGAAAGTGTTCAAATATTTATTAGAAAATATAATTTAATTACTGGAAACAGCTACTTTCAACTGCAAAACTATTAGACCGCTTTGAAATATTATCTTAAAGGACTCGACTTATATTAAAGAAATTTGATCATCGTCTATAAGGAAATCACACTTACATCATTGGAAGAGATAAAGATGACTCTTAATTATTACGTAATTATTACTAATAATAATATAAATAGACTAAAGAAATAATATTGTCTTTGTTCTTAATAGCTTTAGTGTATGAATAAATGAATGACTTTTTAAAGTACCAAGAAACAATAAAAATGATGACTTGGATAGACTCGAATTATTAACCAGAAAACTCAATTGGAAAGCTATATTTCTAATAATATGTTGATAATACAAGATACATTGAGTATGCTCTTGAGAAAGCTGAAATCCTTAAAGTTCTGAAGCAAGCCCTGCCTGAAGAAGAGACATCTTAAGTTCATGGAGAAGAAGACCAATTAAACTATTACACTAATATGCTTTATGAATTTAGTGAATTTACTAAAATCAAAAGGCAATATTATTATTATGATAAATCATAACTACCTTACACTTCTGAAATAACAGAGAGTGATACATAATTAGAGAAATCAAGAGCTCTTAAAACTAACGCTAGTGTTCAGATGGTTTATAAATTATAACCAACTGAAAATGAATCAACAGCGTTGTGCAGGTCAGCACTATTGAAAACTAAGAATTCAGACAATGGATTATCAACTAGATTTTAAACAGAATCAGAAGGGTTGTCCTAGACTATGATTCATGTTTAAAAGTAGAAGAAATACCAAAAGCAAGTAAATAAAGAAGATGTCACATTGCAAGTCTTTTATGGTAAGGCAATTGAGAAGTCAGTTAAATTGCAAGAATTGGAAAGTTTAGCTGAATAGCATAATCAGGATTTAGTTTAATAGCAGGCTGATACATACTCTTTTGATAAAAAATTGTAGTAATCAAAATAATAGATTTGTAAACATTTTTAGCATATTTTAGAATTTAAGAGAATATTTGGATGTATTGATTTGAGGAAAGATCCCTTTGAATTCGAAACTAGAGAATCAAGGAAGAGACAGAAAAAGTAATAAGCTAAAAATATCAATCAATTGCAATCATTATTAAGCATACAAATTCGGATTAAAACAAAGACTGAACAATCTTAATTGTTAGAGCAATATAATAAGTAGAGATAGGGAAATTTTTCATCTGCACCCAATATATTTTAGCAATTGTATAACAAACATAGACTAAACAAAGATGTTAGAGTAGAGGAGAAGTCAGCAATTGTTAATAAAGAAATTTGCAAAGAGATGAGCAGTCATCATAAGACTCAAGATGAGGAACAATTAATTAGGGAGATTAATATAAATACAAAAGAAACAATCAAGAAAATGATGGATGAGAAGGAAAGTTTAATATCATCAAAACCTTTTTTAGCTAGAAGATCATCTTAAAACAATAATATTAAGTATTTATTATAATTAATAACATAGAAATAACTTTTTGTCGGAGAGACTAATATCAAAAAATGATAGTTTGGCACATACGACAGATTAAATTAGTAATTCCAAAAAACTTAATTCTTTGAAATCTTTATTAGAAGTACCTAGAAATAATCCAAATCAAAAAAGAATGACTGCAATTTTATCATCAATAACTCCTAGGCCTACTAGTAAGATGAGTTCACATACAATTTTACCTATTTGTTGATTATAAAAAATAATATTAATTAAAATTTAAAATGAATTAAGGCGGATCAAACGAATTATTGACATTGAAAAGAGAGAAGTTTAGAGTCTAAATAAGACACTAAAAACTAACAGAGGAGTTTAAGAAAAAAAGGAGGTTTTATAATTATGAATAGACAAAAAATGATTTTCTACATAAGGTTTGTGATGAACTTGCTAAATACCAATTTAAAGAGTAGTTAGTTGAAGAAGATCTTAATAATATTAAGTTATTACTGAAAGTACTCTAGAAAGCCTTAGAGGATGAATAAAATATTGATTATTGGGTGACTGAAAATATAGTAAAAAAATTTAGGTATAATATCAAATAATCTAGATTTCTTATTAATCTCTCTAAAGCGGATAGTGAATTTCAAGAAATCAATGCAACTCTCATTCAAAGTGTTTTCTACTATCTAAACAGAGAAGATTATTAAAGATTTGCAGAATTAGATGATATTCAACTATTGGAATACCTAAAGAACAATATTAAAGAAGAGATACTAGAAATCTTTCCTTAAGTAACTTTTCAAATTATTTTAGACTTTAAATTGCATCTATTTTCTTGCCTAAGAAAAATAGACTTATAGAGATTTTATCATCCAAAATGATTTTGAATTTTTAGCATAATTAATGGTCCTTGACCCTTTTAGACAATTTTCTGAAGTTATCTTAGCCTTGATAGGATCAGCCTTTACATTTTGTTAGGATATAAATATTGAAAACATAAAATCGATTAAAGAATACGTGATCAAGTCCTATTTTGATGAAAATTAAGCCATAAAAAGACTAGCCTTAGAAATTTTGGAGGAAATCCCTTCGAAATTATCATTCGAGACTAATTATTCATTTGCGGATGAGATCATTTCTTCCCCTATGTTCTTAAAGATATATGATGCTGCTTTAAAAACTAGTTATGACTTTTTGGCTTTAAAAGTTGTGATTATTTATTTTGGGATAAGTGATAAATTCTTCGATAAAGAACTCACTATCTATAAGAAAGTAGTAAATTCAAATCTGCAATCACAAGACCTCAACAAAGCATTAAGAATCTAATTATTTTGGGCTATTTCCAATAAAATCCATAATAATGAATTTTTGGTTAAATTATTAGACTCTAAGTTATTGGAGGAAATATTTGAACAGTGTTTTGAATTGTCAGACAATGAGGCTCTTGAATTCTCTTATGTTATTTTGAATCTATCCATTTTAGTAAGAAATTTTAATATTTTAGTCTAATGAAGAATAGCTATCAAAATTAATTAAAATAGGATTGTTTAATATATGCAATCATTTCTTTTCAATGGAAGCACGATCTATAAAGATTGAAGAACATACCCTCAAAGCTTTAATTAATATACTACACAAGTTATCTGATTGTTAGGATATTAACAATGAACTAGTATTACCATTCTCATCAGTTATAAAAATGCTTGAAATGACTGGAATTGTTAACAAAGTAAAGGAAAGCAAAGGTGATGATAAATTAATCCAGGATTTTGATGTTTATTTTTGATTTTTGTAATTAGATATTTAAATAAATTTATTTATTTACAAATACATTTTTATAACACAGTAGAACTACTACTTTACAATTATCGACTTTGAAGTCAACATGGAATGTGTTCTCTTCTTGCTTACTTTTTGGTTAAACAAAATTTGACCCTTTTTGCAGGAGATTAAGAATTTGATTATTATTTTTGAGGAGAATTCCCAGTGATGTTTAAACTTGAAAAACTAAGCCTACTTTAGAAACTTAATCTGCTTATAATATCCAATTAGGAATTTTATAAGGAAGGATTTTTTAAGATACTTTTTGGAGTAGAGACAGAACTCTATGATCTTCCTCTTACTCCATCTACTTCTAATAATGATAATTAAGATGTTCTTTGTGAGTTAGCTTGTTATGAAATTCTTAGTTTCTAATTTTATTTGTTTTATGTTAATTTAATCGTTGTCTTTGCAATTTTGGATCTATCCTTCCGAGTATCTTAATAATGGATTGAATTTTAAGATGGAATTTGTTGGGTGTTATTGTAAGACAAGTCCAAAAAGGAATTGTAGGTTTCATGTGATCTTTGTGAGAATTGGGACTACTTTTTGGAGGAGAATCTATTATTTACAGCTGGTGATAAACCATCTTTTAATTTCGTTATATCAAAAGGTCCATGAGTATGGAGTTTTAGATTCTTTCTTAAATCGATTGTGGTATTTTGGTTTTGACTATCTTACATTTCAGAGACAAAGTTAATTTTTGGAACTGTTTCCTTTCTTGAAAACAATGAGGATTATTCTCCATTGGAAACTATAGATAATTATTGAACAGGTTAAATTGGCTTTTTAAAGGATAGTTATTCTTTTTTGATTTTGTTATGGATTGAGTTTGTTCCTGACTCATGTTGTGGTTATTTTTAATGCTTCACCATTCCACTTTTAAAACCAAAAGAATTATAATTTAGTTTATTCATTTTTTGCTCTAAATCTTAAAAATCAGGTTCGTTCAATTAGCAATCTTGCAATCTAAAATCAATGTCTTCTTTGAAACATACATTTAGGTTGTAAACTGACACTGGACGATAACCTTCATCTTCAATAATATCTGAATCAATAATATATTATTCGGTCATTATTATAAATAATAACATAAAAATTGATAAAAATATCACACCACAAAAGAGTTTATCACTCTTCCAATCCAATTAAAGCATTGCAGTATGTGCTAAGAAATAAACTACAATGCCATAAAGTAACTAGTAATATTTTATAATTTAAGAACTCTGTGTATGAATATAATATGATTATTATATAAAAGTAAATTTATTAAAAGTGTTTATTAGATGAAATTTAATATATTGAAAAATATAATAAATATTTACAAATCAATTCATTTAGTATGATTAAATGCTCAATAAAGTTTAGGTTATGGTACAGAGTTGATATTGTCAAATTCCTTGAAGTTGAATATCGAATCGATAAGCCCTTTGTTTGAAACAGGGGAACATGCATTATTGGATGAGCTGATTTGAGTACTTGAACTATGAGTTAATGAGCTTTTTTGACTATCAGATAAACTGCCTTTGATTGATCCACTTTGAAAATTAAAACTAAATATTTACTTCACTTCCAGAGTCTTGATTGCAATATTTTTATTCCTAAATTTGTTTTTGAGTTATTCGTTCTCATACTTGTTGAAGATATTATTCAGCTTCATCTAATTTTTAATCCATCTACTTAGGTACAATTATTGCACTGTGGGCCTGTCGTTGGGATCCTTAGTCAACAATGCTTGTATTAGAATTTACAAATCCTCATCAATATGACTATTAACAATCACTTCTTGACTGGTAATTTTGGCAATTAGTTCAGACTAAGAATTGGCTTAAAATGGGTAGTGAGTATGTAGTAAGATCTATGATATTTACTTCTATATATTACATATATCAAAGTTCCAAGCGAATAGCAGTCCACCTTATAATCATGTTACTTTTTCAGAACCACCTCAGGGGGCATATATTCGGTAGTTCCACAAAGAATGGGCTCCACCTTGTCGATATAGGTGGCCCAACCAAAGTCGCCCAATTTATAGGTTCCATCATCGTGAAGAAAAACATTTTCTAACTATATTTAGAAGATATAATTATTATATTACTTTCAAATCCCTGTGGATTATTTTATTTTAATGCAAACAATCCAGTGCACCCAACATGGAAATACAAATGTTGAAAACCTCTTTCTCTTAATATGGAGTCTTTGGAATTTACAACGAACCACGAGAGCAGAATTCAGAAATGATATAAATATTTTTAGAGTCCTCAAACGAATGATAGACTTTGAGTATGTTTTTATGATTTAATGTTGATTGAATTTGTATTTCCTGTCTAATCATTTATTCTGCATTATATTTATATAACAATCCTTTTGAAATCTATACTTTAACTAAATATAATTACTATTTTGCAGGCATAATACTTGTTTGTTCTGAGATCTAAGACCTTATAGACTGTTCCGAATGAACCACTGCCTAATTGAGTTTATAAGGCATAAGTGGTTCCATTACTTGACATAATTGTGTTGTTCATTAAATAATTTATTTATTAAATCATTTAATAAAATTATTTCTTTTTCTTTTTAATAGAGAAATTAAATAATAAATATTATTTCAAATTATTCTATAGCATATTAACTCACCCTTATAATTTAACAAGTCTCTTTTCCTAAGATACATCATGTTTGGTTCCAAAATGATCTCATCATACTTTTGTTTAATTTAGCTAATTTACTCATAGTGACTTCAAATTCTACATTACCAAATTCTAAAAAATTTACAAGATGTCTTATACAATAAAAATAGTTTCCATGCAAAAATTCATCTAATAATTTTCATCGTTTGCAATTCTTCATCTATGATGTTTTGATTTTTAATAATATTAATTAGAATATCTTGATTATTCTAGAGTATCAATATTGCATGCTTTATACATTAGCATTTAACTTACAATATTTTAAATATAATAAATTCCAATTTCAATACAATTTATTTAATATTGTCTCATTCCTTTAGGCATCAATCTGATATCTTTCTCTCTATAATTACTATATCAGCCCTGGATCTGGAATTTACTATTCTAGGTTTTGAGTATCCAAATGTATTTTTCTAAATAGTTCTTTTTAATTGCAATTAATGACATAGCATCTAATTAATAAAAAATGATCCATTTAACAGAACTTTCCATAACTATGGTAAAAGGTGTTATTTTGTCATTTTTCATTTCCATTTAACATCTTAGAAATACTAATAAATAATTATCTTTTGTCCAAAAGAAAAAATCAAAAAAATTTATTTCATCTATTCGTGTTCTAAATTATATTGATTAATCTAAATTATTCATCATATTTTTATCTTTTGTATTCATAAAAAATTTTAGAATTGTTTAAGATATATATTAAATATACATAGTTTAAATAGTAACTAAACTAAATTCACTTTTTAGTTTTTAGATAGATTCATTTATTGACAGATTTATGTTTAGGAAAAGAATTCTTCTTCGGGCTGATACTTTAGGATTCGCATACAATTATTCTAGCAGAAATACTATTTCATCTTGTTTTAGTATTTTCTTTGTCTCATACTACATGGCCCTAGGAGATTAAATTTCTTAGGTTATTTTTATTTCTTTTTACCATTCTTTTAGTCTATTACTCTTATCTCTTCTTATTTTTTTCAAAGATGTTGTGTTATAATGCTTTCGAACAGACCAAAAAATCCTAAATTTCCTCAAAATCATTAAAGTATAATTAAATCGCTTGATAAACTCAATGAAAGTATATGATTATTAAAATCTTTAGTGAGCCTGCTTTTAAAGTCTTTTATAATGATCACACTATCATAAACGTTGAAATATCTATTGTTCAACTTTAAATCCCCTTCACTTGCTAACCAAAATGAATCAACGAATTTTAATAATTTTCATAACTATTTGTTGCTGTTTCCTAAAAACAAATTCTAATTAGGTTCTAAAGTAAATATTTAGAAAGTTAAATCATCTTTCTATGTATATGATTAACTTCTTTTACTATATTTAGAATCTAGAAGAAAGTTTTGAGATTCGTGTCAAATCAATATAATAATTTTATCAATCATTTTAGACTTTCTATATCTATCTTAATTGCAACTTATTTGACTTCATATCATTCGCAGATAAATTTAATTCTTGACAATAAAAATGATGATTTGGATTATTGATACTTGTTTTACATACTATTTTGAAATTATTCTAACTAACCAAAATTGCTATTATTTAATGTTTTACTTAAGGATGAATATATAAGTTTGGTCTTATTTTATTAATAGAGTGCTTGAGATTAATTTTTGAATCCTTATATTTATAATATTAATATTTTTTTATTGTAATATCGATTCAGAAATGTGCAGCATTGCTACTGTCACTTGTTAACTCTGCTCTAAGTTACTTTAATCTAGCTTCCTTCTTTGCTAAAGCGAAATCAAACACCGAAAAGTTATATTTCTCAGCCAAGTCAGAGATCACCTTATTTCTTTAGACAAAAAGTGGCTCGAATAATAATTAAGAAAGGTTATATGAAAATGCAGCTGAAACCAAACCTAAAGGAATTATATTATTAATTCAATTACCAACTCCCAAAACAAAGATTCCATTTAAGATTGGGCGACTTGTGATTCTTGAAGTAATTAATTGTTATTCCCTTATTGTTGCTAATGCCAAGAAAATACCACCAAATGAGAATATTCCTGATCTCATATCTACATCTATGTATTTCTCTTTGATGAATTTCGAGTGATCTTCGTTTGTAATCTTTTCAGGTGTCTAACTTGCAATATAGTAAAATATTAATCTTCTCTTATCTTGGGGTCCAGCTGAATAATAATTGCTATTTCAAGTACCAAGCATGATATTATCATGATTAATAAAATAGCCATTAGTAGTTTTGTGCAATTAAGGAGACACCAACCAACTCAAACTCATTTTAGATATTTGATTGATAAATAAAGAAATAACTAAATTTATTCAAATTTATTTAATTTTTATTTCAATTAATTTGGACCAATGAAATACTATAAAATGACTATTTGATATAAAGGATCTTTCATTAATACAAATTAACTTCATACTTTATTCTTCTACATGAAGGCTAACAAACTGCAATCATAGTAAAACTAAACTATAACTGATTTATTACGATTATCTGGTAGAAATGCAATAAAAAAAAGATTGATGATTAAGAAATAATTAGTTAAAACTATTAAAGAATTGGATTCGTTGGTTAAAGTAATGAGTAATTTATTCTAGTTACAAAATTTGCGGTATAGAGAATTGATTTAACTGATAAATTAGCAACCTAATTATAGAAATCGGTTAAACTAATAAAAATTTAAATAATGGGGATTAAACCTTGAAATGATAAGGTCTAGGGCAAGGTGTTCTGATATATATCCCTTTTTTAAGGGGATTTCCAAAATTATGCAGATAGTTAGAAGAGATGATTAATTAATTAATTAAGAGAAGATTTTTTATAAATATCATAAATTTGATGTATTAAAATATATTTTCTTTTATTAATGATACTCAGTTTGAAAGATCATCTGAAGGGGAACGCTGGGGCTATTTTTTGCTGTTATACTATTTGTCTCTACGGGAAGACTCAGAGCTGGAGGAATGCTTTTTGTGGCCTAATTAGAAGTAAAGTAAGTGAGTTAGTTAAACTTTTAGATTTCTTTTTATGTCTGTCAATGCTTCGACTTCGGGATCGTCTCTTATAGTTACTATCTCTCTTTCTGTACTTATCATTGCCTCCTCTACCTCTGTCTTTATCACGATCATTTGTAGTCCTAAAAACTAATTAAATTAACTATTACCTCTTCCTTCCACTTGCATACTCAATCTTCATTGCTTACCCTTTCAACTCACGACCTTGTAAACTAATATAATGATATTTTTCACTCCTTTACCTATTAAAAGCGTCAATTGCTTTTTCTACCTTTTCAAATTCAACAAATGCGTATACATGAGGACCCTTGTCCAACACTTTGATCTCGGTGATTTAACCATACTGTTTGAACAGCTCCTCTAAATCATCCTTTTGAACCTAGTGAATTTTAAATAGCCACATTACTTTGTAAGCAAGATTGCCAATCCATAACTTCTTTTTGGGCTCGGACATTAAGAAAAATGTAATTTATATTAATTTTTAATATTCTTCATTCATAAAAAAGGCTTTAATACCTCAAGATTTGAATGACTCCTTTAATAAATTAAATATATATATTTGAAAATATTTAAATATTGTACTTCCGATTTCTCGAGTCCTTCGTTTCCATCTCGCTCGCAGCCTGTTCCAATCTCCATTCCACTCGTTTAATGCTCACTGTATCCATGTTCCTCATATATAACAGAAATTTATGATAAATTAAAATGTAAATAAAATAAAGATTCATCATAATGTATTCAATATAATTATGTATGAATATTTATTATTACTATAAATATAAAGCATAAGTCCAGTTTCCAAAGTCATCAATTCCCCTCAATTCGTGTAGCTCCCTCACTCTGCTAATTGCGATCCCCCTCTATCTATTTAAAATTGTTACACACATTATTTCCGAATATTTGCTCGTTTCTGGAGATGTGCAATTATTGATGATTGTATGGTCTCTCTCATTAATGCAAACTTTGAACCTATGCTGGAAATGAGGATTATGCAAATTAATATTATAATTTATGAGTTTACCATTTATAAATTAAGCTATTCAAACTATATAACAGTTTCCTATTACCCAACAAACAAATGAACTTAGATTAATTTATCAAACATGTTAATAATCATCAAAGTAGTTGGGGAAATTCAAGATCGACAACACATTTTGGAATCAAGACATCACCAAAGTAGAAATAGAAATCTCCAAAATATTACATGAATTTGGTTATCGGGTCAAACCGAATCCCATTCATCAATTTAACTTTGATACATTCCTGCAGAAAAAGGCTCGTCTCAATATTACAACTGAGGATTACAGAGAAGCCTTGCTCTAGTTTTATGAAAACTTATAAGCAAATTTGTGGATTAGGAGAAAATACCTATTGAGACAAAGAATAGCCCTACTGCACAATCCAACTGAAGACGTTCTATTTTACGATCCATTAGTTAAAGTTAAATCAGATGTTATTCCCATTGAGATGTACTCAACAGTGAATTTAGAGAGGGTACATCCTGATGAGAATAAGACTCTCGTTGACGAAGAAATAAAAATGATTGATGAAAAGCTAGTTGAATATGCAGAAATAAGTGAAAAACTATCAAATGAACGAATTTTTGACCCTTCAAGATTTGACTAAGACATTCCCTAAATACAGATATCGACGGATGATGATCTCATCTTTGAGAGAATGAACAATAAGATATATTAGAGCATGCCATTCATCACCTAGAAGCATCTAAAAGAGTATTACAACTTCAGATAAAATCTCATGGTCAACAAGCTGGATGATTTGGACACTCAAATATTCATTGAAAGTCTCGAGTCTACTACTTAGGAGAGAGCTAGTACTGAATATTGCAATATGTATTTGATTCCTGTGACAATGCCTTAATTATAGCAGGAATTGCAGTAATTAGCATACGTGCAGGGAGTAGATCAAGATATCACTGTTGATAATGGAGCATTATTTTTATTTGCTATTGATAAGCACTTCGTTTAAAAGATTTAGGATCAAAGCAATAAATATCTGCTTTTCCTTCCCTACAATTTGGATTAGTCTGAATAAAAAACAAAAAGTTTCTAGCAGCAAACCATGAACATACTAAATGAATTAAAAGAGGACAAGATAAGGAAGAATCAATATAGGATCAGGAGTAGTGCCCATTGGTTGGACAATATTTAAATTATTCAAGAGAAGGAAGAAACTGAAATGAATTTGATATTTAATCAATACGAAGACAGTGCCATCAATTCTTGGATGAAGTTCTTGTTGTATCATGAATCTGATAAAATTTAGGATAAAATCAATAAGGATGTGTCTTTAGTTCAAGAGAAGGTGTAATCTACTCATTTTCCAGAGATCTACTTTTAATTTTTCCTCAGATATTAGAAATTGCTGTATTTGGAATCAAGAGAGTCTCTAATTTAAATTATGCATTGCTATAATGTAATGAGAACAATGCAGAAGAACTTAAACATATATTTCATAGATTTACACCAATTGTCTAGTTAGTTGACAAAGGAGAGAATATAAAAGAAATAATAAAACACTTTGAATGCTTTTATAACAAGTTTAGATTCTAAGGATACGATACCTTAGGAGGATACATCAGCATATTTTTGTGAGGAGAAGATCCAGAGAAATCACAATCTCTATGAGGTGATGGATGGAAATGGACACAAAATTATTCACGAGATCGTGTTTAAAGATGTAGCTCAATTGTTGGATAAGATAAGTCATATTAGTGCATTTACATTATAGTTTACTAATAAGATCGGGGAGAAGAACAGTCATTCAGATTCCTAATAGTTGAATAGATTCTTGGCAGTTAAAGATTTGCTTTAAGCTGAACTTGATTATAACAATGCAAAATGTAAGATATTGCAAATTGTGTTCCCTCTGTTATCGAAAGCGAGAGTGTCAGAATTGGCTAATGCTGTCAGTATCCTAGCAAGATTGATCCAGTAATAGCCATAATTTAGATATGACTAAAATGTGCTTATTCATTATTCAGAAGCCACTAGGAGATTGAATCTATTGAGTGACATATTCACTAATACGAAATCGTTGAAACTCATTTTGAAATTGTTCTCTATCAAAGACATCAACATTTTGGAATAAACTTTGAAATACATCAAAAGAGATAGATTGATTGACAAGGAGTTCCCATACAAATCATTTTATAAGGATTCCATTTTGGATTCCTAGAACAATCTATCTTAAATTCTGAAACAATTACCAGAAGATGGCAATTTTAATATTTTTTCACTTTTAGAATTTCTGTTGTTGAGGAGGAGATTTTATAAGTTATCCTTGAGAATTTATTACCTCAGCAATCTTTATGGATAGTAGATCAAGGAGAGAGGTTTAACTAATAAGATGATATAAAAATTAGAAGTAATTCCAAATAGAGTCATCGATGATAAAAATTTCGATGTCTTCACAATCGTAATGGATGAATACCTAAAAATTGGGAAAGAATGCCAATAGATTGAATTGTGGACGACCTTTGCTGCAGACAACTATAAAATGATTGATATGCTCATGCCTCTCAAATCCCTATTGCTTCTGGACTTCTATCTATTTAATGCAATCAAAATTAATAGGAAACAAACACATCACTTTGTGGATATTATTGGATTAAAGGAAAAGTTAGCATTGCAAGCTTAATCAATTCAGAGGAAAGCCAACATCATGTAGAGCAGTACAGCTGCATCTGACCAAAACAATCAGGACAAATTAAAATAGACAGCCATAAGTATGATCTCTACTCAGTTTAGAGGTTCATTATTAGTTAAAAACTTTGTCAACAAAATACAACAAAATCAGTCTACTGCCTTATAGGAATTCAACAAATTACTGACATAACAATGTCAATCATTAGTTTTCACATTGCAAGCCTTGGGACAAAGAGACCAAATGATTCAATTGAATTAGCAATTGCCATTCGTAAAGCCATTATTTACAGAAGAGCCGTTCCTAAATGAAATGAAATAAATCTAAAACCCTTTCATTATCCACAGTATCCCTTCAATAATGAACATCATTAACTTCAAGGATTTTGACTCTAAACCTTCAAATCCTGAAGTCGACAATTTGGGAGATGAGGATTGGGTAACAACTACTCGATTAAAATTAGAGAAAAATGTTAGTCCTTTGTCTGCTAATAGAAAGCAACCCAAATTCAAAAGTTCAGGCAATCCCTTCTCCAACAATACTAAATTCCAGGAGCCTATATCTGGGTCCTAGTAATTGGCATTGCAATTGGTCCAGCTCTTAATTGGAGTGTAATCATGCAATTGTAACGTTTAGGATCTGATTTATTTGCATTAAGGGATGTTGGGAATGGAAGAACTCAAACGTAATCAATTGAGATTGAGAAGGGACTTAGAAAGTGTGTATTAGTAGGTTTAAAAGTATAAGGACAATATTGCGAAAATACTGTTGAGTGGAAATATTTAGAATATGAATCTAACTATTATGACCTACCTGGAGAAGTTGATCAAGCGATTTCACTTGCTGATTACTATTACAATGATATCCTCAGTGCATCAATTCAGAAAATAGATCTAAGATAACAGTGAAATCTATCCATAAATAATATCTACCTTAAGAAACGCATTGATCACAGGTTGTTTTAGAAATATGAGTCATGTTGAAAGGTTGATGGAATAAGCACCTAAAGTGTATCCGTCTATCTAAACCAAAAAGATCATAAGCGATAAAATGATGCTACTGAAGTACGCTTTTGGATCTTAATTTGTATAGGCTCATTAAACCAATCCAAACAATGTTCATATGCCATTGCAGGAGTTTCGTTTTGAAGATTTTTACACACAATTATCGCCTTATATGATTCCCTCTTAGCAGATCTTATTCAGAACCTAGAAAATCAATTATAACGTTGAGTCTTTCTTATCGTCTGTAGTTGATCTATTTCCTATAGCAATGGCCAATTTATTCACGCTGTTTCCTCAATCGAAATTGATATATTACTCAACAATATAGGATTTGATCATATCAGAATCAGAATCAATTTTGAGAGACAAATGCATTTTTGAAGTGGATGATCTGTTTAAATATGAGAGAGCATATAGAAAACTCTTGGTGCTATAATTCCGCTACTTGCTGTTGTCAGAGTTCTTTACAGTACAGAAACGATAGATTCTGCCCTTCTCCTCAGATACTAGTGATCCCTGTACGTAATGGCTTGAGAATTGCGTGGAGTTGTGTGATAAAAATATGCATAAACAATAGTTGAAGGCTGGACTCTTGTTGAGTGCACTTCCAGGAGTTAACAAATAAGTTAATGAATTTAAAAAGGGATCAAAGACAACTAGAATGAATTATGAGCCATCGTAGGAGAAGTTTTCAATTCTACCGAGATTGAGATTGGAGAGCTTTGAAAACCAAGTGTTTCAGTTGATTTCAATGATGATCGGATGTCAGGCCATATTCCAGGAGGAAGGCAAACAGTATTATCAACAGCTAAACAATCAACTAAATAAGATGGATTAGCCTTATTAGGTGGCTAAGCAATTGAATGTGTTCTACAGTAATTTAGAAAGGGACTCCTTGAAAATAATGACATTGAATAAGGGATACGCACATGTGATAGCTGACAGCGATTTAGATAAGCATTTGAATGATTTCAATAGGAGAATGCTGGATTTCAATAAGGCAAATTACCCAAGTCATGTGATTATTGAGAATGAATCATTGCAACGAATGTACAATTAAAAGTCAATCGAACTGAGATTTGCGATGAAGAAGATTAAGTTTTACGAGTCCAATATCAATCACATCGTAGAGAGTTTGGTTGCGTAGAGGACGAATGATTTGATCTTTGAGAATGACGCATTGAAATAATAGATTGAGTAGATGATGAAGAGTTTTGACATTGAGAAGTAGAAACAGAGAGACAAGATTAAGGAGGAATTCTCTGAATAGATACGTACTCAAGAAGTGCTTATACAGTAAATGTAAAATCGATTTTAAGATTATAAGAGAGGGATTTCAATGGAGATGACAAATTTCATTTAAGAATATAAAACAGATGGACTGAAGAGAGTCAGGGACAAAGCATCAGAGGCATTGTTTGGTTAGGTTAACAAATTGAATATTGATTTGGATGTAGAGTACCAAAGAGTAGGAGTTTATGATAAATTTAAGGAGGACAGCGAGTAAGTCAATTCGCTATTTTCATCTTTGAAGAAATTGAGGACCTTCTATTTGTGGAAGGAGATGTGCATAAGGGAGAGATTTGAAAAGCAAATTTAAATAATAGTGGCAGCCAATTCAAGCAATGAGGAGTTGTAACAAAAGATTCAGTAATTGACAGAGAATGTAGAGATTTTGAAGGATGAATTAATTCAAAATAGGAAGATCATCACAATTATGGATAATTAGAATTAGATTCTGAGAAGGGATCTTTAGAAATTGAAGATTGAGAGGTTTTAGGCTATGCGAGAGAAAGGTCAATTGGGAGCAATAGCCACCTATTAGGATTAGGAGCAACAACTGGAGGAGTAGCGGAAATAAGTGATTGAAGCCAAGAAGGAGTAACAATTCAAGAATTCAAGGCCGATCACTGCTTCATCTATAACGAGATCAATAAAGTCAGCGTAGAAGGTGTAGAAGTTGTCAACGACTCAGAGTGTGCCAAAGTTGGGAACATCTTAGATGATGTCGAATTAGAAGGGAACATTAACAATGAAATATAAAATTACATCTTGATTTTTATTTATTTTTATATTATTAAGTGTTTTTTATGTTGAGATTAGCCACTTAGGCAATAAAGAGTATGGTGCACATAGTGCCAATTATTAGACCCATTCAATTTTGTTAGAAACCAATGCAATTCTTTGGGTTGGCAAGATTATTCAAACAAACTCGTATAAGTGGGTAGGCGAGATCAAAGACAAAATCCTCGTCTTCAAGTTGGAAAAAGAGAATCAGGAGTCAAAACAGGTTATATAAGATTGGGAATCACAAGGGGTTGATGAAGAGGGTCAAAATTGTTGGTCCCAGGAGAGCTAGAAGGCTTAAGTTCAAGTCTCCTGGTTCCAGGCATCTTAATCGAAATTGTTCCAAAGCCAATTTGAGGAGAAAACGACGAACCAGATATATAAGCGATGTTGATATGCCCAGAATGAGAAAGCTGTTGCCATTAATGAAGAGGTAGAAATGCAAAAGAGGATCATGAGTATATAAAAGAGAAGAGAAAACAAAAATATTTTATTTCAAATATATTATTTAAATAATATGATCAGAGGATTAAGATTGTTGTAGATGAGACCAATCTTTTACTTTGCTGCTGACAAGACTCCAGCCACAACTTAAGGCAAACAATAATAAGCAAAGCCAATTCAAGTCTATAAAGATGGATAATTGATAACTAAAAATTATCTCCAATTGAAGAAGTCATAAGATATTGAAGGATATGTTCTCACCTTGGTCAAGAATTATTACAGAACAACCAACAAGGTAATTAATCCTCGTAATATTCAGTTAGCTTTAACATTAGATTCTGAATTAGAATAACACGGATTGGATAGTTTGGATTCTATTGAATTGTCTATGCAAGTAATTACCTAACCATTAATTAGATTGAAGAAGACTTGGGATACGTCATCTCAGCTGAAACCTTACCAGTCTTGAATAAGGTTAGACATTATGTTAATTACATTAAATAAGTTGAGCAATATAAAGTGGAAAACAATGCTGCTCCATTGGCATGATTTATATCATATGCATATTAAGTATTAATAACAAAATAATAATATTCGCTTATTCATTCGCATGACTTTTTATTAAATGATAGACTGAAGTCATAGAGATTTTTACAAGTCAATCTATTTCTGAAATCTCATTGTAAAAGGAAGTAATATTTCAATATGATATTGGTATTTAAACGAACAGTAAGTTTCAATTGTCAAGTTCATTCTTAAACAACACCCATCTGCTAATCGAAGAATTAAAGTAAGCTGTCTAAAATTTCAACTAACATCTCTTTAATATATATAAAATTACTAAAACATCTTTTAAATTACATAATAAATTTTAATATTAAACATGTGATGTATACAAATAAGAAAATAATATTGTCATCAAAATGCAAATTCATTTTCACTAAATCATTTGATTGTATTTTTATGTATTAAATATACAAATCAGCTCTGATGAATTCCTAATTTTTGTTAATCATAAAGGAAAAATGAATTGTTATATAGTAATAATATACTCAATAAGGAAGATGTTTAAGAATCAGTATTAGTTTAATTCCTCCTAGAAAACTCTACATATATTCATTACAAATAGGACTTTTTATGTATAATTTTTACTACTTAAGAATGAAATCAGAATAAATAAGCCTTTTTTATTTTGATTACAAGGAATTTTCTCTTATTACGATTTAAATATATATTTCAAATGGAGCATTTGCATAAAAAAGTTGAAGAACAATTAAGTTTAAGTTTGATGTTGAATATTTCTAATTATTAATTAAAAGTTTTTTTTATTTAATGCCAAATAATATATATGACGTCAGAAAAGGCGTAGTAGCAAATTTATTAGCGTTAATCGATTTTAGTAGCTTAGTTGTTTTGACGTTTATTCGTTTTGGATTTTAGGAACAAAATAAGTTATCTCGAAAAAGGAAATTGAAACTCAATATATTCTATATGTTAGTATATAACAGTAAAAATTTTTAATTTAAAGTTCCTAATCTATATCTATTTTATAAATTAATTTATTTAATGAAATAAAAGATTACATCATCGTTGATAGTATTCTCACTTTGCCTTTTAGCCTTAAACGCCAAGACAACAGGATGCTGTAATTCATTTTCTTATAGTCGTAGCTTCAAAAGTGGAGTAATTATAATTGTTTCCCACAAAGGGAGAAAAATTGCAAATTAATCTTCGTGATTATCTTTTTGAGGGCGAAGACCTCACTTATGAATTATAAGACACATATTTTAAGATAGTTAATCCAGTTGCAAATACTGGATAGAGTTCAAGTCACATATCACGTATTTTCACATTTAATTTTTATAGCTGCTTCGAATATCAGGGCAGTAAAGCCATATCACACAAAGAAAATGCAATCATGGTTGAATTCATTTGTATTCCTCGATCAAAGTGCAACGGAAGTGTCCATTTACTTTTCTGAAGGGTAATCATTTATGTAGATGTTAGAACTGCATTGAATAAAATTCCGACTCCAGAATTCAAGACCAAGGTTAAGATTGCAACTGTGGCTGACAGTCTACAGTGCTACGATGTAGAATACATAGACAATGATAAATTTATAGTGGATTGTTAAAGAGAAGTGACTGAGAAATAAATGACAAAATAAATTGATGTATTCTATATATACTCAAAATCAACAAAAAAAGTAACATCGTTTGATGATGCAGCTTCTGTTAAAATTTACAATTAAAGACGCATAGGATTATACTACTCGACAAGTGCATTAGGAAAAGAAACTACATTTGTTGTCAGAGTAACACCTACATATTCTTTGGACCCAACATAATAACTTTCTGGAAACTCAATTGTTTAGGTCTATGCATTGAATGACAATTATTAGCCCGTGGCCAGAAACTATCTTTTAGATAATGTTACTATGGCATTTTTGTTGGGAAGAGCTGAAATGGAACTTACTATTGTGGATTTCGAAATCTCATATAATGGATTCATTTTCCTTCAGGATGCATAACTTGGTCTCTTTGTGGTCAAATTCTAGCCAACTGGAGCATGGGAATTAGTTGCTTAAGCTGACCTCCAATTAGGAAGAGTATATTCCTTCGATATTGATTATGAACATAAAAAGGATGGATCTGAATTAGGTGTTATTGCCATCCTTGGATACAACTCCTTTGTTGTTTTGGATGAAGAAAAATCATATGTTCAAAATCTTCCATTTTTCCAATTGGATTATCCAGCCTCCATTAAAATATCATAAGATAATATTATTGTTAGAAATGATAAATTGACTTATTTCTATAAACTTGATGTGGACAATGATAGAATCTACTTAAATTACAAAGTAGAAATCCCTGCCAATGACATCTTATTAGTGAACCCATAAGAACCAGATCTGATTCAAATCAGCACTAAAAACTCCTTTAGACACACTATTTCCAATGGATATTTGTAGTTTTTGGGAAGTGATAAGGTACAGTAGAAGAAGGTTGTGAATATCAAAGCCAAGTCTCCAAGCAAATAAGAATGCATTGTTTAACTTGCATATCAAATTATTGAGGATAATGAAAATTGGATTTATCAATTGTTTGATAAACCAATGCCTTTTCCAAAGACAATTGCAGAAGGTCAAACTCAATCTATTCTGTAAAAATTAGCATCAGGGCCAAACCTTCAATATAGATAACTTAACCCAACACAATTGGGAGGTGTAGAGATTGCAACTACCATTAGATCAAGAGTTGAATTAAGTTTAAATAGTGAATAACCAAAAAATGTGATCTACGCAGAAATAATATCAACTTAAGATGACACAGTCTTCTATTAAGCATTGTAAACCTAAGATTTGAAAATTTAAATCTTGAGTTGTGTTCACAATTCCATTTATGTTGATGCCACAACCTGTGAAGTATATGTTGCCGATTTGGGAATCAAAACTAAAGTAAGCAAACAAAACTTTTCGATTTGGGCTAAACATGGCATATTATATTTCATGTACGTTGATGCCATATACAATGTTGTAATTAAATCAATACACAATGGCGAAGTTACTCCAGTGAAAACAATACAATTGGACTCTACAGTCACTACAAATAAGATTTAAAATATCTTGAATTGTGGAGAATACCTTTTAGTCCATACAGCTAATAATGATATCCACACATTCCTTATTTACAGACCTGAGCTCTAAGTGCTCTCAACATTAAACAAAAACTCATTCTCATAATATGGCTACAACGAAGATTGGGAACCAAAAGCTCTCTTCACTAACAAAAAGTTACATCCAAATATACTCTTCATTCAACACAAAAATCATATCTTGATCCTAGACATAGATTTTGGCTATTTTTACTTCATTAAAACCATACAAATTACTCCAAATTTAGATTACTCAATTGCTATAGGAAAAGAAACATTCTTCATTGTCTAAGGTAAATCTGCTGATACTGCCAAAGATGCCTAAATCTATGAATATAACTTTGCAGATATCAATAACGTCTATTTGTAAAAGAAATTGTACCTATATTGGTATGATATTTCTGCTCCTTTAAATGTTGACTTTAGTGAAGAAACAGGCCATTTGTTTATCAGAGGTGTCTGCCTCTATTGCAGCAAATCCTTTGTTTTAGTATTTAAACCTAATGCTCCTCAACATGAGGCCTTAGTCCAAGCTTGGGATATAGCTACTACTCTTATTCCTGATTCAAAACAAATATTAATTGCTGCCAATGGAATCAACTAAACCTATTTATACTTAAATGTTGAAGGAGAATAATCTCTCTTTGCAGTCTATGATTAAGCAACAATTATTACCAATTCCATAATCGAATTACCGAGTTATTAGGATAAATTTTCATTAAATTTATAGATCAAGAACTATAACTTCTAAGATAAACCAGAGAAATTTAATACAGTCGAAATCAATTAATAAGTTACAACCATTTCTTCTTTAACCAAAATTATGTTGAACCAAAATGATTTCCCTTTATCAAAAACAGGTGCATAGATCTATTCAACTGATGAGACTAAAAATTTTGATTTGGGTCAAAATTGGTATTCTGGGTAGATTGGAAACTTTGAAATTGATTGTGATTAATGTAAAACCAACATTGAACTGTAAAATCCTCTTTATCAACTTAACTCCAAAATCTTCAATGGATATGAAATTAGAGATCACATCAAATATAATGAAAACTACAATATCATGTAAGCTACAACAGGATTGATATTTGTAAACCCTGACAACACTTTAGCATCAGTCTATGATTTCGATTTGCCCAACAAAGAATATTAATGCTATTAAGCTGCTGTTTCTGAAGATAAAATGATTATCTACTCATTGTGTCATGATGGAACTGAATTCACAATATATGCTACTGGTTGTTTTTCTATCACAGGTTGTTCTCCATTGGGAGAGAAGTTCAAGCTTGGAACAGCTTCAAAAATACAATTGATTTCCAATCAACTTCTAGTTGTTTTGCATTCAGATACAAGCAACCCAGAACTTTACTAGGATGGAAAGATAGTCCTTTATAAAATAATTATGGGAGTATAAAAATGGAGACTGGATATTGTCGAAGTCATTGATTTACACTATCTTAATTCAAAATTAACAACTCCCTTAAACGATTTCAGACCAACTGATTTTTCAGTCGTCACATAAGAGTACCTTAAAGAAAATAAGTACTCCTATAAATTGTTTATCAGTGATTCAGAGAGTGGTTTTGTATTTTTAGATTTCTCATTCTCAGGTCTACTTGAGTATGTATTCTTGTCAGTTGAAACACTTAATCTTCATGATTTTTTAAATAAGCAAGTTGGCCAATACACACTCCCTACAACTAAGTTCCTATCATTCCAATTCATTTGGTAACCTACTTATGAATGGAGTTCAAATTTATTGAGAGCCTACCTCATTATATTGACTACAGATGCTTCATAATATGGTTTCAAATTAGATTTTACTGGACAACCTAATTTTAATACACTCCTTTCTGCCAAATCCTTATCTGCTGTCGTTGTTAGATACGGAGATTGGGTTCCAATGAACAAACTAGCCATTCATCACAATTATCTATAACTAGCTATTCCTTATAGAAAAGAAAATGAAGTTGCTGTTGTTATCTATGACATAGATATCGTTACTGCTAATAGTGTTTCTGAAATTGTTCCTACCATTAGTTTTGGTACCTATAGAGTACTCTATCAATAATCTTCATGGATCAGTCCATTGAATCTAGCTGTGTTTTTCGATTAAAAGAATTTAATATTCTTTGTATCCTAATTTTCAGGTCCACTGTAAAGCTATGGAATCAGCCGATCACCAATCCTATTAGTGAAAAACTAAGACAGAGCACTCAAAAGCTAAGAAATCACACTCATTGCTAAAAACAACTTTTCTGAGGATAAATTAAAATTCAAATTAATCGTTCAAGAAGTTGATAACAATGAATGTACCGCCAAGATCACTAATCTCTAGATTTACCCATCAACTGGTGAACAATTATTATGGAATCTATCATAAAATATTTTCGAAGGTGTTTCCTTGAAATACAATTAGGATGGCACAACTGACTTTTCCATTGTTTAAGCAATATCATAAATAGGAGAATCTATAAATCATAAATAGAGTATATTATTTAGTTAATTAATTAGGTGCAACATCGATAGTATCAGCTAAAGCATTAGTCACATAGAATAGAGCATGGTCTAATCAATTTGGATTTTTAAATAAGGATGGTTCTAAATATTCCATTTTTTATACAGATACGTAATAAATTATATTTAATATTAGTGCAACTATAAATAAGGCTCCATCATTCAATCAAATTGTTAACATTAAAAAGACAGATGCCAATCTTAATTGTTTAGATTTTGTTTAATTATCAACTAACACATTTGTTGTTGATTGTTAAATCTAAAATAATAAATTCTTATTATTAATTAAAGGAACTGAAGAAATTTAAACACCAACAATTACTAATTCTTAATTAAATAGAGCAATGGGCACTTTCCAGGTTAAAACTAATTAATTTGTTTTCAGAGTTACTTTATCCATTACAAATGAAGGTTCATTAGCTAATGATTCATTTATTGAATTATTCTAATATGTAAATGGTCAACTATAAGCCAAATAAACACTTGATAAAAGTACATTGTCTAAGATTTCTGGAAAATAAATAAATCAATTGAATATTGTTGATTTCCAAATTGGATTGAATGGATACTTCTATTTATTAGATGCTAAATTGGGTATCATTGTAGTTAGCTTTGATACAGAGTGGAGATATTAAAAGTGGATAACATTTAAATTTGGTCAAGCATTTTCATTTGCAAGAACTTTACTTAAAAACTAAATGGAAGCATTCGTTGTTCAAGGATACAATTATTATGTGATAATTGATTCTGATGGAGAAACTAAAAAGGTTTAGGATTTATAATTCAATTCCATCACCTATCCTTAATCCATTTAAGCAAGCTCAAACTATATATATGTTAAGAATTCGATCTCCTTATTTGTTTATCATTCTGATGATAACAATAGTGGTTTAATTGATATTATTGATTTAACAAATGGTGCGTTAATTGTCAACCCCTTCATTCAAGAAATTGTGACAGTTTCTTTGAAAGCATCAGCTAGATGGAATGTTAGCTTGGGATCATTAAAATTCAATGGAGTCAGTCCAGCAACTTAAGAATTCAAAGATTTAACAATTACAGCTACATCTTAACATAATCTTTAATGCTCCACTAAGATTCAGTACCAAGTAATTGAAAGCAGCAGCAAAGTTCCAATCAGGAAAAATAAATCCGATTAGCCATTCCCTTAAGTTTTCGATGAATTATTTGAATAATTCTAAATGGGCAATATTCTATCAGGACCTAATCTTGAGTACGGCCTTACCTTGCCATAAATGCCTCTAGATTTCAGTGCTTAGGTTGCATAAAACAGATAGATTTAAGTTATTGATTGGCCTAAATCTCCTATATACAGCACTGAATTAGTAGCGAACGATAGAGAAACCTTATTCTAGATCTTCCAAACTTAAGATAAGAAGTTAACAATTTAACTTTGTGTTTTGACTGATCATGTTAAATATGTTTGTAAAGATTATGGAAATGTTTAACTTTAAGAACCAATATCTGAATAATTATTTAGCATATGGTAAGATAATGATAATGTAGTGAGATTTATAACTATATCATCCTTATATAAAGTAACAGCTTATTCAGATGCTGAAGGAGTTATTATAGAAGAGACATCAGTCTCATTTACATAACAAGAGGGTTAATAAATATTAAGTATTTTAAATTAAGGAGATTACCTGTTTATTTTATAAAAGAATGGAGTTTTAAGTAGTTATTGGAGTAGTTAATTCTCATTTGTGAATAGTATAACTGGAAATGATTTGATTGGATATGGTGGATAATGGAAGCCATTAAAATTATATGGTAATAGAATGATAAAGTCAAACATTGTATTTGTTCAAAATGAAAATAACATTGCCATTATCAATTACATCAATACAGAATTCATATTCATTTAATCTATGGATTATACTTAAAATAATTAAATCTATATTTCAGCTGCTAAGAATTCATTCTTTTTAGTTAACAATAAAGAAATAATTGAATACAATTATTAAAACTTATTAAATATTTTCAAAGCAAAGACAGTGCAATTGTTTGAATACTCAATTGCAAGTCCATTAGTTGTAACATCTTAACTCTCAACTGGTAATCTAGTAATTAAAACTACTAAAGCATAAGATGTTTATTTGAATATCTATAGACCTTCATTAACACAACATGATACATTCTATTTATCATTTAAATTAAACGGAATTAAATCGGATGACTAATTTTAATTATCATTAGGAGGATCTCTCTACATTATAACTTTTGCTAATGGATAAAAAATTTAATAATTAAACTTTATCCTACTCAACCCTGAGTTAGTTATTATACCAATAAAAAAACTTTAAAAGTTTGTTTCAAACTCCTTGCTATCGTTATGGATATCATGAATGGGGATGACAAAACATAAAAAGTACATTATGAGTAGAATGTAAAAGTAGCAAATACTATGACTATTTTGATTGTGAATGATGAAGATTATTTGAAATCAATTGAAATTAAAGAAACTGATTAAGCATAAGAAGTGGCAATCCGATCTGATTGGATTGGAGGATAAATAATAAATACAGAGTTATCTTTATAGGCAATGAATGATGATATAACTCTTTTACCTTTCGTTAGCTAAGATATGGGTGTCCTGATGGATTACTATATATATGACGTAGCTAAACCTTTTGCTGTTACATTTTTATAAGCTTCAAATACAGTGCTGTCATTTAAGGGAAATGACCTAAAGAATGCCCAACCTCTCTTACCAAAATTATCAGATCAATATAAATGCTATAGATTAGAAGCTGATATCACAAGACTCTATTCCCTTTGTAATAATGGAGTTGAAGATTAAATATAGGTTGCTAGTTGTAATGATAAATAAGAATGTAAAAGAGAAAATGCTTTCATTTCTGCTCCATTTGCTACTTAAATTATAGCATTAAATTAAGATGTTGTTGCAGTTCTACATACTGATTCATTGAATCCTGAAAATTATGATGGATACATTACAATTCATAAATTATAATCAATCGATGGAATTTGGTCATCTACTTTATTGTTTACTATTGATTATCAATTCATCTAATCTAAATTAGGACAATAAGCACCTAAATAATTTAGACCATCCTCATTTGTTCATTCACCAACAGGAAATAATGCTTCTCTATTTTATTTATAATTGATTATCACAGATAGTGTAAATGGTTTATTGTTTGTTGATTTAACTCTTTCAAAGACTACTTCAGAAGTCAAATATTAGTTTTTGGAATATCAGCTTTTGAAAGACTGGCTAAATGTAGAGCAATATGCAAGTGATGATACACATTACTATTAAGCTTAAATAATTACTCAACAAATTGACTATCCAATTAAAAAAACTGTGAAGTTGGTTCTTGTTACTGATATTTCGTCATCATATGTGTTTGAATTAACTTTTGCTATATAAGCTAATGTGTCAAATAAATTAAGTTAAATTAGAACAATTTTTAATTTGAATAGATATGGTAATTTCAAGACTTTGAACTATGTATCAGCTTCATCATCTTCAATAGCAATACCTTATGTCAAAAATTTAGAGGTTGTCATTGGAGTTTACAAGATTCCAACTGATTAAGAAAATGCATATGTATAAACTATTTAAGGTTCTCATACCTTTGCAACCTTTAAAAAATAAATCACACCTCAAGATTTCTTAATTTACAACTCAGATGAATTATTCTTGACAAGTACTTCTACAGTTGGAGTCTATTAAAATTAAGTTAGATATCAATAAATATTGAAATTTGGGGAGCCAAAGAAATTGCATACATAGAAACTAACGTTAACATTTTAGAACGATTTTAGAAGAGTCGTCAGAACTATCAATTTATCAATTATCCCTGTGGATTAAGATGAATGTTAAAGCAAGGTTACCGATCTAAAGATTTATCCTTCATAAGGAGAAGTTCTGTAATGGTAATTAACTTAAAACCTATTTGATGGTGTCTCTCTAAAATATAGTGTAGACACGACTGATTTTTCAGTAGTTTAAGCAATATCATAAATAGGAGAATCTATAAATCATAAACAAGGTATATTATATAAATTTATAATTAATTAGGTGCAACATAAATAGTATCAGCTAAAGCATTAGTCACATAGAATAGAGCATGGTCTAACCAATTTGGATTTTTAAATAAGGATGGTTCTAAATATTCCATTTTTTATACAGATACGTAATAAATTATATTTAATATTAGTGCAACTATAAATAAGGCTCCATCATTCAATCAAATTGTTAACATTAAAAAGACAGATGCCAATCTTAATTGCTTAGATTTTGTTTAATTATCAACTAACACATTTGTTGTTGATTGTTAAATCTAAAATAATAAATTCTTATTATTAATTAAAGGAACTGAAGAAATTTAAACACCAACAATTACTAATTCTTAATTATAAAGAGCAATCGGCACTTTCCAGGTTAAAACTAATTAATTTGTTATCAGAGTTACTTTATCCATTACAAATGAAGGTTCATTAGCTAATGATTCATTTATTGAATTATTCTAATATGTAAATGGTCAACTATAAGCCAAATAAACACTTGATAAAAGTACATTGTCTAAGATTTCTGGAAAATAAATAAATTAATTGAATATTGTTGATTTCCAAATTGGATTGAATGGATACTTCTATTTATTAGATGCTAAATTGGGCATCATTGTAGTTAACTTTGATACAGAGTGGAGATATTAAAAGTGGATAACATTTAAATTTGGTCAAGCATTTTCATTTGCAAGAACCTTTACTTAAAAACGAAAAAGGGAAGCATTCCGTTGTTTAAGGATTCAATTATTATGTATTAATTTGATTCTGATGGAGAAACAAAAAAGGTTTAGGATTTATAATTCAATTCCATCACCTATCCTTAATCCATTTAAGCAAGCTCAAACTATATATATGTTAAGAATTCGATCTCCTTATTTGTTTATCATTCTGATGATAACAATAGTGGCTTAATTGATATTATTGATTTAACAAATGGTGCGTTAATTGTCAACCCCTTCATTCAAGAAATTGTGACAGTGTCTTTGAAGGCATCAGCTAGATGGAATGTTAGCTTGGGATCATTAAAATTCAGTGGAGTCAGTCCAGCAACTTAAGAATTCAAAGATTTAACAATTACAGCTACATCTTAACATAATCTTTAATGCTCCACTAAGATTCAGTACCAAGTAATTGAAAGCAGCAGCAAAGTTCCAATCAGGAAAAATAAATCCAATTAGCCATTCCCTTAAGTTTTCGATGAACTATTTGAATAATTCTAAATGGGCAATATTCTATCAGGACCTAATCTTGAGTACGGCCTTACCTTGCCATAAATGCCTTTAGATTTCAGTGCTTAGGTTGCATAAAACAGATAGATTTAAGTTATTGATTGGCCTAAATCTCCTATATACAGCACTGAATTAGTAGCAAACGATAGAGAAACCTTATTCTAGATCTTCCAAACTTAAGATAAGAAGTTAACAATTTAACTTTGTGTTTTGACTGATCATGTTAAATATGTTTGTAAAGATTATGGAAATGTTTAACTTTAAGAACCAATATCTGAATAATTATTTAGCATATGGTAAGATAATGATAATGTAGTGAGATTTATAACCATATCATCCTTATATAAAGTGACAGCTTATTCAGATGCTGAAGGAGTTATAATAGAAGAGACATCAGTCTCATTTACATAACAAGAGGGTTAATAAATATTAAGTATTTTAAATTAAGGAGATTACTTGTTTATTTTATAAAAGAATGGCGTTTTAAGTAGTTATTGGAGTAGTTAATTCTCATTTGTGAATAGTATAACTGGAAATGATTTGATTGGATATGGTGGATAATGGAAGCCATTAAAATTATATGGTAATAGAATGATAAAGTCAAACATTGTATTTGTTCAAAATGAAAATAACATTGCCATTATCAATTACATCAATACAGAATTCATATTCATTTAATCTATGGATTATACTTAAAATAATTAAATCTATATTTCAGCTGCTAAGAATTCATTCTTTTTAGTTAACAATAAAGAAATACTTGAATACAATTATTAAAACTTATTAAATATTTTCAAAGCAAAGACAGTGCAATTGTTTGAATACTCAATTGCAAGTCCATTAGTTGTAACATCTTAACTCTCAACTGGTAATCTAGTAATTAAAACTACTAAAGCATAAGATGTTTATTTAAATATTTATAGACCTTCATTAACACAACATGATACATTCTATTTATCATTTAAATTAAACGGAATTAAATCGGATGACTAATTTTAATTATCATTAGGAGGATCTCTCTACATTATAACTTTTGCTAATGGATAAAAAATTTAATAATTAAACTTTATCCTACTCAACCCTGAGTTAGTTATTATACCAATAAAAAAACTTTAAAAGTTTGTTTCAAACTTCTTGATTGTTATGGATATCATGAATGGGGATGACAAAACATAAAAAGTACATTATGAATAGAATGTAAAAGTAGCAAATACTATGACTAATTTAATTGTGAATGATGAAGATTATTTGAAGTCGATTGAAATTAACGAAACTGATTAAGCATAAGAAGTGGCAATCCGATCTGATTGGATTGGAGGATAAATAATAAATACAGAGTTATCTTTATAGGCAATGAATGATGATATAACTCTTTTACCTTTCGTTAGCTAAGATATGGGTGTCCTAATGGATTACTATATATATGATGTAGCTAAACCTTTTGCTGTTACATTTTTATAAGCTTCAAATACAGTGCTGTCATTTAAGGGAAATGACCTAAAGAATGCCCAACCTCTCTTACCAAAATTATCAGATCAATATAAATGCTATAGATTAGAAGCTGATATCACAAGACTCTATTCCCTTTGTAATAATGGAGTTGAAGATTAAATATAGGTTGCTAGTTGTAATGATAAATAAGAATGTAAAAGAGAAAATGCTTTCATTTCTGCTCCATTTGCTACTTAAATTATAGCATTAAATTAAGATGTTGTTGCAGTTCTACATACTGATTCATTGAATCCTGAAAATTATGATGGATACATTACAATTCATAAATTATAATCAATCGATGGAATTTGGTCATCTACTTTATTGTTTACTATTGATTATCAATTCATCTAATCTAAATTAGGACAATAAGCACCTAAATAATTTAGACCATCCTCATTTGTTCATTCACCAACAGGAAATAATGCTTCTCTATTTTATTTATAATTGATTATCACAGATAGTGTAAATGGTTTATTGTTTGTTGATTTAACTCTTTCAAAGACTACTTCAGAAGTCAAATATTAGTTTTTGGAATATCAGCTTTTGAAAGACTGGCTAAATGTAGAGCAATATGCAAGTGATGATACACATTACTATTAAGCTTAAATAATTACTCAACAAATTGACTATCCAATCAAAAAAACTGTGAAGTTGGTTCTTGTTACTGATATTTCATCATCATATGTGTTTGAATTAACTTTTGCTATATAAGCTAATGTGTCAAATAAATTAAGTTAAATTAAAACAATTTTTAATTTGAATAGATATGGTAATTTCAAGACTTTGAACTATGTATCAGCTTCATCATCTTCAATAGCAATTCCTTATGTCAAAAATTTAGAGGTTGTCATTGGAGTTTACAAGATTCCAACTGATTAAGAGAATGCATATGTATAAACTATTCAAGGTTCTCATACCTTTGCAACCTTTAAAAAATAAATCACACCTCAAGATTTCTTAATTTACAACTCAGATGAATTATTTTTGACAAGTACTTCTACAGTTGGAGTCTATTAAAATTAAGTTAGATATCAATAAATATTGAAATTTGGGGAGCCAAAGAAATTGCATACTTAGAAACTAACTCTAACATTTTAGAACGATTTTAGAAGAGTCGTCAGAACTATAAATTTATCAATTATCCCTGTAGATAAAGACGAATGTAGAACCAAGGTTACCGATCTAAAGATTTATCCTTCATAAGGAGAAGTTCTGTAATGGTCATTAACTTAAAACTTATTTGATGGGGTTTCTCTAAAATATAGTGTAGACACAACTGATTTTTCAGTATTTTAAGCAATATAATAAATAGGAGAATCTATAAATTCATAAACAAGGTATATTATATAAATTTATAATTAATTAGGTGCAACATAAATAGTATCAGCTAAAGCATTAGTCACATAGAATAGAGCATGGTCTAACCAATTTGGATTTTTAAATAAGGATGGTTCTAAATATTCCATTTTTTATACAGATACGTAATAAATTATATTTAATATTAGTGCATCTATAAATAAGGCTCCATCATTCAATCAAATTGTTAACATTAAAAAGACAGATGCCAATCTTAGTTGCTTAGATTTTGTTTAATTATCAACTACCACTTTTGTTGTTGATTGTTAAATCTAAAATAACAAACTCTTATTATTAATTAAAGGAACTGAAGAAACATAAACTGTTTTAGTTGACAATAACTCTTTGAACAGAGTGTTGGGTACATACAAATTGAAGGATGATCATTATGTTGTCAGAGTTTCATTGTCAATTAATGCTGAAGGTTAATTAGCCAATAATTCATTTGTTGAATTATTCGCACTTACAAATGATGGCTTAGTTAGTAAAACAACTTTAGATAAAACCAAATTATCTAATATTTCTGGTAAATAGATAAATTAATTGAATATTGTTGATTTCTAAATTGGATTGAATGGGTAAATTTATTTATTAGATGCTAAATTGGGCATCTTTGTTGTCTTTTTTGATACTGATTGGAAGTTTTCTAGATTTATTGGATTTAATTTTGGCCAAAGTTTTGCTTTTGATAGAACTGTATTTAGCAACAGCGAGGAAATGTTTGTAATAAAGGGTTATAATTACTATGGAATCATAAATTATGAAGGTAAAGTTCAAAAAGTATAGGATCTGCCATTTGCTAGTTTGACTTATCCTCAATATATTAAGTCAAGTGAGAAATATGTGTTTTTGCATAATCAAGGAAGTCTATACATTTATCATTTCGATGATGAGAACAGCAGTTTAATAGATATTGTAAATGTGTCAAATGGAGCTGGAATCGTAAATCCAAACAGTCAAGATATTGTTACACTTTCTCTCACATCTTCTTCAGCTTGGACCTTCGGTTTGGGATTATTGAGATTCAATGGAAATGCCTAAGCAAGTGCTAATTTCAAAGCTGTCACAATTCAAGCCAAATCTCAACACAATTAAGTTTGTTATTCAAGAATATACTATCAAGTATTGGCTGGAAATAGTGAGACAATCTACAAAAAGGTTGATACTGAAACTCCTTTCCCAAAGGTTTTAGATGAAAACGACGAACAAATAACATTAGGAAGTTTGGTGTCAGGTCCTAATTTGATTTATGAGATTGTTCAACCTAAATCACCATAGAATTCCAACAATTTCTTGAACTTATCTGCAGAGCCAGACTTGGATGTCTTTGCCCAGATTGCCCATTAGAGAACAATAAAAGTGACCAACTGGCCAAAAAAACCATTGTATTAGACATCTTTGGTTGACATTAATTAAGAAACCCTATACTAAGTATTCTAGCAAGAGGATAAGAAAGTTGTTATTTAAGATTGTGAGTTAACTGATCACGTTAGATATGAATGTAAAGACTAAGGAAATGTGTAAGTGAAAGAACAGTTATCAGATTAGCTTTTCAGTATTTGGTAGGATAGTGAGAAAACAGTTCATTTCATCTTATTAGAAACACCATTTATAATTAAATTCTTCAAAATTAAAAATAGGGTTACTGTTTTGTATGGAACAATCAAATTAAATGAAAATGAAGAGAAGGATGAACTCAAAGCAGTAGCATTCTAGAATCAAGGTAACTTTTTGTTTGTGATTTAATAAAATGGGGATTTGTCCTCTTATTCCACAGAGAAGTTTACTTTGATCAATAAAGTAACAGGAGCAACTTTGATTGGATTTTAAGGAGATTGGAAACCTATAAAGTTATATGGCAATAGAGTCCTAAGATAAAATGTGATCTTTGTTCAAAATGAGAACAATGTTGCTATTATCAATTACAGCAACCAAGAATTCATTTACGGATCGAAGGTGGATTATACAAAGGGCAATTAAATATACATAACTTCATCAACTAATTCCTTCTTCTTTGTGAATAACAAAGAATTGAGTGAATACAATTATGAAAAAATTAATAATGTTTTCAAGCAGAAGACTGTAGAATTATTTGGATATTAAATTGTCAATCCTTTAGGTGTCTCATCACATTTATAAACTGGTATTTTAGTAATAAGAACCACCAAAAATGATAATGTATATTTGAACATTTACAAACCAGGATTATTACAACATGACACCTTTTATTTGGCTGTTAAAATCAATGCTAAAGTTGATGATACCTTTGCAGTATCTGCAAGTGGATCAGACCCAATTGGATCAGCCTATATACTTACATTAGCCAACGGTGAAACAGTTTAATAATTAGATTTTATTGTACTTGATCCACAATTGATTCTCATTCCTAACAAATAGAAACAAAAATATCTAACTGATTACGAAATTTCAATTAATGTTAAGAATGCTGATTCCTTAAATAATTTACTTCCATTTAAATAAACAGTTAAAGTGATCAATACATTCACAAACTTGATCGTTGATGACAAAAAATCCACTTAATCAATTGATATTGAACCTTTACAAAATTCAACTACTATTAAATTAGATAATGATTGGATTAGTGGATAAGAACCCTATTGTACATTGCTATAACAAAAAACTAATAATATCTTCTTATAATCATATCTACATTAAACGAAAAATTATGTTCTTTAGAATTACTATTTCAAAGACACCTCAGCCTTCTAAAACAATGTAGTTCTTTAAGCAACAAAAACAGTTCTTTTGATGAAGGACAATAAATTAGAAGAAAGCAAACCAATTCTTGATGCTTTAGGCGAAGAATATGATTGTTTCAGAATAACATCTTATGAAAAGTCCCTCTATTCCCTTTGTAATAATGGAGTTGAAGATTAAATATTGGTTGCTAATTGTAATGATAAATAAGAATGTAAGAGAGAAAATGCTTTCATTTCTGCACCATCTGCTACTTAAATTATAGCTTTGGCTTAAGATGTTGTTGCAGTTCTTCATACTGATTCATTGAATCCTGAAAATTATGATGGATATATTACAATTCATAAATTATAATCAATGGATGGAATTTGGTCATCTACTTTATTGTTTACCATTGATTATCAATTCATTTAATCTAAATTAGGACAATAAACACCTAAATAATTTAGACCATCCTCATTTGTTCATTCAGTGACTCATTCTGAGGAAAACTCATTTGCAGTTTAATTCATTATTTCTGATAGCGTAAATGGATTGTTATTTGTTGATGTCAGCATTACAAAAGCTACCTCTGAAACCAAATTTATATACATTGAGTATTTGTTACTTAACAAATGGTTAAATGAAAATAAGCAATATGCAAATGATTAGACCCATTATTATTCTAATAAGATTATAGATGAATCAATTAAGGATAAAACTAAGAGTGTCACCATAGTGGTTGTTACTGATAATGCATCATCTTATGTTTTCACTCTGTAATTTGCTATTTCTGACAACCATTCAAATAAGTTGACCGATACTAAAGTCAAAGTGGCACTAAATAGATACGGAACATGGAAAGCTTTAAATACTGTGGCTGCTAATAAGGAATCAGTTATTGTGTCATTTATAAATAAATCGAAAGTTGTTGTTGGTGTTTATCACATTACAGATAGTGCTGTTTCTGTGATAAGAGGTTCCTTTTCATTTACCATTGGAACATAGAAACTGGAACCAAGTGATTTCCCACTTCATTTACAAGTAATTATTTTTATTTATACTTTAGGGCTCAACTTTGATATCAAGTAAAATCAGTAAGGGATTAAATCAATATGAGATTAGAAAGGATATCAGTTTGTACTTCGGAGAAAGTGCCAATCTTCAAAACCAAACCTTAACAATAACATTTTCAAACGATTACAGATCTGTCTCTAAATCGATTTAATTAAATATTAAACCAGATAATGGAGGTGATGATGATAATGGTTCAAGCTCTAAAGCTTGGTGGATCATACTCATTATAGTTGGATCTGTTGTTTTCCTAGGTTTAATAGGATTCTTGTTCTTTAGAAAGAAGAGAGATCAAGATGATGATTCAGATGATCAGGAATCTGGATTAATGCATGTAAATTGAGTTATACATTAACAAAATTATAATATTAAATCAATTTATATTATTTAAATCTTTGGATAGTAAGCATTTCTTGTACTTTAAATCGGATAAATAATAAATAGGTTTTTACTACTTTGTATCTTTTATAAACTTCATCTTTCTCATTTCTTTATTGCTCTTATTCTTCTTTAGCCTTTCTAATGATATTATCTATTTCTTCTGTTGTTATGTTTCTTTTTTATAGTAGTTGCTTTTTTTTATTGTTCTTGATTCTCAAAACTATACACTCATTTTTTAAATCAATATCAAATTCTAATTCACAGCTACAGCTACTCATATTAAAATACATCATTTTCTTTAACATTGCAGTTCTTATAATCACTAATATTATTAGAGACTCTAGTTGACAATTACTTACAAAAATAAAGCACTTTCACTATTATATTTAAATTCATTAAAAATGGATAGATAATTGTAAACTAGCCAAAGAATCTTTACAAAAGCTTAGGTTGATGAGAAGGTTAAATATTTGCTTTGTGTTGATATGGATTCTCATTAAATCTTCACTATCAATCTTAAGAATCATGAAATCTGCATTGAATATGAGGTTCCTTAAGTATACAGAGTTAAGGCAAAGAAGGATATTATGGATATCCAAAAATTGGTTTAATTACCTGATTCCTCATGGAACATGGACACTTTGAGAAACTAAAGGTATCGAAGGAGAGAAATCTCAGAATATTTATTGCATAAGATCGTGAACTAGGAGCCGACCTATTTGGCTGAATCATCGATGTCTGATGCATTCTCCAAAGTCACTTCACTCAAATTGATTGTAGATCTAAGCGATTACATCAGATTGGAAGACTAAGCATATTAAGATATAAATCCTATAACAATTGAACTGCATGTGGATTTAGTCACTTGTTCAGACGAGGTGATCAAGAAGATCCTGAGAGTAGTCTACAACAACTTTTAAGTAAGACTGAAAACTAAATCCCCTGAGAATTAATTTGTTCTGTAGATTTCTGGTTTTAGAGAATACTTAGCAGGAAACTACTCAATATTGAGTTACGATAGAGTCAGAATGAATTTAAGAGGTATATAATATTTGCAAGTTAATCTAACCGAAGTTTCAAAGGTTCGGAGGATGTATGATAATTTTCCTCCCATTTTTGAAAGAAATGCAGATGAAAGTGTACCTTGGGAGTAATTTATGGACATCCCTTGTTTTCTGTTTTATGCTCCATTTCCCTTGCGAGATATACAGAACGAGGAGGGGAAAAAAAGAAAAAAGATAAGTCGACAAGACTCGAATTTCTCACCCTTACGACCTCGTTTATTTCTTAAGGAGAGATGCTTGGAATTCGTTGAGATGAGGTACTAAATGCTGTAAGAACGTTACTTCCCTTTAAAAAAGAGCATCATCTACTCTGGAGAATGTGATTACAGATTCAAAATTTAAATTCTGTGTCTCTCAAATGTGCATAGACTCTTCATACTGGATGATAAAGATCTTGACGAGTTCAAAAAATAAAATGGGCACAAAAGAAGAGCAACTTATAACGGTCAATGTCCACCCAGATTTATTACTAAAGCATCAGCAAAGCAAGAGGAATAACATAATACTTCTAAAAAAAAAGTGAAGGTGGAAGATGAAGAGAAATTGCAGAAGAAGATTAGTTTCCTAAAGTTGTGCAAGACTAAGGAATAGGATGCTGCATAAATTAAATAACTTTCTAAAGGGACTTTTAATCCACATTTTTTTAATCATGGTCCATAAGGGACAGCCAATATGGAATGTCTAATGTAGAAGTATGAACTCGATATACAACCGTATTTGATATCTGTTTAAGTGCTATTGATGTATGGCCAGACTCCTTTGACCAAATTCAGTATAGTCAACAGTCAAAAAGTACCATTCAGGCAAAACACCTGGTTTTATCAAGACGTTTCGTTTTAAGGATTGAAAATCTCTTAGTTACCTATGGAATTGAGATTGTGTTTCAACATAGTTTTGCATTCCTCAAATGGGGAAGAACAAATAATTGGTAGTACAATCACAGAACTATTTGATGAAAATGGAAAACTAAAGTAGGGCAGACTGCATCTAAATGTGTGGCCATTCTATAAATGTGATACTAGGATAGCATGCATGAATGAATATTATGGAGCAGCCTTGCCAAATCAAGAGAGAACACCTTATTACACTTAATTGGTTATTGGGATGCCCACATTCATTGAAGATGTTTATTGGAGTTTGAGAGATGAGAAATACATGAAATAAGTTGGGTTCCCCTCCACTCCATTGAATATCTAACAGATTTCTCTCTAATATATGAATGGAATTTTAGAAAGGAGAGGAACCTTGAATTCCAGTGTCACAGTGCGACCTTAAAGAGATTGGAAAGCCACTCCAAACACAAATGAATTGGCTAAATTGGATCGATTGTTAAAATTTGATCCTCTTTAGCGTCATCTTTACACAGATGAAGACAAGTTCATTCTGCTGAAATGTAGAAATCACTACAAGAATTAGCCATCTGCATTTCCAATCTTTTTGTGCGCTATCAATTGGAGTGATCCTGAGGAGATTAGAGAAGTATATCAGATGATGAAAGTTTGGACGAGTCTACCTTCTGATGATGCCTTGCCTCTCTTGGATGCAAACATTTCGGATGAGCTAGTTAGGTATTATGCTACAAAGAGAGTAGGTCTATATAAGGATGATGAATTGGTGCTTTTTATGCTGGAATTGACTCAAGCTCTCATTTTTGAATAGTGTCATTTTTCACCTTTGGGAGAAATGCTTATTGAAAGATCCATCATGAATCCTTGGGTTGTGGGACATGAATTGTTTTGGTAATTGAGATCATAATTGCACATTCAACCAACTTACGAGAGATATAGTTTAATTTTGGAATAGCTTATGATGCTTTTTGGAAATTACAGATATGAGTTGTTTGGTGAGGTTTAAGTCAATGATGAGATCATGTAGATTGCTGATTTTATCAAGACAGAGAAGGATTCAGGCAAAAGGTTAAAAGAGATGAAAAATAAACTGTAAGATGCCAGACAGAAATTCTCTAAAACCTTTCAATTTGCAATTGACCCAAGAATGAGTGCTTCAGAATTGATTTACGAAAAATGTAAAATATTAGATAGCAAAAAAGTAATCGAGTATATATATGTCTATAGCTACCTTTATGGTTAGTTATGAAATCTGCTGAAACTAGGGATGTGACTCAAATTCCAAAGTAAATCATCATGTTATCTTCTAAGAATTTGAAGGATACTGATTGTCTTGAGAATCTAAGAAGAGAGAAGGAACTAAGGAAAATCACAATAAATGACAAGTTCCTTATTATTTTTAAATGTGGAGATGACATCAGACAAGATTTGCTGACCTTGCAATTGATAAAAATCATGGATAAAATATGGTTAGATTTTGGTCTTGATTATCGTATGAAGCCATACAAAGTGATCTCCACATTGGATTAAGTAGGAATGATTGAAGTAGTTCTCAATTCAGACACTACTTCAAGTATCCATGAGAATGCTGGCAAATTTGGAGCTTTGAACAAAAGTTCCATTATGGAATATCTGAAAAAACATAATAAACACAGCATGGAAAATGCAGTTGAGAATTTCTTAAGATCTTGTGCTGGCTACTGTGTTGCCACGTATCTTCTTGGAATTGGAGATAGACACAGTGGGAACATCATGTTAACTGAAAGTGGGCATCTATTTCATATAGATTTTGGTCATTTTTTGGGTAATAAACTCACCATTATTTTAGGTAATTTCAAAACTAAATATGGAATCAATCGAGAACGAACTCCTTTTGTCTTCACTCAAGAGATGGCATATGTAATGGGGGGAGTGTAAGGACACAATTTCCAAAGGTTTGAGGATTTCTGCACTAAAGCCTATAATCAAATTCGATAGCATGGGCATTTGCTAATCAATATCTTCCTTATGAATTTGTCAGCAGGCATGCCTGAGCTCCAAGAGATTGCAGATATCGAATACTTAAGGGAGAAATTGCAATTGGACATTGGTGAACAACAGGCTACTGAATTGTTCAGGAAGGAAATTACTACTAGTTTGAACGACATGTGGAGAAAGATTGACAATTTGATTCACAACTTTACAAGAGACTGATTTATACAATTCCCTTTATGAAATTATACGTTCATTCTTATTTCTCCTTTGCCTACCTTTGTTCTCTTAATTAAGCCAAAGCTCGCATTCTCACAATTTACGAGTCCGTTATAGTGTTCTTGGCGTATGTAGTTTATCGTTTATAGAAGAAGACATAAGCACTTGTTATTGAAACAACCAAAGTAAACATTATTAAGACTTTCAATAAAGTGTGATCACTGTATCCTATATAACTCATCTTATCAAGTACTGTAGATAGAATCTGAATTGAAGGTTCTATTAATTTTAACATCATGAAAGCCACTGTTCTGCATTTCTTAAGTGTTTTATTATTGGTTTTTGAATTTTCGCAGTAATTCATAATAATCTGCTCTTTTTTGAGCATTTTCAGGTTTGTAATATTCCTAAGGTTTTTCATAGAAGTAAAATCCGAAGACCCTCTTAAAACACTCCTCCTCCGATTAGCCCTAACTATATTTATTGTAAATCAAATTCTTACTAATAATTCTTCTTAAACTCTTCGTCAATCTGTTCATAGAATTTCTTTTGTTTCAGAATATTATAAGCTTCATGAATCTGAGCAAACTTTTCTCTGGCATCCTCTTGACTGTTTAAGTCAGGATGGTCTACCTTGTATTGTCAACCAATTACATTTTTTACATAAACCAATATAAGCATCCTTAATCTAATCCATCGAGGCATTTTTTTTTAATCCCAACACTACATAAGGATCAGATTGATGAGTTGCAAATCGAAAAAATCTTAAGTATGTTTACATAATTAATAATAAATTAGATCATTAGCATTTATAACATTTGACATCTACTGTAGACAATAAATTTACAGAGAATATTTCTTAGCAATTCAAACAGAATCTTTATGAAGGAACTGTTATGTGTGCTTTATGCGTTGAAATCATGTCATGGCATTCGTAACATGGAAATGCCTAGAAAATTAATACATAAATATACATACCCAATTGCAGCAACTGAAAACAGGACTTGTTTTAACAATATCATTGTGAATACATTTCATATTGTTGTAATTGCAATTAAAATGAGTATTTTATATTTTCGGGGCTGACAGTCTTCTTTCAAACTAGTATTATTATTTTTATTATGATGATGAATTAAGAGTTTATATATGATAACCATTCTTTCTGCCTTCAAGGTGTTTGCCATCACTTTAGTAATAGTAATTAACTCCATTGGCACTTGCTTATCTAACAAGAGAACTAGATTTAGCATTTGAATTGTTGTTCTAATCAGTCTTTGATTGAGCATAAACTTCATTAGTTTTAGGTTGAGACATATGTTTTTTGAAGGATTTCTAATTGGCATTACCTAAATTGCCAAAAGTAGCTATATTAACTCCACTTTTCAAAGGTGAAGTCACTTAATGTTGACTAATACTATGATTCTATTTATAACTTTGCACTTCGTTTGAAGCTTTAGGACTATTAGATTATAATTGATTATTAGTTTAATTAATTGGAGGGTTCGATTATTATTATTGTATAGTATTGCCACTATGTTTGCTAACTTCTTTTTTAATCTATTAGAAGTCTTGGGAATGTTAGGGAGGTAATTATTGATAGTTTTATGTGTATTATTAATTCATCTATTTATTTTAGATCTTGAAATCTTATAAGTTCAGTTTCTAGAAATCTTATTATTATTATTAGTTTGTAGATTTACTGTGTTCTTATGAAGTTTCTTTAATAGTTGGCTAATTAAAATCCAAATTATTCTAGCTAATCAAAGCTATAGCATCAATTAAAGATTCTTCTAATTATTCATATATTAGTTTCCATTAGGATTTCAAAGTGCTATAGACAATTGAGTTTTGATCACCGAATTACTATATTTTAAGTGTTATGTTATCCAAATGATTTTGACCTAACAATAACATACTATGATCCATTTCAGGAGGAGTCATCTCAAATAGATTCTTTTGTGCATAGTCCTTTATTTTAGACAACGTCTGTTTTTCCATATTATAAAATGAGATCAGAGAAGAATTATTTTATTCTGCATGAATTTAGATTTCTTAAACGTAGAAATCCCTTAAAACCCTTAATTATTGTTTAACAATTTCGAGAACTGTGTTGATATCTTTATCTATTTAATTGATTAAATCCAGCATTTTGCATTTTTTGTAATATTCCTCTAATTTTGCTATCTATTTAAAATTATTTAGGTTACTTAAAAGAGATAGCTCTTAAAATTGCTCTCAAAGGAATCACAATATTGTTCAACAGTTATCTTATTTGAGATATGTTCCTGGTGTTCTTCAATGATGCAATGTGCACAAGCCAACCTTCTATCAGCTTTGCAATTCGATTCCTATTTTAAATGCCAGAGATTTACAATGCAAAAAAATTGAATTCTCCCTTTTTCATGGTTCTTCTTCCAACAAACAGGATCAAATTTCATGCCTAATTTATTAACGACTAATCTTTCATTTGCAACTGATGACTTCTTGAACAGTATTTATAAATTTTCGCCTATTTCTTGAAAAGATTCTCATACTTGTCTTTGTCTTCGATCTTCCATGATTTCGAGGAGAAGTTTTACTATCAGACATTAATTCAATAACTTTATAATAATAATCTTCATTATTTTTTTTCATCGACTGCAGCCTTCCTCTTTAGCTTGAGTACTTCCTCCTTTGAAACCTAAAATTAAGGTCGAACCATAATGCTTACTTCCTTTAGATCTTATGAACGTATTTACTTTTGACAGAGTGGACAAATTGGCTCAATCTCTAGGATTCTTTTGAAATATTGAATGTTTGCTGGGAACTTACATTCCGGGCAGAAGCAACATTGCTCTGCTACAATATGTCTATAGGTTATGATGTTCAAAATTACTTTGCTGATGCAATACAAAATGGAATATTGTTTGAGCATTTAGGACAATCAAGGGTAAATTCTGAAACGAATTCCTAATAATCATTTTCATATATTTACTCCACAAAATGGACATGGTGTTTTCTTGTCTGGAACTTCCTCCTTTACTGGTTTCCTTGCGATGTTCTCTATTCTGGTTTTAAATTTTTCATTTATTTATGATCTATACTCTTGTTTCATTAATGTAATAGCCCATTGATATGCCATTGATCTAAAGATATATCATATATTAGTTCTTACTTGAAATTAGCTTTTGTAGCCTCGATTACAGCCATTGTCAAAATATTGGTAGCCCCATTAGGGAATTAACTTATACTTTTGCATACTCTATCCAATAGTTTTGCCAAATCTTCATGTTCTTCTAATTTCGTAATCTTTTTAACTAATGTGTATGAATGCAATGTCATCAATTTTTGATATAAGTCAAATGGTATCTAATTGCCACTTGATTTCAAATCATCACAGGTTTCATATAGAAACTGATGAGCCTCCTTATATTTACCACATTCTTGCTCAGATGCTGCAATAGTTATAGCAATCCTTCCCACTGCCTATAAATTTCCTATAGCTTTCTATAGTTTCAATGAGAAAATGGGATCCTTGGGAATATCATCAGTATCTCCATTGATGTAATCGGATAAATGTTGGATTAGACTATCCTATTTATTTCGTGCAACCAAATCTATCATATCGTTAATGAACTCCTCTCCTGCCTTCTAGTACAATCTCAAGGCTTTCATGGGATCTTGTGCCTTCTCAAAATGAAATGCAGCCTTGTCTAATTAATTTTTGCCCTCAAAATACTAGGCCACCTGCAAACGTTCTTCAAGTGAAAATGCCTTCATATGCTCAACATACGAGTCCATCTCGTTGTAATTTTGAGCCAAAGCAAATGCTTACTCTTTCTTCTCAGCCAATATCAAGAATTCAACAGCTTCTGCTTTAGACCCTCTCCTTTCACAATATTAAGCCACCATCGAAGCCAGAGTTACAGTCTTACACTTATTTCGCAATATGAACTTTGCCCTTTCAATGTTGTTTAATTAATTTAAGTTTAAGCGTACTACATTTTCCCAATCCTCAGCCTTTTCATACACATTTTCTGCCTCTTGGAAGGCTCCTTCACTCTCCTTTGCCTTCGCATACAATATCAACAATTTAGGGGATTTCACTTTATTCATTAATGGTGCAGCTTGCTTGAACATCTTTTGAGTGATGTATATAGTGGCTGCCTTCTCTATACAACCTGCTTATTCATATAGTTCAGCAGCTTCAACTTAAAATTTCATATTCTCACACACCAAAGCAATTTCCTATAAAATCAATGGATCTGAAATTTATCTTGACAGACTAGACCCTCTCAGAATATCACCCATTTTGATTGAACAACGAGCAATACCAGCCACACATTGTTGATTATGTGTTTCAACTGTTTTTGAGTCATGCAATTTTTCATTCAACATAGCCATCTCATACATTTTGACTGCTTCTGGATTATTGCCCTAGGTTTCTATTTAGATGGCAAGTCTTTTGCAAATAAATGGCTCTTATTCAGGTGCTATCTTCTTGGCCAATGACAAGGCATTCACATAGTCTTGGATATCACTTCTCAATTCTAGAGCTCCCAGCCTATAAGATGATTTTAAGAACAGATCTTGAGCCAAATCATGTTGCCCTAGAATCATAGCCACGTATGCAAACAATAAATTCTTTTCGGTCTCATTTTTGAAACTTTATATCATCATAACCATTGATATATTGTTGGCAGCTTGGAATGCCTTCTAGGCTACGTCGAATTCTAGATTCTCCAAACACTTTCTACCAAATGTATCAAATAATTTTAGGTTCTTCAAATTCAAAGCAGCCTTATGTGCATTTGCAAATTTAAACAAGGCAAGATTTTATAAGAAATATCTGAAATGACCTTCATTGTTGTCATCAGCACCCTTGTATGACTTCAAGTAAGAATGACTAATTAGTGGTTACCCCATGACATTCCTTGACATGGTGAAACATTTTAAGGTTCCATTTGTTAAACTTAAGGCTTAAACTCCTTTCTCTATTTCTGTAACAGAGGGGTTTGGAGGGGATGATTTTTACAAATCTTCCATTGACAAATATTCCAATACTGGATGCACCATTTCTTATTATAGATTATTTTTATTAACTATGTAAGTTGTAAGATCATTGGCCACTTAGGTCACAAACAAATTGGGATCTTTTTAATCCCAGATAATCCTTTCTGTTTTTTCTGGGAATTCAGATATCTTAGTCAATAATTCAAGGGATGCTTCAAATAAAAAACCTTAACCTTTATTGTTAATACAAATGGATCTTGTTCCACTAATGTTGGGGAAGATTTTGGTCAAACTGTAATCGTTTTTGAATTCAATGATGAATTGTTTTTCAAACACATTGTAGACTCTAATTTTAGATTAGGAATCTAACAAGAATAGGAAATTTTTGGTTAGTCCGATGTGCAAAATTGGTTTTTCCTAATCATTATCAGGGAATTATCTATTTAAATGTAATAGATTACTATTTAACATATTCGCCTGTCTACTCGATTTTATGAAAAGTGCAAACATTATTACTTAAGATGGCAGCAGATTCATCATTCAAAATGATCTGATTCACATATCCTAAATAATCCATCTTGATAGCTTGGATAGCAGGTTTGAATGCTTTTTTGTTTTTCAATTCCAAATACTTATAATAAAAAACCACATTGTTGAGTCCAGCTGCAAAATATTACATACTCATCGAAATCTAATTGGGTTCATTCTCTAAAGTGACCGTGGAAATTTCATTCAGGGATTACTCCTGAGTAGAATAGATAGAGATTTCAGTGAATGACTATTACAATGCAATCATAGATGCATATGAGGCAGTCAAAGTGGGGATTGATGTTTAAAATCCAAACAAACAACCTTTTTCAGTGGACACAACCAAGATTTATCCATTTTAACTCCAAACCCTAAATATTACAATAGAATTCATACATTTTAGATACACGACCACAATCATTGGGTAATTCAATTTTCTCAGTTGGTATTTCTTACCAACTTTGTAGATTCACCATTTTGATACATCCATCTCCTGCTACTGCCAATTTATAGAGACTATCATTTGTGCACATGGCATCCACTGACTTCAACAATTTTTCACTTTGTACTTCATCCTCTAATGAAATAGAAATAAGAATTACTAATTTCTTTTCTGTGTGTAGAAATATGGGCTACGTATCCTTCACTAAATCCAATGACCAAATATCCATCACCAAAGATTGTGTAATCCACTATTTTCCCATATTTATTTTCAAACATTAATTCATCAGGCATTTTATGATTCTTGCCCAATTCAAACATTATAATTGTTTTTTATTGAATGATGGCCGTGACTGTTCTTTAATTCTACTCCCTTGAATCTGTCTTGGATCTTGACCAAACTACATTTTTGGCTTCAGCCTTCACAGGAATAGATTCAAACATAGTTTCTGAATTGTAATTTGAAACTGTTAAGAATTTATCTTCTCCACTCGTTACTAGATTGATACTTTTGAGAATGCATACTTAAATATCCCTCATTGTTCCAATCCCCACTAATGATCTTCTTGCTATGCTTTCCCATCGTCGGTAATTTCTTCGCCTGCTTCTTTGTATAGAACAACAAACCACCCTTATCTGATCCTATTGCCAATATCCCATGACTTTTAGACCACTTAGCATATGAAACTTTTGCTTTTGGATTATCTAATTCTACTTGAATCACTTGCGAATTATTAGTGAATGGAGCCCATAAATTTACATGATTGAGACCATCCTTTTTAAATTTTCATTCTTCCATACCTGTACAATGCACACATATTCACCATCTTTATCCCATTCCAATTACAATAGTTTATTATTTGTCGGCAATTGAATATCCTTTAAACGTTTCCCTCGTCTAATTTGATTATGATATTTACTTATCAAGCACATAAATTACAGATTTATCACCTCCACAAACCAAGAAATTGAAGTCAAAACTCCATTGAAATATCACTGGCACTCTCCCGTTGATGTCATCCTTGTATTCAAATATTTAAGACTTCTTCGACATTATTCGTAGTATAATATATTAATTAAAGAATGACAATTTAGATTTAAAAAAAAAATAAAAAGGCCGTCCTTCATCACCCTTAAGCAATAGATCAAATAAATTGAGTCTTATCACATATATGACTCAAAATTCATTCTACTTTGAATTCGGAGACATCAAAATGGAGGTAATCATCACCAGAACAACGATAATCTTAATAATTTATTTTAACAATTATATACAGTATCAATAGATTTAGACTGTTTATGTATTTGAGGTGCCCATCTTAGAATTGATACTAGTATATATTCAAAACTATTCCAGAAGAGAGTTTAATGTTAATATAGTTGGAAAATTAAATATATTGTTTTGTTTAATTTAAAAATCCTTTTTTAAAAGATGCATTTTTCCTATCATGATGCTTATGATATTGATACTAATCTAGTCAATTTTTGGTCAACCATCTTCTAAAATAAATATAAATTGTATCAAAATAGTTTTTATAAGAAGGTTTCATTTTTGATATGACACAGTGATATCTAACTAATTTAATTTTATTTAAAACTATTTTTTAATTATTTTTCAAAATAAATGGGTTGTATTAACTAAAAAAATAAAACCATAAAATTGGATAGACAGTAAGCCTATATTACTATTTGGAATCCCAATGTATGAAAACTATTTAAGCAATAGATTAATGTTTAGCAAGAAATCTCAACAGACAGAATACCAGCTGTTGATTAATCGCATTCAAAATTTTAGGGGTCTAATCCTAATAACATATTCCTTAACAGGTCAAAAAAATCGCATTTGAAAAAAGCAACCTAAATACTCAATATTAATAAAGATAATCAACTAAAGAAGAAAATTGAAACATTTAAACAATACTATCTGAGAATCAATCAATTTTGGTAATCACATTAAAAAGAGTTAGACGAAATAATGCTTCATATTTAATAGAAGACCATCACTTTGAAATTTTTATTGGTAATTTATACATGCATTTTTAGATTAAAAATGAGCAATTATAAATGGCTCCTCTTGACATTTTATTTGTTAATACTAATGAAGGCAAATCTATAATCGAACTAATACTAAATAAAGTCGATAATTACGATATCATTACCTAATTATTATTAGATTTCAACTTGTTGGAAGCTCATTTACAATAAATAGCTATTCCATTATTCCTCAAGTTGAAGTATTTGAACACTCAAATCAAAGTTGAAAAAGCCATAGAGTTTTTGAAAGCTACTCAAAAAACCAAGTGTATTGAGGTCATATTGACTTCCTCTTAAGAACAAAGAAAAATAAAAATCATTTAAAATTTCACAAATATATTTTCATATATTGATCAATAAAATAAATGGCATTTGAAGTTTTTTAAGATTCTATGTTAAGTAATTAAGGGAGTCAAGACATTTGAAAAAAAATATGAAGAATATTTACAAGCATCAGCAGAATTTAAATTAAAAAATCTTATCATATCAAAAAAAATTAAAAAAGGGCATTTTTAAGAATAATTAAAAATGCATTCAACTCTTGGAGAACTTTAATTCAACATTTTCCATTAAGTGGCTTAAAATAAAAAGTGGGATATCTTTGTTCAATATTCAAATAGTCTAATCTAAAATCCCAATAATGCTAAGTTGACTCCCTTTATGATTTTTTTTTAACGAGCCCCTGTTTAAATTATTCTTGATTATATTTAATAATTTCCACAATAACTTGCTAAGGGAATTGAGTACTCTACTCCTTAAGGACTAAACCTATTGCATTGCTTTTGTCTAAATAAAAACTTGCCAACAAAGATAGATAAAACCTGTTAAGAAATATTGAATTTAATAAAAAAAAGTAAAGATTTCAAAAATTTATTATTACAACCCTATTAGGATTAAATACCTCTTGTCTTTTATATAAACAGTCACAAAATAGTTGATTAGACTATTCTTAATTTTTTAAGCGAATCTTTGAGAAAAGACTTTGATTTCTATAGACTTGATACATTAGCACAGATTTTAGGAGAATAATTGAAATTCAGGAAAATAAAATAAAGGAAACCCATTAAAGAACTTAAAAGAATGAAGAAGTAACCCTTTTGCTAAGTTTAAAATGAATTAAACATCGAATTAAGCTAAGAATTGTAAGAATAATATCACCTTTATTACTTACATTACATTCAATTAATGAAAGCAGTAATAAAACAAAAATTTTCAATTCAATTCTCCCACTTAAATGAGTTTTTTACTTTTACATCTCATTTTCCCCATGATCTAGGAACAGCTCATCATTCATTCCTATAAATTATTCTATAGACGTAGAATGATGATTTCATTTTATAATAATTGAAAACGTTCAAGTTTATTAATTATTTGTAAGCATAGAAAAAAGAGTTAGATAAATTCAAAATTTAATTGCCAGAAGATTATTCATTGGATGCATAACTATTAGCTAAGCTAATTTACTTAAAATAGGATATTAAAGATGAATCAAGTTTACTTCAAAAAGAAATTGATTAAATAATTTTGGAATAGTTTAGAAGAGATCCAAAGATGTTGTGGGCAAAAATTTATGGTAATAGCAAATCAAAGTAGGAAGGACTTACTACAACATTGTATTAATTGATAAAGTAACTTTTCGATGCAGTTTTCGTAAAAGAAGTTTTGCAAATTTGCATTTATAATAATTTGTAGAATCCTTCTTTTGATGTAATGAAGGAATTCGTATTTTAAGAACTGTTATTAAGAAATGTAACTAAGTAAGAAGTCGAATTAAGAAATTTTTGTGATAGCTTTCCAAGATCTATAGAATTTAATGAAACCATTAAGAAGATGGCTTCAAATTATACTATTAAACTTTATTCTTGGAAATTGGGGATAGAAAAACACTAAAACTAATTACAAATTGGTGAGTTTTACCTTTTTATACAGCATTTCAAACCAAAATATATTTAAAACACAATTTAATAATCAAATGACAAAAATCAAGGTGGAGTAAATTAATAAATAACATTCTAGTTCTTATAAGCTCTTTTACAGTCAGAAATTACTATACCTTTGATAAATCGAATTATTATTTTGAATCCTGAGCTATTCATACCTAAAATCTGGTGGTTGACCCAAGATAGTGTTCCTAACAAAGCGCTGCTTAAATTTATTTCAACTCAACGCATATATCCAATTTATATTACTTAACCTAATATTAACTAATTGAGTTTATTGTTTGATTGGTAGATGAGTGGCATTCAATTTTAGGTTATGAAATTCCCCAAAAAGTAATATTTATTCCATGATCTATCAATTAAATCCCAACTGATATGCTATTAATAAATTAATAGACTGCCTTTTGTTATAGCATTGGCTATAGATGATTAATTTAATGCAGATTTAACTAGGTTTCTATAAACTTAGGAAGTTCAAAAGACAAAGGAAGTAATTTCTTAAATTTAATTACACCAAATGTTATAAAATTCAGCAAAAAAAAACATATAACTTTTTATGGATTACTTTAATTTAGACGCTTATTCCATTATTTAAATTTTGAGTTTAAATCATTTCTCTACTACTAAATTATTTGATTATACTCCATCTGAAATATAGGAAGTGAATAAATTTAATTTTAATCATCAAGTCCAATAACTTATGAAATATAATTTTAAGTATTCAAATTAAGTATGTCCAATTTTCATTTTTGAAAATGTCAATGAAAAAAAAATTGCAAAATCTAAAAGAAAGGTAACTCCTTATTTTGTTTCAGTAATCAATTATCTTGATTATGAATCCTTAAATATGATTGGTAAAAATTTAAGAATTTAAATTTATGAGAGATTAAGCTTTTAAATCAATTTAGATCTAATTCATGATGAGAAGGTAATAGAAATATTAATTGAGGATATGATCGAATTGAAAAGAAAGGAGTTTGGAGTTGAAAAAATAGCAGGAATATTTACTCTTACTTTTACAAAATCAATTAATAAAAATAAAAACATTGCTGAAATTTTGTGTCGATATTTAACAAAAGAGGAACTCTAATATTCAAAAATATTCAGTGTAAATCTGTTATATTAATTGTCTCTTATTTCTAACGAAATATGCATTTAGTATTTGAATAAACTTAAAATCTAAAATTATTAGTTCCTTTAAGTTTATTATTATGCATTAAACAATTAAAACATAGAATTATTAAACCATCTAATTAATTATTATTATGAAAATAGATTGTCAACTACATATGTCTATACTTACGTACATTTGAGTCATAATGTCAAAAACTACCATATTGCCTTATTCAAGAAGTATTATTTGGTTTTTAGTGTCTTACAATATTAATTGTTCTATAATACGATATAATTGAGCAGTCAAACTATTTCAAAGCATATTTAAATGTTTATCTTATTTGGATATGTAGAATAACTTAAATTTTTAATTTAATAACCAAATATTTAAAAGGAAATTTAATAATCTTACTTCTATTATGTATTAGCAAAAAAAATGTGTATAGAAAATGAATTCGAAGTTGAAGTTAACAGATTTCCAGAGCATTTGAACAATTAATAGTTGTAAGTACAGTTATTGTTTATGAGAAAATTTAAAAGGACATTCTAATAACATTGCATACTCTCTCTTTCTGAACAGAAATGTTCTTTTAACTTTCATTCACAAAATATTAACTATTTGGAGACGTTCGAAATCCTTAAATAATTGATGTCTACTTCAAAAGAAAAAACTGCAGAATTAGAAGCATATGATGAACTTTACAGTTCCATCATAGACCCTAATCCAAAATAGATCAAACTAAAGAATGAATTAGTTAAGTACTTCTGTCAACTCTTTATGAGAACTAAGTCTATTAATCAATATGTTAAAAATCGTTATGAGAGATATATTTCATTATTTAATGCAAATTCTAAGAGCATTGAAATTATTTTTGATTTTAGAAAACCAAAATAATTTTCTTTAAATATGATTTAGGAGATTATGATCGAATATATCTAATAGATTCTCAAAAAAAAGAACATTAATTTAGAAATTTATGAAAAATTAGCTGAATATATATTTAAATACCAATTTACAAATTAAAAATTGGTTGAGTGTTTAAATTTGGGACTCTAAAATTACAATCTAACTAAATTTAATAATACTACATATTACTATGCTTAACGTTAAGTAAATTTATTACCAAAAGCTTACTACAATTTTTCACAAAATAAACATTTCATCAATAGATATAATATTATTAAAAGCATAATGAATATAGATGCATTATCGTTAGATAAAATGACGCCTAATTAAGTTCTATTAAGCAAAGGTCGTATAGATCATATAAATTTAATAAAGTACTCTGATGCAAATTTAATGGCTGCTTTAATTAGTAATCACTTTATGACAATAACAAAAGTCTTGGATATAAGTTATAATCCTAAATAATTATGTTTAGACTATCAGCTTCTTCATATCATTTTGAGATTTTAAAATGAGAAAAATATCATCACCTTTTTTGAAAAGTATATTTACAATTATATCAAAGACATTGATAAAATAATGTTGTGTTAAGATGAATCTATTTTACTTTCAATAGTATAGAAAAAATAGTATCAAGTTTTTGATATTATAATTGTGTAATACCTATAGAAATTGATAAATAGCAAAAATCTCTAATAGATTGTACAATAGCATTTGTAAATGAAAGTAAAATAATCCTAATTGATGATTTACTAATTAGGAATTTGCTAAAAGTCCTACTTTATATTTGATTTTTTAGATGGAATAATAAAGGCAAATGAAATAAAATAATTAGTTACCACATTAGATTTAAATTTAGCTCCAATGTTGTTTAATTAAAAACAAGGAGATCAAAAACTTAATTTATTTGCTAAATACTACCTAAATAACTTATAAATACTTTTAATACCAACATATAGATAAGAATTGAGACCGTAAAAAAATTAGAAAAGAAGCTATTTGAAGAAAAAAATTAAAGATAAATAGATTGAACAATAAATAATAGATAAAGATATAGAACTTGAAGATATTAAAGTTGATGATATAGAAGATGAAGAGGTAGAAGATGAAGTTAAAAAAGATGAAGTTAAAAATGTTGAATATAAAAAATAATAAGATAAATAAGTTTAAGTATTGAAGAAAAAGGATGGTATACTAGATAAATTGAAAAAAGCAGTAAAAAAAGTTTAAATTATTGGTGTTTGGAGTTAAGATAAGAATAAAGTGAAAAGAACAGTCTAATTAGATAATTTCCTTGATATTGAGCATGCTTGCATATACAAGTTATTTGGGTTTAATCAAATGATTCTTAAATACTTGAAGAATAATTTTAGATTTTTTTCTTTATTTCAAAGCTAACCTTAAGACATTCTACAAGCAATAGACACTTCCAAAGGACATCCAAAACTACTTGAATATTATTTAAATAGTTTGCCTTTGACAGATCTGAAGGCTAATTTAGATTAAATTGTGAGAAAGTGCTAATAATACTATTTGATATAGAATCCTATATTTTATAAATCTATGCTGAATTTTCCAGAGGAGTTTATTAAATTATTAAAGCCATCTGATTTTAATTTAGAGATTAGTTTATTGCTATCTGTTAAATTGAAATAAACGTAGACTCTTCAAAAATTCATTGTAAATCACTTGGAATTACAATCAAGCGAAGTATAGAATTTTCGTGGAATAGAAACTTTATAATAAAATTACTTATTCATGATGAGTTTATTTTTAAATAATTTTTCGTTTCCGATTTTAAAGGATGGAATTTAAAATATTAATATTGAATTGCTCCTAAAATGCTAAAAATTTATAGAATAGTATTTTGAAAAGTAACAGACTAAAATATCAAATGATGGTTTAGATTATATATTAGGTTTGTTGAAGAAAGAAATTACTATAGGTAACAAAGCTAAATTCGAAAAATTACTTAATTCTTAACAAACAGGATAAATTATAATTTTAGGAATTATTTGGATTCAATAGATTGAAGAACTTGTTAGATTTTTCTTCTCTAAACTACCTAAATGGGGTATCTTTGCGAAGGAAATTGAGATTTCTTTTGATAATGTTCCAATTTCATTTATAAATGAACATTATGTTTTACCTTTGTAATATAATACTGATAGATTTGAATTGGATGAAATCTTAATAACTGATTTTATACCCGTTTTAAAATAATTAAAATATGAAAGAGTGATGGAAAAAGAAACCTTACGATTTTAGGAATTTTAAGAAAAATGGCCTTAATTTAACTTTAAATTACTATTTAAAAAAATTGATTTTTCTTAAATACCTTAATATTGTTTTGAACATTTGGATGACTTTGAGTTGAATAAAGACGAGTAGAATTGCAAACCTTTAGTTACTGAAGAAATATCAAATAAGGCTTAAGAAAATAAAGATAATGAGAATTAAAATGATAATAATGATAAAGCTGATTCTGATGATAATGGTAAAGTTAATTCTGATGATAATGATAAAGCTAAAAATGAAGATAATAAAAATAATAAAATTGATAATGATAATGATTAAGATAATAAAAAAGAAAACGATAATTATATAGATAATGAGGAAGATGAGGATGAGGATGAGGATGAAGTTGAAGATGAAGATAAGGTTATTGAGGAGGATAAAAAAGATAATGGTAAAATTAAAATGAAAGGGATGAAGCTAAAAATGCCCGGCAATAAAAATCCAAATCCAATTACAAATAATAGGAATAAGGAAAAAAATTAACGTTAAAAAAGCAGATACTCTAAATCAATATAAAAATAGATAAAAATAATACCCTGCGGAATTTATGAGAGTATCATATTTTTTAAACACCTTCTTGAGCCTTTAGGAGATAACCAAGAAAATTATAAAATAAGCGATTTGTAAGTTCCTCATAAAAATTTAGATAACGATGATAAAGCAGTGGAACAATCAACAGTAATACCTAAAAAGGAAAAAGGGAAAAATACTGTTGGCAAAAAGTAATTCAAATAAAACCTTAAAATTGTCAAAGCTTTCCTACCAATGAACAAATATAAATCCAGATACACTAGTGAATAGACTACAATATTTATAGAATTTTATCATTTCAATTATCCGTAATCAACAGATCTATTTTTACAACAATTATCACGTCAAGAATACCTTGAATAATATAATCCAAAGGCATCATTGGATTTTTTAATTTATAAGTTTAAATAATATCACGATAACCTATAAGAGTTGATCAAATCTGAAAAGTATGAAAAATGGACAATAACTATTCCATACTATATTGAAAATGAAAAATTCTTTTTCTAAGAAATTTAATTCACTCCTTATGCTATATAATTTATTTTTTAAAAATTATTGAAGTTTATACATACTGTTAGAAGTTTTTCAGATTTTGAGATTGATTCTATCTAATGGAGAATAAATTCGATATCAGTACTTTAAGTTTTAGCTAGAGGCATTTTAAATACTTATTTTGCAGATAATTTAAATATTGATATTTTTACTATAATAGATTTTATCTGTTAATGGAAACTTTTATAAATGTTCTTGGCCTAAATAATTTATAGAAATATTATGTCTTTACCCACAATTACAAACCTCTTTTCACACATTTATGTAGAATTCTAAGAAAAACCTGTCTCTCAATATGAAACTTAAAGTGATAGCAATTATTTTTTGGATTAAATATTTTAATTTTAAGAAACAGAATATCAAATTTATCAAAAGATACTCATCATTACTCTAAATGTGTTTATAAGAAAAGATAAACAATTAAAGAAGTCTATTTAATATTCTAAATAGTTTCAGCGCAGTTAATTCAACAAGTCATCTATAATTAAAGCTGCAGAAATAAAGTTCCACTTATACAATGTAATTAATGAGTCTGACTTTTTTTTTGATTTATTTTAACCTGCAGATTTGGTTGGATATTTATTTAACAGATTAGATATAGATACTTACACATAACTATTTTCTAAAAAATTAGGTTATTTTGTAAATAAGGATGTTTCCATAATTGTGAATCATACTTAATTAAAGCAATTATATGAAGAAAAAATAATAGAAATAAAAGCGATAACTAATAGGTAAATTAAAGTAGAGAGACAAAATTAACTTCAAAACGAATTATTGAGATTAAAAGAATTCTTTATGGAAAAGGTTAGTAAATCATTATTCGAACAATTAAAGAGTTAATCTTTTGAATAGTTATTTGAAGTTCAATTATCAATACTACTGTAATCTATACGATAAAATAATTATCTTCAATAATCAACATAGCAAAATTATCGAAGGGCAATTAGGTCTAGCAAAAGCAAAGTTCTTCAAAAAATAAGTAAGTTTTCAACTTACAAAATCGTAAGCTTTTAATTTGGATTCTAACTCACACCAACTTATTTTTAATAAATAGCAAAGCCTGGAGATATGTGTATGGTTTTATTTTAATAACATGGTTCAATGAAACTTGAACCTTGCTAATTAATTTCTTGTTAAGATTCTTAGTTGTTGTATTTTTATTCTCTTAAGGATCAAACAACAGCCTTAAGTGTTGATGACATAGATGGCAAATTTAGAATGAATATTTAGAAGGGAGATTAAAATGATGAAGCTGCAAAATAATAAAGTCCCAAAAAAATGAATGGTTCTGGGAAATAAGGAGAGCTTTTAAATCTTCTTTTTGAAGATATATTGTCTATTATTTGGGTTAGATCAAAATGGCCAATTGAATAAAATTTCAATAATGAAATTTTGAATATACTGTTTATAGATTAAAATGGAAACATATTGACGTGTCATGAAAAGAAATTTTAGTAAAAAATTGCTATGATCTAATAAATTGAGAACGAATAATAAAAACAGTAATTGTTGGATAATTTATTTGGATAAAATTTAGTATCTACTTATGATAAATTTGCACTAACTTAAATCATTCCAATCATTCCTAGTTAGATTAATTATAATTTTAGATTTGAAGATCAATAATAATCAAATCATGTTTAAGAGAGCAATGATATATATATTACAATTAGTAATGATGATTTCAAATTGGAAAAATTAAGTATAGGTAATTTTAATACTGCTTGTTATTTTGATTCAAATTAAAGGTTATAAAAGTACATTAAAACACTCAATAAATTTACTCAAAGAATTAAGGAGATGTCCAAAATAGTCATAAAAATCTATTTTGATGATAAGTTAAACAAAAATCCTTCCTTTTATTTGGAACAGTTTTTCGCTCATAATAATCTTTTTGAGATTTTTGAATTAGGATTCAAAGAATTTTGTGAAGAAAAGCAATTTCCTCAAATTGATAATTCCCTTTCTTATCTTTTTGATGTTTCCTCTTTAACTCAAGTGAAAGAGAGAATATTTTGTCAAATTGTAAAATAGATAGAATTTCATTTTGAGTTAGATTAAAAGGATTAAAATACATAATTTTCAAATGGTATTTTGAAAATTTACAAATTTTTGGATTAAAAACAACCACTTAAATCAGATATAAGTTTCTTTATTTCAAATTTAATTGTTCAATATGAGAAATTCGGAATAACCTCCTTGATTATTAAGGATGAACAGTATGAAATTTAATTATAAGATAATGATTCTACACTAAGAATGAATAGCTTAGCCTCTTAGAATAACAAGGAGGAACAGCATGATATTTTATATCAACAGGATGATTCGCCATATTTAATGAATAACATAGCCAATACCATTCTTCTTACTAAGTACTTATTCTAATTGATGCAAATAAAATAGTTGTTAAGAAATGATAAAAAACTTACTTTTTTGTTGTAAGAAAACTACTAAGAAAAATATTTATATCAAATTTAAAGATAAGAGAAACAAATAGTCATATCATATAATTTGTTGAAAGATTTTAGTCTTGATGAATTCCTTTTGGATTACTTAAATAATTGTGTTTATTAAGGCTAGATTAAATACGAGAAATTATCTGTTGATAGTCACTTGTTGAATTGCTAAATTCTTCAGAATTTGATGATCTTGAAGGAAAATTAGTATTACCCATAATTAAAAAAGGAGGAGAAGAATTTGTTTATATCTAAAGACTTCTCTAAATTATAAGTTTCAGAATGGAGATTAGAACCGAAAGAATAGGAAAGAGGTCTTTTATTTTTCTAATGTAAAGGTGTGTTTTAAGCTATGATTACATTTAAGAGTTAGTAGAAGTATATTCCTTTATATCAATATTTTAAACAGAATATTAACAGATAGTTTTTTGGCTAATCTTTTTATTTTTTGGTTTCTGGTTTAAATGAGCGGATTGATTTAGATACTTAATTAAATGCGATATAAGTGAAAATGCAAATAAATAAGAAAAATACAAAGCGTTCTTTAAATTATTATAAAAGATACATTAATAAACTGAAGGTCAATACTAGATTAATAACAACGAATATTGCTTTGGTTGAATTAATTGCTTAAGGAGTCGATTCTGTAAAAATCAGATCAACAACACCCGAATTATTAATAAGTTCTTTATCTAATTAGAATTACACAAATTCAATAATCATTTAGTTTGATCCTGAAAAGACAATGCAGTAAAATCAAAATAAATTATGTCACATTGGAATTCTGATTGAAAGTAATAAGGAAAATGAGATTTATAAACCAATTTCCTTTAGCTAGAAAAAATTAGTGTCTTTGAAGGAGGAAAATAGGAAAATAATTGATTTTTTATAAAAAGGAATTGATCAAAGACCTTAAATTTTCAAGAAATCTAATCTATTACAAGCTAGGTATGATTTGTTGGATCTATAAAACAACAATACGATTAATACATTGACTTTTAATTAAATAAGTGTTGCATCATTTTGTGGCTAGATGAGAACTGATTTTATTGAATTTTAGGACATAACAAGTGCTTAAATTGCATGTGAGAATGCACTATTTGTGCATTCGCAATATTAATAGATTCAGATATTTCCCAAAGTATACAAAGAAACATTAGGAATTAAGTTTAAATGGCAACCTATAATCAAAGGCATCTATAATTTATTCTTAGGAGACCAAAAGATAGATGGCCATTTTATAGTCTTAGCCAATAAGGTTGATTATAGAAGGTGTGAAATCATTTTACCTGAAAAAATACAGACACTCACATTATATCAAACTATTAAATATATTATAAAATTGAGAGATCATTTTAATAATATTTATGGAAATATTGAATCAAAATTGAATAAAATGTAACCAATAGTTACAACCAAAAGTCAATTTTCAGAATCTATAGTTGAAATAAACGGTCCAGGTAAAGAAGGAACCATCACTATAAATATTAAATTTGTTTAAATTGATTTTATTTAGCATCAACCTGAGGATGTTACAATTAAGATTTCCCTTTTAGACTAATTAGAATCAGGTATATATATATATATATTATTGTAGAATGTACTTTTCATTTGGAAGGACTTACATTGGAGATGAGAATTATCAAGTTTTATCAAAAACTAAAATTTCCATAAGTCTTTAAAGAATTAAAGATCGAAAGAGTTAATTTCGCAAAGATGGTGCAGAAGTTGGCTGATTAATAATTAAAATGTCCACTAAAGATTACATATATTCGTTCAGGTGAATAAGGAAGTGATGATGGTGGATTAAGAAGGGAATTTTATAATAAAGTTGGTGAGTTGATGAAAAGTCAATCAAATGGATTTTTTCGGTTAAATGCTAAGAGTTAAACATACTTTTTTTCACCCAAATTTTAGCCAGATAAAGAAAAGGAATAATATGCTATAGCATTTGGAAAAGTAACAATTAATTATAATACTATTTTAGTTAATAGCAAATTCAATACTAAATAAGGAAATAATAGGAGTACCATTTGCCCATTAATTTTGGAAATTAATATTTAATAAACCAATCGTCTTTGAAGACCTTGAAGGCATTATGGATGATGTTGAATTTAAAAATATAAAAAGTTTGAGGTAGATGACAAAAGAGGATATAGATTCTCTTTGTATTACGTTTACACACTCATAAGGTACTCACATTATTAATTTAATCCCTAATGGATATAAAATATAAGTCACAATTCATAATACAGAGAGGTATCTCTAAAAGTTAGCAGATTATTTAATTGTTGGAAAATTTTAAGCTATTACTCAAAACATCATTGAAGGTTTCGATACAGTCTTAAATAGACAGGTAGATATATATTTTAATTAATAGCTTTTGATGGATTGTTTTGATGCTACAGAAATGCACACATTGACTGTGGGATCTTCAGAAATAAAACCTGAAAAAGTCTTAGAATTAATGATATACATAAATGGATCTGATTAACTGATTTAATTTTTCTAGAAGTTTATCAACCAATTAGAAGATGAATAATTACAAGATTTTCTGTAATTCCTAACAGGATCTCCTTATCTGCCTTGGAATGCTAAGCCTACTATATAAATTGAATTTTTAGAAACAATGAATGAAACACACTTACCAAGATCGTAAACATGTTTTTATAAATTAACTCTTCCATACTATAAGACTTATGAAGATTTAAAGAAAAAAATGGAAAAAGCAATTGAATATGGATAAGAAGGATTTGGATCCTATTGAATATAATAATTATTTATATGTAAGAATTATTATTGCATTCCTTTAATATAATTCTAATAACCATCCAATTTTATTAGATTTAATAAAAATATCTTATAATTATCTCTCTTAAATTAGTACCATACTTTACAATCTATATGTATTGATAATCAGAAAGATACATCATAAATAGGCTGAATTTATCATAATTGTGCATATTTTTAATTCATTTTATAAATATAATCAAATATTGCTTTTTCTCAACTAAATACTATGCTCTAAAACAAAACCAATATGAAACCGGTTTTACCAAAATTAAAAATTCAGAGTTAATCAAAATAACTGCTTAGTTCTCCATAAAGATCAAAATTTAATGATGAAAGAAAATTAGAAGCAATTGTAGAAAAGAGGAATTTTCAAAAGTAATTGATAGATTTAGTTACTACTACTTTACAGGATGATGCTTAATAGAGTATATAGAATTCGGATTTTTCGAGAAATGATCTCTTAAAACATTATACATAATTACCATCGAAACCCACATTATTGTTTGAGAAGGCATTAAAAGGTCTTCATCCTTTACAGCAGAGTGAATATAGGTGTAAGGAGTTGAAAAAGTTGGAAAAGAAGGTCTAAGTAATGAATGAAAGAAATCCGCTGTAGGATTCTTGGAGATCCCCATTCTTATCATAGCCCAGATTATATAAGTCATCTCGGACTGATGAAGCCACAATATCCTAGGAAATAGAATAAAACGCATAAAATGTGGTGTTGATAAATGAAAATTTAAAGGGTTTTGGTCCAAGATTAAGAACTTATTTGGATTATGATAAAAACACGAGATTTGAAAGATAAAAAGGCAATCCCAAATATTTATACAGAGAGAATTTAGTGCGATTGATAAAGAATAATACAACAAAGGAATTGGATTTAGTGAAGGAATGGAATATATTAATAGGTTATGACCAATTAGTTTTCTCTGCTGGTTTCAAGAGGGCAGAAATGCGACTACAATAATTTGGTACCATCTCCTCCATCAGCCATTATTAAAGTATCTAAGATTTCCATAAGAAGAAGCTTAAACAAACCAATAACTAGCCTACTCCCAATTCTCAAATATCTCCTCAATTTGTAGTTAAAAATTCAAGGTAGAGCAACTCAACCGATCCAATAGACTTTGGTAAATCTAATTAGGTGCTATTGGATGTATCAGAAGTTGAGAAGGTCTAAGATGATATTTCCATTAAAAAGGATACATTCCTAACATATTGTTAAGTGTTTTGGGATTTAATAAGAAAGGAAGATGAGATCGTGGAGAGAGTTGTATGGGCATTTTGCAAAAGTGATTCTATGACATTCACTTCTTTTAAACATTTCTATAAATTGATTGTGTTCCAGGAAGGCACCTTTGAAGAATATATGAAATTCACATTTGATTTCTTTATGGGATCGGAGAGAAACGAGATTCCGTTTACAGAGATCCAAGGCTTACTTAGACTGTTGGCTTAGCGAATAGATGGAAAGGATCATGCTTTAAGTGATCAAATATTAATGGATATCGTTAGTTAAATTCATAGGCCATAAGCCATCTCAAAAGAAACCTTGTAGTAGTTAATCTTTGAAGATAAGATACCTCCAACTGTGATAGTAAAGATGGTGTATGAGTAAGCCTGATAAAAGTGTGAATTATTAATTTTTATATTAACGACTACATTCAATGTATCCACAATTACAAAAAGAAGAGCTAGTCGAATTTCGAAACTATATTCGAGAAGTAACATCAGCTAAGATAAATAAAACGACGGATAAGACTCCGAAAAGAAACAATGCTTAAAAATAATTGGAATTTATTCTTAAAAGCACACAATTGAGATAGACAGTTTAAAAGCCTGAAAACACTCAATAATTATCAAGACTCAATTACGAATCATCATCGTACATTCCAAGATCGTCCTCATAGCCTTTTGTGCAATTTGATTCAAATTGTTGGAAAGAGACCTAGAATTCATTTAGTAAATAGCAGACAGCTTATGTGAGTGTATCAGATATGTTGAGAATTACCAATGGGTTTAATTAGATGAATAAAAAGGATATAAGTGCATTGAACTCCAAGTATAAATAATTTATATTTAGTTATTTACATTCATTGCATGAATTAGATTTGACAATAACAGCCCTTCTAAAAAGAATCGATTGAGAAAACTTATTCATAAGTAGAATCACTTTATGATTTCAATATATTATACTATAAATTCAATCTTAAATTTGAACAAAAAGACTAACAAATTGCAACATAGATCGTTATACCTGTAAATCAAATGGACTCCTTTCTTCACTTTTCAAAACAAAATACTATAATAAATATTCCTTATAAAAGTTCTTCCTTCTATCCAATCCAGAAAAATTGATATTATTTGATTGCTCATTGCATTTTATCAATTCTACCATAATATTTGATAACAATCTTCCAGAGTTGAGAGGTATACCATTTTTTAAGGAATATAATTAATATATGTTTTTAAGTTATTTTTAGAAATCCCTTAAATATAATATTAAAGGGATAGAGAGAGCATTGATTTAATTTTGTATTGTTTATTATTATTTGTAAATTTATATTATATTTATATTATATTTATAAACTAATGGACGAGGAATTTAAATTAAAGTATGGTTTTGCAGCGCTTCAAAAGTAAGTATCGGAGAAAGAGAAGGACAAGGATAAAGCAATTTTTAAGTTATGGAATGGGATGAATTTAGATGAATTGGGAATGTCTGTTTAAGATAACAAGTATGATTAGGGTTAGATTAGATTACCTGGACAACCAACGAAGATTATTTCACCATTTATAGATGATAATGCGACTCAACCAGATCCTCTTTCGAAGCCTCATGACTGGATTAAGCAAAAGTTGATGCCTCGTTAGAATAGTGTGAATAGGAAGAAGGAGATGTTCAGTCAGTTTTCTGAGGAAACCAATTTCTACATATTTTATAATGTGATGGATGAAGAATAGTAGATATGGGCTGTGGAAAATCTGTAAGCATGCATAGCGTATTTAGATACACGAGAGGGTGGAGGTACAATATGAGGAAGGAGCAATGGTTTAAGGATTTGCAGTTGATAAACAAGAATTTATATTCTGGGAAGTACTTCAGTATTCCAAACTGGAAAATAATGGAGAGTTCATAAATAGATATGCAAGAGTCAGATTTGTGTATGATTGAATAATTCTTGAATAATTAAAATTAATGAATTTTATTGAATAATTTCAGAAGATTAAATGCACAAAGCATCCCCAAGCACCCATTTCCAATATCTGTCTGAATCAGGAGTGCAAGGAAGAGTAATACTTTTGCCAGAATTGTATTAAACTCCATTTGACTCATTCGACTCACATTATTTACATGAAACAGATTGACAAGTTACTAAAACGTCATACCAATGTGAATGAGATCATACAGGACAAATAGGGATTGGAAGCCTTCAATGTATTTAGAAGTTTTAAAACTGCAATTGAGGATAGATTGAACCAATTGGAGGACGAATTGAGATTGCTCATATTGAAGTTGGTGAATGACCAAAAAATGAATGATTAAGGGTACAAGTTTCTGCAGAGTCTGAACCAATTCAACGAGTAGGACATAAAAGAACTGAGATTGTTCTTAATCAATCAACAATAAAACATTTAAAATAACCAAATCAATTTAAAGGAAAAAGAGAGTAAGTAGTAATTGGTACAACTCACATCCTACTTGCAAGACAAAATACCCAACATTTAGAAGTCAATGATAGATCAATTGGATTGTGTTAATAGCACATTCTACACAAAAACTGAGAGAGTGGAGAGACTGCGTAAAGTGTGGATAGGTATGTTTATTTCATTAATTCCTTAATGTTAGCTGATGACGGACAGAGTAAGCCCAGTATCTTTGACAAATCCACCATTCGAGCCAATGTGTTTCAAGTGAGAGAGAAGCAGTTGTATTTGATTGGAATCTTCTAACCAATACTGTATAAGGGAAGTTATAATTCCACTAATTACGACTCACAAGTCAAGACTCCCAAATTGATATATAAACTGCACGAGGATACCAATCTAACCAAATACATCTTCAAATAACACAAAGTCTTGGAACATGATAAATTGCAAGTAGTGGATGGCCACTTGTATTTTATTGAATTCAGAAATCCCATAAAGTTGTTACCCAACAAGACTTACACTATATCCATTTCAACCAAGGAAGCCAAACTGTTTCAGACTTATCATTATTCGATTCCTGTCATTGATCACCCTCTGATCAAATGGCAAACTGAGGATCTGACGGATTCTGATATTTTTACAAAGGGACCTTATGTGCAGCATATTTATTCCTATGCTAATATCGATCAGATTCCCAGCTTAGTTGTGAAAACATGAAATTTATCATAATAAGGATATATTAATATAAAACATTTATAATAACATTTATTTCAAATGGCATAACAAAAAAAAGATGAGGAAGAAATCAAAGTAAATTCATAGTCTTATTCTAGACCTACAAAATGATTGAGGGTGACTATTCAGTTCAAATTAGAGTGCTGGAGGCCAATGATCTCATACCCACGTATGTTATGTGCAATATTCTTTAGCATTTCCGGGTTTGCAGGCATTGGGCTGCTTTCGTCTAAAGGCACTGCTTGCAATGCATTCGTCGAGTTGACTGTATGTGGCTAAGTGAAACGAACTAAAGTTGTTAAGAATCAATTAAGTCCCATTTTCAACTAGTTGATCTCATTCAAATTAAATGACATGAAAAAGGCCCAATTGTCATCAGCTACCATAACTGTGGCTGCAATTGATCGTAAGAATCCACTCTTGGGCAATAAAATAATCGGATCATATGAGTTGGATCTCAGTAGTGTGTATTTCAGCTTACATCATGAATTATATCGAACGTACCTAGCCCTTTCAGATCCAACCGATGAACGAGAAGGAACTATGGGATATGTGTTGTGTAATATAATGGTATTAGGCCCTAATGATGAACCATTTGTTCACGATGTGGCCACTGAAAAAAAAGCAGATGCCACTAAAGGAGCAACATTGACTCCCAAAAAGATCCAATAATGGCCTCATTGCATCCGAATCAATCTACTCAAAGGTGAACACATGGTTCCTCTGGATATGACAGCAGCTGAAATCGATGCCTATGTGGTTGTTAAATATGGCGGTTCCAAAATCAAATCCAAAGTTGTCACCAGTCGTAATCCAGAATGGTATCAACAATTGAACTTGGCTTGTATGCTTCCCAATCAAAGCAAATTCGTGGACATCAGCGTTTATGATCATGATCTTCTTGGAGATGATGACTTGGTTGGGACCTTCCAACTCCCATTCAAGTCCATCCCTGAATTTGAATCACAACCAATGTGGGTCAATCTCTATGGTGCTCCTCTACGGGGAGAGTCTAAAAAGGCCGACATGATGAATCTATTTGGAATGACGATGGGTTCTCATTACAGGGGAAGAATCTGTTTCACTATTTGTCGTTTCGATCAAAGGGATGCCAAAACCTTCAAAGAAGATTTAATCTATAGATTCCCAGAGAACCCTATGCCAGTTCCAGAACAAAAGGGATATATATTGAGAGTAGACTTGCTTGAAGGACACGAATTCCCAATTCGGAAATAATCCATCATTCAAGTCAAAATGGGACCATATCTATTGGTCAGTCAACCTGCCACTGTTTAGGATGGATCATGCATGTTCTATGAAAATCTACCAGACAAGAAGGTACTATTCCCCAAAACTGTCACTGAAATACCAGACATTATCATTTATATGGCAGATGACAATATTGAGGATCGAAGACACAGTTTCATTCGATTGAAACCCAAAGATTACTTGGATATTCCTCTACGTCCTCAAATATTTAAGATGACTGAGGACAGATCATTGGATTTGGTGAAAGATGATGAATTTCCAGGGTTTCTCTTTGCTAACATTCAACTAATGAGTAATATGCCAGGAAAGAGAGAACCCTATAAACCGAATGCTCAATTGAAACTAGATTATCAATTGAGAGTTTATTTGTATTTAGGGAGAAACATCCCTCCTGCAGATGCTACCGGTACTTCAGATCCCCTAGTGAAGATAAGGTGTGCAGGACAAATCGTATAATCCAAGGCTTGTACATAAACGTTGAATCCTGGTTGGTACGAAACCCTAAAATTGGATGTGAAATTGTATCCTTTCGACTAAGAAGTCATAGTGCCTTCAGGAATGTTCGTAATGGTTTTCGATTAGGATCTGGATGAAGACAACAAGGCCTCTTATGATTTGATTGGGAGAATATGGATCACTCTGGAACCCTAAAAGATGCAATTTTAGACCGATAGTGAGATTGTTGATATGTTCTACAAAAAACCTAAATGGTACAATATAAGGTATGATGCAACTGATGAAGTCTAAGGATAAATACTCTTAGCATATTCAATTATTCCCAAGGAGAAGGCACATCTTATTCCTGATGAGAGTATTTATCCTAATTGCGCCAAACAGGACCTCAATCTCTTCTGCATTGGATTGCGTAACTTCGAGGACATGGTCTCAAATATTACACCAAGCAATGTTTCTGTTTCCTTCGATATCAGTGGTGATGATTACGATCCCATCTACACTGATTACAAGAAAGTGAAGGAGAAGGGTGTGAACATCAATAGACTAATCCCAATTTCAGTGGATGTCCCCAAAAATCAGCATTTCTCACCTGTCATTGATTGCTATGTGTGGAATCAAGAGTTGCCAGACAAACCTAAGCTTTTGGGTGTCTAGACCATTTAACTCTCCAGGATACTTGCAGAATATTACACCAAATTGAAATTGAAGCCTGGAGAGCAAATGCCAGTTGAATTTGATGAGTCAGATGAAGAAGAAAATGAATTGATGAAGAAATTAGAAGAAAAGCAAAAACCCCTTGGATTGGCACAAATTAAGGAAGCCAATGCCAATGAGGAGGATGAACCATTTGATCTTGACAAAATTGATTTAAATATTCCACAAGAATTGCCTTTCAAGAAAAGAGTGGTTGATGATTACGAATATCAGGAGTACGTGAGGAAACAAGAAGAGGACTATTAACGCATAAAAGAGGAAGAAGAAGATCTACTTAAGCAATCCCAAATAGGAGAATCAAATGTCTAAGACTTGATGAATTTACAAGATGATGTTCCAGTCTACAGACCTACCACATTTGGAGGTGGTGGCTTGTAAATAGGCCAAGAAGCACCTAATCTATAATAATCTCACTTTTCCAATCAAAGCAATATCATTATCGAGTAGTTTCCCAAGGAAGAGCATGCTCCAGAAGAACAAATCCCAGTGCGAGTCACTAGACCTATGGATAATGATAATATCGGTGAGAACAATCCAGTCTAATCTAATAATAATATAGGTGAGAACAATCAAATTCAATCTCGCAATAATCTATAGAGTCACTAATCATTAAGACAATCCTAATCGCAAAATGAGAGAGTATAAAACAATGATCAAGCCAGTCAAAATCAACAACAACAATAGAGGGATCAAAGGAGTATATCCTAATAGTAAGTAGGACAATAACCTGTGTCTCAATCAAAGAGAGGATCACAATAGCAAGAAGTTATTGAATAAAGGAATTAATCTATTTCATAGTAATAAAGAAGAGAATCATAATAGTAAGCAAATGTAGTAAATGAATAACAACCTTAATAGTCAAGGAGGTCATCATAATAATAGCAATTACTATAGAAATAACAGTCACAATAACAATCACAATAATAAATCGAATAATAACAGAGATAACAATCACAATAATAAATTGAATAATAGCAAGAAATTTAACTTTAAAAACAGTAGTCTCGTAGATAATCTGAACAACAATAACCCAGATCGAAGTAGTAATCTATACAGAGAAATGATGATTTGTAATAGAGACAACAATCACAATAGTAGTAGCTTGAGAAACAATAATCAAACAAACTTGGCTAATCCCAGGATTTCTAATAAAGATCGCCATCCATTCCCATATCCCCAATTCAAAATAGAAATGGATATAGCTAAGGCAGTCAACAACAGATTGAGGATTTTAATTTTCAACCCAATTTGGAAGAATCCAGAATAGTACCCTCAGAACCAAAGTCTAAAACTATGAATGATCAATAGTAAATGAAAATAGGGTAGAGAGTCATTTAACCACCTATTCAAGGATCTCAAAGAAGCATCAGAATGCTAAGTTAAGTTGATTAACGAGTTGTATTTGAAGCTGAGTAACACGTCAAGAATTAAGTAGAATTAAGTCGTAGACAATCCTAATAAATTCAAGAAGTATAAGCTGTCTAACCATAAGCAAATCTATCGGATTAGCTTCAATAATTGTCTCAATAACAATAGCCTTTAAAGACCTTATAGGTTCCAACTGATTTATCTTTTTCCAAAGCTTCCAAAGTATCCTCAAAAGCATTGTCAGTTAATTCTGGTCCCAAAGACAATATGGATGCAGTGAAGAAACCCAAATAAAAAAAGAAGATGATGTCGAAGGGTTCCAAAAAGGCGAAGCTATTTGGCTTTGCTGCCTTGTTACCAAAAAAGAAAAAAACTACTGATATTGAAACATACGAAGATTTTGATACAGATGACGGAGAGGATTTGGATGTAACGCCTGAATGGTTGAAGGGCAGGAAGTTTTTACCTGATGATTTGGAGGACAAAATGAAAACTAGCAAGAAATTCCTTAAGTACACAATAATGACAGGATAGAGTCGAGGCAAAGATACCTAATTCTTAACTGATAAGAATGGACCTTCAAGAGTCTGCGATTTTAAGTGTCTGTTCTTAGAGGTCAAGCCTGGGTAGGATATCGAGAAAAAGAAGGAAATGTATATTAAAATGATGAGACCCAAATAATATGTATGCAGATTATACATTCTATCAGGAATCGATATTTAAAGTGGAGGGGATGAACCACCTGATTTGTACATAAAAATAAGAACAGCAACAAAAGAGCATGATTTGAAAATGCTTTCATTAAGACAAAGCACAAATAATCCTTAATTCTATTTCCCATTTGAATTATAAATGGAAGTTCCAGGATCTGCTATTATAGAAGTTGAAATTTGGAGTGCCTAATCAATTGGCGATGAATTAGTGGGTACCTCTCTGATTGATTTGGAGGATAGATATTTTTCGGTGATGTGGCATCAATTTGAGAAGAAACCAATTGAGAATAGAAATATTAAGGATGATTTTGGATCCTCAGTTGGCAGATTGTAATTATGGATTGATTTGGTAGAAAAGGCTTATGCCAAAAAAGACCCAATGATTAAAATTACTGCTCCTCCTCGTTATTAATTTGAACTAAGAGTAATTATTTTTGAAACAAGAAATTGTGTATTCAAAGACGAATTAGAGAAATGCAACGATTTGTACTGTAAGGCAGGAATTGCCAACTAAGAACTTCAAGAAACAGATATTCATTGGAGATGCAGGGCTAAAGGTTCATTTAATTGGAGAATCAAGTAAAAGGTTACTTATCCAGCACTTCCAGATGAATTCGGAACTGATAAGTTTAAAATTCAATTGTGGGACAAGGATATTGTGGGATCAGATGAATTGATAGGAGAGACAACATTCAATTTGAATACGCACAAGATGATTGACAAAGCTGTGAAGAGACTTTAAGCAACATCCTTAACTCAACGAATAAGAGAGAAGGGAGGTGTAATAACTGACAGACTTTGGGTATTTATTATGCACTCATATCATTTACTAGTTGGATGTATACCATCCAGATGCAGTGGACGAGGAAGGGTAGAAGATATCATAAGGACAAGTCTTGTGTTCTTTTGAATTGATGCCACTCACTGAGGCTGAGAAAAAACCAAATGGATTTGGCAGAGATCCTCCGAATGTGTTCCCTCCATTGAATGAGCCCACTGGTCGATTGTCTTTTGATATCACGAATCCACTTGGTTTTATTAAGGAGATTATGGGTAGTATTCTGATTTGATCAAAGGTCCCGATCTATATAATAAGATTTGCAAGTTCCTCTTAACTGCTTTACTTCTGACTGTAGGTGTCACTGTGGGATGGATATTCTTGGGTCCTTTGATTGCTAATGTTATTGTGAAGTGATTTAATTAAATTATTTATAAAATGGACATGCTAAGATTGAGTGCGTCTCAAGTCGATTTCGAGTACAATAAACTAGATAATATGCATTCTTCAATCACTCTATATAACGATACTCACCAACCCGTTGCTTATAAGGTATTTCATTATCCAATTGTGATCCTTAGTTTAAGGCTACTAATCTCAACATTTTCTTGGTCAAACCCCCTTTGGGAATAGTGCAGCCCAGACAGAGTTAATTAGTCACCATTATACTTAATAGCAAAGTCCTTGAGACTAATTCAATCAAGGATTTTAATGAAAAATTGCAATTGATTACAACCATCTTGCCTCAAGGCGTTCAAGATGCAGGACCCATATTCTTGGACAAAATGAGGAAGTTTGAAAAATAAAAGATCAATATTGCTATTCTTACTCAGGATAGAAAAATCGTTGCTCAAAGTCAAGGAAATCAAAGTCAAATGTTCCATTCAGTTAATAAATAATTTGGATAGGTGGAACCTACACGTGTCATTGCTACTCCTACTGCTGATAAGGCTAAAATCGAAGCTGAATACTTTTGCAATAAATTTGAAGTATTACAACAGGAAGTCACCAAGAAGGAATAAGAATTAGTAATTATTGTTGTTAAAATTATAGCAAGATCTTTAAAAATTCAACAATGGTTTGAGTGAAAAAGCAAATATCAAATCAAAATCTGGAAAATTGGATAAACTCATTTTCCTGTTATCCTTACTTGTGTCTTTTTTCTTGAGTTTTCATTACCAAAACCATATTTTATAAGCAATCAATTTATGACATTTGTTAATTGTTATTAATGTTTGGAAAATTGTTAATTCAAACTCCTAATATTTTATTACAGATTATAAAATCATTAAACATAAAGGTTGACTTTAGAGAAACCTTGTCTTTCTTAATATTCTTTTATTTATAATATTTTATATAAAATTACAAGTGTTTAACTTTTAATGTTGTTATTGTCACTTAGACTAAAATTCTGAATCAAATTAATAACTATAATTTCTTATTCCAACTTGAGTATGAGCGATTGAATTTTTTATAATTTAATTTAACAAACACTAGAAAGAATACTTAATGTTACTCAAATTGAAGAACAAAAAATTAGACAATGCAACGAAAAATCAATATAATTAAGCAGAGAATAATTAGGTTATATTGAAAAATAATTATAGTTGAATGAAAAATTAATAATTTTAATTTTGGTTTCTAGACTAAAATTGTTACATTAGTTTTCAAATTGTGACATTTACTAATATGCTGCATCTGCGTTTCTGAAATGTTGTTTATTATTAGGAGGATTATTTTGAAGTCAGTTATAGTAAATTAACTAGCAGGAATAATTCCTTGAGAAAATCTGAATTATTTCATTATTCAAAGAGGGTTTAATTTAAATTCTGAAAATTCTATAAGTTATTTGATAATAAATCAAAAAGATTATAGGATTTTTTAATATTGATAATTATTTTATGCTTTATAGAAATTTAATTTTGGTTGTTATTTATAAATATTTTTATGTGTTAATTAAACTTTTTATGAAAAGCCTTTAGGTTTAAATTGATGATAGACATCAAATTACTAATTCAAAAAATTAATTAATCGAGTTATTGAATTAATTATAATTTCTATCGAACCTTTGATTTACATATATAATTTAAATTATTATGATATATCAATAGGATTAAACATGTAATGGTGTATTGGAGGATTTAAAATATTTTGCATAGACAAAGTATCCACCAACGGCTAGGATGGCAACTCCAAAGACAATGATCAAGGTTATCCACCACCAATTGCTACTTCCTTTGCTAAAGGGATATAAATGTATAAATTACGAATCATCATCTGGTTTAGGAGGGTTGGGATTAGGTGGATCTTTTTTGGTTAAACGAATGACTCCTTTAGCTTAACCATAGTCATTTTTAGCAAAGATAGACACAACTTGTTCTTTGATTTGATCTCCCTTTTGGATGTGTAATCTTGGAAAATCAGTGACTCCATATTTGACGAGCATATTTTCCTTTTATGCAATGTTATATACAAGGTTGGTATGGAGGACAGGCTATAAATTTATAAATTTAATGTACTCTTGCTAATGCTGCATCTTTTGATAGAGTCATGACAAATTGAGTAGAGATTTGAGTAGTTTACTCATCTTCTTCACCTCCAATGAGAGTGATAACTTTAGGTTCCCCTTCCTAGAGAGCATAATGGTCGACGGTTGGCAATACATAAACAGCAACTAAAATACTCTTATCATTAGTATAGGCAATGGCAACATGATCTTCAAAGAGTGTAAGTTTGTTGAGTTATTTCCATGTTCCATAATTGGCAAGCAAGAATGGAATGGTACCATCAGATTCAACGGGTGCTCCTTTAACAGGATCTGAAATATCGAAGGTAAATGTGACACCATAAGTGGCCATGTTAGTGGTAGACACCAATGCAGTAGTCAATAGTTTCTTATCCTTTTTGGTTGATTTGATTGCTCGAATTTAATAGAATCGAGTGACTTCTTGAATTGCTAAATTTTTGCCTATTAAATTGTAAATTTCAAATTTATCATGTTATCCAAATTTAATTGTTCCATTATCCCAATAAAGGTCAACAAACCACAATCTCTTAAGAGCACTGGATAAGAGTAGTTTATAGTAATTAACATTACCAACTTCGTATTTAATAACATCAAAATCTGAAGCTTAAAATGGAATAGTTGGTTCAGTGCTCAAGAACTATGAATTAATGACTTTTCCTGCATCTAGATCCCAAGTTTTGGCTTCTACGTTAAGACTGACCTTATGGACTCTAACAGTTCCATCGTATAAGGTAGGTCTGTCATTGTAATTATCCAAAATGAAGAGAATTCCATCTTTATAAAGTAATTTGGATGGATGTTTAGCTCCTTAAGCAACTTATTACAAAGCTGGTGTAGCTGCAGTGCATGTTTTACCATTACAAATTGATAGATAAATATTAACAACTCCTCTTTCTTCGCATCCACTGAAAACAGCTTTTCCATCATCTGTTGCTGTGATGGATATACAATCAGTACCAACTCCAATTGGTAATTTGTGCCTTTCCCAAGCACCTGAAGCATCTTATATTATGATGGAATCTGCAGTTTAGAAGATCATTTAATTGCCAGCAGCAATTCCATCAACAAAATGGAATTGATAATCTCCTCCATCATTAATGTGATAAACTGGATTAACCATTTCGATTAAATGTGATTCGCATTAATCACAGAGGGCTTCGTATTTAATAACCTATCCAGCTTACCATCCAGTTGTGTTGATTTGCAAATATTGATCTGCTGCTTGATTGGTGAATACGAATTCTGCATTTTGTTTTGCCAACTCCTCCTAATTAACTTGAATGTAGGTTTAAGTGTTAATGTACTTAACAGGATATTTAATTGACATGGGTTTAGTCACTGCTTGATTGGTGATATTGACTGTGGCCACCAAATTGGTGATATATTGATTGGATAGATGTGATGGTTATAAATTAACAAGGGCATCTCTTAAGAATCCAACCATCTTTTAGACATTCTGTTGATTGTTGACATACATGTACATTTGGTCATGACCAGCTGCAGCCATATTCATGACTTGTCCATCATTAATTTTCAAATGTGTTTTAACTACTTTGTGTAATGATAATTGATAGAGGACATTTGATTCATAGACCAAAATCACAGTTTCCTATGAGGCTGGGTCCAAAGCACGGACAAACAAGAATCCAGTTTAATAACAGAAGTCAGTTGTCAATGGACTTTGGATGACGTAATCGTATAGTGGTAATTCTTTCATCAAGTAGATGTTGTTCAACTTCTCGTAATTGTATTCTTGGATCTTGAATCCTTGGGTTTCACTCTTTTGAACAATGAAGATTGTTCTCATTCCCAAATAGGCTCTAATTTCAGCATCAGGGATGATGTCGAACACATAAATTAGAGTAAAGGTATTTCTCATGTCTCCGAAGAAAATGCAATCTTTAGATTGAATCAACACAAACTCGCTTTTCAAAGCAGGATTACCAAACACTTTCTTTGGTTCAAATATTCTATCACTTCCCTAATCTTTAATTGTTTTACTGGAAATGACATGTTTTGTTGGTGTGGGGAAGAAGCCAAACCAAGCGTCAACTTCCTTTTTATTTTGCATCACAATATAGATGGCTTTTCTCAAAACAGTAAATGAAGAAATCTTATTTTCAGGTATTTGGTCTAAGGGAGGTTATGGTAATGAAAATAAAGGAGCTGACGAATCATGAGTACTTTCGAAGATTGTGATCTAATAATCATTTTCGAGGAATTAAAGTGTTAATACATCACCTTCTTCTGCATCCCAATCGAATTGAGAAGTACTTGGATTCAATAAATTTGGAATCTTAAATTTGGCATGTTCTTCACAATGAACATCTCTAGATAACTTAGTTTGAGTTGTGCACTCAAAGATTTCAACCTATTTACTTGATTGCAACTAATAGAGGAACCAAAACTTATGTTCATTAACCCAATGTGGATCTATCAGTATGTCTGCATATGCCACATCAGTTACAGTTGGAAAAGTCAATCCAGTCACATTCAATTCCCAAACTGTGTGAATGTCTACAACAACGTGATCCTTTTGTGAATCATCTCCATTTGTGTATATCAAGTTCGGTCCTGCTGCAAATTCTTAAACTTCGATTGCATCGGAAGGATATTACATTATATTTGGGATGGGAATATGATCAACAGGATAAATGTTGGTATCACCCTCCTTGATTATTTGATACTTGAGTGAGGCTTTACAACTTTTCTCGTCTTATCCAACGGCTGAAAATTTTACAACATTATCTCCAAGAGTGGCATCGAATGAATGGGCTACCAATCTTGCATGACCAACTTCATATCTGTAAGCGAATGAGTTTGTGACAGCAATCAAATCTGGTTCATAGGGATTGGGCCAAGTATATTTTAGTGAGCAAAGTCTCTGTATGAATGAGGAATTGATGATCTGAGTTGTAAATGTAGAATGTGTTTCCTCCTGGATTGACAATCAAAAATTGTTGACTTGCAAAAATGAATGAAGGATGCTTAGCTTCGAAGGCGTTCAACCATCCTCCCTTCTATACTCCATCAATGTATTCAACTACTGATTTCTAATGAACCACTGCAATGTGAATGTGATTAGTGCCTTCGTAGTCTATCTTATTATTGACATCAAAGGCAAATGCTGGATTTGTTGCTCCATCTCCGATATCAATCTTACCCTTATATTTGAATTCAGACTTTGAATTTATGTAATAAATGTAGATGCCAGCGTAGGCATCCAATATATAGATATCACCGTTTGGCATTACTTTGAAATCAATCAAAGTAAACTTAAATTTCTCTTGATCCTCTGCTTTTATGGCTAAATCTTGTATCAATAATCCTCTATCCAAATGTTAAGCAGTTTCAACAATTTCGTTTTTATCATTATTTTTCAACAAATCAATTATGCAATCTCCATCAAGGTTAGTTGGACTGCTACCTGGTGTTCCGTAGGCATATTGACCTCTTAGTAAAATTCGAAGAGGTTCCTCATCATTCAAGCCATCGCCGATATTTTGAGCGTTGTAGACATGATATTATACCTTTCTATCATTAACAGTCAAATATTTTCTAGAATATGTGGATTCTGAAATAATCTTAGGGGGATCTCCCTTCTTGATGATATAGACATAATTCTTTCCTGGTACACGACCCTCTTCTGTTTGAGGTTATGGTTCGATACAATCAACTAAAAATGTATCTCTGTCTATGTATTCCAGATCCAAACATTTTATCAAACGATTGTCATTTATGAATTGAATTTCTTTATCAAATTTGGGAGCTACATTCATCTGTGTTTACTTTCTAGTAGGATATATAATTATTCATTACCCTTCGGAATAGTAAATCCACCATGAATAGTCTTCAGGATCTTGGCCCATGAATGCGAAATCATTGGTCCAAGCACCAGTTTCTGGAATGTCAAAAGCTCTTATGGCTATAATATCAATTTATGCTAAATGATGAATATTCTTATTACCAGCAAAATGATTCTTCTCATCTAGCTTATGTAGGGGTTATTCAAGTTGGAAAAGAGTTGTTGTAACATCCAATTAATACTTCAAATTATCACCTTGGATAAATCTTCTGATATCCCATTTGAATGTTTCTTTTACGGTAGGGTAGACATGATCTTATAATTCAACCGTGGCTAGAGAATAAAAAATAAACACATACTGCAAGTCGACAGAACCATAATAGGCAATAATGCCAATATGTACATATGAGCTTATATCATAAATAATTAATTAATGGAGGATTTGTTTAATTTTTCCACATATAATATGACATCATTATGAAGAAATATATATTCTGAAACTCATTGTGCCATATTAATATTTTTATTTTAAGCGATGACATCAAAAATCTTAATTTTGATCGTAATTGCCGTGGCTGCCAGCGAGTAGCTCAAACTCCAGCCATGCGATACCAAGCTTAGTACACTCAAGGTGTTCCCTTCTACAGGCGAAACATTAGAATGGGATTTGAAAGATACCTTTTTCGAGGGAGCCTATTTGACATACAGTCTGAGTCCTTCTTAGTCATTGTTTCAAATTCAGAAACCATTTGCTTAATTGAGCAGTCCAAAGCCCCACTCTGAAACAATCAACAGAGTCACAGCCTCTCGTGCTTTGACAGAGAAAGGACAAAGAGTGTGGATGAATCACTTTGTCTTCATTGAGGTGGAATTGGATTCAATAGATTTATTCTACTCAGAAGGGGCTCAAGGTGATAATACTAATCCTCCTTAATTCAAATAGAAGATCAGCGTCTCAACAGGAAGCTCATACCTTTCATGTTTGGGAGTGGACTATTTGAGTAAAGACAAATTCATTTTGGATTGTATTGACAGTCAGAAATTGCCATTCACAAATAAGTTTTTCGTCATTGACAAGAATGGAAACTCAAAAATCCATCAGAACGGAAATTACAATAATTACAGAGTGAACACCAAGAGAATTTCATAGACAATAGTGTTCACAAATAAATTAGGCCATGATCACACATTCCTCTTTAGATCAACACCTGCATATGCCACTCAAAGCACAGGATTAGATGTATCATCTCTTCTTGAAGTGTTCTACATAGACAGCGAAGGCACGCCAAGATTATAAAGTGTTTTGGATGCCCCAACTTTGGGAGTAATCACAGAAGTATCAAACCCAGAGAAGATGAGCTTTTCTTTGATCGACTTCAAAGTCTTCCCAAATGGATTGGTTTACATCTTGACAGCCAGAGATGGAGTCTACATTTTAGAATTCTTAGGAAATGGGGAATTCGGTTTCATCGACAGAATTGTCACATCAAAGGACTAAGCATATGAATTCGATGTTGATTACTTATTACAAGAAGATGGAACAGTCAAGGAAGTCATCGCCATCATGTACAATGATTACATTCAAATTGTTGAAGGTAAGGTACCAGTAAATACATACATTTTGGAATTCACAGCAGCCTATCCAGCTACCTTAGTTATTTCATAATAATTTTTGATAATCTAACAGAAGGGTGTCACATACTTGTTCAGTACTGAACATGAAGATTTCATCCACAAGGAAGTCATTGAAGGAGCCAAGGGATACATCATTAATCCATATGAAACTGAATTGATTTCCATCACTTAAGTAGATTCAAGAAGATATTCACTTACACATGGTCTATTAAGATTCCCAAGCACATCAACAACAACATCATCTTTATAATCATTTACTTTGGTAGCCACAGATTCATTTTCAACCTAATGCAAGGTGACAATAAACTTCAAAGTGTTCAATGCCTTAGATTATACAGTCTAACCAACAGAGGAATTGTAACTTCCAAGTCTTTTGTATGATATTCCTGCACCATTCAATGTTGATCCACTTGCCTCTGGACCAAATCTGAATTATCTTTAGTTGTTATCACAAAAGGATGCCACAACAGTGACTGCCAAGATTGTTCAATTACAAGAGATGCTTCTTGAATCTATTAGTTTACCAAATCCATCTTCAGTGATTTATTCTGATGTATTGGTATTGGATGCAAAGGATGAACGTTATGCTCTCCTCTTATAATCAACAAACAAGACTACAACAATCTATCAATGTTACATCAGAGACAAATTCAAAGCCAGATCAGAATGCAAGCAATATTAAAATTTCGACGTATCAACCTAATTAAATATGAACAACTTCATTTGGTGGTATTAAGGTTTCAACATTTACCACCTTGTTTTGGACAACGATTATTCGGCTACCATTAGAGTTAGTGGTATTAATGGAACCAGTGTTGTCGATAGCATTTCATATCCAGCTGAGACTCTTAATAAAATCACAGCTGTCACTGTCTTGAAAGATAAATTCTACTTTATTTTGGGAAACAAAAAACAAATCGATATACGATCTACTTACAGTCCATTTGAATTGGAATATTCAGTAACTGAAGTCATGCTCAGATACAGAGGATTCACAGGTTCATGGAATCCTTAAAGAATCTTCGGAAACAGAGTCCACAATTCTTACCTCCTCTTCATAACCAACGACGATAATGTTATTGTTGCTGATTATCATGCTGAATTCACAATTGTCAAAGTAATCACTCTAAGCAAAGGATCAATAGATGTGGCAGTTGGATTAGAGAGCTTTTTCATTATATTAAAATCAGCCACTCAAAATCTGATTCAAGAATACGATCTTTAGAATTTGAATTCCATCCATCTCATGAAAACTGTGCCATTGTACTGGTACACAATCTAAACTCCACTTTAGACTGATTTCTGTTCAGACACTGGTGTGCTCTTTGTTAGAGCTTATGATAGTAAGAGTGCTCAAACTGTTGTCTTAGTCTATGGCCCAGGTAAGTTGTTAAGAGACTCCTTACTCAAAGCCATTCCATTGGGCAGTAAAATAGCTGATGGTACATCCATTATGATGTCAACAGCTGGATCAAGTCAAATGGTATTCTATGTTAACAGTGGTACCTTATAAAAAGTATATTCCTATTTCGACTAACCTGTTCTAACAATCCAACCAAATTATGACTAATCTACATACTTTTCTGTCTACACTATCAAATTCCAAATCAACAATTACAATGACATCACACCCATCACCTATTATTAAGTTATCAACCTTATCAATACTCAAATCACCATAAGAATTGAACAGAATGTTCTTGATTACAGACCCTTGAATGCTACTCAAACTGAATAAAACATTGACCTTGTTTCCGATTGGTTCGATGGACAAGCTGTCTCCTTAGACATTGATTGCGACCAATGTGATTCTTATGTCAAACCAATTCAAACTGTCTAATAAATGGATTCAGGTTCCTTCAATGGATATCACATCATCGACGCTGCCCCATACAAAGGATAAAGAACTATTTATCTAGCCAACTAACAAACCCTCAGAGTCTTGATTGCTGATAGTGAAAACAAAGAAGAAACCAGTTACTCCATCTCCCTTTCAACCACTTAATCCCATTCATGCGATCACATTGTTGCCACTGAAGATGGTGTCTACATCTTTGCCACTTGTCAACTCAATAACTAAAAGGTATTCCACATTGCTAAATGCTCAACTACTGGATAACTTGAATGCCATCAATTCGGAACCATCCAAACCATCGATGGAATCTTCACTGTTGCCTAACTCGCTATCAGTGGAAATTACGTCTTCGTTTTGAATTCTAATCCTCAAAGACCCAGAAACTATGAAGGAACACTCAATGTTTACAAATGGACTGCTAGTTCCCAATAAGTCACATTCGATTTACAACAAATATTTGACAAAGCCTTCTTTGGAAATCAATCCAGTTATTTCAGCAGTTTCTACATTGCTCCCTTCAAAGTTGGAATTACAAATTACCTCAAAGTCCTTATTGTTGATGCCAAGTAAAACTTATATTCAGTTGATGCCTCTATAAGCACTTTCGGAGTTATCACATGGTAAACCAAGTACACTTCATTGAATCTTTACACATTCATCAACCAAGGTCAATTTGTTTCATCATCCAGCTCATTCTACTAAGTCTTGGAATTGTCAGCTCCCGTATACTCATCAACAGAACAATCTCTCAAACTCAGAGTCCTCGTCACAACTGACACCTCAGCTCATTATGGTATTCTATTGACCTTCGATGCCAAATCAGTTTCTACTGGTCTCCCCTTGACTTACCAAAATGTGATCTATCTCCTAAATCAATATTCCACTTGGACCGCATTGAATAAGGCCACAGTCGGTAATGATTATGCTATCATTGCATATACTGATAACAGTTAATTATTGTTAGCATCCTATTTGTTACCAAAAGAACCAATCCTAGGAGTACCTTTGATTAAATTAGTCGGAGGAACCCAATCCAAATATGGATATCCTCAAGTTAACGATTTCTTAGCCTATATTCCCAAGAACATTGGTTTCGTAAATTTATTTTATTTATCATTTCTAGCCAAGACTCTATGCTAACATCATCAGAAATGTTGACATCAATGAGAACTTGTTACAAACATATTATTTGAATCCAACTTATCAACTTTATGTCTATAACGTTGGTGGTGATTTAAATCAATAATTTGTTTCACTTACCCTCGTTAATGCTTTCACTTAAGACACAGGCTTAGTATTGCTTAGACAATTTAAAGCTGAAGAAATTGAGGAAGAGAAGTCATTTTTGGACAATGTTCTAGATGTGTTTTGGTGAAAAACCCATTGAGTTATTAATAAATCAAATAAATAATTTGCAAATTAATTATATATCAGGTTTGGTGATTATTTAACAATCATTTTAGGTAATAATTTATCAAACTTGATAATTTCAATATCCATCTATATAATATTATATACTTATACTCTGAAATTAGACTATTTAAAATAATGAATCTTAATTCAAAATTTCAAGCTTATTTTTGTATAATCTTTTTAGTTTTAAAATAGCATATGAACTGTTATTATTCTTAATTTTTTTATGAATCATCAGTAATCCTAAAGAACCTTCATTTTAAGATAGAATTCGATTACTTTTCAATCAGGCTCAACTAGCTGGAGTGCACACACTTATAAAGATGATGAAACCCTCCCTCAATATTTAAAATATATTTTTATATCATTTTCGGTATTTGCATAAAACATAAAAGAAACTTGTATAAATTCTGATTGAAAGCCTTTTAGTAATAAAAATAAATTAATTCTATATGTTAATATGAAGAAAAATTTACATTCTTCAAATATTTAAGAATTATTAATGTTATTATTAATTTCAATAATCCTGAGACACATATAATCATGCAGTAATTATTTTAGAAATCCATTAGACATATTGAAAAGTGAATTGGAAATCAGTATTTCTACATATGAAAATATGTATTGGGAAATAAAGGATGAATTAATTGAAGGAGAGATGACAAAATTTAGATTGGAAGGAGATAGGAGTGGGACATACTTCAAATTGTAATAGCCGAACGATATTTATGATTAGAAAAATTTTCCTTATTGTATGAAATTCAAGCATAGTTGTAGAGATTCAAGAAACAATCAAGGCTAGATCATATAGAAAAGGAGACTTCTGGTTGAATGAGTATAGTTTATTGGGAAGAGACTCCTCAGGACTTCATATATACATAATAAATGATGAAGGATTTGGATAATTGCCACTCTATCATGTTTGTACAGATTTCGATTATTTGGATTAAAATAATTTTGTGGTTGTTTGTCAAGATAATGATGAAATATTGCTATAAATTATTAATAAGAGTGGAACCATTTTACATGCACATTCAAAATTGACGGAGCAAAGGAGCACTTATAATTTGGCAATTTATAGAGACAAATCAATCACATATCTATTAATCTATACTCCAGCACACACAGAAGAAACCATGAGCATACAATCAATCATTAACGTCTTCCTCATTGATTCCTACTAAATTATAGAAACCCCTTACTATTTGGATAAAAAAAAACTCTCGGAACTATTTTAAAATGAACTCAAATATTTCTCTGTAATTGACGTTCAAGTTTATTCGAATAATGTGTTTGTTTTAGATTATAAAATGGGGCCAATCAAGTTAATCCAGGATAATAAAGGCAATTTCACATAGGCAAAATTAATAACTACCTCATTATATATAACAGAATACTATAGTTTTTCAATCAGAAAGTAAGAGGAACTTATAGTGTTCGGATTTGTATCTAAAAATTAGATGAGTTTGAGAGTCCTAAAAAATGGGAGATATGATAATGTGGTAAGAACATTTGAGAAGGTCGACTTTACTTTGGGCATTTGCAATGTGCAAACAACTCCAAAATATTACCTGATTAATTCAGATACAGAACTTATTATTTTAAATGATGATGAACTAGTTGATAAATTCCAGATTTAAAAAGAAATCTTCATTGCAAATCCAAATTTCGACCTCTATATTTTATTTCATAGAAATAAAGCAGAATTCTATGAAATTAGTTCTGGTATTTTGATGTTTCAAAAACAAATTTAAAAATAGGAAAATTAATAGTATTTCAAATTAGTAGACAACTAATGTACTAGTTGTTATGTAAATATTGTTCTAACTATTTATGACAAATTAGATGCAAAGATACATACAAACTTTTAAAGTACTTTTTATAAATAAAGCATATTTTACTATCCTCCCTATCCCAAATCCTACTACACTTGGCCCAGAATTACTAATGGCCCAAATGTTCAATAACAAATAACAGTATCTAATGATTAAAAGAAGAAGAAGATAGATATGAAATTTCTCTCATTATCTCCTATGACTATTACAGGAATCAGCTAATTTGATTAGAAAAATGTAATATTTAGTCTCATCAATAACAATTTGGGTCTTAATTAATACTTGGTGTAAATTGAAAACTTGAGTGCTTTCATTTATGTGTGTTAAATGAATGAATTAGAACAGAAGTGTTCATAAAAGATCACCTTCTACCCACTAATAAAATTGGTTGAAGACAATATAGCGTGGACAGAAGTAGGAATGTATGATTCATACATAGGCATAAAGACCTAGAATAATCATGTAATCACAATATATAGAGTCGGTGATACCAAGATCATTCAAATTTTTCAAATCAAAACTTCTTTGCAAAATGAGAAAACTTAAATCACTGATTTTGAAATCAGTTCTCAATTTGTATTCGTACTTATTAGTGGCATGAATGAGATCCAAGTATACTCATTATCTAAGAAAACTTAAATTGATACAATATCAAATCTAAATAATGCCTAAAAGGTCTACATTAGTAATACCTTTAACAAGAATCTTATATTTATCAAATGCAATAACATAATCATAATAGGACATTATATCAATGAATTTAATGTCATCTCTCAGATCCAAGTGACCGACCAACAAAATGTCCAATTACTCTTATCAATATTCAGATCTACTCTCGTGGTTGTCTTTAAAACAGTTACAGAACAGGGTATTTTACAATATCTTATTCACAATTTGAACTCAGTAACTCTCTTAAGGAAACTCCCCTTATACTACTACTAATTGCCAAAATAGCTTTAATTGGCTTCCAACCCTTAAAAGAACTTAATTTTGGTTACTGCATATTCTGTGCAAACTTAAACTACTGTAATTTTGGTTTACTAAATTAATGAATATCAAAGGAACTCCCTATTGACAGTCATTGATACTTTCGACTACTTTGAAGATGAATTGAATTATTGTGTTGCAGGGATTTACGATACAGTCATTTAGTTTATATATAAGAGATAAGTGTATAGTTATCTTTATTTTGAGTAACCCAGACTCTATATCAATTATTTGACTGATCCTACACACTTTTAATCCGTTTTGATTTTGTCTTAATAAGAGTGGAATGACTATTATAGTTTAAAGAGGGTGTACTCTAAGGAGATTACGGTTGTAGACATGTAATTGGAGATGCAATGGATAAAGGAGAACATAGATTTTGAGTTTGAGGAATGCTAAGAAGTTTCGATGATCAAAATAAAGGACAATTGGATCTAGGGTCAAAGAATTTAATATAAATTATCTTGTATTTTGTGTACGACTGATAATGACAGTGGTTAAATCTACTTGATGAATCAATTCTAAAAATCCAATAAAAAGATCCAATCAAAATCAATATAGCAATTCATCAATTTCAATGAAAATTTTCTTCTAATTTTATCTGAATTAACAGGAACGAAACAATATTTGCAATTTATCAATAATTTTGGTGAAATAGAAAATCAAATTGAATTGTAAAGTGAATAAAATAATTATGTTGCAACAAAATTGTTTTTATTAACAGATTATATCCTAGTTGTTCTGTATGAAAATGTAGCAGCTTAAAAACCAATATTGAAGTATTATTATTGTTGGAAGGATTAAGAAAAGTAAAATTGCAAATTTATGGGGAAAATGGAGTTTTATGACAGAAGAATCATCAAAGAAATGTCCTTCCTAAATAATGTACAAATAATCTTAACAGAGAGTTTGACAGAATTTCCAACTCTATATTTTTACTCTTTGGAAATTAATAACAAAGATTTTTCTATAAAACCATATGACTTGATAATCAATAAAGATTATTTTCATTAAAGTTTTAATGTGACTTCTTTTGATGTAATGAAAATCTCTGATAATGAAGGGTGCTTGATTTTGGCTGAGTTCCATTTTGGTATAATTTTATTAAAAATGATATTGACGAAGGATCAGGCAAGTATTTCAAAATATGAATATTTGGAATTACCATTTCGCCAAGAAAAATTAGTAGAGCCTTTAGAAAATAGATTCATAAAGATATAGATCTTTAAAGAGGGGATTAACTCTTGCAAATTGATTTTAGTTGATCAGATTAATGAAAGCTATTAAATCTTCCTTGAATATCAGAGAGGGAATTTTAGGATACAGATAATCTAAGTGTTTTTGAAATTGGGTAATATATTAAAAATGAGATCCATTAGTGTTGTTGATGATTATCTATTGTAATTGTTTAAATATGAGAACAAAAATTACTTTTGTCTCTATGAAATTGATTAGAATAGTGATATAAGAAATAATGCAGGCATATGCAAAGCAGGATTAAAATAATCTGATTATGATTTGCTGGTAACCTCCAATTTTGTATTAAGGAAAAGTCAATTTGGAAAGTATTAATTATTGATAAATGCATATGATGAAAGAAGTCTGTAAATTTACACAATTGATTCAGATGCAAGAATTGTTGTAAAGAATGCATCAGAATTAAAGAATAACACAGTGAGTTTGATAGCAGTGAATCCCTATAAATAAGTGTAATTGGGAATAAATCTAACATTGATACCATGTCCGCCTCCTGATTAAGAAATGAAATTATTCTTTATACTTTTGATAGTTGTTTTGGGAGTACTTCTAGCAGGTATAATCATATGTGTGTCAATCCATATATGTATAAACAAGCATCGTAAGAGAAGAAGATCATATAAAGCCATTTAATGATTTTTTATTAAAAATATATTATTATAAATTTTATGACTTATATCATTTAGGTTATTCAATTTTTTACTTTTTCCAACTTAATTGAGATTTCCAAAAATCATTGTGAATTAATATTTATAAAACTATTATTTGTATCGTTCGTTTAATTGCTTATTATTATTTTGCCTTTCAAAGAATCATTTGTGATGTATTCATACGTGTCATCGATTATAATCAATCTGTTTTTATATAAATAAATATCGAATATGAATAAATAGTTTACATGACTGATTTCTACCACTCTATTCCTTCTGAATGAAGATATGTTTTCCTATTAATAGGCAACACTTTTATAAATTTTAATTTTTCTTAAGATTTTAATATCTATTTCATAACATTTGATAATAATTAATTAAAATTCAATATTTATAGTCCCTCTCAAAAACATTATTTTATATTATTTTATTTTGTTTTACCTTTTGGGTTTAAACGAATGTTTAGTATAAAAGAAAATAATTTAAATAAAGCAATAATTACCATTATATTTGTTCAATTCCCTATTTGAAATAGATTTGATCAACATTTATAATGCTGTCTTATGGTATTTATAGTGTCTTATCTATTCTCTAAATAATTTATCTCAAAATTACTGTTTTATTTATTATTATAAAAATGGTTTGCTGAAGAGTTGATAAATTCCTGCATTTTAAGTAATTTATATCTTAAGGGTTGTACCTAAGGTCAGTAACCATAAAATTTGATTATATGATTAAGAAAAAGAAACATAATAACAACATTGAAATATTCGAATATTAAAAAGTTGAATAAACAAAAATTATGTAATGTATTTTAGTCAGAATCATTCTTCGAACAAGTTTTAGAATAATTGTATAATAAAATGCACAAAATTACATCTAAAAAGTATTTCAATAGGAGATTTTTAAACCAACCAAATTATTGATTATGCATTAATTAATGAGTAGTGTAAGAATAATCAGGTTTAAACAAACATCTTAGGTCGATGATGTAACAATTTAATTGAAATGTATATATTTCAAGATTATTAATTTTATCATAAATTATGAATGAGGTAATCGATATTATTTAATGACTCAAAACTTGTCAGAAATTTAATATAATTTATTCCAAAACTCATATTTTTAAAATAATTAAATGATGTTCATTATTCTATTGACGCTAACCTAAATGTCTTACGGATGTTCCGTATTGGCTAACAATACATTCTATATTACAGCTACGCCTGGAGAAAGAATTGATATCAAGCTTGGTGACATTTTTCGAGATAAAAATAAGAAATAATTCACTCTCTCTCCGTTATCAGAATTTTTCTCTATCTCTGCTCCATTGAGTTTAATACAATAAAGTCAATATAATTTTTAAGAACCAAGAGAGGTGATAGCTTAAAAATTATATAAAAGTTCAGGATATCTAGATATAACAAATTAAATAACTATTTTGAGCAAAGCACAAAATAAGTATTTTATAGAATATAATTCTGTAATGTTTGAAAACACACCAGAAATTGATGTCGTTTAATAAGTAAATCTTAAAGACGCTTCAATTTGTTACGATGCACTCTAAGTAAATTAATTGTATGTTATTGAATGTAACAATGTGGAAGGTGATTATTTTGCTCTACTTAATAAAGACTAAGTGAAATTCATGACAATTATAAATTCTTAAAGATAACAAAGGAAACTCGATTAATTAGATAACTTAGTTTTAAGAAATTTATATTATTCATTAGAGTTATATCAATTACAGGATAATGAATTAGTCTTATTGAGTACTCTAGATAAAGAGCAAGTTAAAAAAATAACTAAGGATGAGAATATTGATCTTCTAATTTTAGATTTTAAATTTCATACCAACTAATAAATTACTATTTTGAATTAGAATGGACAATTTATATGTCTCAAATACATGATCTAATAAAAACAATGGGAATTGTATGAATTTTTGTAAACTCCAACATTTCTTCCTTATGCTTATGATTATTCTTGGAAGTATTAGTAATTAGTCATAATTTCAGAAAAAGATATATACCTTCGTTAGATTTCAGCTTGGACTTAATAAGAAGACTTGAACTTTAAACAAACTAGCAGAGTGAGTTTGTCCTAAAACAATATTATTATATAGAATTAAAAATCTTTATAAATTTTGAATTTGAATTTAAAAGAGCGATAAAGCGTTGATATCAAAAATTAAGGCTTTTTGAATTCATATCCAGCTGCTGATTAATTTTTATTGTTTGATCTCTAAAACTTTTATGCGTATACAATAAATCATGAAGGCGATTAGATATTGAGATTTTAATCGAATTAATTAATTAATGAAGATTAATTGCTAAACATCTATTAGCATACTTCATATAATTTATGTTTAGTCTGGTGCTATTATAAGGTTGTTGAGAAGGCTTCCAAGGACATTTATTAATAACTAACAGTTACAAATAGTTTTTTTAAAGGTGGTTTCGTGTTAGACCAACAATCATAATTGTAATTTACTTAACCATTCGCTGGACAAAATATTAAGATAGAGTTCACTCCTAATGAATTTGGAACGGTTTCATTTAGTAGAAGCAAAAAGGTTGAAATTCTGAATGCAGGTGATCCAAAGGATGTGATTTATCGTAAAATTATCCCTGAAGCTGGATAAACAAGTTTTATCGAATAAGATAAAGATTTAAAAATAACAGGATATCTGTGCAGTTTAGCAGACAAATAATTTTAGTGTAGGACATTTATAAAGACACACGAATTTGTCAAATTATAGGATTCCCCTCTTTAAACATGGTTTGCAAAGTTTTATACCTACTTAGCAATAGGAAAGGAGAAAAATGTTGAACTCTATTGTAATTGTAATGATCTATTCCAAATATCTCTTCTTACAACCTTAACTTTGAATAGTAACATTAAGGAAATCAAGCAAAGTCTTTCGTATTTATTAATAATGGTGGATTAGGAAGTGCTTGTATATTAGATAATTATTGGTAAATAAAGGTTAGTATTTCGTCATTCAGCTGAAAAAATCTTTACATCTGCAAACTCAGATAGAATTTGGATTTATGAGAAGAAAACCTTAAATCTCTTTGATATTTCGGATAATTCAAAGTTGCTTTGGTTTACTTCTTTAAAAGATTATGAAGATGTCGAAATTGGAGTTTCTGAGAATCACTTTTTGTTACTTACAAAAAGAGATACTCAATATCAAGCATTTGTGTATGACTATCAATCTCTCAAACATGCATACATTACAAAAGAATTAGACCTTTCAGGTTACACTCAATTGAAGCTTTGTCTAGGCTGTAATTCTAACTCCAATTTTATTTATTTGGAGGCATAAAAAAATGAAGATCGCGTATTGCTTGTTTACAGATTAGATCAAATTGCAATAAATTCATAGTTCATAGAATATTCTATATTAGCAAGCAGCTAAATTTCCTCTAATGAATAAACATTATTTATTACTAATGCTAACTTTTAAATGCTATCATAATACATTATTTAGAAAGATTCATCTTCTATTAGCATTGAAGTAGATAAAAAGTATAAATAAATTAAGAATTGTGAAATAATAAAATTAAACGCAAAAGTCTTTAATTCTGAAAAAACCTAAGAAATTAAAGAGCTTCCAATTTCAGTAATAAATAGAGGAATAGATTTATTTGTTGTAGAAAATGAATTTAATTTTAAATATGAGAAAGCTGGGGAAAATGGTCATTGTTTCGATTTAGGATAATCATGGTATAGTGGGTAAGCTCTTGATATAGATTTAAAATAACCAAGTGGAGATGTTCAATTATAAAAGACTTTGGTAAAATAAGAAAATTCTATTGAATATAGTGAATCTATTATGCAATTTGATGATCAGAATTTGATTTAATTGTTTAAGAATAAGATTGTTTTAGTTTCTAAAGCAGATTTTAAAACTACAGAATTCGAATTAGATAATAAATACTCATTCATTAACGTACTTTATATCCAAAAAGATCTTATTTATGTCTAAGCTACCTAAAATCAATAGTATCATCTTAAAATAATATAATACAAAGACTCTAAATTCTCATTACTAACGGGATCAATTACTTTTAATGCATAAATAAAAAAAGTTAGCTAGCTTAATAAATATTTCTTTATTTGGGTGGATTTGAAAGTATAAATTTATAACACAAATGATGAACTATCAAATTTACAAAAATATGCTTTTGTTCAAAATATTAGCATTCCCCCTTATGATGGTTCTATGGAAATTTTATATGTCTAAAGCAATGATGTTTATTAGATCTTGTTTTTGAATGAGAGCTGCTTATTATTGCTATAGAGCTTTTAAATAACTTAAACCTAAAACGGTCCTTACCAATCTCTAATAGATATTCGGAATGTTTTAAGTGAGAAATTACTCTATGATCCTTAAAACTAAATTTGCAGAAATTCATTCTTTGCAAACAATGAACTTGTGGTTGTTATTTCTGGAACTCCATCCTATAAATTTGGCTTGGTTACTAAATGTTAGGAATAGAATATTTGTGATATTATAGAGTTAAACTTAATATCTGAATATCAGTAATATGGCGATTCAGTTATAGATACAAAATATCCTAGTAGCTATTTAAATGAAAACATCTTGTCTATAATTTATCAATTAGATGATGGTTATGATGTTTTGCTCTATGATCTTAAAAGTTAGAATAATAAAATTGGACCAAAATTGGCAATTGCTCACTTTTTATCTAAATCTAAATAAAGGCCAACGATTTCATTCGTTTATAGTTCTAATGAGTAATTACATTTGTTGACTTCAGTAGATAATGAAGTTAAATTACAACACTATATATTAAGAAGATCTCCTTAGATCTGTACAGAAAAAGATTCAGTTACACAAAACGTAATATTTTTGTTAAAAAATTATTATCAAGAATCAACAATTAATGTGCTAGTGAAAATATCACCAAATATGCCCCCTAATCCACCAGGTCCAGATCCAGATTCTGATGTTAAGAAAGGATTCCCATTGTGGGCAACCTTAACAATTATTGGTTGTGTTATTCTGTTGGGTGGAATTGGAATCACGATTTGGTATTGTAAGAAAAAGAAGGTATCTGATGATTAGTATGAAACGATTCCATGATCAATTATAAATATATAGTAAATTAATTATCATTAATTAATTAATTTGGTTCAGAATTTGTAATTCACTATCTTATCCAATTGTTTAATAATGTTGTAAATAATTTCATAAAAATATAAAATGTATTTCTTGTTTTATTCCATTGTTGAAAATAATGAATGTTGGTTGACATTATAATCCCTGAAATCATTTACTAGGACATATTAAAGGAAGTAATAATAATTGCAATTATTTCATCGAAAAGAAATAGGCTGATCATTATTGAAGGAGCATAATAATATTTAGATTTAATAAGGAGAATATTACTTTTTTATCTTTGTCAAATGATTAGATGTTTGTGCTAGAGACTTTAAATATACAATTTGGATCAAAAGAATGAGTGTTATAGTATATTGAAATAATTTTTTTTTCATTATTGCGTTGTTTAATACTATCTAGTTTTGTAGTGAAGTTATGGATTTGATGACGATTAAGCATAAATTCCATAAAATTAAATTACTCGTTAAACTTAAGATAATTATATATATATACAAAATTAATTTCCATATTACATCAAAAATATAAATATGAAAAAAATCTATTGTTTTTTAAGCTTGATCACAATCCTTGTAAATGCCTGCTCATATTTGCAAAATGAAGCTATGCAAATCATTTCAACTCCAAATGAAGTTATCAACCTGTAGTTAGGCTCAATTTTCAAACTTAAACAATACAATAAAATAACCTTGTATAGCGATGATGATAAATTCGCTATCATTAAGCCGATAGAATAAACGGAGAAGTTAAAAGCTAACACTTTATAAGATAGTAAGGTAGTATCATATAAGCTTTATAAAACAAAAAACAGTCGTGACCCACTACATTCAATGGCAATTTTAGTATAACTTAAGGAATCATATTAAGTGGAATTTAATTCAAATATTTACAATACTTTACCATCTATTAATTCAGTAACAGAAAGAGTAGACTAACCTAATTCAATTTGCTATGATTTAGTCTAAGTCGATTCTATCTTTATTGTTGATTGCCAAAAGGGAGACTAAGATTACTTCTCAATTGGATAAGACACTTATATTCCTATATAAAAAGCCAAGAATTAACAGAGAAAATTAGATTAAATGGACAATTACATTTTAAGAAGCACAGTAAATGAGTTAGAATTATACATTTATGAAGAAAATACTGTGCAATTACTTAAGATTCTAAATTAGGCCACACTAATTTAATTGTTAAAAAAAGACACCTTTAAGTTAGAAATAAGAGATTTTAAAACTCACTCAAATGGATAAATTAGTATATTGAATTCTCAAGGGGAACTCATAATAATTGAATACCACAGATAAGAAGATTAATGGGTTTTGATTAACAATATAGATACAAAAACTCAAAATGCAATAGCTTATGATTTTGATATCGAATCTAATCAATTAGTAGTTATCCAAGAATAAAATCTTTATTTTAAGTCTAAAACATCCCAAGAATATATGGCTAGTATCACTTTAGAAGAAAAAAATAGTGTTTATTTGACACAAAATTATATTTTACTTTCAAGATCAGATAGCCTTGTACTTTATAACTAGAAACTTGAAAAGCTTTATTCAATGTTATTGGATTAATCAAAGTATAAACTAATTTCAAATCCAAATTTAGACAGCATCTTAGCCTTGGATGATACTGACATCTATCGCTACACAATTAATAGTGATTATTATTTAAGATTTAGATCCGATTAACTTTAAGAAGAGTATAGTTAGGTTCAAATTGCAGAAGAATATAATTTGCCTAAGTGCTATGTTACTATTTACTATAGAGTAGTTCCAATAGACACATTAAAAATGTACTTGACTCAATCATCATCAGCCTTATTTGCATACGGAGTGAATTTGGATGAATAAACAGCTAAATTCTAACCTGCATGTACGGGACCAAATCTCAAATTTGAATTTTATAATAGCGACATATTAAAAATAGAGGTGAAAAACAAGAAAGATGATATTCAGACTAATTTAGACTCAACGGATGTTATTTACAGAAAGGCGATTTCAGATCTTGATTCAAAATACGCGTACTTGATTCAACAAAAATAGAACCTCGAAATAGAAGGTTACAAGTGTGAAAATCATCCAGAATAGGGTTTTGGGTGCAATATTTTGTTTCAAAAAATAAATTTTCCAAAGCTGGAAGATTCTCAAAAACAAATTTGGTGGATAAGTAAAGACGGACTTTATTTTGCCAATTTGAATGATAAATAAGTGAAAGTCAATTTTTTACCTTTTGATTAAAAATAATTCTAAGAATTTTAAATTATTGAGTTACAAACTTAAGGAAAAACTATTTCAACTGATGGAAGCAATTTGTTTATATTAATCGAGAAGGATGTTGAAATTTATAGCATCAATACACAAGGATGGAAAAAGCTTTCAGTAGGATTGAAGGATGTGAATTAGATTTTTACATCACCGTATAAGTAGGACCTTTTATTTGCCTACGATAATGTTAAATTGTCTTTATATAGCATTTAATATCAAAAGTTAACATTAATCTGGTTTATACAACTAGAGAGCCAAGCACCTATTAGTGTTGCAATTACTAATGGTCATTTTTCTATTTTGAAAAAATAATAGGATTTGTATGGAATTCTCACATATAATATTCAAAATATTGGGGATATTTATTCTTAAAGAAGTCATAGTTTATATCATCATGCATAAAACGATATTACATTATTTGATAGCAATTATTTTAATGAACAACTATACGTAATAGGAACTCATGAGAAGACTGCCAAGAAGGCAATTTTAATTTACAAAGCTAATGAAACAAGTCTAAACTCATAATTCATGATTTTAGATACTCAATCTGCTCAAATATCATCTTCAAATAATTTTGTTTTCATTACTGAGACTGAAGCGAATTCATAAAAATTCTATATATATTTTATAGACGGCAATTATTTCGTAAGAACTTCCATAAATACTTAATTAAAATAGTAAGTCTACAATAAAGGTATTAAATTAAAAGGAAAGATTTCTAATACTGATTATTACTCCACCATTGAAGAGGTTCCTATTTAATTAATAAATCGAGGAGTAGATTTATTCAGTACAGAGAAAGAAATGAATTTTACATATGTCAAAGATGGGGATAATGCTCATTGCTTTAATATAGGATAATCTTGGTATAGTGGTTAAGCCTTTGATATAGATTTAAAGTAACCAAGTGGAGATGTCAAATTATAAAAGACTTTGGTAAAATAAGAAGATTCTCTATAAAATAGTGAATCTATTATGCAATTTGATGATCAAAATTTGATTTAATTGTTTAAGAATAAGATTGTTTTAGTTTCTAAAGCAGATTTTAAAACTACAGAATTCGAATTAGATAATCAATACTCATTCATTAATATACTTTATATCCAAAAAGATCTTATTTATGTTTAAGCTACCTAAAATCAATAGTATCATGTTAAAATAATATAATACAAAGACTCTAAATTTTCATTGCTAACTGGATCAATTACTTTTAATTATTACATCAAAAAAGCATTTTAAAACTAGGATAGATTCTTTATTTGGATATTGAATTATGTAATAGCTTATGATACCAAAGATGATCCCACAAATTTTAATGAATTTAAACTTATTTTAAGAGTTTTTCCCTTTTAATATCCATAGTCAATTGAGATTCAACATATTAAGCATTATGTTTATTATTTTTATTGCATAGGCGAATCCGCTTCATTTGAATTAATCGCTTATGATGTTGCTTAAACTACTTAAAAGAATTTTTTCTAAACATTTAACTTAGCAGCTAGTATAAAAGGATAAGGCATGTTTATTCCTCTTGATTTCAAATGCACTGGATTGGTAATGAATGAAAATTTAATTGTTATAACTTTTAATAATTCTATTTCATATGCCTATGAATATAAGGTTGATTGTTCAACAAATGAGTTGTGTAGTCTCTCTATTTTTAAGTATAAGAATAGCTACCAGTAATATGGTAGTTGGAGTTTGAATAATGAATACCAAAGTTAACTCCTGAGGGAAAATATACTTGCTTTAGTTTATTAGTCCGAAAAGAATCATGAATTATTGTTTTATGATTTGAATGATGATACTAACAAAACTGGACCCTTGTCAGCTATTGCCTATGTAAAGTCGTAGAACCTTTAAGATCAAAAAACTGTTTAATCCTTTGTTTATTAGCATAAGGGGTAGTTACATGTATTGAGTTCGGCAGAAAACAAAGACAAATTGGAACACCATATTTTGAGAAGATCCACTTAACTTTGCATTGAAATGGATTCAGTCTAAGAAGATGTTTAAACTCTATTGAAGAATTCATAACAAGAAGCTATAACAAATTTAAGATTGAACATTGAATTGATTGAACCTGAGCCTTCTCATTTTAAAGTATGGATAATATTGGTGATTGTGGTGGTGTTTGTGATCTTGGGGATATCCGTCATAATATATTGCCAAAAGAAAAGAAGAAGGTAAGGGAAATAGAAATTGTTAACAGAAGTTTGATTTTCTTAAATATATATATATATAAAATTATGTAACAAGAGATTGAAGTATAATCTCCAGATCATCTGAATAAGTCCCAGTCAAACTCGAAATCAAAGCTAAATTCTTAAGGGTCATCTTAAAATTTGAATTCTCCAAAGGATAATAAGTCTAATGAAATTCTAAGCAAAGAGCATTCGCGAAATCAATCTTTGGAGAAAGGCCATTAAGATGGTGAGCAAAATGAAGAACTAATTGAACATTAAGAAATGTAACAGGAACAAGATGTAGTGTCTTAATAAGTTGTGTAGCCAGGTCAAGAATAAGAGCAAGATTAGAATAAAAAAGATTTAGCAAAAAAGAAAAGACAAAGAATTTCAATTTTAAACAATGCTCATCGGGCTTTTAAAGGAAAGGAATAAAAGGTAAGTCAGACATCTTTTACTTCCTTTTCTCCTGATTCAACTCCAGACCCAATTTCCAATAATCGATAGAGTAAATTTTAACTATCGACGCAAAAGTAATTGGAGATGGAGGAGTAGGAGAAGAAGGATGAGAATTTGAGAGTGAAATTAATAGAGTGGTTGAAGACTGAGTTTATGTTTAAGCAAATACACCCATTTGATTTATTCACCGCGTTGGATGATCCTAATGCGGAGTTTCTTCTGCGTTAGAGTGAATTGGAATAGGCGTTTAAATATGTAAATATTGAAATTGGAGAAGATAATTACAGAATAATAAACAAATATTACAAAGTGAAAGATGGACTGAGCACTTTGAAATTATGCTATCATATTGTTGATGATTAACCAGAATTAATGTTTATGGCATTAAATCACATAATCATCAAGTATCGTATATTGGTTGACATCTTTTTTGATGAAATCACATAATCCGAAAAGCTATTTACAGCTGATTCCCTGAAATTATTGAATAAGGAATGGGAATGGGGATTTGAGGAAAAGCAAATGTCTGTTGTTCATAATTTGATGACTGACTATGGAAACTCTTCGATGAACTTTCAACTATTTAAGTAGAAGCTTTAACAAAGTCCTTAAGCAGTTGACTCAAGTTTGAATTTGGAAATGTATTAATCTTTGGTCAATCTAATAATTCAGGATGATTCTGTGATGACATTTAGTTTGCTGTTGTAGGATTAGGATCAGGCATCATCTGGAGAGGTTGCTTTGTACATTTTCATTGATATCCTATCCATGTATATAGACAGAGCTCTGTCTAAGATTGAGATGAATGCAATCAGGATATTCCTTTAGGTTGAGAAGGACGAGGAGGTTGTGGCTTACAATAAATTGCTAACAGACGCTCTCAAAATCATAGAGAATCAAAAAACCTTAAGATTATAATAAACTGCCAAAATACAGAAGTTTTAACTCTAATTGATGTTATTGTACTTTAATTCAATTGATAATTTATCATAGTTACAGGAGTAGTACTTTAAAGAAAAGAATAAAATAAGCAAGGATCATTTTATTAAATAGACAATTTAGGTAACGAATGGCAAGGTGGACAAGGAGAGTGCGAATGCCATTTTTTAGATGATCTAAGAAAGTAAACTTGATTAGAAAAGTTTCAATATAACAGATCTTGAGTTTGATTAATTCATAAAGAAGAAGAAGCACGAGTTGTCAATATCAGACAAGACTGATCAAATAAATTCGCCTTTAAATTAAGAATAGTTTAAGGAATTGTACGAATTGTAAAGGAATTTGAATAAGAAGTCATTGAATAGATTGTCAGCGTAGATTATAATGAGTCCCAAGTCATCTGACTAATCAAATCAGAACTCCCCTGACAAATTGGATTTGAAACAAGTATAAGGGTTATTGAGTAAGCAATCATAGCAAAAGGAGGTTGTCTAAGAATAATAAATAAAACAGGAGGAGAAGGCACAGATATCTACTCAACAATTAAAGATGGATATATATTAATATTTTGAGGATTTGGACACAATTCAATTGAAATATTTGACACAATAGCAAATGTTCTTTGGACTTCTGAAATTAGGCATTTTGATTAAGGGTCAAACGTTGATGCAATAAAAGTCGTATGATTATGGAGGATTTGAGAAGTTTGTATTGCTGCAATTAAAGACCTTTTATAATTCTCAAAAATTGATATATCTATTGAAATAGGAGTTCGATTAATATAAGGAAGCTGAGACTGAAGTTGTTAATATGCAATAATTAAAGTAATGTTAAAATAGAGTAAAATTAGGTAGTTGTTCGAGAAGGTGAATTTGAATGTGAAATTTGAGGACGTGATTTTCATTTATTAAACATTGGATAGAGAGAGAAGTGGTTATATAAATTTGGAGGATTTTTTTTATTTGATTCATTAACACCCCTTGATTGAGTATAGATTGAATGAGTTGCTATTTCGAGTAATTGCTAAATCAAATATTAGATGAAAGGTTACTACGAGAATTCACTAAGAGCACAACGAATCTTTTATTAAAAAATGCCGTTTAATTATATAAGACCCTTCTCGATCAAAGCAAACCCACCCAGTTCTTCTTTTCGATTTAAGCCTGATGTATTGGGGAAATTTTAAGTTGAGCAAAAAGGCAAGGCATGGAATGTCTACAAAGTCAAGATTTTGTCTGGCGAAGGAATACCATCACCAGAGGATAAGAAATCGTGTTTCAGGAGAGAAGTTGTGGTGGGAATATACGATAAGTTTTATAAGGAGTTCGTAGAGAATACTGTAATTGTGAAGGCTAAGTACAATGAGGAAAATGAGGATATTTGGGAATTCCCATCTCGGAATAGGAGTAATGGTTTTTTCTTGAATTGTGAGAAAAAGCACAACGATTTACATTTAATTTTGCTATTTGAATTGATTAGCTACTATTTGGAGAATGGTGTGGTGTAAAAAGTGAGTTGTGGATTTGTTGAGATCCCATTTTCCCACATCATTTAATAGGGGACCTTCGATCTTCCATTGAAGGGTGGGATCATAGAATAAGAGATAGCAATAAATCGAGGGGATGTGAGATGCAAAAGAGGGGGATTTGCGAGTTTGGCTGCAAAGATAAAGGGAGAGATCATTCCTCATTTAACTATTAGTTCTGCCAAAAGATCCCGTAGACCAGCTTTGCTGATAGAATTAGAGACTCTTCCTCCCTTGTGTTTATGTCACAGGAACATGACTTAAATAGTTTATGCGTACAAGAGATTCGCCAGAGACATACTGGAGGAAGAAGGAGAGGTTTATATACAATCATTGAATATGTTTCTATTTTCACTGGATTGTCCGTACATTAATAATCGAATTTGCAGATTGTGGATAAACACAATTAAAGGAAAGATGATTGGTAAAGAAAAGAGTGTATTCTCCATTCTGATTGGGTAACTACAAAAGCTAATGAAGATGAAGGCTTTCAGTTTCAATCCTTACTCGCCTTAGGAGATCTTCCCGCCAGAAGTGGGGAAGTAGAAAAAGGACATAGTTAAGTCGGTGTTGCTGAATACGGAGTTCTTAATTGATTCATCCTTCGAAAACAAATTGAATTTGCCTGGGGATAAGATCTTGGAAGAGCAGATCCAGAAGTTTGGAGAAATGTAGGAATAGGGGATATTTGATAATGGATAGAATCCCTTTGATCCCTATAAAAACGGACTAAATTTGAAAGGGTATGAACCTTACGTAGAATAAATCATATGACTTATATAACTCATTTAAGTATTAATGATTATTGTTGTAGTGACATTTTCTTTCTCTATTTCTTCTACCGGTTTTTCCAATAAATAACAAAAAACATTAAAGACAGAATCGTAATTGCGAGAAGTAAAAGTATAAGTAAGATCCAGTACCTAATACATAGCATAAATTCTTACGTCATTGAAGATGTCTGTACAATTTCGTACGCTTGGACAATCATGCTGGCTGACGAAACTAGATTGCTAGCTGTCAACACCAATTGTTATTCGTGAGCTTCTTCTAAGAAAGTGAGTGTTGCAAATTCTTCAACTTTATACAGGGACAAATTTTTGTTGGATAATTACAATTGAAGTAATAGTTGGTCATTCTCATCATAGAGAAGGGAGAAGAATTAGTTATGGGATTCTACGATCTCAATTCCTCCAAATTACAAGATGATATCAGACTTAGTATCTAATTTGTATAAGCAAATGGAGTACTAATGAGTGGATTCTTTCTTGTAAGCCAGTGCTAAGTAATCTTTAGCAACTGAGGATTGAAACATCAATTTAAAGTCTGAATACCTCTGAATCAATCTGGTTATTATGATTTCCTTAAATAATTCATCTTCAAACTAAACAATCATCATTAAATGAGCAATTTCTCTCGTCAACAGAATCACATTGAAAATTTAGTAATTCTTATTCGCCTCGTCTCCACACTTTAAAATTTTATGATACGTAATCCCTTCGTTTATTTTCTCGCCCAACAAAGCTTCCAGATTGCTCTTGGGAGATATTCTAATCACATCATTAAGAATAATCAAAGACCTTATGAAATCGTTTTAGTATTGGAAATCTTACACATAGATCCCAAAATTTAATTCATTCATAAACACTCTTACCAAGTTTCCAAATGAATAGGTGATAAAGCTCCTCACCAAAAAGTTTGGATGTTTTGACTTATCAATGCATGACATCTTGGAGAAACTCAGGAAATTGGGAGAAGCGTAATTTATATGCCATGTGCATAAATTTGATTGGTCATCCTCATCATTTGCTTATAAAAGAATAAAATTGAAATGTTCTAGAATCTCAAGTTACAATATCTTTTTAAATATTTTAATAACCACTGGCTAATCCACCAACCTAAAGGAATCTCCCTCCCTAATCACCATTGCTATGAACGAAGTCCAAAATACATCAGCACTCCCTGTTATTAGTATGATAGTGTCTCTGCACCAGATGTTCTATGGAGTATATGAATTTTCAAAATCAAAGAAGAAACGCTGATGTTTCACATAATGCTGATGATCTACAAAAATGAGACTGGTATCTGTAAGAATCACTTAGAGAGTCTCGTTTAATTAACAATAACCTAATATATCCTCATAATGGTGAACATTTGAAATCTAATGAACCTTCGGTGTCAGTATTATTTAATCATTGCATTGTTAGCATTCTATTTTAAAATCAATCACCAACCCCTTAAACCAATCATTTGGTATTTGTACTATCTTAGATTCCAAATACAATTCACCACGAATTTAAACAGCCTCAATATTAGTCATCAAATTAAGAAACGTTACATTTTACACTTACTCAATGACCCCGGGAGAATCTATTGTAAGATAGGATATATTCAGTTCCTTTCTGTGAATGTAATTTGAATCATATTTAGAAGTTATTACAGCCTAAAAGTCCTTAGCCACAAAGAAATTCTTAAAATACTTCTAAGATCCTGCGTGGATCAATAGTCCAGATTAATGAAAGGCTGTGACTCCCAAGTTCAATTCATTTTCTGCATACCAACCCAAAGGAGCACTAGTAACTAGGCACTCTCTCAACTCAACTTCAGGCTGATAGATTAATAACACAGTTTATTACAATACTGGAGTGTAGGCTTTAAGAAGAACTAAATTCATTTGAGAGAGTATCTGAAAAGGATTGTGTAAAATGTAATGAAATAAAGGTATGATTTTTAGTAGATTAATTTTCCACATCCTTGTACTATATTCTCTAATTTCTTGTTTGTAACCGTAATCTATAGCAACAAAGAATGAATAATTAGTTACTCCAACTGCGAGGGACTCACTATCTGAGAATGTTATGCAATCCAATAATCTGAAGGAATTAAAAAAATAGCCAATTATGATATTCTGATTGCCAGTAATGATCAACAGATTCGATTGGATTTAAACAGTCTTAGGATTGAAATGATAAGAGGGCACATCAAATGTTGTTATGGTATCAATTACTTGTTGAGAGACTATTGATATGATATCTATTTATTATTTTCTTGATTAAACAACAAATACATGAGTTTTGGATAACGTAAATGACGTTATTTCAGATTACTCATCCTTTAGACTTGTAGCTACAGTGAACATATCTTAGACAATGGATTGACTCAATTTGTAAAGTTCCAAAGTGTGTTGGAACTTTGAGATGTAACCAAAGATGACATAATTGTCATGGATCCATTGAAAGGAATCCTTGCTCAGAATTCTATTGGGATAAAACTAATGAACTTTTTAGCAGTTCAATTCATTGTATGGATTACTGATAGAACATTGATATAAGGTGGCTTTGAGTGTTTTGGATTGGACCAAGTAGTAAACATATTGGTCTACTTCGCAGATGTCAACATAGACCGAATCATTGGGTTGATCATTTAGATCTGACCAGACAATTCCTTTGATTTTGACATCCTCCATGTATCCAAGCTTCAAAGAAATGCTCTCGTCCTGGAGTTCAATTTGAGCCTTGATGTTCGATCCAGAGACTCCTATTTCTTAAAAAATAGGTACTTAAGGATCAGTTGGGTAATTTATTAGTTGTTTGATTTGATGTTATAGATTGTTCTTCTTATACAGTTTGTTATCCAAATAATTGTAAATGACATAATTGATGGTTACTGCACATTGATTTAATTCAGTTGCGATTAATAATAAACTTTATAATTCATAATTGGCTTGATTATTGAGTTTCATGATAAGCAATCCAGTGGAAATAAAAAAGGATTGTTGTTGGGTTTCTTGAACCAAATAGATCTCACTCTTGTAAGCATTGAATGTAACGATCATGGGACTTTCGAAGGTGATAGTCTTGATTATATAGGAAGGATTGATTTGATGTATCAAAAGAGAAGTTGAATTAAACAGGCAGAGGAATTGCTATCTGCCAAATTCTCCAATGAATTCCATCCTAGTTTTCTGGAGAGCTTGATCTTGAATAGACCATTATTGTAGATCGATTTAGTGCCGATTATATACGATCAATTAGTTTGTATTAAAAGATATGGCTAAGATGTAAGAATTGAGATCTTTGAGTACTGAAAAGGAGTAGTAATTGGCTTCTAATGGACTTGAGTAGATGGAATCGAACTCGAATACATTTATGGATTTGACTCTTAGTGCAATTACTCCTTTGGTTGAATCCAATAGGAGGAGATCGTTCAAAGCATACTTGGTTTAGATGATTGAATAGTTGTTGTATGTGTCTAGTAGACTGTTTAAGAGACGTGAATCAATGACTGTGCCAGTGTCTTTGAGGGTATAATCATAATAGAGAATCACAACTTTTTTTGAAGTAGTTACTAATATGAAACCATTTTCAACCTCGATATCTAAGATCTAGCCATCGACAAAGTAATATTCATTATTTTTTGCTATCCACAATCTAGTGTCAGAAGCCAATAGGATGACATTATTTCTGATGACTCTTACAAACTAACACTTTTGAATTGTTGAGTAGAACACTTGATCAATGGTCGGATAACGTACTTGATAGATTGAATACTTTTTAAACAGTAGAGCTCTTGAATTTTCATGATAAAACCCATTCTTCATTGTGTGTAAATCAATGAAGGTTACATTTGCTAATTCTTAATTAACTCATACTCAAATCTTCAACGGTGTAATCTTCTGTTAGGGGATTCATAATTTGCACAATATCGAAATATTCGCTAATTCCATTCAAGGAATATTCAACATTCTCACCTTAAACCAATTGGCCTAAATCTTTTTCAATTCTTTCGAAAGTGGAACAATAGAGCGTAATTTGATTGACTCTAATGATATTCAATCAGTTACTGCATTTAAGTTAAATTGATTGTACTATTAATTCAAACAGGAGCAAATAATTTAACATTATAATAATAATTTTATCAGCATCCCTCATTATTAGAACTATGTTGTCATCGATTTAAATAAATCATTTATTTCTTGTGTGTATATATATATAATAATTCATTCTAACAAAGTAATGGTATTAACTACTTGGTCCTTAGAGCGAATCCTAAAAAACAAGTAAGCCAGCAGACCCAATACTATGATGCAACCAACCAGTATCAAAAGAACCATCTACAATTTATAATCAATATCTTACTACGACGCCAAATCCCCCCTTCTTTACCTAATTCAAAATTACTATTTGTATTGAATTCTCATAATAGTAATTGCTAGCCACCAAAGTGAATTCATGATTTTTCACACTACTATTGATAATCAGATAAGAACTATTGTAAATTTTGGCCTAATATATTATGTTTGGATCCTTATCTTTAAAATAAAGGAGGACATCCTATCCCTCATTTTCAAGTAAGAATATCAATTAATTTAGATTGCGGTCTAGTTGAATATTGATTGCTCCGTGAACCAAAACAGGACTGGACTTCAAATTAGTAGATATATTAGCTGGTATTTTGTAGATGGCTACCATCAATTCTTGCTTATCAGGCACAATGTATCCAAGTGCCAAATAGGATTACTTAATCTGAGAGAAGGTTACCACATTCCACAATTAATGAGTATGAAGCAGATAGGCGATAGAAGTCTCAGATAATTTGGACCCTTTGAATTGCACAATCAATCCATAGTGAAGGGAATTGGCTGTGATTATAAGGAGATAAAATTCAGTGTAGCCCTCTATGTGAAAGTCTTTTGGATCTTAGGTGGACAACGTGCTTATATAGATTTAGTCATCAACTTCAAATAACCCATTGCTTTACAACAGAGTTTGCAAGTTGAGATTGATCACATTGGATTTGATTTACATATACTTCTCTTATGCCATATCAACATACAATAGACCATTACTCATTTCAGTGAGAAATAGTTTGTAAATCATTATTCCATTCACCTAGTAGGATTGCATGCTGATGTACTTGATATTGAAGTCCTGATTTGCTCTTTGCTTATCGATCTTTTCAGTTTGGTAGAGTGAAATCTAGAATTCGTTCCTTTTGATATCATAGACATTTAGCAAAGCTTAATTGTATTTAGTATCTTTGCTAAGTGTGATCAAAGTAGAATTGATAATCATCAATGAGAAAATGTATTCATCCTCCTTCATCAACTAAGGGTTCCCTTGTTTGGAACACTTCTGTTAAGTACATTAGATGAATTGTATGTACTAACCAGTAATATTCAGATACCTGAAAGCGATCAATTTGGTGATGTGAGAACTGCAAAACACATTCCCAAGTTCAGCCTTTAAATCGGTTATATCTAAGGATTCAAAATAGTCTTGGAAATTAGAGTACATAAATTCAATGGTTTTATGAGTGAGGATCACAGTGATCTCATCAATTTGACAAGTATTAATAACATCTGATTTAAAGGATCGTTTGTTCTCAGTCAATTGAACAGATTTCTGAATATCCAAATGTGCATTCTCAGCCCTTAAATTAGTAATTAATCCAGTGAAGAATGAGTTGTCTATGGGTATTTAGATGTCTTCTGTTATTTTAAATTCAATTTGATCAACATTCTTATAGATGATTGTTTTTAAATCTACGAACTTAATGGTCTAATGATATTTCTATTGGAGAGGATAATCGATATTGAAAAAAGAGGATTCCACTTGCAATTAGTGAATAAACAAGCTATCTGATTTATTATCAACATTGATTGTTGATCGTAAATCATTTGTTAGTAAATAGATTAAATCTGATTTGTCCATGTGAATGTACATTAATTTTTGATTTATCCCACTGACTGAGCACAAGGACTCCTAGTTATCCTCACCTACATTGATCATAGTCAATAAGGAATCCCTCAATTCAACAAACACCTTATATATCAAAATAACTCGTTGTTTCAACACTGGACTATAAGCAAACACATAAAATTCATCATCCTAATAATTATTCAACATCTATTTTTAAAGCCAAAAGTGATAAGTTTACAATTTCTTTTGATACACTATATAATGAGGATCCTTTATCAGGTACTCCATTAAAGACAATTCAGATTCAATCTCAGCCAACACAATCAATACCTTCTCCATTTGAATCTAAATCTACAAACTCATGGCATTCTATATCACTATTTTATTCACCAAATCGCAAATCTCATAACACTGGATCACAAGTATATCACCTCCATTAACAATAAAAATCAGATTCCAAATTTGACTTACTTTCACTTAACTAGGTTTAAACTCAGTCAAATAGTTCTTTTGTTATAAAAATGCCTCATCTATTCTAAATTAATCATCTCCAAATATTTAAATTAGATAGACAACCTCCCCCCTCAGAATAACCAAGAGATTATTCACCTAAATTATCTAGGAGATCGACGACTAAATATGCTACTTGCTCTCATTAGCTAACTATACTCTATTCTATAAAATCAATTGATTGACAAACCATTTGTATATGATGACTTCATTTTTATTTACAACATAGATGAATACTTCATTATCTTCAAGGTCATAACTATAAAATATTTAATCTTGGGTTATGACATTATCAAGATCTATTATGTATTCTTTATCACAGTTAATCTTCAATTGTTGTTTGTTGAATTCACACGATAAGAATTCAGTATATAATTATTGGTTTTGATAATATTGCAATATAAAGTGGATCTTTGTAGGAATCAGCTTATTAATTTCAACGTTGATGCTTGCTAGTTTTAATCGTTTCTCATTCAATCCTGAAATTGGTATAACTTTTTTATAATCTGTGATAATGTTAATTAATTGCCAATCGTTCTCTTTTACAGTTACAAGCATTTTCTGATTTGGCCCTGAAATTGAAACCTAATTCAAACTATAAATGGAGGGGAATTTTGGAAAGAATATAATATTGGGATATGGATTAGGATAAGAATAAGGCTTAAGCAATTGTGAATTGACACTGCTCGTTACAATATAAGAAACTCTCGCTTCACATTCCATTAAATCACTACTAGCCACAACCGAAAATTCCACTGGAGTCTTGATAATCTCTTTAGGTGGTATCAAAATTAAATAACCATCCGATAAAATAAATCTACTAATTTATCTTTCTTAAACAATTATCAAATCATTCAAATCTGGATTAAATATGTATTAAATAAGATCAAGATCTTCTTAAAACATTAAAGTTTTTAAGCCATCACTGAATTTATAAATAATTAAGCTTTTTCCATCATGAATAGAACAATAAGTTGAAGATGCTTGTAAATTAGCTTTTTTGAGATTGATTTAGGAATCTAATTAATATTGTTTGTTCGTTTCTATAAAGTACAATCTGTTGTCAGGTATAAGGGCAACGACTATAAGATTTAGATAGTTATCTAAGTAAGCACTAATTTTCAGGAGGTCAAACTAGAATCTCCCCAATTTTACTAGGGTAAAAATAGGTTAGTCATTCTAAATTTGAATTGTCAAATAGATCATGTGACTAATTTGATGTGCAATAATAATCTAATCGGCTTTCACAGTAATATCATTGATGGAGAAGTTTTCGACTTGCTGCATCGTCAATTATGATAATGTTTATGCATTTAATTGCATTCCTGCCTTTTGTTGGTAGTAGGTATCTATAATGCACTCATCTGCCACTTGGATGACTATTACGACTCCATTTACCATGTTGATCATGAACTTCTTTGGTTTTTACTTCATCTAATACTGGAATTCTTGGATTTGTCCATCCACTTAGACATATTGCAAATAATATAGAGTTTATTCTACACATAAAACTACAAACGAAGAAAGGGTGTCTTAGATAAGATCAACGCAATTTCCTCGAGGCAATAGCTGAATTATGTTTTCAAAAGCAGGGGCTTATTGAAAATCACACATTCCATATTGGATGTAATATTGTTGCTGAGTTCCTCTTAATAAGGCTAATAGTTCTCCCCATTATTTGATGATGACATAATCTTCCATGAGGGGTTGTATTGCAACAAAATGCAAGCGTTGTTAGACTGTGAATTGTCGGCTATGAGATCCCACCAAGGAAAATCTCAAATTGGAACCAATAAAATTGTCATTCATGTTTAAGTCAAATCGTTCCCCTATTGACAATTCAAAATGGTGCTCGTCATTCAGAGTAGCTTAAAATTGTAAATTTAATACTGCACTTCGTATTTGTGTATCGGAAGTATTGTTATAAAATCAATAAACTTAAAATCATTATTAATTTATTAATAAGTTTAACGAAGAGGGGGTGAACTAAGAGGAGGAGGCGAGACTATCACTTTTGGTAGTTCTGTAATGCTTAAAGTTTTTGGGATTATTAAAATCAGGAGTTAATTACTTTAGTAAATTCATTAAAAAAGCGAGATGTTGATACATTGCAATTATGATTAATTTATCTTTAATATTGCAATGTATATGCTCAATCCAAATGCTATATATTTGAATTCGTGAACTATATATTAAATATTAAATCATGCTTGATTAATGTTAGTATTTCACATAAGAGCAATCTCATCAATTTCTTGGTCAAAGAATTGAAAAGCGAATGTATCCCAGACAATACAGGGCCAAGAATAGACTCTTAAGTTAGCTTTTGGGTAAGATCGAAATCAAGCCTATGCCCTTTGAAATCATGTCCATTACTAATATGAGCAATGCAAGCAAGGATTGCGCAGAGAGTGACAACATCCAAGATAATTTGAAGTTATTTGATGATCAAGAAAAAACTGAAGTCCCTCACACGGAATTGCAAGAGAAGGCCAGACAATGTTGCAACTTATTAGAATGTTCGAAGGAAGATATTCAAGACGTCGGTGAGTTGTCATAATTATTTGGTCAGATTATAGAGATTTTGCAATAATCTAAATAGAAAAATTTGTACTTCATAACCCCATACAACTTCGAGGTGGAAAACAAGCAAAGGAGGCTTATGTATAATTCTGAGGCCTTGACCAATTTGATCAAACGACTGAAGGCTGGCAGATTGTAAACTCAAACCAAATCCCTATTTAGATCGAGGATTCAAACTCAATCAATTGGGAAACAAATCCAAAAGACTGAACTCAATGAATAATTGAGTGTCTAAGCATTAAATTTATTAAAGTAATTAAAGAAGAAGTAATTGAATAAATGAATATATGTGTATTTAGGTATATCATTTTCTCGAACTACATTCTCCATACTATATTATCTTAGTTTGCACTACCTTCTTAGTTTGTAAGGCTTTTAAGTTTTCACTCAAACCAATGTTATTATTCCCTTTTAGTCTACTCTCCTTTTACTTGAAGCAATAAGACGCTTCCTCACTCTCATTAATAAATGGAATCGGAAGTTTGAACAATCTAAAGTAAAAGATTAGATTCCAGAACTCCGTACTCTTAAAAAACTTCGGCTCAAACACCTTTAAGGAGTCCAATTGGAAGTGTAATTGATGGATATTAAGTATATCAACTTCCCCAATATTGAAAATAGTCATTTTGGGAGTAAATTGTTTGCCACAACCCTTCCTCTTTGAGCACCTGATGGTTTATCGTAAGTAAGTGGGGGGAATCTTATGCAATATTTCCTCTATTGAAATTTATCTCTTGCAATGAGGACATTCATTTTAAAATAGAAATTACTAGTCATTCAAATCATCATATTAATGGAGTTAAACATGTTCCTTTTGTTGAACGAAGTCTTCAATATAGGGAATCTCTTTTTTAAGATAAATTGCCAATTCATAGAATTCTTTACTATCTAATTAAGTCATATGAATAATTTGCAACCAAATTCTATAGACTTGTGTTTATAAGGCAGTCTATTTGTTTCTAATATAATAGTAAGGAGTAAGATATGGGAAAAATTATTATTTCTTTTTTGCTGGAAGTAATGGATTAGGTTAATCGTTGATATTAATAGTTTTGATGTCAGCAAATATCTTGCTATTATTATTTTCATTCACTTGTTAGAAAGAAGCGTTAAAATATGTAAAGTAGGAAGCTAGTTATCGATTGGATTGATTGTTGTCTATAAACGAACACAAGAGTTGAGTTCTTGAAAAGATTTCCCAAAATTTACTTTTGATTGGATATTGGGACTGCTTCTTCTTTTAAAATAAAGCACTCCAGTTCCTTTGCTTGATATCGTAATCAAAAGCATGATCCAGGATTTTCAAATTTATCTTGAGGAAAATCTCTTTGATCTTCTTTGCATTTGCTTCATTGATTTCTTATTTAGTGAAAGGTTCTAGCTTTCTCCTTAATTTATCGATGAGTGGAAATTCAGGAGGAGGTGAAACATGAAATGCAACATTGCAGTCCAAACTAAATTTATATCCTTCAGATTCACATGCTGGTTGTGGCAATGTTTCTAATAAGCCTATAATATATGGTTCTGGAGTTTCAATGATTTATGAATTGTCGTAATTCAAATAGCAGATCAACAGTTTTTAATATTATAAGGGGTAGATGAAGGTCATCAAGGCTTCAATAACACAACCTGGATTCACTATCGAACTTGAACATAGTCTGATTTTTCTCTCTGTTAGGACAGCAGTATAAAGTTATATGATGTTATCCAAATTGATATTATTCATCACATAGTCGATTGATTTCAATTAGCATGTTGGATATCTCATATGCTTTTGAAATAGAAATTGCTAGTCGTTTATAATTAGTTTAAGGGAGATCTTTTCGAGATTTATGGCATACTTTAGATATTAGATCACTCTTTCAATATGTTACTAAAATGGTTATTTGATGCACTTACTTCAATTTATGAATCCTCTCTGATAGAATATAAGTAGGTCAACAATTATGAAAATTGACTAATGAAGTTCTGATAACTTATGAAAGCCATGACTTTTGGAATGAGGAAATTGCTGTAATTCTCCAACTTAAGTTTCTAAGCTTACTTCTTGTTTAACTGTTCATAATAGCGTAGACAATAGATGTATATGAGATCCCCCTTTGGAGATTGCATTAATTAATAATAAGTGACTGGGTTTGGGTTCTGGAATTGGGTTTGACTCTTCTGTACTATCTGGATGCCTTCTGGAATGCAGTAATTGCTGATGGCAGGATTGTCATTGAACAAATTCTAAATGTGTTTCTGTTTTTGGGATTCCTTATAACAAAATGGGTAGAGATCAAGTATTTCAGGAGTGTATGTCTGCTCTAAGGGAGGCTTTTCTATGAATGATGTAAAATAGGGATTGCTTACATCTTATGATTTGCAATTGCTTCTTGCTAAATGAACTAAATTGCACAGTGTCCTATAAATTATGGAGTGGATCATAGTCTTCCAAAACCAAGTTTATTATTGGACGATAATCTGTTTTTCTAGTATAACACAGTACATAGCATGTATTCTATTCGGTCAAATAAGGACTTATGTCGAAGTGCTCCTTATCTTTGATGAGACCCCAATCAGTGATTTGAATAGATTTCATAACATTCGCCTACTTCATGATCCGACATAAGCTGTATTTGTAGTTAAATTGGATTTGACTTTCCCTAACTTAGACATCAACAAATGCAATGTTAGTTATTGGATCTTTGTTCTGCTCATTATACACACAATTTAGAAATAGTTTCCCATTTCCCAATATATCTAATGATTCCTATTGAATTATGAATTGTTCATTATATAAGGTCATACATTTATTTTCATGCAATTCAATTGATGTCAAAAACCCTATAAAATATCCACTCTAAATTACTTCTTTGATTTTTCATCATCGGACTATACTTCTCACCCAACCCAACTAAACAATAATTTAAAATTAGATTCTAAACATTTTCCTAATTTTGTTACATAAATTATATATTTATCACTTCAATTCAAAATAAAATTCACACAATCTTCTGTTGTTTTCTAGAAAACCTCTATTTAGTTGCTTCTTAACAAAAACCTATTCCATGCTTTGGCTTACAAACTTAGTGTTAATCCCTCATTGTTTTTAAACGTAAGATATCTACAACACATCCATTTTCTATTATACTGCATTAAAACAATACATATAAGAAGGTTAAAATTTCTTTTAGGAGTTATAAAAATTAATATTTAATATGAATGAACTCTGAAATCTAAGATCATTTAAAATTATTTTGACACAACAAAATAAATTTATATGTGTCTGAATCAAATGACTAGCATGAATTATCAAAACGATTTATAAAAAGCACATGTATTTATATATGCAAATAATTATATAAGATAAATTTATTTGCTTAATTGAGAGTATAAAATCGATAGATTCATCATAATTATTTTACATTTTATGCAAGATTAAGTTGTTAAGCCCATCTTTTTGTCTGTGAATCAATTGACTGAACTATTCAATAATCCTCAACAAGAGACTTCAATCTTAGATGATCATAATAACTTATTATTTCTAACCTAGGATTCATTTGTTGACTTTCCTCTTGAATTCAGTTTTCAGGCTTTACATATGATGAATTCCCAAAAAACAATAAAAGACAATAAAAATAACGAGAAGCCCATTAATAATGTTTTAGTTAGCAAAGATGTATATTAATAGATAATGTCGAAAATGGAGCATAATAGAAATCTGAGTGAAAAATATCAATAAATGATGAGAGAGAATCAAGAATAAATATAAAAACGCAAGAAACTAGAAGATTAGAATGCTGCAATAATGGATTAAAACTTTCAAATCAAGAGAGAAATTTAAGAAATGAAACAAAAGTTATAGATTTGCTAAAGTGCCATCCCATTAAGAAAAGACTAACAAATAATTGAATTAAGAAATCAAAGTAAAGAGCTCTAAGCAAAATTAGCAGAAAAGCGAGACACATAATAATCGGCAGTTCTGACTGAAAATAGCACAGTTGGCTCTAAAAAATCAAATTCCTACTATTGCAATACAAATCGACTAGTTAAATTGGATCAACGGTCATCTCAACCCTAATCAAAGAAACCCTATAGAAGCAGAAACAATTCCTTTGTAAAAATAGTTTAAAATTGATACTCAATTGTTTATTTGATTTTATTTTTTCGCAATATTTATTAAGAAACTTGATGTAGAAATTAATTGATTAATTTAGAATATTAAAAATAACATTCCCACTAAGATCTAGTTAAAGGCATCCTTTAAAATTCAGGAATTATATACAAATTTAAGTAATTCATTCTATCTTGGTTTATAATGGATAGCCTTGTAAAAATTTATAAAGGACTACTTGAAATTTTTAAGATCATAATAAATGATGGCTCTACAATTGATAGCCTCAGATGAATATTTATCTTGTATCAAGATTTCATCCAATTTCTTTAGAGCTGTTTTATGTTTACCTAGTTTATGGAAAGAATTTGCTATTATTTTATGATATATATAAATACCAAGAGCCAATAAGAACTATTTAGATTTGGGACATTGCATTAAGTATTGTTTATAAACTTTAATAGATAATTGGTATTCTTTTGTCGTATAATGAATAAACCCTAATCCAAAGTAGGCTTCATTAAAGGAATTATTTATTTCTATGGCCTTCTCGTAAGCAGATCGAGCCTCATTGTACTGCTGAAGTTGGAAATATGTATGACCTTACAAAAGGTGAATTAGTTCATTTTCAGGAGTGAAGGTTAGTATCTTTTTAAATTAAGAATGAGCTTTCTCATTTTCATTTAATTGTTTTAAAGTGATGGCTTTTTAAAAAATAGCCTCTATGTACCTAGGTTAAATACGGAGTATATCTTCAAAGCATTATAAAGCAGGCACAAATTGATGTAATTAAGACAGTGATAGTCCTTTGTTGTATAGTGCTTCCACATTCTTTGGATCGGTCTCTAAAATCTTATTCAATGTGTAGATCGCACCGTTATGCAATTGCAAATGGGATAGGAGTAAACTCAATTATTGATAAGATTATTAATTATTAATTGCTTTATAGATTAGGATAGATTCTTTGTACTATTTCAAGCTCTCATACACTTTAGCTAATTCTAATTTAGATTAGAGAAATGTGCAGTTCAATTCACTGCTTTTTTAAAATGATTTGATTGCTGAGTGAAATTGGTGCAATAAACAATAAATACGGCCTTAATGATAAAAGTTGATATAGGCTGTTGGTTTTTTTATAAATTGCTATCGATATTAAATTACAGCAGGGTGAGAAATGTTATTGTCCTCAATAATCCATAAGCCTCCTAGAGCAACAACTTTTTCAAAGCAATTTGCAGTCTCCGTAATGTTATCTATAAAGTAATAATTGATTCCCAAATGATACCAATATTCAAGTTTGTCTTATTTCAATTTTATTGCTTTTTTCAACAAATCTAGAGATTTGTAATATAATTTAAACTATTACTGTATTAAACCCGAATTGAATAGCACCTCGTGAGTTGGTTGGCATTTGCTGTACTGCAATAAAGCTTTATCGAAAATTCCTAATTTTTAATACGATAAACCCAAGTTAAATTTGGCTTAGTAATTTGAAGGATTCCTTTTGAGAGACAACTTAAAGTTTTTTTAGGCTTCTCTGAATTCATGGTTTTATAAGAGTATGACTCCTTTATTAAAGTAAGGCATAGAATTATTTGGTTACAAGAGAATGCATTTTTCAAAGCAAACCATTGCTTTTTCCTTTTCATTAATTTCAAAAAATATCAAGCCTTTACTATAAATGGCTTTATGGTAGAGACCATCAATTCTTAAAATTTTGTCATAGGTTTTTAAGGCCTTCTTATACATTTTAAGATCATAGTAAATATCTCCTAGTTTTTGGATGGCGAGTATATACTTGGGATCTAACTTGATAGCCTGAATGAGATTTTTCAGGGCTGTTACAATACTATTTTTCTAATAATGAGCAATTCCTAATTGATAATAGACTTCCTTCCGATCATTGAAATACTATTAGGCTATGTTGTAGCATTCTATGGCCTTATCTATTTGGTTCAAGGCCAAATGAGCATTACCTTTATCAAAATAGATATTGGGTTGATTGGCTTGGAGCAAGGCTTATTCATAGCAATGCAAGGCGTGAATGTATTGTTCTTTTTGGAAGTACAACAATCCTATAGGATGTAATATTGATATAACCTTTTTGATGAAAAACAATAGGACTCTTGGGGTTAAGTTCCAACGCATAATCATATTGTTGAAGAGCCTTAAATCCCATTCCCATTTCCGCAAGTGCCTGGCCTAGATAACACAATTGAGTGTACCGTAATGAACGAATTGCACAACTCTGGAGGAATCAACAGAGAGTGAAGGTAATCTTTTGGACATAAATAGTTAATAATATATAATTAATCATCTTTTGAAGTTCCTTTTTTTGCAGCCTGGAATATGTCTTTCAGCAGCTTATTCACTGAATTTACGACCACAAGCAGGACATTCAACTAGGTCATCTTAAGGTTGAATATCAGCAGTCCCTCCTGACTTGGCTGCACTAATCATTTGTCTAAATGCTTCAGATTGTTTCTTCCATTTGGGATCTCCATTTTAAGCCATCTACTTTTTCTTCTCAATTATCTTATCCTTAACCAGCCCTTGCTTCTCCAATTTTGCTTACTCCTAAATTAACTTATCTATGTGCCTTTGAATTGAATTCTTTTCTTTTGGATTAGAACACTTTTTTGCATACTTTAATATGTTTGTCCAAGGCATTTTCCTTGAAACTTCTGCCACATCCCTCTGGACATTCTTGTAAGTCACCATCATCATCCTCCTCAGGTGGAATTGCATTGGTTTGATTTTTCTTAGCCACAGCAGGCATTTCGTCAATGGGATTATACGCTTTATTGTTGTTTGCATTGAATGATTGTGGCTATGGTTATTGTTGCTTTCTGGGTTGCGGTTTGTTGTATTATTATTCTTATGGCTAGTAAGATTATTAGGATTGCTTGTATTATTATTCTGGAATTGGATCTTACTGTCTTTCGATAGGTCTTTCTCTTTTTTCAAACTGAGGTTAAGAATTGTGTTGAGAGTACTTGAATTATTATTAGGTAGGTTGTGGTTGTTGCTATTTGAGTGGAGATAAAGATTAAGGATTTTAATTGTAATTATATTAATTGTATGAGGATTGCTGCTATTATGAATTAATATTCTAGTTAATATTTAGATTCTGATTCCCATATAGATTATATTGATTTGTTTGAGATGTCTATTATTAATAATTGTAATTATTGTTATTGTTATTATTATTATTATATATGTTGTTTTAGTTCTGGTTTTACCACTACGTATTATTGTTATATGGACCATTATTTGAGTAATTGTTATTGTAATTCATATAATCATACTTATTTTGCAATGAAACTGGCTATTGGGTGAAATCGTAATTATTATTTTACTAATATCCATAAGATTATTATTTTTTAGTTAAGACATCATCGTAGTATTTAGGAGGCTATTGCACTAATTGTTGTTATTATTGCCGCTTGTTTAATTATTACTCATAATAGCTCTGGGGAGCATTGTAATTGTTTAAGTTGTTACTCTTTTTGTATGGATCTTCCTTGTACTTCTAAAGTTAATCGTAGTAGTTGAGTCTATTAATGGCATTCATACCTAGATAGGGATCGTTTCGATTGGCATTCTGAGGAGGGGGCACTTGTTGTTGTTTGTATTGTTGCAATTGTTAGTAATTGAGAGCGCGTGGATCAGCGATTTTAGGCTGAGAGCTGGATTGCATTTACTGCTGCTATTGTTGTTTCATAGTATAGAAATCGTAGTCACTTTTGGGATAGAGAGGCGATTGTGATGGTTTGGTAGGTTGAGTATGGGGATAACCGTCTAGTTGCTGATTGGTTCCCTATTACCAAGTGTCCCGATTGCTCATCTTAGCCTTGAGTAGTTTTAGCTAATTGGAGACCTGCTCGTTCGATACAGCCATCTGGCCTGTACGAGAAAGGTTGGATCCCTAATACATTTTTATTATAATTAAAATGGGAAATAAGTTATCGATCACTATTTTATCGCGATATCTTGGAATTTCTATTTCGACAGTCTCCTCTGGGGAATTAAGAACACATTGTCTAAATTTAACAAGACACGATACTTAAATATAAATATAATAAATTAATGCAATCCAATGATTCGACGAGAAGGAGACTGAATTTGCGTTCTCTCGCAACTGAAGAGCCACAGAAAATGCAAAATATGTATGAGATATCCCCTCTATTTTCAGATCAGCCAATGGATCTTTGGTCCTTAGTCAGTTTCGTCTTAATTCTAAAGGGCTTACCTTCACCAAAAGTAATAATCTCTTCCTACTCCAATAGACATTACTTACATGGAATCAAAACACTTCAAGGATCTCAAATTAGAAGATTTTGAAATTGTCTGTAAATTAGGCTAAGGAAATTATGGTAGTGTTGAGAAAGTACTTCACAAACCTACTCAAGATTATTACGCTTTGAAAGTATCTTCATTATATCTTAACCCACTTAGAAAATACACTATGTTAGTAATGATGTATAGGAGTCCCTATTGAAGAAGGAATTAAAGGCCCTTATTGATTGCAATTCCCAATATGTTGTCTAATGTTATGGAGCAATTTTTATTCAAAGGGCGAAATCTACATAGTGATGGAGTACATGGATATGGGGTCCTTGTAGATAATCCTAGAAAAAACTAAGAAAATACCGGAATCCATAACTATGTTGATAATCAAAGAAGTTCTTCAAGGCTTGGATTATCTGCACACAAACAAACACATCATACACAGAGATATCAAACCGCATAATATACTGATAAATAAAAGAGGAGAGGTTAAAATTGGGGATTTTGGAATTTGTTCTGTTAGTGAGAATTCGGATCAGAAATTTGATACATTTATTGGTACTATTTAATACATGTCTCCTGAAAGATTGAACGGAGAGGAGTATGGTTATGATTGCGATATTTGGAGTGTGGGGATGATGACTATGCAATGCATCACAGGTCTCTTGCCATTTGAATTCGATGCCAAGAAAATGAGTATGATAGAATACATTTAAATGGGCAAGAATTTCAAAATTGATGATTACTTTTAGCAACACAAACATGCCATATCGGAGAACACCATTTATTTCATATCCAGATGGTATTCCCATTATTCTACATTATCTTTTTCATAGTCTCCAACAGGAACCGAAAGATAGGAACAAAGCTTAAGAGTTGTTGTAGACGAAAGCGATCAAATACACGTCATCTCTTAAAGTCGATGTCTTTAAACAATGGCTGCAATTGTCTATAGAGGAAATTTGAATTTACTTTTTATTTGATGATTACTTATTTATAATTAACAGAAATGAATCAGCCTCAACGAAGTCTTTCAAATTTAGGAATGTCCAAATCCCGTATTCAGTTTATCATCTATATAGAGATTATATACCTGAATAGAATAGAACATCCAGTGCGTTTTATAAAAGAGAGGACCAAAGTCGATTGGATTAGTAGTTGGCAAGATATGAGGAATTCAAGAGGAATTACAAGCGAAATGAATTACAATATTCTTATTACCAGCAGTAACCCAGGGATTTGAATTAATCCTTAGTGGAAGAACGGTACTAGAATTCCTATAATTACCGACCGAATTATAATAATAAGCATTTATAAACGCAGCAATACGAATACGACAGAGACGTTTACAAAAAGGAAATAAAATAAGATTCTCCAATCAAAGTGGAACTAAGTTACACTGCCCCTTCTGGTGTCTAAAGAGGAGTGATTTCAGACTCAGCTGCTTATTTGAGGGAAAGGGAGAAAATTATGAATTCGTTTATGACACAATAAGAAATTGAAAGAATTAAAAGAATTTACTTAAGGAAATGATATTACATATAAATCTAGTCATTTTAGTATTTTAAATGAAGTTTTCCCTAAAGTTCTTTGACATTTTGGGCAATTGTGTCTTATATCTTTGCAATCATCTAAACAACAAGGAATGCAAGCCACACAAAAAAATCCAAAAGAACAGAGGAGAAGAAGGAATCCTACGAATATAGTTGATATTCCAGAATGGTGAGTAAGCACAGTTTAGACCTTATTAAAATTGGGAATACCTTGTTTTAGCACCCAGAACAAATAATCAAAACAGAATTGCTATGACCGTCTCCAGAGACCTGAGTGGAAGATACCAATTTAATATCTTCTAATGTGGTCAGTTTGGGTAGGGGTAGTTTACAATTTGTGCTTTTTTCTTAAATGATGTTTTGTTGATAAAATTGGGCATTATTGGTAATATGAAATTCAAGCACATCTTAATTGCTTTTTTGAATATGTTACATAAAATTATATATATAATCAACTTCCAAGATATTGGGTTAAACCATATGAATTGGCAAAGTACTCTGTGACTTTTCTATTGTAAGCAGCAGGATTGTCTTTGAACGGTATCAAAGATTTGATAGTCTTCATACTCATCTAATCCAAAACGACTGCAGGATTGTAAGACCATTGTTTGATTCGTTCTCCTTGTGGCAAATACTTATACTGTAATCTATCGCAATCCATACGTTTATTAAAATGGCCCTACAATTAAATTAATAATTACTTCTCTCTAAGCATCCACCAATCTAACGATGATGGACATATTTTTGAGATAAAACACTTTGTTATTTGTGACTTGATCTCGAAGATAATCCCAAGCATCTTGTTTTTTAATATCTTCAATCACAGCTCTTGGAACTGATCCTCTGAACACTGGTAATTGATAACAGTTGGACATGACATAATTATCCGGGGAGAACACTGGCAATATAGTCCAACCCACATCAGAAATTGCTCCATCAGGTTTAGAGAATGGAACTGATTTAATGTCCAAAATTATATTCTGATATCTGTTGGCATTTTCTTTGAATTTAAACCAAGCATCATCAAATTCAGGAGTATTGATTTTGGAATCGAAGTCATAATTAGAACACATATGTCCTTGAGTAATGTCTCTGGGTTCTAGATAAAATGTTCCTGGTTATGACAAAGAATAAAACACCACATACATGTGTGATTGATTCACAACATTATGCAGTCCATCCACAGTCAATTTGAATCCTGCCTGTGGTCTATATTTGGCGAAATACATCATATCGATCATAAAAGTATCATGAGTTAACGATATACGGTTGTCCAAATAGTTTATAATTTCATTATCCTTGTATTATCTGTTAATTTATTCTCCCTTTATCAATAAATAAGCAGCTTCTCGAACACTTATATCAGGTCTGATAGTTCTTTAAGCAAATAACTCATTTTCAGATTCAGTGATAGGAGCTAAATCAGTATTGTAAGCTCCTGCACCATATTAAGGACGAGGTCTCATTATGTTCCTAGCAATTTGATCCTTTAAACTAGGAAACTCTTTGATAGACAGTGCTCTTTTGCCATCTTCACTAAGAGGTGCTTTGAACATTCTGACGAGTACTGTACAACATGGAGATCGTTCGTGGGAGTAACTAATTGATATTTTATAATATACATCTTTTTCATATCAAATGGGGGTGTTCTGTCCAACTATTGACTAAATAGTGGTATTTAATATGCTCCAGAATAGACAACATAATTATCTTCATTTTAATCTTCAGGTTGTGATTTAGTACCAGGATTTAAAAATAAATTAATAGCAGCATATCCAACAATTCTGTTATCATTAGTACTTTTATCTACTGTTACAACAGTGATTAAAGCAACAGCAGTAGGATCAAACTTTTCCTTTCTCAATTCTCTTCTGAAATAGAATGTTGGATTATATGCCATACTATTGAGATCAGGAGCTGCAGTTTCAGCATCAAATAATTTTTCATATCTTCTATTGTATACTTCCATGTACATTTTACAAGCTGTTACTTTATCAGGTAAGAACCTTAATCCATCAATATAAAAGTCTATTCCATGTCTTCTTTCGAATTGTTCATTTATCCATTATTGTTAGAAATTAGGAATATATGGACTATTATCTAATGGAATATCTTTAATCTCCTCTAATTTGGGTTTCTTGTGTTTATGCTTCATCTACTTCTTAAATTCTTCAATATCCTTTTCTGTATACGCAAATTCATGCAAAGCAAAGTCAATAACTTCATCCATTTCCTAAACCTTAGTAGGATCTATGGGTGGTCTTCTTAAGGGAGGCTTAAACAATTTCATCTTGAATCTTCCAGTCAACAGACTCCCATCATCCTAGGTCAATTTTAGGAATTGCCACCCTTTTAGATCGAATTCCAACCCTGCATAGTTCTTCTATGTCTCATTCAAAATTGATTCCTGCAATTCAACTGGCTCTGGTTTTTCAACTACTTATAATCCAATATATAAGTCCTTCTTGTTCTTCTTAATCATAGCATATAAATTTCGAAATACTCTATACTCCTCCTAGAAAATGATATCCTGACCTGATGCCTTATTATTCATTCCATCATATTCTACATTAGGTTTGTGTAAGGGTATAATGTATTCATTTGCTAAAACTTGTCTATTCTTTTGATCCAAAGGATTATGAATAGAAGTATTAAATGCAACAGGCAATCCATTAGCATCCAAAACTAAATTGCCCTCCTCAAATAATCCTGCCATCACTCTCAAATGCGATCTAGCCTAATGGTTATCAACTCTATAAATGATCAGTCTCAATCCTTTCTACTTTCCATCATCTTAAACAGGAGGTTCTTCCTCCCTGATTCCATACTTCTGCATAGGAGGTGGCTGCCCAGTAATCTCGTATTCCTCCATATTGGATTTACCTCCTGCTCCTCCCACCAATTAACTCTCCTCTATAATCTCCTCAATCATCTTATATCCTCTGCCCCCATATCTGCTTTCATAGCTTTCTTCCATTCCTTTCATATTTTTCACCTTTTCTCTCTTTCCAAACAATCCTCTCAGATGGATATAAGGCACTATGTATTCATGCTGGGTTTATTCAGGATAGATTGTTTTGACTTCCCCATAGTCTTTATCATTAGGATATCCTATTCTGAAATAGACCCAACAATTAGGGATAGGCTCTAAGTTCTAGATCTCTTCTACAGTGATCTCTGGACTTGTAGGTAGGTCCATAATAGACTGGGCATTTAAATTTCCCTCTTTTCAATTATTTATTATGATCAAATAGATCCACTTAAGTCCATCCATAGGTTTCAGTTCTGCCTACGTTGTCTTCAACTCTTTTGCTAAAAGGAATTTGAACTTCCATAATCATCAGAGTATCTGGATGTGCAGGTACCTCAAAAACTTAGTGAGAATCACCAAAGATGCATCTGTTATGATTTTAATTTTCTGTTTCACTCTCTCTTGGTTCAACCAATCTTGGCTAACAAATCACCTGTTATCCATTGTAAACTCCGAATACAACCTAACTGTAATTGCTCCTTCTAGGTAATCCTAATGTGTAATCCCAATGAACTACGAACCCCTCACTTTGATTATACGCCTGCATCTACTATCTTTTCTAGGTATTATCTTTCCTTAATCTATTCTCAATGATGAACTTCTTATTATCATCTACCCATTTCTCATTCTCCCATTGTCTGTCATCCTCTCTCCTTTCCATTTCAAACTCTCTCCTTGCATCCTGTAAACGCTACTCCTGAACGATCTTCTCTATTTCCGCTCTCATCGTAGATAATTCCTTATATTACTCAACCTTAAACCTATACAACTCTGTCCCTACAGGAATTCTAGAAATTACTCTAAGACTATCAATTTCTTAAGCCTATAGACTCATCAGCACTCTCTCCTCTTCAGTCAGATCAACACCTCGCACTTCATTCATCAAAAAAAATTCATTCTTTCTATTGAAAATGCTCCATGGATCTTTCATCTTTTTGCCTTCCTGATTTAAAGCCAATTGATTCAAAGCAAATTGACCAAAAGCAGTTGACCCTTATTATTATTATTATTGTTGCATCACTGGGTTGTAAGCAGGCATCATTTGAGGCTAAGCAAATGCGTTATATTGCATCATAGGATTATTCATCATGGGATTATTTATAAATTATGGTTATTAAGCTTATTAGGGTAGCATTTGAAACTGATTATTTTGAAATTAAGGAATGGGAACACCCCAAGCATTTTTTAAGACCTCAATTTATTATTGTTATTATTATTGTTGTTAAAGCTATTAGTTAACATCAGGAAAACTCTATATAGTTTATTAGGGCTATAATCTAGTGGCTGGTGCTCTATTGACTTAGGAGGAGGGTTATCTCCTTACTTAACTCATATTCACACTCTGTGACATACTCTAATCCATCATACTATTTGCATGTTATTCAATTCCTTATCTAAAAGCTTACAGTTCGCCGTGAGTCTAAGGATTCCTACTTTTATACATATCCACAGCCTACTATCCTACAGTTGCTCTTTATCCATAAGCCTCATCTCCATCAAATTACATGAATTCAGGTTTCTGTTGTTTCAATTGATTTATTCTTTGTTATTGTTCTGCAAATCTTCCATCATGTAATTTGGCATTGAAATTCTCCATTTATTTCATATCACCCAAAATATTCTTAGCATTTGCAACTAAATTCATAGTACCTCCTCTTTAGGCAGCCTTCAAATCACCATTTCGTAATCTATCCAAATTGTCCATGATTCTCAATCGTTCTCCCTCTAATTATTCTCTCTTTAATTTTAACTTGGCCACATTGTCTGATCTCTCATGAATGAGATCCTCATTTAGTTTTGTATTGTTTTTTTGTTTTAATTGCATTCCTTCAATTACATTATTGATTTTAGAGACTTCTTCTTACCTCATCTAATCAAGCATTTTCGTATTCTATTCCATCGATTCAATATCTTTAATGAGTTCATTTTCTTTCATTCTGAGAGCCTCCCTTTCAGCAATGAGTTTCTCCAACTCTCTTTTCCTCTCTTATTCAATCGCTGTTAATTTTGCTTTCTCCAAGTCCATCAAGGCTCTTCGAATCTCATCTTTTTCAATTCTAGCCCTGATTTCCTTCTCCTTTTTCTATTCAACCTCATGTAACAATTCTTCGAATGCCTATCTGTCATCATCCCTTTTCATTTTGATCTGTTGTCTATCATTTTTGAGTTTATTCAATTCATCTTCCATTTCATCCTCTCTTCTTCTCTAAGCCATTCTATTTAATCTTTTGAATTCATCGTCCTATTATTTCATCTAATCCTTTAAGGCTTCTAGAGATAGTTAGTTCTTTTGTTATTAACCTGGTGGAGGTCTACCAGGCTCTATGATTTCTCTTGCGCCAGGAACATTGCTCTTTTTTAAATTCAATAATTCTCTCTAGTATTTCTCTTCTAATTTGTTTTAAGACCCATAATCTGAACTCACACAAAACTATTCTGTTAAATCTTGAATAATTACCTTCCTGACATGGTTCTCCAATTATTGTCTTGTCTCAAATTTCATCTTGCAGGCTAAACACTCATTGAAAAGTGTATTCTCAGACATGTAAAAATAAAAAGTAAATTATAAATTATAATATTTTTACTATAAACAATAAACAGAATTCTTTATTAAAAATCACAATTACTTTTCGTAGTAAAGTGTTGTAGTGATATTATTGATTGGTGTTGAATGAAACTCCAGGACCTCCTTAACGAAATCTTATGTAATTTTATAATACATTACCGTCGGATTGATTATGAAAATTCTAGATGATCTACATCACAGAAGTACTCCTAGCAGAAGGGGGATGCATTTCCATGGAATCCATCGATTTATCCCCCACAAGACAATCCTTTCTTCTTTCATGATATGTAGTCCATATGATCATTAAACAACCGACGCTTGGACAGTACATCAAACAATAGTATCCTAAATTCGGAGAAATCGTTGATAAATATCCATAAACAATTGGAGCAGGCAAATACCCAAAGAGATTTACATAAGTAGTTGTATTGGAATTAGCAAACGAGCGCATTCCTTAATTTACCGATGATAGTACTATTCCTAGAAGTTACTTATGTGTTATACCGGTCATGATTGGTACTAAAGCACCTCCAAAGAAGAGCAACAACCAAATAAATCCTGTGATGGCCCACAAATTGGTTGTAAGTGTCACACAAATTGAAGCCAATGATCCAAAAATTGCTGCAATACAAGTAATGTAATAAGCATTCTTAGAATCATACCCTCCATAATGTTGAGTTATCAGTCCTCCTATGATTAACATTAAATGATTTATCTACCTAAAACACACCCAAGAGTGGGACCTGTAATTGAATCCAAACTAAAAAGTGTATTAACCAAGCCTTAATTAAAGCACAAGACTGTAACTAGATAATTGGATATCCAAAATTATATTCCCGTTACTGAAAAATAGAGCATCCCCAGAACTACTGTCATTACTACATATGGTCTAGATTTCAATGTTAATTTGATCAATTCAAAATAAGGCATCTTTTCATATGTATTACTGCTATCCTTAACATAGGGTCTCACATCTATGTTTTAGTGAGGTTGTCGAGACAGCAATGCAATACTTGGTACAAGTACACCGATTTGTAAATAAAATGCCCATCGCCACTTTTCATAATTTCACTATAATATTACATTCCATTGAGCTGCTATCACACTTGCCAATACATAGCCTACAAACACGCCAAAAGGCACTCCCCCTTGGAGGATTGTCAGCCAGACTGTTTTGTTATCTTAACCAAATGTGTCCACCCAAACGGGGAAGTATACAATTAAAGGAGCTTAGGCTGCACCAGTTATGAATCGACTTAGATAATAAGGCCATGCAACATCAAATTGCAAAGTAAACACAAACAGACTCAAAATCATAGTAATCATACTGATTTCAATAACTCTTAGAGGATTGTATTTCAAAAATATGAAGGAAGCTATAAAACCCATCACTACAGTCCCTGCATACACTAATGATCCCAATACTCCCAATTCTTAATTTGATAATTTCAGTGCACTCTGAACCTGGACGCTTGCTTAACATTTTAAATAGTAAATACAAACCTGCAGGAATTATACCATGGTCAAGACTCACAAGTAAATTAGTGATGGAAATTAATACAAAAACTCTGTATGCGTCAGGGATTCGCTATTATTATTCTTAAACATCTTTCATTAATAATATATATATATGTTTGTAAAACGAAAATCTATCTCTTAATTCTGAATACCCTGTTGATGACAATGCTCTCAAGGGTCTACACATTCAACATAAGTCTAATTAAAAGAATTGAGGTAATCAAAGAAACTTCAAAAATTCAGAATTCTGGAAAATTTCAAGAAGATTTTTTATAATAAATTTGAAACAGAAACAAAGCAACTCTGTATCTCAAAAAATTTTAAAAAACCTTATATTGCCCTTATAGAGATAGTTTTTATTAAATATTATATAACTTAATTTAACACTGCTGATTACAAAGGAGCTATTTTCTCTTTTTTTGATACATAGGACAAACACAATTAAAACCTGATTAATCTTAAAATCTAGTTGCTAATTCACTTGATTTAAAAATAATCACCAGTCTATCAGATATTTTATTAATTTATCATTAAACTTCATCATCCGTTAGCTGATACTCTAGATCAAGTTATCTTCTTTTTATATTTTATCAAATTATATCGCATCTATAGTAATATCATGGATAAAAATAATGAAAATTTGAAGGAATGGAAGACTGGCTTCACAATGGTTACGATAAGTTATTAATTAATCTAATAAAATTAATAAATATGGATATTGCTTCTCATATTTAGATTTAAAAGAGACATTATAGTGTTGGATATTTATTTTTAGATTGAATGTAATTCTCTAGTTTTAACCTATTTGCTTATTTAATTAGTATACTTTATTAAATACTTTTACCATATGGACTTTTTAGCAATTTCTAGTAACTTCTTTATGCCATTATAAGAGAGTCTTGATGTAACTTCAAACATTAAAATGGCACATATTTTATCAGAATTCTCTTACAAAATTTACATATCAGAATTATATTGATTCTATTGAAATCCGCCCATCTAAACAAAGCTGATTCCAATCATTTTGCAATTTTTTCTTATCAATTATAATTTATAAATAATCTCAACATCGGTATTAGTTTTTTATATTTCATTCAAATAATCATGGACATTCAAAACCTTATTCAATAATTTGGAGCAGGTTAAGCAGTCAATCCTGAAGCATCCATTCCTGATACAGCTGAATAAGTCACTATCAGTGCCCTTGCTTTAATCAAGATGCTTAAAGTAATTACAAAATAATCTTCCAGCATGCCAGGGCAGGAATTCCATTTGAAGTCATGGGTCTTTTATTAGGAGACATTGTCGACGATTATCACATTAGAGTTTATGATGTTTTTTCGATGCCTTAAACAGCAAGTGAGTGTTTCCGTGGAATCTGTGGAGCCCAATTTTTCAATAAAAAGATGGTTGAACTTCTCAACTTAACAGGAAGAATGGAAAATTGTATTGGATGGTATCACTCACATCCATCATATGGATGTTGGCTTTCAAGTGGTACTTATGCATTCCTCATTATTTAAAAGTTGATATCAATACTCAATAATCCTATGAATAGTTAAATAAGAAATCAATTGCTGTAGTCATTGACCCAATTCAATCAGTCAGAGGCAAAGTAGTAATTGATGCATTCAGATTGATTCCATAATAAAATATGCTCAGCTAATAAGAACCAAGATAAACTACTTCAAATACAGGGCATCTATAAAAACCAGGTTTAGAAGCATTGTTAAGAGGATTGAATAGATACTATTATTCCATTAACATCAAATTTAAGTGCAATGATTTAGAATAGAAAATGCTATAAAATTTATATAAAAATAGTTGGACTGAAGGATTAAAGTATATAATTATAATCCTATAAATTAATAGATGTAATTCTGCTAGTGAAAATAGTAAAAGAAATGAATCGTGTGTTGAAGATATGTCCAAATTAGCTTTAGATTATTAGAAATTGATAGGTATGGATTCTTTTAAATTGTAGAGGATGAATCCAAAAAAGGAGAATAGGAAACCAAAATCAAGAATACAGGTAAGAAGGATCCAAAGAGACATCTTGGTTTAAAAGTGGATGAACTACTTGATGAAAATTTAAATGCTATATTGGGAAGAATGATGGCTACTAAAGGCTTTTGATCTGATATATTGATAATATTAATAATGATTAATAATTTAATGTTTACTCCTGAGCAATTTGCCGCAAATTATTAAATGAATTTCTCCAAATTGATAGGTAAAGGGCATGATAGTACAGTGTTTTTGACTATGAACAAATCAACTAAACAACAATTTGCATTAAAATGCTTGGCATAAACCAATGAGTAAAATGCAATTAATTTATTCGTAATTATAATATCATATTTTCAAGAGAACGAGATCCAGATACTTCGCCACATTCAACATCCACACATTATCACCATGATTGGATATTGTTCAGACTGCTCTTGTATGCTTCTTGAATTAATGTCCAATGGCTCTCTTTATAAAATCTTACTTTAAGGGCCTTTACCTTTGGCTATTGCTAATGGAATAATACTCTAAATTGCTTAAGCTTTGTAGTATCTTCACGCAAAAGGAATAACTCACGGAGACATTAAATTAGATAATCTACTAATTTCTGGGGATTTCATTGTAAAATTATGTGATTTTGGATTTGCTAAGATTAATGGACAAGCTCCAATTCCAAAAACTACTGTATCTGGGAGTGAAGGTTATACAGCTCCTGAAATTTGGAATACCCCAAGCGATTTAAAAAAATGTGACATGTTTTCGTTGGGAGTTGTTTATTTTATTATGGTGACAGGACACCCTCCATTTGAATCAAACAATCCATAAACGGAAGATGCTTGGTGGAAACTCATTTAGAAAGAGGAATGGAATGTTTTTTGGAAGGAATTAAAATTAACCATATTACCAGAATATGTTAGAACAATTATTTAAAAATTACTGTGTGTAAAGTTTCAGATGAGATACTCAGCTGATGAATTAATTTAACTATTGGCAGATAAGTCTGCTACCTCAGATCAGATAGTTGATGAGATTAAAAAAAGACTCACTTAATAAAAATGATTGTATTTAAATTAAATAATGAAACAATGTATGTATTTAGAGCAAACGAATTTATTAAAATTCATTAAAATACAATTTTATCAACACTTTATCTTTAAAGTAAATGCTATTTTAATATTGCTTGGCTATATTGTTCTTTTTGATTTTTGAGATGCCTTTACTTTTGACTTTTTTCAACCATTTTTTCAATTAGCTTTTATTGTTCTCTCTATTAATGATTAGAGTATATACTTCTCTTTCCTCTGCGAATGCTCTGGTATTATTTAAGGCCCTTTAATATTTCATTCTATTTTTTTCTGTTTATTCTTTGATTTTTATATCAATACTTGATTAAATTGACATTAATCTACCCGAAATGTCTAAAATGAATTCAAATAATAATACCTTTATCATTTTCCTTCTTTTTTATAGATTCTATTTTCTGTTCCAAAATATGATTCAATTTTTCTTTGTTTTTCTTCACCGTTCTAAATTAAGTAGCTAATTTAGTTTTTACCTGATCTAATTATTCACTCTTGATTTACATTTATTCTTCAACCATCTTATTACTCAAATCAGCATATTTAATGTATTATTCAAGTTTATTTTATTGATATTCAATCTGAGTTTACATTACCTTTTACTATGCATATTCTTATTTCTAAAGACTCAATTGTCTCTTTTGATTAATTTCATCTTTTAATTTTTATAGTTATTACTCAGTCACATACTCCTTCTCCATTTACTTCTCCATAATCTATTCAATCTATTAATTTTCCATATAATTAGCCAATTTCTTCTTCTCTCTCCTCTCCTCATCCCTTCTTTAGTTTCTCTCCTGCTGTTCTCTCAACTCTTGATTGTATTACGAATTAAATTAAATTTTATTTTGTTGAGTGATTTCTTGTTTCTTATTCAAGCACTCCTGTATTTTGACTCTTTATTCTCTGTCTTTGATTTCCAATTCATGTATTTTTTCGAGAGTTCTCCTCTGGCGATCTTAAAAGATTTTCTTTCGTTCTTATTGTTTACTAAGCCAATTTATTGATTTATTACATTTTATTGATTTGTTTAACAGTTTCTACCTTTTTAGCCATAATAGGAACTTTTTGTTAATAATAATCTTATAAAGATTTAAGCTTTTCTTCTTCCAGTTGTTTGTATCTACTAAGAGTTTATAGGTATTCTTAACTTTTCTTTGCTTGCATTTCCAGTTTCTCTTCAAAGGAAATCTATAAGAAATCGAGAGAACGTGTATTGAATGATTTTGACATTATAGTGGTCAACTTTGTGGGTATGATAAGAGCACCGCCATCAGTGAGGAAGCCTGATACATGTAATGGAGACTGATACTTGAGGTATTTTATCGTGTGTGTGATTTGTTGAGATTGTTTTTTGACTTCTATAGTTTCTCTTACTTTTTAATCAAATTTCTAGTACTCACAATTCGCAACAATTCCTTATACTTTTCAGTAAGGTAGTTCATATAATTAATTAGATTTTGAATGGGATGAAGTTCAGGTATTTGAAACTACTAAAATGTAAATATGCAACATGCACTCTCGGCTAATTCTAATGAATCCAGGGCTTCTTTTGTGCGAGGAGATTGCGGATCTAATTTTAAAAAGAAAATTGATAGCTTGTTGGGGTCTCTTAAAATTTTATCCTTGTCATCGAATGGCATAAAATCTTGACTTATGGCTTCATCTATGATTGCATTGGTGAGTGTTGGAAATTTGAGTTTTTTAACAAAGAATTAATCGATGAGATGGAATTTCTGCTCTTCTGTTAGTTTGGGCTTGATTCTGGGGGAATTAACCTCACTGTTGTGACTATTGTGAAAACTCGACATTAAAAATAAAAAATTAAATAAATGCTCTTAGATAATGTACTCTTGAATATGTAATAAATCAGCGTTCATTTCTTTTACTTCTTTTTGTTTTATTGTTTCTTTCCACCTGCACCAATAACTATTTTGTTGACATCTAAGTAATTGTGAATTAGGTTAAATACTTTATGGGAGTGTTTATTGAATTTTTTAGGCCTTATTCTTATCAGCGGTTTTGAAGGTGAAGAGGTATTTCTTTCCTCTCAACTTGAATTTGGTGATCTTCTTTGACTCTTTAATGTAGAGATCTATCAAAATGATATTAAATTCTACTCTTTTTTGGTTCCTTATTTTGGTCCTTTGCTTATGCATCACTACCCTTCATGAGTGAGAGGAACTCCTTAACATCCTGAATTTCTTTAGGCATTTTAATTTAAAAAAGATTTAAAAATTTTAATAATAAAAACAAATTATCTATATTCACTTTTGAACATAATCCTCTTTGCTTTGCTATTCATTTTTGCCTCTCAACTTCTTCAATTGTTCCTCAGAATAATGAGTGATTTCAGCAGGTTTCTACAGCGTATCTTGATAACGAGACCCTTTCTTCTTGTACACTCTAAACCCAAAAATTCTTGGAACATACTGCTGACTATTAGGAGCAATCTGAATTTCTTAGACGAAGTTCTTATTAAATTAACCATCTTCATACCATGATGAAGATTGAAGGGAATGAACATCCAAAATATGCCCCATCAACATCTGGGCATTTCTTCTTTGGAATGTACACCTCCTCACATCTTGGACAGAATACTTTCACTCTAGAAGTTCTTAATTCCTCACTCATTCCAACAGGAAGTACATTTGATCTGTCGCATAATACTCTTGGACAAGCACCGAATTTTCCTGATAAAAACTTATCTTTCATCAATGCCAATCCTGCTCGATAATGAATATTGATACCTTTTGCTGTAATAATGAATCTGGCATGAATTAATCCATACAAATCAGTAGCTTCTTGATAAACCTCCAGGAAACGCTCATCTTCCAAATCTTCATCGTCAGGAGTCTCAGAACTCAAAATCAAATCCAATGCCTCACTAATTGTTGAGTTTTGATATTTACTTATAGAAATTGAATTTGCTCTTCAATCCATACAAATTGAAGTTGTCTCTTATAAAATCACTATCAACTTCACATAAAAATTGATGATCTTCCATATTGCAAAACCATTAAATCCAACCTGCCCCTTCTGAATATGATGAATCTCCTGACATATTTATTTTTATTAAATAATATATTAAATCATTATAAAATCAAAATAATCAAAACAATCATACATATCCCAATCATGTGAGGAATATAGAGTTGCCTTAACTATTTTTTATTCTCCTCTATTTTTTATTCATGCTGTTAAGTCCTTGGAGTTCCTTAAACACTGTGTTTTGCCTACTACTATTAAGTACAATAAGATTTAACAGCATTCTTTATTAAATCTGCATGTTTATTCTTCTAAACAATCGCTCTCTCCTTTGGTAATTCAATGTGGTCCTCAGATTATTTTTAGTAGGAATCCTCAATATCAGTAATGTGCTGTAAAGAGCATGGCATCTTGAATTAGTCACTATTGGCAAGTGTTTGGATTTCCTCTTCATTGTTCTCTTCATCTTGCTTAGATTGTGAAGGCAGAACTCTTTATGTATAAAGATCCTCATATGAATTATTCATTGATTATTCTGAATTCTTGTTTTGAAGTATGGTATTAATGGAATATCCATTTTTGAGTTCACCTGTTGTCTGACATGCTCGGATTTCATTAAAGTAATCCTTTAATCTCAAATAAATTATTCGACTCAAACGTTAAGATCCTGTAACAATATGATTTTGATCTAAAAATGATTATTCATATATCTAAGTAATTTCATTCATTTATGAGAAACTTAATTATTTATTTAATTAAAAATGACCCTTTATGATATTAAAAAATAATTAAAATTGTTGTTTTTTTATTTTCTCATTTAAAATAGAGGTTAAAATTGTAATGCTTGCAAACTTAATAGCTAATTATTCCTTCATTGACATTTCTTCAGGTTGTTGAATAATTTATTCTTCCATCTAATCTTAAGGTAAAATCTCATGATCTTAATCAAGAAAACTTGTTTTAAACACTTTTCTGTTCTGATTGCATCTCATTATACTTAGAATACTCAAATAGCAAGACCTCTTTTGGCATTTTTTGATCAAATTCTTAATTTACTTAATACCCTTTATGAAATTTGATTATGCCCTAATCCTCTTCAAGGTCAATCTTTATTATTAATTAACAAGTCTCCTGAGGATGTGAGATAGTACAATTGCTGATGCTACGGGTATTTATTGACTTTAGTCTTGCTATATTTATTCTCTGATCTAATTGTTGGATAGATCATCCATAACAGGAGGAAGTGATATTGTTTGATTAAGATCTAAGAAGCCATTGGGTTAAGTTGTTTTTCTTTCTTATTATAGAATCCAAAAATATGTTTACAGTTTAGAAGATTTATACTTTTATAATTTATGAAGAAGAGATTGAGTGGCTAGTACAATTCTTAGTTAGGTGAATTTCATTGCCAATTTACTTGATTCATCTTCTCTCATTTCGCATAAGACTTTGCAAGCTACTTTGACTTAAGTTTTTCGTTCCTATTAATTAATAATGCATTTACACTTGAGGCACAAGACTTGGCTACAGAATAGCTAAGCAGTGAGCTTTGATCAGGATTTGTTTTAGCTCTACGGCAATTATCTGTTACTACAGGTGATTTCATAATTATAAAATTATGTTATTAAAAAAACTCTTTTTATTTTGTTATCCAAAATTATTGTAAAAGCGTCAGGATAAAATCATTTACTTAAATGTTTTGATTAAGATGACTTCTTCTTGTTTTTATTTTTTATTCATTCATTAATTATTTTATAGAAAAATATAATATTTATTCAAAATTTAATTGATTCCTACTCATTTTTCTCTCAAACCCATTACAAAACTTCAATTATGATCATAGTTGGCAGAATTGATAACTAATTTTAGGAGTCAATTTTTAATCAAAAGTATTAATCATCTGTTTCCAATATATATTAAAATATAAGTAACTTGGAAAATAAAAATAATTAAAGAATAATTAAAATCAGCATAAGAAATTATTGATTTTTACACTAACCCAAAGTAATTTTGATTGTGTTTGTCCTTCTCATTCAAATTGCCTTGAGAAATTGAGGAATGTGAGAGTAATATTATTTTTAAATTTCAACAGTATCATAAGTACTTTTTATTATTTTTTTCCGCTGAAGAGAAAGATCTGGTGACCTTGATATGGAAGAGAAGGAAGATATTGCAAGGGAGATGTTGTTGAAGTAAGACCGCGGGAATAGAGTAATTTGAAATATAAAATATTCATTTTTAATTGCCTAACAAATTCTGTATTATGATCTTTTATATAAATTCAAAAAATGGTCTGGGAAATTATGAAATTTGACTAACAACATGTTTTGAAAGGTTAGGGAAATATTCTTAAGAAAAAAGTCTAGGATTGAGGATTTAAGTTTCGATATTTATAACGCAGTAAATTAAGAAAGTGATTAAGAGAGTATTTAGGGAGAACAAAATTTAGATTTATGAAATATTATTATTTTTTATGAACAAGAATTCACCATCACCAAGTTCACCAACCCCTGTGATCCTGGTTTTAGTCACCAATAAATAGGGGAAAGTATTAGAGCATAGCCAGTTCTTCAGAACCTTTTCAGTTTTTGGGCAAGTCAAAAAGGTACTTCTTCATTTTATTTTGTGTTTAGATTCTTATATTCGAAAGAAAGATCATTTGGAAGGTGTTCATCGAGTATGAGAATGCTTAGCAGGCCCAAGCTGCTTTAGTTTTAGACGGGACTCTCTTTGATTACCAACTTAAAATGAGAGTGCACCTCAGCCAACGTGATTCTCTGGTGTTTTAGAATAATAACAACTGTGGTGTTGGTAATTTTTCTTTTTCTATCATATAGATTATACTACTCTTTAATCAAAGCAACAGTTTTTCTAGCAGTTGAAGGAAGACTCAGGCTCTCTCAATCAACAACTACAGTAGAATCTTGACATGCTGAATAAGCTTATAGTCCAAGTAAGCTAAACGGCAGATTTAAAAGAACAAATGTCCCTAATCCAACAGATCTAGGAGTTCCGCAATCAAACTCAATAATTGACCGTTCTTTACCAGCAGCAATTGCGCAATTATGCATCCGTTTTACAAAGAGAGGGAAAGAAACAAAAATAAATCGTTTCCGCCGTTACCACTCCATCACCTTCCCCCTTTTTACACTCCACTTTGGACTCAATCAGACATCAGATTCCAGAAGAGTCTTCAGAAGACGACAAAGAGGAGTTCTCAGATGGAGAGAGTATCTCCTCCCAATCTTCAGAAAAATCTTAGAAATCTACTCATTCCGAAGACAATTACAATGAAGTCTTTTGTAATGACTCCACAAATCCTTTTTCTTGTGGTGCCAGTCCTTTTACTCCTTACCCCTAAAAAAGAATTGGCAGTCCATTTATAATGACTCCAACTACCTTCCCAACCTATTTGATGGTCCAGCATCCCAACATCAATCTTCGAGTGGTGTATAACATCTTTAGTACATTCACACGAGTTGATGCCATTTATCAAAGCAATTACGGAGCTTTTCTTCAAATCCCTTCCAAAGAAGAAGCTATTCGAATGAAAAATCTACTTGGCAAAGCCATGCTTTTTGGAATGCCTATGAATCTTGTGGTTTCAGATCAACTTTCTCATGACGCTCGCTAAGTTAGTTTGCCTCCCAATGACAGAAAACCAGTTCTTTAACAATCACTATCAAACTCAATCTTGATCACCGGACTATCTGGAGTTACCATAGAACAAATATATCAATATTTCGGGTGTATCACTCCCATCTTAAATATGAAGTATCCTATTTAATCCATATTCTCTAGATTCATCAATCAGAGCTCTTGCAAAATTCTGTATTCCGACATAGGATGCAGTCTAAGTGTCTTAGGATATATCTAAGATGCCAAGATTAATGGAAGGTATCAATATATAACTAATATCTAGATCTGTGTAACTTTCATTCACAGCTTTCTGATTAATGAATTTATAATATTATTTTATCAAGTGATAGATCAATTCAATAACATATCTTATATATATATAATAAACTAATTACATTATAAGTGTTTTATAAACTCATTTAATTAATTATAAAATGTCTGATTAAGAACTCAACTTAGAACCAGATTCGGAGTCCAAAGGATCTTCAGATAATGAGAATGCCTAACAATAGGAACAAAATCCCAATCCACCTCTTACTATATTTTCAAAGGGTTTTCATGTCGAAAAATAACAAGCCGAATAACAATAATAATAAACTCAATCAGATCAACAAAATGCTTTCCAAGACCAACCCATTTAAGAGGATGAAGACGAAGGAGATGAGTCATCTAAATACATGTCTTTTGATAAATAGCCTGAAGAAGGAGAAATTTAATTTAATTAATTCAACAATAATAATTAAGACATTCAAGAACCACAATCAGAATAAATAAAAGAGCCAGATAAGGAAGAAAAGGAAGTAGATGATCTCTAAAAATTATATGAAGCTATTGGAAAGGATAAATAGGAACTAGAAAATGAAAAAGAAATATAAGAGGTAGAAAAATAGGAGGTAGAAAAATAGGATAAAGAATAAGAAGAAGTAAGTTCAGCTGAGGACAGTCCAGATTAAAAGACGGAGAGACAAAATACTATCATTTTAAAAACCTAGAGACTATACATGTTGGAGGTTCAAGAAAGAAACGACGAAGCAATACGAATTGAATTAATTGAACAACTCAAAACTTAGTTTGCCTTTAAGTAAGCTCACCCTTTCGATTTGTTTATAATGTATGATGATGCCTTGGTTGAATTTTAAATCAGAATGGATGAATTAGATCATGCTCTTAAATCAATATCTATTGACTTACAATAGGATTAGAAGAGAATAGTTTAGAAATACTACAGAGTACCCAAATTGGACACTATTTCAACTATAAAATTATGTTGCAGTCTCGTAGAAGACTTGGGAGAGTTAGTTATGATGGCCATAAATTACATAGTTAACAAGTATAGACTATTGTTGGATATCTTTTTTGAAGAAGTGACTGGGCCAGATAAATTGATCTCTGTGGAAACTTTGAAGTTATTAAATAGAGAATGGATGTGGGGTTTGGATGAAGGAAAATTATAGTAAATTTATAATCTAATGACAGACTACGGAAACAATATCTACAATTTACAGGTTTTTAAATAAAAGTTGTCTAAAATTGCAGAATAAGTGGATAAGAAATTTAATTTTAATGCTTATTAAAATGTTGTAAAATCAATCATCAAAAATGGGTCAATTGAATAGATATTTCGATTATTAAGAGATGAAGATCAGGGTGTTACAGATGAAATTTAAATATAAAAGTTTTTAAGCATCATAACCAAATTTATAGATAGAGCTTTGTCAAAGCAAGAGTTATTGGCTCTGCGTAAGTATTTAGCTAAAGATAAAGATGAAGATATCATAATTTATTCGAAACTTATGAACGATGCCTTGAAGGTGATCGAAGATGAAAGAATATAAAAATAATAGGAACAAGAAAAACAAAAACTACTTCAAAAAGATATTATTTTAGAATACTTAAAAAGCGTCGTCGAAAAATCTGTTACATTGCCTGATTAGTATTTCAAATAGGAATAGCTATTTAAAATGGACAAAGAAACCTTTATAGAATAAACAATTATATTAACTGGTTTTGTAATTGATAAGGATAAAGCCCTATAGATTTATGAAATGATTAGAGAGGAAAAAATAGACAAAGAAGAAGAGGACATCAATGTGATTGAATTCACTTAGTTTATAAACAAAAAGAAATATGAAATTTCATAGCCTGAATCAGAAAAAATCCAATAATCGAAGGAGATTTAAGAAAAAATAGATCAATCTAAAGGGGCATCATAATAAATGTTATAACCTCCCTCATTAATCAAGTAAGGACAATCTTAGCAAGGATAATCCTTAAGGTAATAGCTATAATTGCCTTTGAGTGCAATATCCTAGCCCTAATCAGCTCTTAGGGATAAGTAACCAGTGCTTTAATAAGTATCTAGTAGATAATAAGAAAAATCATCAGAAAGGTAGTAAGAAAAGGCATCAGAAAAGTAGATTGAAAAAGACAATAAAGAGAGTAAGGATAATAAGGATAATAAAGATAATAAAGATAATAAAGACAATAAAGACAATAAAGATAATAAAGATAATAAAGAGAAAGATAATAAGGAAAAAGAGAAGGAGAAAGAAAAAGAAAAGGAAAAAGAAAGACTTTAATAATTATAAAGTATTTCTCTTAGAAATGATATATATTGTTTATTTAATGAACTTGATGAATAAAAAGTGAAAATCTTAACATAATAACAAATGTTTTCAGGATTACTTAGAATTGGAGTTGTCATCAATGGATAAAAATTACTTAATTAAAAATCTTATGATTATTTCAGCTTTGAAAAGGTGATAATGCAACAATTAAAGTATTTCTTTAATTCAGCTAAACTGATTTACAATCTCAAAAAGGAATTGGATTAATACAAGGAGGAAGAAACTGATATAGTAAATATTCCACTATTAAAGTAATTTGTTATTTCATTATTCTAGAACTTTGTTTGAGAAAATCAGATTAAATGTTAAATTCGAAGATATACAGTATTTATTTTCTATTTTGGACAAAGAGGAGAAAGGTAACATAAAGTTGAGCAATTTATTCTATTTGATACATGTGCATCCAATACTAGATTACAAACTGAATGAGTTATTATTTAGAGTAAGAAAAGCTTCTTAAATAGATGAAAGGATATTATGATAATTCGTTAAAGATGCATAAAGTCTTATACTCTAAACTTCCATTGAATTATTGTCGACCCTTTACTTCTAAGGCCAACCTACCTAGCTATACTTTTCGATATAAACTGGATTTGTTGGGAAACATTCAAGTTCATCCTCCATGTTCTGGAAACAATTCATGCAAGATCAAGTTATTAGAGGCATAAGGTATTCCTTCTCCAAAAGATAAAAGCACTTGTTTCAAAAGAGAAATAGTCGTGGCGATTTACGATAACTTTTATAAGCAATTTTCTGAGAACAGTCTCGTTCTCAAAGCTAAATACCTTCCTGAAAATGAGGATATTTGGTATTTTCCAGTGAAGAATAGAAATAATGGATTCTATTTGAATTGTGAGAATCAGAAAGAGAAATTGAATCTGATTTTGGTGTTTGAATTTATTAGTTACTTTAAAGAGAATAATCAAGTGCATAAAATCAGTTGTTGTTTTGCAGAGATACCTGTAGCACACATAATGAGGTTAGGTACATTTATATTGCCCTTGAAGGGAGGTACTATCGAATAAATAGTCTCAATTGCTAAGGATGATATCCGATGCAAAAGAGGAGGAATTTCAGGACTCATAACACGACTAAGTGGGGATGTCTAACCCTAATTCAAAATAATTAGTATGAATAAATCAAATAGACCATAATTGCAGAAGGAATTGCAGATGTTGCCTCCACTGTGTCTTTGTCATAGAAACATGACCTAAATTATTTAGACTTATAGAATCTTCTGTGAGGATAAGTTGAAATAAGATGAAAGTGTGTTCATTTAATCAATTGATACATTTTTATTTTGTTTAGATTGTCCTTACATCTGTTCAAAGATGTGTAAACTGTGGAATCGTATAATTCAAGGAAAGATGATAGGTCAAGAGTTAGCATCATTCTAGATACTGAATTGGATAATTGTAAAAGTTGATTAGATTGAAGGATTTTAATTTTAATCCTTATTCACCCCAAGAAGTCTTTACTCCTGAGATCAGTAAGCCAAAAAGGAATGTCGTAAAATCAATATTCGAATATGCTGAATATTTGATAGACAGTTCCTTTTTCAATAAATTGGGATTGGATGGTGATGAAATTTTGAAGGAACAAATGGACTTATATGGATAACCATTGATTCAGGGAATCTTTGATGGTGGGCATAATCCATTTGATAAATATTACAACGGATTGAATTTGAAGGCTTATGAAACTTATGTATAATAATTGTGATATATATAAATGGATGATAATTTTAAGAAATTGATTGAATCTACCTAACCAGAATCTGTATCCACAATCAGACTGTGTAGAAGATTAGGATATCGTCCAGAGGATCTCACATATAGGTACAAGGCTCAGTTATTATACTCTTTAGATCCATAGAGGAATTTTAATCAGTCAATAATGAGTTGAGATAAGTAAAGTATGAGCATTACAAAGCTAGAGTGCTTAGTAAAATCTTAAATTTTAAATAAACTAGAAATAGTAAATGAAATAAACAATGTGAGAAGTAGGAACAAAACTACTGGTTTATCTGAGTTACCTACTTAAACCAATGTTCAATTTTCTTCGATTGTTGATACTGTAGAGGAACATTCCCAAAACGTATCAGCTCAGGAGAGAGTGCTTTAGAATCTCATTTATTAAGAGCTTCTAAGACAAAAAAAGTTTGCTTAATATTATCAATAAAAGAATAAAATTTTAGAACGTAAATCCAAATTACCAACCCAACCTTCTTAACCAATTACAATCCAATCAAAGCCTTCTGTCTAGTTGTTGAAAACAGAATAGTCACTCAAAAGATGCGAAACGCAACGTGAATATGAGAACAAGGAGAAGTTCTTTATAACTTCGACTGAAAAGTTTCTTGTCAAAAGATAGCAAATTCTGCAATAGGAGGAGAAATAATAGGAAGAACAGTTCCAAAAATTAAAAGACAAGGGTAACCATGTATTCATCATTAGAAAAGAAAGCAACAGAAAGAATTCAATAATTCAAGACCGAAGTGAAACTGCATTTTTAAAAGTCCAATCTTGAAGAAGTGAAAAACAAGAAAGAACAACTCGATAACGAACTATATCAAATGTTGATTACTAAGCAATGTGAAAAATTGCAAAAATTGAGACTAAAATAGAGCCAACTTAGCAAACCATTCAAATAGAAAATTTCAATTAGAAATAAAACATAATCATTGGTCTTTGATTCCGACTTGCAGTAAAAGATCGAGGATAAGATCGAGAAGGTAGTGAATTTGAAGTCTCAATTACTATCCGAACGATCAAAAATCATAGGCGAAAGACTGAAAATCAATTAGGATGATGTGAATTTCAATAAGTACCACCATGAGCAATTGAGGATGAAGGAGGAAATTAAAAGGATTGGGAAGATACAGAAGAATCAGAAGCAGCATTCTTGTTAGATTGACCTGAAGCCTCAGTTGTTGGAGAAGCAGAAAAAAGAATCAGTATGGGAATAAGTGAACCGTGTTAGTCATTTATTTTCTAGTCCAGTAGAATATGACGGATATAGGACTTAGATGAAATTATTATCCAACAAACAACGAGAGACGCTTGATCCAAAATATCAGAATCGCGTAGATATATTATATAAATTGTTACCCTCTTAAATGGCAGAAAAAGTGTTATAATGATAAATTTCATATAATCTAACAAAATTGTTTACAGCAAGCATCAGCTTCCTCTTTTTCCTCCATCAGATTGTAGAGTTTCCAATTTTCAACTACGCGAATGTCAAACACTTATTGAGAAGGAAGTATTTCATCTCTAAAACATATGCGAAACTTTAATTTTTTATTGATTGGGTTTCCAAATCTATCCACCCTAACATTCTGATCTATTTCTGGATCGTCGTCGTCATCAAATTTCGATCTGCAAAGTTCCTGAATGTTTTGCTGTTAATATTTAGGGCCCCGCATCATTTTTTAATTTATTATGACTTTATAAGAACACATTAATTGCTTGTATGTCTATTCGAATCACCTTTTGAATGAATAACAAAAATATATTTATTAAGAAATCTAACGAGATCTCATTTATGCATTTGTTGGTTACAAAATAAGTAAAAAACTATTTAGTTAAATATTAAATATTTAATGACTTTCTTATATTGAAAAATATAAACAAATTTTCTAAATAGAAATTTAATAATTCTTAGTCCAATCGATTTTGAGTAATTTGATATTATAATTACATTCACATTATTGTAAAGACAAATTCATGTAAATTAATTAATTTATTAAGCAATTTGCATAGCAATAACATGAAAAATAAAATGTAAAATGTAAAATTTAAGTTTTGAGTGAATAAAATGCATCAATAAATAAATAAGTTCATCCATCATTTAAAATTTGAGCCGATTATTGTAGTAAACCTTGCAATGAGAAAGGGGATGTAGCCACATAAGGCGATTGATTGATAACCACTCTATTGATTTACTTTTGGGGACTGGAGTAGGAGAGTGTAGTTTAAACATCTTTGAGTAGTAATAATTCTTTGGTTTGAGTATTAAGTTGACTTTTGAGAGTTTCACATTGCAATCTGAGACATTTTTATTAGTCGTGTTGATTGGTGGAGCCACAAATGCAATCTGTTGATGGGTTGCATATGGAGACATGAGTGATGAAATCTTTTTTGTATGTCTGTTAGCCACATTCTTGTTTAGGACAGGTGATTGTATTAAATCCACATTTCTGTTCATGAATCCTCAAATCAGGATAGCAGAGTTCTTCAGGGCATCCGTTGACTCTGTTTTGACATGAGAATTTGACACTTGTGTATAATTTATGAAACATTTTTGGTAGTTAAGATGTTAGGACAGTCACAACTTCGCAGTTAGGACAGAAGCCTCTGTAATTAATATCCTAAACATATTTAGTATTCTTGTTGATTAGAATGGTTTGAACGGTTATTTCAATTGGTTCAGGTATCTGATCCTCTGCATAGGGAATGCATTTAAAGCAAAAGTTCTCATGACACTTTAGACATATCAATTGTTGTAGAGACAGTGATTTGCAAGACTGACATACAAGATGTGATAGGAAGGTGGAGACTTTGGCATAATTAGCAATTCTATTTTCAGGCAAAGGGAAATTCATTAATAATGGAAAATAATATTTATTAACAATTTATATTTCAAACTCTTTTGGCCTCTTAGAAATGTTTAGCGAAGGTCTATGCTACAATTAATGGGAATACAAGAGTGGCTTCAGAAAATACTTTGACGTATTCTGCATCAATTCTTAATTTGCCCCAAGTGATTCCCTCTGATGGTTTTGCTCCAGCATCACTTCCATCATATTGGATACCTGTATTAACAAATACTGCCCAATCAGCTCCATTTCTCCAGATGTTTGCATTCATGATGTGGTGTTTAACGACTCCTCCTCCAAGAATAATCAATCCTGACTTCTTGGCAAACATGGCTTTCTTGTTTAATGCAACAACGTCTTGTAGGATATCACAAATAAATCCTTCTTCCTTATAATTGAAGTAGAACATCATGTCTCCAATGGCTCCATCTGTTAATGCAGGACAATATACAGGGATGTTGTTTTTGGCACACCAATAATAAATTGATCTCTCATCATTGATTTTCTCTCCAAATCTTTTGATCATAGATGATGGTGACCAAATAGTTCCTTTTTCTTTTTATTCTTTATACATTTCCTAAAAGACTGGGAGAAGCCAATCTTCTAGTTTTCCATAATTTGCAGCAGGAACATAAATATTACCAATACGACAAATAGCTTTTAATCTTATTTCTTTGTCATTGGCTTACCAATCTCCTTTGTGAAAAGTAGAGATGCATTTCATAAGATCTTCTTCTATGGCTCCAGCAGTAGTGACAATGGCATCAATCATCTTATGTTGTGCCAAGTATCTGATGATATCTCTATTGCCTGATGATACCATATTACTAGTGTAACCTAAAAATATGGTACATCTAGTGTTGGGGTCTTCGTTGTCTTCGTTTGGACCCATTCGCCAATGAATCATTTTGTTGATGAGATCGATTGCTGTGCTTAATTAGGTGGCTTGCAATCCGAAGTTGGCATAAGACTTTAGGAGTGCATCGAAATCGACTCCTTGATTGAAATCGTAGCCTTTGATTTCTGGAGTGGTGACTGGTTCTGGTTGGAGTTTGTAGAGAGTTTAGTATTATTCTTCTGCTTTTTGCATAATTAATATTTAATGGTGAATAATTGCGAAGAGATGTTATATTACAATTTATTAAGAATTATGGTTCTGATCAAATTATTGTCGTTTTTTTGTTAAACTTTGCAAATGCCTTATGAATTCGTATGAGGCGAGCTGTCATAAACCTTATTATTGTGATCTCTACTTAGTGCGCAATTTAATGATGAGCAAGACCACCAGCAACAATGCCAGGATAATCAAACACCACAAATAGAATAAGTCGAAATATTTGCTACACTGCACATATGTTCCACAGGAGTGATAGCTTTCTTGGATCAAACAGCAAGTGTCGCAATTCAATTTGATGCAATGATTCTACTTATTTGATGACGTACATCTGAGTATATGGAGCACTCACTTTGATATTTGGAGCATTGATTCAGGTTGTTGCAACAAAGACTATTACATACAGAAGCCTCTTTTGGGGACTTGCATTACATAATAAATTAATTAAAATGATGGAGGTCACAAGAAACAAATAGATTGACAAAGTAAAACTGAGTCTTGACTCCGACAAATTCAACTACTTCTTGGCCCAGTCCTTGAACAAGGTTACCAGTCATCGTTCGTTGCAACAACTAGCCAAGACTCTCGCTGATCACTTCATCCAGAACCAAATAGAAATCCGCAACAAATCCAACCAATAACGCCAAAGACAAAATGCGCTTCCTCAAATCGTCAGACGCTCTCAACAATCGATCAAGGTCCTTCCCAAGCCTCCACGCATCGAACCAAGACAATCACAAATTCCCTTATACAAAGTTCCCTTCACCATCCTTGAACCCCAATATTCGTATCTCTTAGGTGGAGGCAACAACCACGAACTCATAAAACGCATCATGGACACCAGACGAGAATGGCATCAATGCAAAAGTACAACACGAGTTCATTTTAGATGGTAGTAATCTAATATAGGTTACAAATATTACAAAATGAATGCCTACAATCCCCATCGATCCTTAGTCAATCACTTTGAATTTCACTAAGAAATAAGCAACAAGAAGAATCTCCTCTTGAATATGACCACTTTTTGTGAATCCATCCACAGAAATGTATTTGACATCCTTCCTCTCACCTTCGTTATTGATTTCAATGATTCCCAAATTGAGTCCCAACTTTTAGCCTTTCTCAACTATTACAACCAATACTCTCCCAATCCCATATCATAAGACGAACTCTTACTCAAAAAGTAGGAAATCAAAAAGAAACTCAGAATTCCACCCAGCAAAGACAGGAAGTTCATCGATTATCAAATGAAAGATACCTTTTTGGGAGCTGATTATCTCTGGCTCCTAAAACCAACAGGATTAAACCGAGGCAGAGGTATCAATGTCTTTAACAACCTCGATCAGTTGACTGATTTACTCATTGAATACACCTCAGGAGTAAGTGAAAAGCATATTGAGACTCCCAATGAGAAGATATATTAAGGAATCATTATCAAGTCCCCTTCCTTTGTAGTATAGAAGTACATTGAAAAACCGTTGCTTATCAACAATCGAAAATTTGATATCAGAGTGTGGGTGCTGGTTGATTAAGAATTGAATTGCTATTTCTTCAAGTATTCTATAAATATTAAATAATAGAGAAGGATACATAAGGACTGCGTCTGAAGACTTTGTTACTAATGATGTAAACAACTTGTTTATTCACTTGACAAATAATGCAATTCAAAAGTATAGTCAAAAATACGGGGATCAAGAAGCAGGGAATCAATTATCCTTTGATCAGATTTAGAAGATCTTTAAGAATAAGATTGATTTCAGATAAACCATTGTTAAAAAGATGAAGGAGATTGCCTTTTTGGCAATGAGTTCAGTGGGTAACAAAATAAATAGGAACAATCGTAGAAACTGTATGGAAATCTTTGGATTTGATTATTTCTTGGACGAAAAGTTCAATCTATATTTGATAGAGGTTAATACAAATCCATGCATTGAAGAATCGAGTCCTTTGTTGGCTCAACTGATTCCGAGAATGTTAGATGATGCGTACATTTTGACTCTTGACTTGATCTTCAATATATCAAGGGAGAAAGTTAGTCCATTTCCAGTTAAGGGTTACTAAAATAATGAGAATATGTGGTAATATTTGATGCTTATTTAGGTAATTGATAGGATCGCTTAAAGATTAAGCTATTTACTAATGAATTTATTCGTTTTTATAATTATGAAATATTTCATTTTGACTTTATTTGTTTTGAATGCATTTAGCTTCTCCTTGAACGATGATTGGGATGGTATGGAAGAAGTGATCAAAGTGTAACAAGATGCAATTTTGGTATAGAGAATAATTAAATAGGATCTAGTAGACTAATTAGACGTATATTCAGAAACACCGATCACTGAATAAATAGAGAATCAAGTACAACAACTCATGAATCCACCACTCGAAGCAGATCAGACTAAATAATCAGATGAATAGAGTGAAGTTCACTCTCTGGAATACTGGTTGGAGAGATTGGGAGATGAATATTCAGATGAAACCATATTATTGTAGTAATCCTAGACAATCACAGAATAAGTCACAACAGTCTTAGATGATCTGATTCTCAAAGTAGAGGAGGATCAACAAATGGATCAACAAACTGAAACTGATTCCACCTTGATTATAGATGGCATTAGATAATTTTAACAAGATTAGAATAATCAGTAGCCATAGACTATATAATTGTAGAGTCAAGATGATGAATAAAAATTAATTGATCTCAATTAAATCTAAGATCAATTCGATGAGATTGATTCAACAAATACAGAAGTTAGTGTCTAGTAACAATTAAATTAGAGTTCTGAAGACACCCTTTAAGTTTAAATTGATTCCACTAATGAAGACACTTATAATCAATCTGCATCGGAATTCTCACCCATTGAGGATACTCTTAATCAAGTATAGGATAATAATAACAGGGTGTTCACATTTTTGAATCATGTTCAAGAAGACTCTTATATTTAATCATAATAGAAGATCAAAGATACTTACAATTTCAAAGAGTATTCTTTCAATAAGGAAGTTGAAGATCAACGTTCCATATACAAAGAGAATGATGACTCCACAGTGGAAGTAGTAGAAAGAGAGGAGGAAAAGGAAATTACTAATAATCCACATGAAGATGTAGAATTAAATAAAGCCAAACAGTCAACCTTAAATAGCTAATCAGAGGAAATCTCAGGTCTTAAAAAGTACTTATTGTACACAGATTAACCAGAAGTAATTTCCACTGGAACTACTGAAAAAGAAATTGAAGATGATAGAAGATTGATTACAGCTTTTAGATCTATGAACAGAGATGAATATTGGGAAAAGACAAACAAAAAATAAAAAATAAATTCAGATGTTAGAGATGAATTATTAAAACGTAAGTATTTTAATATTCCTTTAGTTTCTAATGTTTCTGAGGACTTAAAATAGAAGGAACCTCAATTTTAGGAGATTACTGAAAACAAAGTAGAAAATCCTCATAAATTTATTTCATTTAAGGCTGATCCTAGAGTTGAATATGCTGAGAATACTTAAAAGGGAGAAACAGTTAAATCTAAATATGACGAATTACCAGAAACCAAATTGTAATCTAAGGAGGAGATGAAGAGGGACAAAGAATAAAAAATTTGTATAAATAATAATTGAATATTTAGAGGAAATGCAAAAAATAATTGAAGAACAGTTGAAAAACAAAAAATTAATTAAGCAATCTGAGACTGATAAATCCTTTCAATATGAAAGTGAATATCTAGAATGGGAAAGAACTACGTAAAGTAAAGTATACCCTGAAATCAATTTTGTCATGACGTAAAATAATTTAAGAAAAAGATTATGATTAAAACTAGCACAAACATTAATCAGCAATATCTTCCGCCCTCCTTTTATGTCTATTTCTTGTTTCCTTCCTAAAAATTAGTCGTTTCATTTGGTTATTTTACAGACTTTATCAACTCTAACCTAACATATGTTTATTTACCATCTGCAATATAATCAAAGATTTCTGTTATTCCCTTATCAGATTTAGCTGAAACCTAAAAATGCTTTGCATTATATTGATTACACAATTCATCAACCTCTATTAATTGTGAGTTGACATATTATACATGACTATTCTACAGCTCTATGCATGTGCAAATCATCTTTGTTTCCCACTATAACTGGTATAATATTGGCATTTTGCGAAAATTACTATAATTCTTGAATCCATAAACGAACATTCTGAAATGTTTGTTGGACTGTAATATTATATACTATTATTGCAGCATCCGCTTTTCTATAATAAATAGGTGCCAAGGCATGATATTTCTCTTAGCCGGCTGTGTCCTGAATGCAATTAATATGAACCTTACCCAAACTGCCAGTTCAATAGATCCATTTTTCGTCTGAATGGTCTTATATTTGCAAAAGTCACAGACAGTAACTTCAGTCTTTTCTGAGAAGGTATTATAGAAGTATCGTGTTATTATTGATGTCTTGCCAACTTTGTTTTCTCCAAGAAAGACAACTTTGTAACTTCTACCTGTGGACTTTTGTTTTATCATAACTATATTATTTGATATATAAAATGTGTATTGAAAATGTATTTCAAAATTCTAAATCCTTTATCTACTCTGTTGTGAATCTTAAACTTTTATTATGTCTTTTCACAAATAAACTCGTATTCAGTAATTTTTTATTTGAATTTGCATTTCTCACATACTATCATATTATCATCATTATACACCAACTTTGAATTGCAAGAGTGAGTCCAAACGTGATCCTGATGACATATTAGACAATAGTGTTAAAATGTAGGATGCTTCGATTAGCTATGCTAATTCTACTGTTCATTTTCTTCCCATACAGGAGGTAACTTTTCGCTATTCTTATGAGAAGAACGCTTCCTAAATCTTAATTTCATTTACTAATTCTTCAACTTGTTTTGCTTATTTCAATTACAAAAATTTATCATCAGAGTCATGAGAATTCTTAAAATAGGGAGTATTGGGCTGTTCCAAACTATGTTTCAATTGATTTGATTCTCCCAAATTTTTATTTTGCGGAGAATTCTTTTCGTAATTCAAATACATTTCTAAAATCTCTTTGATTTCTACACTTAATTCTTAATATTCGTCCTACTCTGCTTATCTATTTGTAGGTGACAAGACACCATAATCATGTTAACGACTCCTTTAATTCTTATTGCTACAACACACACCCATAATAATTAAAATATATTTCAAATAAATAAATTCAATTAGTCCTCATTTGGGGTCATCTAATACATTAAAATAACTAACAACTTCAAAAAAACATCTCTCCTTGGTATTACTATCAAGTAACTATTAATTATATCACATAATTTAATTGCTTAAAATAATTTAATGTTTAAGAGGAAATAAAGTTATCTTACATGGATTTTTAATATTCCTAAAATAATTATATTTTCTTTAATGAATTTAACTTATAAAGTATTTCATAGATCTAAAAAGTATCTATTTTTTTTAAATTAAAAATATCAATAACTCTATAAAAATATCTTATGCTTTTTTTGAATAATATTTTTTCATATCCTTTCTGGTCTTAATTTATCTAACTATTGAACATAATTTAATTTAATGAATTTATTCTTCCGCAATTTATTTATTTATTAATTAACCGTCAAAAATGCTAGTTTAACAATATCGATAATTGCCTCCACCATCAAGGGAACTTCCTCCTAATTTGAATTAAGCTCACTTTGATCAGAAAATGAGATTCCAATAGTAACATATTCAAGCTAGAGTGATTGAGGAGAGACCCAATTTTCAAGAGATGCAAGGAGGATAACCACCGATGAAACCTTGGTTAGGAGAAGATGTCTACATGGTAGCGTTCTTGTTATCAGTGGAAAACGACAGATTGAGAGAAGAGAATGGAAGGATTGGAGAATATGTGAATTAGAATGAATTAAAATTTAAGGGAGTGGACTTAATTGAAGGAGAATTAATTTAATTGAGAAATAAAATAGGAGATTATGAGAAAAAGATTGCTTAACTACAATACGAGAGCGAATAATGGAGAGTGAAATGCGTTAACAGAGAAAAAGAAAGTGAAGATTAACGCTATTAGAAAGAATTACAAAGGAGGATCTCTATAGATAGGGAGATAAGGGAGTTGACAGCCAGATTTATATCAGATAGGAATCAATTGGAAAAGGAGAATAGACAATTGAGAACTGAATTGGATAGTTTAAAGTTATCTAAAAGCAGCGTAGAAGATATAATGAGATAGGCAGATATTGTTTAGAAAGAGAATCATAGATTGAAATAAGAATTAGACAATCTAAGGTAATTTAGATAAAATAATATTTTAGAAAAGGTTTTGATGAATTAGAGTATGTACTTAAAACAGCTGCTGATTTAGAAGCTGAGAACAGTCACCTGAAATAATAGATTGAAGCTCTTTAAGTTTAATTCTAGCATCAGTAATAGTAGTAAATCTAGCCAATTCAAAGGGTTGTTGTCAATTCAACAAATTTATGTAAGAATTAAGATATATTATTTAGAAAATTCGAACAACTTGGAATCAGAAATCAAGAGGTTGAGGGATGAAAATGATAGATTGAAAGTAATGTTAAATCTAGGTCAGGCAACACGACCTTAGCCTTTTATGTGACATATTAACTACTTAATATATATATTTATTTTTTATATCTTGATGTAGTATATCTTACTTCGTTTTAGAATTAGTCTTTTGAATCCGATGAAATATCATTTATAATACTATAACCTATATCTACCCATTTCAATTAAATGAAATTAAACCTCTTTTATAAAATAGAATATCTTATTTAATATTAAATTCTAATATATTAATGATAATTCTATAGTTCACTATATTTTATAAAAAATACTCATTTCATTTATAAAATATCTTAGCTTTCAATGTACTTGCTTATAATTGAATTCAAGTTGTCTAATTCAGTTGATTTAGGGGGTAACCTCAAAATTTTAGTAGGTTACGAGTATTTCCTGGTTTCACTGATTTTACCATTCTCAAAATCCCAAACTTTGGATTTCTTTTACTCATACATTATCAAAGTGTCATCCTCTTTGCATTACTACTTAATTTTAGTAGTTATTTCCTTAAGATTGTGTTCTTTTCGAATACATTTTTTAAACTAAGAATATTAATTTCGATAATTGCTAGCGATAAACTAAATTAATACCTGATTTCTCTTTCTGGATTTTAGGAATAGTTTTGTAAATCATTGATGTAGGTATGGATTTTAGGAATTACTCTTCTGCTTGATTCCAATACCCGAATCTAATTTTTTAAATCAACAAGCATGCAATCTCTTTTTTCAAGTACAAGATTGTACATTTTACTTAGAATAGCACTAAAGGTAATTGAGCCTATTTTATCTTCAACTGGGAACCAAGTTTCAATAACCCCTTCTTCTGCATCATTGTTTAATTTATGTTTTTCCATGAATGCTTGGAATAGTTTAGTCCAAGATTCTGCTCTGATATGTCCCAAAACAGCAATTTGTAAAGGACATTGATTTTCTTTTTTGTATTTAATCAGACTTTTTAATAATTCCAGTGTGTCATCATTTTCATAATCAATCAAAAGAATCAATAGAATTTTGTCTTGTTTTCTGGTGATTTCTTCATTGCCCAAGCTCTTAGAGATAGACATCTCCTCATAGGGGGGCTTCCTTTTTTCTGCATAGGGTATCTTTCCATACTGCTGATTTTGAATTCTTTCCACTGTGGGGATATGAGTAAAAAAGTCTTTGATCATCTTGTTGATTCTGGCAGTAACAGGATCATCAGAGCTCTCGCATTCACTCAGTACCTCATCTCTGGCATGAATCCATTATTTGACTTACGAGATGTATAGAGTGGATTTATAATAGGGAACCAAAGCGGAAGATTCCCATTAGGGTATTGAAATAATATTCTTTTCGTAATTGATTTAAATTTTGATTTGTCTTTCCAATGCTGCTTCTATATTAAGGTTTTTTGATTATATTTTTTATGTTAATGCTTTCTTTAGCAATTACCCATCCCAAACAACACTTTTAGATCCGAGAGGTCTAATGAAAGATTCAGTAATTTGTTATGATTTTGGTGAACAATTCACATCTATAATGGGATTGTCATAAACAATAGTTTTGTTATTCTTCCCAAAGAATGTTCTCTTGGTGACACTTACATTGATTTTCCTTGTGAAAGGCTATTGAGTTTGTTGATCCAAAACAAATTTCTTGATTTAACAATATTATTCTTTCGTGATGCTGCTAACAAGATTAGTTTGCTGTTTTCCAGAATATTCTTTCACACCTTTATTAATTAGGGTTGTTACTTCCTGAGCCACTTCCTCAGAATCTGAGAATATATCCCACTCATGATTATATCTCTTCCATATTAATTTTGTCCCATAAAACAACAAGGCACCAACCTAAAACCCTTCCTCTACTTCATTAGTATTTTCTTGGAAGTAGATATCCAAGATGTGATTGTCAAGGTTCTCCTGTCCTTCTGTGCAGATATAGATGTGTTGAAAGTTTTCCCATCTGTGATTTGATCGCACCAACTCTTCATAAACTGATTTCTACTCGATATTGCCTCTTGCCAACCCTATCAATTGCAAATCAGTCTATTTCAGAGAGTCAATCAAATCTATGGCATGCTCAAAATTAACCATTTGTTCTCCTTGACTCCATGATTTTATTAGAGTGTATTTGCCCTCTTGCAAATTCAGAACCTGATCATGATCGTTGAATAACAATTGGAATTTTATTGAAGGTAAGGTATCACCTAATTCAAGACCACTCTGGAAGACCATTTTCTTGTCAATCATGCATTTGTCTTATTCGTTAGATTAATTCTTCAATTGCTTGAGGTCCTCATTCGCTGCTCGTAACTTGGATAGATTGATTGGTTTCACAGTCCCTTGTGTTGTGATCGTTTTGGTGTTTTCCTGCCTGCCCAAACCGATATCATCATCAAATAAAAATGAGTATTAGGTAGTCTTGATAATTATGTAATTATCAAATTCATTCATCAACTGGATGATATTTCGAATGTTAGCACTTTTTGATTCTCTTGGAATTGTGGGTACAACATTTATAATTTCAGGAGTTGTCTACTACTTGCATTATTAACAAGTTCCCATAATAAATAAAATTAATTTTCAAATACAGCTAACTTTTAGATATAATTTATTATCCTAATCACAGAAGGATAATTAAGATAGACAATTTCATATTATTGCTTAACCAAATAATACCATACAGTTCCATCTTTATAAATAATAATAATATAATTATTGGATGCTTTATAATTAATATGTCAGAAAGTGAAATTTCATTCGATTTCAATGAGGATGAACCTGTCGAAGAAGTCAAGTCTTCTCAAATGTTAACCAGACCAGAGAAATTAAATATGCCATTCTCTAAAAGTGACAAAAAGGATAAAAAAGAGAAATTGAAGCAAATGCAGTTTGCAATGTAAGGACAACTCTCCAGCAAATAGTAAATGACTAAGGATTTATTATTCCTCTTAAAATTCGAATAGCATATGTTAAGTTCAATCAACAGTTTGCATTAGAGAATAATGAGATCCTTAGAAAGTGAAGCTCCAGGAAATTGAACTCCTTTTTAATATACATATATATATATATATGTTTATTCAATTAATCTTTTGAATCTTATTGTCTTCCTCTTCTTATGGTTATTATTATTATTATTATTATTATTATTACTATTATTATATTTATTATTTCTATTGTTTCTACTATTTCTCCACTTCCATCTCATCAATCTCAATAGTGACTGGTCCATCATTCACTATGTTCACAGCCATATATTATTAAAATGCGCCTTTCTTTATTTTCTCCGGCTTGTAGGCCTTCCCACACTCGTCAACGAAATACTCATACAAGTCCTTTGGGTTAATAATAATTGTCATACTCTTGCCTTGTCTGCATCCATAGCATAATGGAAATCTGGTTTATTGCCTTTCATATAAGCGTATAAAGTGAATTAGGAGACTATTAGTATTTCGTAATTGAAATCGACACATGATCCATTCCACGCTTTATTCTCTTTCTCCCACAAACGTATTTTGGATAATTTGTGGGCCAACTTCTTAGCCACCTCCTTTGTGTCTCTCTCATGAATCTGAAGACATATAATTGCATCAATACTCCTAGAAGGACCACTAAGCCTTTTCCAATTTGAGATACCAATTAATCTCCAACAGACACCGAACCGCTGAGACATCTTTGAATTATTAATCTCATTTCTTATTTTATTAAATGGAAGAATAACTAAAAAAACTTTAAATTATTGTCGATCATTTATCGAAGAAGAGTAAACAACCGAATTCTAAAATCTTGATGGAGTGTTATGAAGTATTTTCAGAATGTATTTTGATTGTTCAAAGAGAAATCAATTTAGAAATTGGGAATGTAATGGACAAGCTCTTTATGATAATTAGAGAAATGGTCGAGAATTCTCAATTAAAAGTTCAGCCCATAGAACCTCAACAGGTTGTTGTGGCAACAAAAATCCCTGAGTTTGTGAATGCCTTACAATTGGGAAGTGTTTCAGTTTTAGACTAATTAGGCAATGGTGAATAAGTTAAGAACATCCACTAAATACCCTGGTGTGATTATAAATGCAAAGAATAAAAGCCTCGCAACCTTAAAGGATTTTAAGATGTTGGTACAAGTACTGTAATAGATTATTATGAAAATTGTTAAAAATCATCGAGTTAATTTTTGAAGAATGAAGAAGAAATTAGAGAATGGTTAGAATATACAAATGATACAATAGCTATGTTGGGTGAAGCAATTGCTAGCAAGAAATAATTGGATATAGAATATTAAGGCAAGCCTGGAGATGTTGATTTAATAATTTCAGATATACAATTTAGAAGATTAAACTTGGAGTAAGTATTAAAGTCAGTGAATCCAGATAATTTTGGAGTTTAAAACTATGATAACACTGTTCAATTTCTTCAGTAGCATATACACTAGATTCAGTAACAGACTGCTATAGCTGTGATTTAAAAGATGAAGCATAAATAGGAGGAAAAGGATAAGCAATAATAGATAATTAATGAAATGAAAGGGAAAATAAAGAAGAAAGTGATGCATAAAGAGGATTGTCGTTGTGCTTAGTATGTTAATGACATCTTGTCACTCAAAAATAAATTAGAGTAAATTTAAACAGATCTTGCCAAGAAAGAACATTACATAATGGAATTAGAAATAAAAAATGATTAAAAGGACATTCAGTATAGAATGTTGTAGCAATAGTTTTATTAGATGGAGAGTGATAGAATGGAAATGAAATCGAAATTAGACAATTATGTACGACTTGCAAAAAAGAACAGTGATAGAGGATATATATCATAGAGCAGTAATGATGAAATTGTAGTTAATGGTATGACTGCTCATCCCAGAACAACTAGCAGAGATCAATCATAATAATAATCTTCAAAATAGTAAATTCTACTCACTCCCAAGGAAAATTTTATCATTTAAAAGAAAACACAATAAATGGAGAGATTAGTCAAATTGGTTAATGCTCTAGATACCAATAATTAAACAAGACGATTAACACAAATGCAATTCATTTTAGAATAGAAAGCTACGTCGCAAATTAATGATCTTGCTGATCTCATTAAGGATATAGAGGAGAATGATTTACTATAGAATGAAGCTATTGATAATAGCACTGTTACTAAGGAGATAGAACCTATTTCATCTCGATTTCTGGATAAATAATCCAAATAATTTACTACTTAAAGAAATTCACTTTAAAATTCATTTGAAATTGAGATGAATATAGATAAGCCTACTATCAAAGTTAGCATACCTGCTGAATAGATTACATATTAAAGGTAAGTTCCCAGTAATAGGATAATGTCTTCAGTTGGAGGGTCTTAGAAAAAGCAAGATTTATCAAATACCAATTATAACTAAAGATAAATGGATACATTAAAAATTAAGAATTCTTCATCAAATTAATTGTCTCCAAATTCACCAAATGGAAGAATGAAATCATCGTAAAATATGAGTTTAAATAGATAAAATTCAATAAAATAATAACAACAATAATAATAATAATAATAATCATCTTAAACTATAACTGATAAATCTAAAAAATAAGCAAATTCAAAAAATATCAAAGATTAATATTAATAAACTGATTATCTCCACAAAATTGACATTTCAACTTAAACAGATAGAGTACTTAACAAATAAACAACTGAATAAATAGATAACATTAGAATCATGGGTACATATAATAAAAATAATTCTTAATAATTAACAACTAGTAGCACTTTTCACTTTAATTCTTTAGGCACTTCAGGCAATATTGTTACTCCTATTCAATCAAATAGTAATTCTAATATACAATCTCCTAGAAATTAAATCTCCCAACACCATCTAAATTCTACAATAACAGGATCATTTCCATTACCCTCCCCTTCCCCTTCTTCAGCATTAATAAAAAATAAATTACAAAGCGTCAAATCAGAATCTGAAAATTCTCAATTATTAGGTCGTTAATTATCATTACATACTCTTGATAATTAGCAACCCAAATAATCTCAATCTTTGAAATAGAGAATTTTCGAAAGATAAGAGGAGAAACATTAGAAGATTAACCATCGTAAAATGTATACAAGTACTGCTAATTAATTCTAGAGTTTGACTCCAAGAGAAAACACTTCTTTTAAAATAAAATCAAACGATGATTTGAGACTGCAATAATTTCAATAGAATCAAGAAGATGAGCAATTGATGTCAGATTAAGTTTTACATGATCTTCCTGAGTAGCATGAACATGAAATTATATAAAAAGCCATCAATAGAACACCTGGCTATGAGTTAGCATCAGAATTAACTGAGAATATTTTGCTAACTATGTTTGACAATCTTCAAAATGTTCCTGAGTTTATTGAATTGATTAAAAAATTAAATAAGAATAACTCAGTCACATTTACAGAATTTAAAAGATTTGTCAATAGAATGTAAGCATTTCACAAAAAGTGTGGAAGAGAGTGTAATCATTTGCAGAGGTAAAAATAAATCAATATACTTAAGATTCTATTTAAGATTAGGATTTGTGTCAACTAAGTACTTAAACAAACGTAAGTAGCTGATATTGTAAAAGCCAAAAGTTCTGCCTGGTTTTAAATGATTCTTTTACACAATTATGAATATACGCTCTTACTTCAAAAAGTGTCTTTTTTTATAAGTATATTATTATATTTAAATAAAAAAAATAATATTCTTTAAAGATTGATAGAGTAATTGAAAATCATTTTTTTTTTAATGGAGGCAACTCTAATTTTTGTTTAATAAATTATCTGGATTTAGCTGAATTCTCATTTAAGGCTTCCTCGATTGTTTTTGGTCTCACAGTGGCTTTTTGTTAAAAACACTTTTTGAAGGAAGCTATAGTATATCTCTAATCTTCAAGGGTATTCAAATTCTCAAAAGAAGTCTTTGGCTTTGATTTGGATTTTTACCTTGATTTCTGATCTTTGGGACTTGTGGATCTCAGATTTTTGATTTTTTGATTATTTGACAAAACCCTTTGCTTTTGTGATTGAGGATTTGGCAAGGATTAATACTGTTATTATAGCTTTTTCTTATCACTCAACTTTTATAATATCTCATCATCAGGATAGGGTTACTAAATGGGACAATTCTTCATTAGATACTATAAAAAGAAGAGCAACTTAAATTGCTATAATTATAAATTGCTGTATTTACATTTCTAATTTATTGATCTTTGATAAACTAATGGATTTGTTCATTATAGGTTAAAGGTATTTTATCCTGGAAATTACGAGTAATCCAGGGATGAATCAATGCCTATCCAACACTATACCTTTCAATGGGTTCAATTGTAGTCAGCTTTTAAATGAGATCTTTTGCCAACGGATTCATGCCATCTGAGAAATGCCAGACAGGATTCATAATTTTCTTGATTACTTATTCTCTGGTTTCATTCTTATTATAAAATGGATGCTAACCAGAATTCAAGAGCATGTACATAATAACTCCACAACTCCAAGAATCAATTTATTTACTATACTATCTATTAATTATAAGTGAGTACAAATTTCTCTTTAAATTACTCTGGTGCCATGTAAATGATGGTTCCACATTTTTTATTGAGCAAACTATAGAACATGCCTTCGGATGCAAACTTGAAACTTAAACCAAAATCAGCAATCTTAACAGTCCTTATGTCAGTGGAGGCAAACATGATGTTTTCTGGTTTGAGGTCTCTGTGAATGATTCTCTTCTCGTGCAAATAGTGAACTGCCATGAGAATTCCTTTCATTATAATGGCGAACTCTTCGTCGGTATGTTCTTGTTTCATACGCTAAGCTAAGGTTCCTCCTTTCATTAGTTCCATAATTAAAAAAAATTAATTCTTATTTTCTGTTATCTTCATAAGAATGCTAAAGTACTCTTTTGCATTAGACAATATGAGGATGATTTAACTACTAATATATATCTGACTCGACTTGAGCATCTTTGAAAAGTGTTTTAGAAACAACCTAAATAATCACAACTGTCTAAACCTTGACAGCACACTCTGTATTATCGGTTAAGTCGATTGCCTTATATACTTTTCCGAAGCTTCCCTCTCCGATCTTTCCGATTTCCTTTATTTTATACATCTCTTCCAGGAAGTCAACATCCTCTCCTTAAAACATTAATTTTATAATTAAAAAATATTATAATTACTTTCACTCTTGAAAATGTGAACATACCATTCATAATATTAATTGATAATCATTAGCCTCATTAAGTTTAATTCAACGCAAATACTAATTCGACTAGATTATTCTTGCACAGATTAGATATTATTTGCTAATCATCCAAAACTAGACCATTCTGCATCAAACAATATTTACTGATTTCTATTCCTTGATCTTTTATCATTTAATTATAAATTGTTTGTTTTAAGATACCAATAATCAAATTTGGATGACTAAGATAAGTTAGTTCCCTTTCTCCAACTTAAACTTTGACACTATACTTTTCGTATACATCAGAAAAGTTTCCAGATGGTTAATTAAGATCTTCTTTATCGTCGAATATCAATTTGTCCCCACTACTCAAATCTATATTTTTAATCTTCGTTGTCAATTCCAGTGCATCATCCCTATGATAAATTTTATGGATTTGCACATCTAGTCGATCTATCAATATGTTTAGAGTATCCTCTGGTTGCACTTTTACTTCGTACTTCTATCCACTCCTACTGCTTTCAAAAGTAATTAATTTCTCTTGATACTAGATTTTAGAATTGTTTTCTATAGGTTAATCCTTTATTTAGTTCGACACATCTAACTTATTCTACTGGCAAGTGAAGGTCCACCCAATCATCTTGTTTTAACATGCAACCTACTCTAATGTATCCTCGAGGTTTGCTTAAACTTTTTAAGTGTGTTTTGTTGTGAGATTTTCAAAATCCAACTCTAAGTAGGTTAGAAACTCAGCTGTCAATTACTTTTTAGTTTGTATTATTAAATTACTGATATTTACAATAGTTTCCTTTGGATCAATCAATTTATCACCCACCATCAATTTAATTACTTGATTTTTCGGCAAATTATATTAATACTTGATTTTATCAAAAAGAGACTAGCAGACACTATTCTATTGGACCATAATTTATTTTTGAGTATTAAGACTAACTATGAATACAGAGAACTCTAGTTACTTTATTTATGGTTTTGTCTATGCTATGACTTCTTGTTTTTTCTTAAACTCAAATTTATAATTTGGATTTTTAATTAAAAAGTCCTTCAATTTCTAGTTCTTGTTTTCAGAACTACTCAACTCAAGATACAAGGAATTATCAATCTTTAACTCCGTTCTAAATTGTTATTCTAATTGATTAATTGAAGAGTTCTAATCGATAGTAATTGTTTAGACAATTTGTTCTACATAGGCTTGTACTTTTATAAATTCAGTGAAGTATAATAGTAAATAATTCGTAGAGATATTTAAACTCTCAAATTTAGTATTCATCTCAACCTTTTCATTGTTAAAGAGAACTTTATAGAACCTTAGTTCTGAAAAAGTTTCATTCATAATAATTTTTTGTAATGCTTCACCAACAGTTGTAGAAGAGTCAACAGGAACATCAACAGAGATCTTTGTGTTTTTATTTGTAAATTTAATATTGAGTGTCTCTTCACTTGGCTAATGTATTTGGGAATACTATTCTATATATTAACTATTTTTTTAAACATCAAACCCAAAAGAATGCTATCGATTATCTTGATTGATGGTAATTTGGTAATGAATTACGCTCTCAGATTACAAATCTAATGTATTTAGACTCAATGTTCTAGTTCTAGGCTTCTTGTCATCACCCACATAATAGGAAATGTTTTCATTAGGTGATATGAACTTATCTAAATCAGCTAGAGTTGAATTTACATCCACTCTCTCGATTTACTTCTTATGAGTGCTTTTATCTAACAACATAATGTTGATCTTATTGTCAGATGTATCTCTGGTCAGATGTAAATGACTAAAAGTTTGTATCCATTCTTGTTTCAGCAAATTGTTTATGTCAAGAAAATTGTTATTCATCTTATACTCTAATTTTATTGGAATAGTTTTCTCTATTTTAAAAATTTCTCTCACAATTCTAATTAAATCAAAAACACCCTTATCCTTATGTATTTTGATCTGCTTTGCCTCTTGGGGCTCCTCGTTGATTTTAAAATTAAACTCTTTTTAAACCTCTGCAAACCAAATGTTTTCTCCATCAGGCTTTAATTGATAGTAAATTTTATCCGGGGTTATCCATAAGTCATTTTGCTTAAAAGTAATGATGTCATCGTTAATTTTAAATTCATTCTTAAAGTAAACAATAATCTTTGCTACAGGTAAGAAGACGTCTAGCTTCAATTGGTGAATGGTATCGTTGAATTTGAATTTCTATACATTTGTAATTTAGAGTCCCACCTTTAAATTATTAAATACCCCATATTTAGCCCATGCCTCATTTTCAAATTTAGTTCCATTTTATAAATTAAATACTAAGATCTCACATGATTTGATCTTTACTAAATTTGTGATCAAATGGCTTCTAAACTAATTAATCGAGTCGAACGCTTCTGTATCAAATTTTATTAAGCCTAAATGTTAATGGTCACACTCGATCGTGATTAATTTTGAGAAAACAACTTACACTTATGAATAAGTGTGAATTTCAAGTGCACTAATTGTTAAATTGGGATCCACTTTAGTATTCTCCACCTTTAAAACACACTAGATGCTTTTTCTGATCTCCTAATCCAAATCCAATTTGTTGAAGAGTAATTGCAAAATATTAGTGCCCTTTTGATTAGTTTACACTTCAATTGAATGATATGTTTTGAGTTGATTTACTTCGACATTTATCTTAAGCATTTATTAAATACTTATTTATAATACTTCATTAACATATTTCTATAATTGGGAATTTATAGAATTAAGAAGTAAGCCATCTCCTCCCAAACATCAATATGAATACCAGACTTTATGGATTATCAGAAGTGTATTGAAATATTAGAAATATATATTCTTACAATAAATCTAATGATTTAGGATAATAAATTATAAAAGTTTTATTCATTGTATTCACTATTATATTGATCTAGTCAATATTTATCTTTACTCAACCAACTCTCTTAGAATGTCATTGGAATTAGAGCAAACCCTTTGCTAAAGATGAAAAGCAAAGTTCTAGAATAATTTTAATATTAAGGCAATTAAGATATATAAATGGAATTCAATTATTGAATATTCAACTCATTAAGTCTAAATTATTAAGTTTACTGCGCTTTTAACTTGATTAGATCCTACATTTTTCAATTTTTCCAAATATTATTTGAACTCTACCTAATAATGTATTCTCGCAATTTATAAAAAATTCTATTAATTTGTGCCATCATAATTTTCAATTATTTTCATCATGTTATGAAATTCAATATGAAGAGTATCTCTAACATTCCAGTATTGCTCTTTCAGTATTTCAGTTTTTAGTTATGTATACTCAATTGATTCTTTGATTGGATTTTTATAAGTAGAGATAATCGAATTCAAAAAAGGGAATGTTTATTTTCTTTGTGAGTTTATTTGAATGTCATTGGTTGCTCTTTCCAAATAAAGTTTTAATTATTCTGATAAATACCACAAATTTTCGAATGACTTCAACTCTAATTTTTATAGCTGCAATAAATAAACTAAAGCATCTCTAATTTTCTATCTAATAGGAAATAGAGTGGGGTCGTATGTTGTGCCAAAACTTCCAACTTCATCAGAAATTAATGATGACAACTCACTAAAATTGAATAAATTTTTACTCATATTGTTTAGCATCTATTTATTTGGAATCTAATTTAGAAGCCATAGATATGATATTCAGAAATTAATAAATAATTGAAATGGAAATTTTGTTTGATATAAATCTTACTTATTGTTATTGTTATTGTTATTGAGGTTGTGCTTACTAGAATTTTTAATTTTAAAATTGTTATGGGATCTACTATTATGGTTGTTAGTAATAATTCCTTTGTTAATTAGCAAATTGTGTATGTTTACTAAGTACTTCTTAATCTTGGGGTAAAAATACTTCGAATTCCAAATACTCTAAGGATATATCCTTCTCCATTTTTTGATGAAATTCAATAATTCTCTCAATTAATAACTTCAGTTTTATCGATCGAAGTTGCTCTAGAATTGAAGTCAATTCCTTTATAATCTACTAATTGACCTCAACTTACAAAAGATAAACTAATCTTTTTTATTAGCTAATTAAAAAATCTTTGGAACAATCACATTTATAAATCAATAATATTTGTCTTAGGATTTTGGAACTTGCTTCACTTAAGGCTTAAACAAAACAAATGGGCTTAGGAATTGAAACATCTAAAATTAATAAAATAGTTTCAAATTATTTTTCATCCAATTCAACTTTGCCATCCAAGGAGGTTCTTTACATGAGGGCTCTTATAATCATGTAAAATAAGTCTTGTAATTCCGGAAAAATAATTATAATTTGTTTCAGACCGTTAATAACATTTTATTGTTAGGAGGGAATTAATGATTGAATATAATTATTTAAGATTTCTATCATTACCAAATTTTTTTGGGTTCTAGTAATTAAAATAAAACTCAATAGTTATTTCAAATAGGGATCTTCTTCTTTAAGCAAAAGAAAGTACAGATGTTGCGATAATCTTTGAGAATAGTCTTTCATACTTTATTATAATAATTATCCTTATTAGTCAGTGTTCTTGCCATCTACTTATTATAAATTATGAAAATTTATCAAAGATGAAAAATAGAATTTCTTCAAATACTCTAAAAAACTGTTTTTTAGTTATTCATCACAATCAATTCTCTGATTTTAATTGGATAACATGTACTAAATAAAATAACCTATTGAGTACGTACAGACTGAATAAACTATTAATTTTCATTCGATAGCATTTGCTACAAACGAGTCTAAATATACTAATATTCTTATTTTGCTACTTGAAACTATACTTCCTAGTCAGTATTGTTGTACTTTTGTTCTAATTCTTTTATAAATTGATTGGATTATTGCTGTTCTTCAACAATCAAAAATTGTTTGAATTATTAAAGTTGTTTTATTTTATTTTGTAATTTCTCGACAGCCATCACTTCTGCATATGTTTTGGCTGTTCTCTCAAGCTTATTATAGAGTAGAATATTAATCAATGGTTGACAAGGTTGTTCCTAAATCTATTGCTCATCTTTCTTCCTATATTATTTTTTATTTTATGAACAACATACATATATGTATTAATAATAGATTCCATTGTTAACTTCAATATTAAAAATAATAGAAAATGAGAAAATAATTGATTTTGAATTATGCCAATTAATATATAATATATTATATATGATGATTATGGGAATATAATATTTTCTTTTAATACAAATTTTAAGTACTTATTATTATGTTTATGTTTATATTTTTATATATATAAATGAATTCTGATGGATTATGTTGAAAAATTTAAATAAATTTAAAATAAATCTAATAAAACATTTATTACCCTTTAGGATGAAAAAACTGAATAATTTATAATAAAAGTAAAATATATTATATAACTCGATGTAAACAAAATATATAGTCACTATACTGATTTTCTTGAACGCACTCAACATTCAGATTCAAGTTCATCACTCATATCATCCAATCTGAATTCATTTTGACCTTCACAGGGCTGATCTTCAGGAAGAGAATTCATGTGTCTATACTCACTAAATGATATTTAAATTCAAATTACCTTCCCATAACTTCATCCCATCTATAACGAAGGTATTTGTAATACCGATTCTTGACCATGCTGACACTCTTGCCTGGAAATGATTTTGATATTTTGTAAAACTTGGGTCCTATCTTAAGAACGAGCTCCAAAATTCTCTTATCTTCAATGTTGGAGAAAGGATGGGCATTGGATTTGGGTTTCTCCATAACGAGGCACACCTTCAATCCATTTTCTTTTATATGGATAATGGGTTTAGGTGCAGGACGCTTCTTTTTCTTATGATAAGTGTATTGAATTCGTTTTGGAGGACGTCTTCTTTGGATTGGCAATTTTATCTTTTGAATTCCTTGCTGTTAAGGAGTCGATAAATTCGAATCTGAGATATTTTATATTATTAGCTACCTTAATCAACGCAAGAGCTTGAACCTTGGTCCGACAAAATTAGAGTATTTGGCGAACTCAAAAACCCAAATAATTCAAGTTCTTCCTCAAACTACACTAGTTTTTAATCTTCATAAGTATCCACATAGTTTATCATTTATATTATTTTATGATTATTAATGATTTTTTATTTTTATTTTAATTCCAATTTATAGAGTTGAATATCAGTGTTAATGACGAAAGGTAATTTATATTGAAAAATCATTTAACTCATTTACATCCACTTGTGCTATCCACCTATGTGAATTCTTATATTATTTGGGATATTTAAATAGTATTTATAAAATTGTTAAATCTTTTTAATTTGCAATTGATGGATCTCCATAAAAGCTGATTAAGCAGTTTCATTCCTTTTTTTATTCAATTTAATTGAATCAATAAACTTCGATAATTTTCTATAGAAAAGTCTGAAAACTCACCCATTTCTAAAATTCAAATGAAAAGTAGGTCTTGATAACAATTCAATAATTTAATTAATGAAATCCAATTAAGTCATCACTCAATATGTAAAATTGATGTAATAACTAAATCCCAAAAAAACTGTATATTTTATGTAATATATACTTAAGTTTATTTGGAATTTTATTTATTTTGGTTCAATTTGCAGAGTAGTTATTTTTTTATTATTTTTGGGTAGTTCTTTAATACACTCCAACAATTATCAGACTAAACGCCCTTTGATTTCGATTACATTAATATTTCCTTATCGTCCTCGATCTGATCAAATTTGAAATTTATAATTTGAATTTAGAAAAAGGGTATAAAAATATATGAAAAATAAATATTCATTGGATCTTAAATCTAAACTCTATGGAAAGTTAGAATATATATCTATATAAATCAAAATTGCAAATTAAATCTTATAATATTAGTATACTTATGATATCATATAAATATGATATTTAGGCATTTCATGATGTGGGTCTAGTTCTTTATTTATGGATCACTAGAATGATAATTGATCAATTGATATGATGAATTAATTAAAATATAGTAGTATGACATAGCAAATTAATCAAATCTAACATAATTAAATAATAAATTTATGAGAATTTGCATCATCATTTTCTGTACTTTAGTACTTTTGAACAATGCACAATTTGTTGAGACATCCAGATAATATGATGGAAGTATTTGAGAATCACCAATATATAATAGGTAAGCTCACTGTGAATTTCAAAAACCTAAATCCAGGAGAATATTATAAGAATGTCACAAGTCCAATTTATCCAAATTTCACAGTAGAGGTGACTGAGGATGGAAAGAATCAACTTACTCTCCGTATTCTGAACCCTTTGGATACATTTGAAATACCCCATAAGTTCCCATTCCCATACACAAAATCTGATAGTAGTCATGGAGAATACGATTATTCAGTCAATGAGGATGGAAACTTTTTCTCTGTTTCTAGATATGATGGAGTATTTCTCATAGTAAATAATAGTCCCCTGTCTTTAATATCACTAAAGCTACAGTTCTCTCTTTGTTGTATTCTGAATTACATACAGAGTTGTTATCAGAAGATATTTTCGGATTTGGAGAAAGACGTCTGAATTCATTTAGAATTCCAAAGGGAGAATTCTCAATTTGGAATCACGACTTTTGGGAGTTTGATACCCAAGTAGGATATTCACTATATGGTACTCACCCAGTTATCTTACAGAAATATAATTCACAGTATCACTTAGTGTTGCTCAGATCAAGCAGACCCATGACTTTAGAAAGAACAGATGATGAACTCATCTACAGAGTTACAGGTGGACAACTTGAATTCAAAATATTCATAGGCAAATAGAATCCAAAAGAATTGATCAAATAATATCATCAATATTTGAATGGTTGGGAATTGCACCCATTCTGGGCATCTGGATGGCATCAAAGTAGATGGGGATATGAGAATTCTACAGTACTCAAGAATGTGATTAGAAAATACAAAGAATCCAAAATCCCATTGGAAGTTATATGGACTGATTTGGATTACATGGAAGAAAGAAAAGATTTTACTTTGAATGAAGATACCTATCCAAGAGAAGATCTTTAGAAAATCACAGACAGAACTAAGCCAGATGGAGTTCATTGGGTTCCTATTGTAGATCCTGGAATTGCAGTAGATAGTGATTGTGGAAGAGATTTGGTTAAATCAGGAGCTTACATTAAAAGTAACAGATAATCTAAAACCCCCTATCTTGGTGCAGTATGGCCTGGAGATGTCTACTTTACTGATTTCAATCATCCTAAAGCCTATGACTTATGGCTTAAATGTCATAAGGATTGGTTTACAAACTATCAAATTGCACCAAGTGGCATTTGGATTGACATGAATGAATTGGCAAATTTCAGAGATGGTGAGGCATACAAAGGCCCTAAGTTGAATGATAAAATATTTGAATTGAAAGATTTACCTTGGGATGCTATGGGAACAGTGACATTGGAGGGTCATACAATTGCTATTGATGCTTTGCATGAAGGAAAAGGAGTCTATTTCAATGGTTCAACAACTTCAATTCCAGAATTAGATCTTCACAATTTCAATGGTTTTCTTGAGCAAATTGAATAGAGAAAGTTATTGTAAGAAATTCAGAATAAGACTCTGATCTTTTAATTGAGTAGATCATCAATCTTTGGAAGTGGTAGATTTTCAGCTATTTGGTTCGGAGATAATGGATCTACTTGGGCATGGTTACGTTCATCAGTTTATTAGATGTTTAATTTCAATCTTTTTGGAATTCCATTTGTTGGTGACGACATCTGTGGATTCAATTAGGATACTACACCTTAACTTTGTGCAAGATGGATTCAGTTGGGTGCCTTCTATCCATTTGCTAGAGATCACAATGCCTTAGGGTAGAAGGACTAAGAACCATATCTTTATGAGATCACCAAGATTTCAGCTCAAAAAAGCATCTAACTTAGATACGAGTTCTTAAAATATTACTACTATCTATTCATCTCATAAAGAGACTCAACTCTTTAAGCAGGATCAGGTACTATTGTGGATCCATTGTGGTTTAAATATTAGAGTGATCCTTAGACTTTCAACATCGAAACTCAATTCCAAATCGGAAACATTATTGTGAATCCAGTGGTTGAGGAATAAACCGACGAGTCTCTTGATTACACTGAATTACAATTCTATGTTCCTCTAGGTGCCTATTGGGTGTCCTTTGAAAATGGTTAAAGGATTCCAAATGGTTGGAACACCATTAACAGAACCTTCACTGACAATGCATATTTGGCACTTGAAGCAGGCTCTGTAATTTAACATAGCAATGCCACCGGAGTCATGAGATTGAGAGAGATGGAATCAGATATCGATTTGATCGTAGTGTTGAATGAAGTATATAGAATCACTACTATATTTAGCTCGGATAAGCCAGTGGATCATATATGTCCATCAATAATTACGATGACGAGGAGACCATATTGAAGAGATGTTGGAATGACCAATACACTTGCATAAGAAATATCTCAGTCAGAACATTTAAGGATTCTTTGCAATTCACCAACACCAAGGCTAAGAATGACAATAGTGAAGAGATCAACATCAAGAACATTATCATTTATAGGAATCAGTAGATATTCAGAGTAGAAATCAATGTGTCTTCATTTACCTAAAGTTGGTAAATCAATTTCTGAATATAATTTAAAAATATATTAATGAATAAAAATTGATATCTAAATATTTCAATATTTCCCTTATTCAAATTAAAATAGATCTGCCATCTCTGCATCTTCATCATCTGAACAGCTTAACGATCTCTTACGATTCATTTCCTTTTCTAACTGCATATTTTAAGCTTTGCATTTTTCAACATTTTGTTTAACTGGATTTACCCTCTTCTATAATTGTGGTGAATCTTGTTATTGGATGGATGCCTTTTATTATGAAGGTTCTGGAATCTATGCTTGTTACTATTTCTTTTCATCTCCTTTTATAAATGATGCAACTTTCTCAAAAAAGCTGGGTTGTTATTATTGTGATTGTTATTAAGGAGGCGGTTTCTACACTTTTTCCTTTCTAACTTCCTACTTCTACACTGCTGTTTGTAACTTCAAATTATGAGCCTAGAAACTAAAATTCTTCTCTTTGTTGGATACATTGTTATTAATAACAGCATTTTTTTAGACATAACCATCCCACTAATCATTGTATGACTATGCTTCCTAATAGTTTCCTTTCTTTGCAATCTAAGCAGTCTTCTATGCCATTCTTTTATGAATAACTTCGACTTGAGCCTCTTCTTCAGCCTCCTTCACGTTCTCTGTTGTCGAAACCAATTAAGTGACCACTCTCATAAGTCTGTCGCCATGTAAATTTGTGTAATTGACTTTTATCTAGAATGGAACATTCTTTAGATCCTTGATATCAATCTACTCCTTTTGTAATTCCTGATCGTTTTTCAGTTGATATTCAAATGTTTAAGTGGTAGCAATAGTGGCATTACCAATGTCTCTTTTAAGTTTATTGCTCAGAGTAGGATCGTCTTCTCCTCTGAACTTCAAAGCACGATGCAAATTCACGAATAACTGAACTTGGGTTCCCACCAATTCATCCTTCAAAATATTCGCGAAATCCTTCTCAATGTCTTCAGGCCTGACTCTGGTAACAGTTCCATTAGTTTTCTCTGACAAGGCTCCTAGGATATCCACTTTGCATCCCTCTCCCTTAATAGTGACAACTGATATCACTACTCCACATTGTGAAGCAAACGCACCCAAATCCTCATAGAATTATTTGTTTGCATCATTGTCCAAAGATCCCAATCCCAAATTGGCTAATCCATCTGTGCAGATAATGATCATGGATCCAGGTTTGCCAATCTTAGCCAATTGCAAGGCGGAAATCAAGGCAGGACCCAGAGCAGTCTGGCCCTTCTCTTAGAGTTTCTCAAATTTCTTCAAGAGAGTTTCAGCTTGTGCTTTGACTGGATATTTCATGAGTTGTTTTGCAGTTCCATCCAATAAGTTCTCGATTTCGTCTTATTTAAAGAGTCTGTCTCCTGCTATGGTAATGGGGACTTCAGAGCCATCACCATAAACAACAACTTCATTATTGAATGTGACTAATCCAACTATTTTATTGGGGTTCTTCTTTTTCAGTTCCCCTATTTGTTGTTCAATGGCTGCCATAACACATTGTTTTCTGGAGACATGAGTAACATGTTTGGTGTTAAATTGTGGCCATATTTAATGTTCGTCTCCAGGTTCAATGAATTATTTGAGCATTTCATACTCCTCAGCAGATATCCCGTGTTTAAAATTGATCTTGCCTTTGATTTCAACAGTACTCGACATGGAACCACTGTTGTCTATACAAAATATGATTGAGTTGTCAGCATCCTCTATTTGCATTTATTATTCCTGGGCTGATTAGATGAGGTAAATGGTGTCTTCATTAGTAGGGATTTCCTCTTTCTCTATTTGAACGTAATTCTTGTGATTGCAGAACTCACATATCCAAAGTTGCTTTCCAAATTATTGATTTTAAACATCTTCTTGTATTTTTGAATGTTTATTCAGAACAGTCTCGCATTGTTAACACATAACAGGGTCACCCTAATGTATTTTGACTATGTTGTCCTTCAAACAGTCGAACTTAACTTGGAAAATATTGGTATCGACATCATCTAGAGGATAGAATTGATAATTTACATTTGTTATCCACGCTCCTTCTTTTCAGATAGGCCTTCTTAGAGCACATTGCCATCATGGTTTTTAAATGAATATTATTTATAAATCTAATGAATGCAGGATGTACGAATAGATTATATACTACAAATGCCTGATCAATACTATTATTAATAATTATAGATATAAATAATTATGTAAAAGCAGAAGACGCAAACTTACAAAGAATCTCACAACTTGGAGGAGAGGAAGAAACGAGTGTAGGAGCAACTAGCAAAATATCCTGAAATGATTCCCATAATTGTGGAAAAGATCCCAGGTTGTAAATTACCTTAATTGTAAAAAGTGAAGTAATTTTATTTAAATGATTGAATGTAGATTCTTGGTGAACTCAAGTTTCTGCTTCAACGAATTCAAAAATACAATCAAAAAGAAATTGAACTTGGATGAAAAGACTTCAACTCTATTTATGTATTGCGGAAAAACCCTAATGAATGAACGTACATCTTATCATCATTTAACTAGATGAGAAACTCAAAAAAATCTACGATTAATACAAGGATCCAGAAGATGGATTCCTCTACTTGCAATATGCAGATGCAGAAACCTTCGGTTTTTGATTTAATAATAATAATCTATATAATAATTTATTCAAGCACCCTCCTTTTCATCGATCCTCCTCAATACGTCAACCTTGGGCACCTCAAAACTCAAGTGAATCGTGTGTTTGTCTACAATTATCAATAGCCGCATACCCTCCTCATTATATTTCCCAATCATTTTCTTTAAATTTTATTATCTCCAATTGTTATAATTCTTTAATTATTCCTCGAATTCTCTAATGGACAACCTCAAGTACTGTTATTGCATCTCATCAATCTCCACCTCGTGCTTATCTACACTATTATCCATTGTGCTTACAACTCAACTTCTTGTGCATCACTGGCCGAGGCACAATCACTGGTTTCAATTGATTCTGCTTCTAAAGCGATTCGTCCTGTTCCGAAGCCATTCTCTCCAATTTCAATTACTCCATCATCTTCGGCTCCTCTTACTCTTTATGCTTCAACTCCTATTCCCTTCTCAACTTCTTATGCACCAATTTTTTGTAGTAACTCTGATGATCCTGTTGATATTCCCTCTAATTCTCATTTATCTTAGCTTGCTCCAACTTGCTTAGGAATCTCAAATATTTCATGTAAATGTAATCGGACTAATGGATATTCACACACAAATCTTACAATCAATTGTTATTGCGGCTGACGATTCTCAAAGTAACTCTAATTCTTCTTTGGCCTATTAATCAAAGTGTATTGCTGTATGATCTATCTAACTATTATCAAACATTGCTTACTCTTCATCCAATCCTCCCACTTTTGAGGTCTTGTGTTAATGAGACACTCGATAAAGTAAAAAGTAATGAAATACTAATCTCACTGTTCTACTCCAATGCAAAAACAACTTGAAAACAGCCTTCTCAAATAGAAATTCACATATGTCTTTCTTAAAGTCGACTATTCAATTGTTAAATTCATGTTATTACTTGGAAACAAGGGATAAATATTGTATATCAGCCAAACGCACTTGGCTATATTGATGGCATGTTCCGAATCCATTATAATCTGTTTGATTCCTTTCAAGAAAAAAGGGTAATCGAATTAAGCAGGCATGGTTGTCAATGTAGCAAAACAGGCATCCAATATTTCAAATGTTTCTATGACTTGCTCTGCATTATATAGACTTATTAATACATAAATTACTTTGTTTTATTGAATAACAAACTCACTACGATTCCCAGCAAATTCTGATTCTGAAGCAAACTCTTCAGAGCCATCTTCATAGCATCTGGTACTGATTCCTACTATTTCAATTCACACATGAAAGACTTAACCAAAATTCTATAACCTGGAATGTCTTACCATGGCAGTATTTTCACTTACAAAATATTCCTAACATACTTAGCCCATTCCTCAACAAAAAAACTAAAATTTATAGATCTGTGTCTGATGTGTTCCTTCCAACTCTCATCATCTAGGATTTGATTCAAAGCTGATTGATTCTAAATTCCTTTGCTCTTATCAGACAAATAAGTATGAAAATAATTCTGCCAATCAAATATTTAAATGTTGGTTTTTGTACTCTTATCAATATTCGTTGGATCATCCTCTTATATGAATTCAGTTCCTCTTAATTCCAACAACTGTGGATCATCTGCTTTTGTGATTAACTCAAGGAATTTAGCTCTGAATTCTGGGATTCGAAAATAACTAATTACTAAAAATTTGATGAATAATTATCTTGCTTGTTGACTAGGATCTTTTTGATTCAATTTCTACAGAGTGAATCGAAGTGTATTGACCAAAAAGGATTGATATTCTAAACCAACTTCAGTTTTGAATTCAGATTGCTTCTTACCTAGAGCCTTAAAGAACCCCAATTATTGCAACATCAATTCTCCTCTATTAAGTACTAGATTTAAACATTCAAAGTAGGAATTGAACGATGCCAAAGTCTTCGAATAATCCACTAAGTGAATGGACAATTGAATCAACAATTGCTAGGCTTTCATTAAGTCATCCTCTGACTTATATTGAAATGTCTTTATGTTGGTTCCATGTGATTATCCAAGTAATTGAGCCAACTTGTTCAGTTATTGATCCATATCCTGACGCACCTTTAATTTGTCTTCGACATTTAGAGTCTTGTGCTCAATCTTAAAGATGGAACTTGATAGTTTCTGAAACTCAATCTAAATCATCTTAATCTCAGTAACACTAATGTTTTCTACATTCCCTACTACAGATGCAGTTGAGACTATCCCCTTATCAGTTTGCACACCAAATGAGGATTATTACAAATAATTTGGTAATTTAACATTGATTTCATAATCTATTTTACCTACTTCAACACCGTGATACCAAATTGATTTTGCCTATTGGCTGTTAATTACAATGAACTTAGCTCCCAAATCAGCCACTAAGTTATTTTCTAAATGCTATAAATTGATATAAGTTTCCGCAACCAGATGATGATCCTAGATTTCCAGATCCATGTATTCAGAGTCATGTTTATTCTAAGTCTTCTTTATCGTAGTCTTATTAGTGGACTTGTTGTTTCCCATACTACTCTTATTTGAAGAAATTGACCACAAACATAGTTGAATAGCAGAACCCTAAAATTCCGAAATTGGTAATTCTACTATCAAAGTGAGTTCATCTCCAGAGTGATCCCATTCTATCCTGTGATAAGGTTGTGAAGCAGGTACTTATCCTTTATTTTAAGGTGTAGCTGCAATAATGGAGTCGAGAGAATGATTAAAAATTTGACTGCTAGAGGGTGTTTTCGGTAAGGATATAATGGAATCTCTCAATGCATCTTAATCTAAAATGCTTTTACGACTTGAAGACATTATACTCCTCTACTTTTCATTTTGTTTTCGATAATTCGGATTCACAAATGTAGTTGAATGTTCAGAGATGAATGAGAACTGGGAAGTCTTTTGTATTTAAGATCATATTCATACCACCAAACGCAAATTGTAATTGTATCTAACATCACTCAGACTTTAGTTTAATTCCCATATAATATACTTACTCTAGAGAGTTGCCTAAACAATCTAATTCATTTTCAAATCAAAAGTGACACTCCCTGTATGTTGTCCTCTGATTGGTAATTGAAAGTGAAATGGACCTACAGCTGCCTCAAATAAATTGATAGTCGCAGATCCAATCACCTAAGTGTCCATCACTGAGATTTTCATCTGGGATTCTCGCATCAACTACTCAGTCATCTTTAAGATTCCATCGAAACTAGCTCGCCACTTCCTTCTATGAATTTAATACATAATGATCTCCATTGTTATCTATATGCACAGGCGATGTGTACTTACACTACCCAAAATCGAATTGAATAGAGCATTGTCTGACTCCACTCATTTTTAAAGTAATGTTCTTCAGCAACACCTTAATCTGTAACTCACCACTGGTTGTTATGGGTTGGTTCAGCTTGTGAACTTAGTCTTCCTAAGTTTTAGCCCTACCTTAGCATATACCCATCTTGTAATATAAATCGTATTAATATAATTAATGTTCACTATATTTTAAGATCAAAAAAAAGGTTAGGTATCACAGGATTTTGCATTACATTATTACTTATATATCATTTGTTAAATTATAATTTATTATTTATTTTTTGGTTCATTTATTATAACTTTTTATATTGATGCTTTTTCTCTTTTACTATATCATATGATAAATGGCGATAGAAATTGTAAGAAAATACTTTGTCATCTCAGCTATTTGTATTACTTAAATTCTAAATATGAGTTTGATAGACAATTTTTGATTATCTTAAATCTGGTCTGTTATCATTCTAGTATTATCTTATTTATTACTTTTAAACAAACATTCTAAATTAGATTGAGTATGAATTTTTTTGATTCTATAAAATCGTTAAAAATTATTATCTTCTCCAACTATTTTGAATTGAATGATTGATCTAATAAATTATTGTTAACATTACAGATAAGCAAATGAGAATTGATACTACTTTCTCACTGCTATATTTATGGAGTTCATTTTTTATGTAGTATTTAATCAAATTATGTTTATATTATTATTTCTTATCTTTTAATAATCAAAATTGATTTTAGATTTCAATCATTTATCTATTTCCTAATTATTCCCTCTCCTTAAAAGCATTTACAATTCTTTATTTTCTTAAGCCTTATAAACTGCTAAAATCTGGATTCAAAATATTTGAAGGATTACATTTTATATAAATAAAGAGTAATGAAATAATGCCGACCTAAAATTACAAACAAAAAGGCATTCAGAGTCTCCCTTTTCATTATGAATTGATTAATATAAAAATGCCCATTTTTATACAAATTCTAGTTAATAAAAATGGTAAAGTTGGAGATTAGTAAGAATGTCAATATTATCAACTTGCCTCAATGAATAATCTGGAGATGATTATGAATTAAGGACTCACATAATTATATAAGTATAATATTATATTTCAGGGTATAATTTGCATAATCAATGAAATCTCATCGTGGAGTGATTTATACAAATATCATCATATGTAGTAGTTATATATCATATCAGAGTGGTGATGCAAATTGAATCAATATAGCTTATATTAAATATAAGTTAATTCATTAGCCGATTGATTTTCATCACAAATATTTAATTTTAATAATGATATTAATTATTTATTTTATGATAATATGAAACACACAATCACCCCAGTATTCTAATTTTCTAATTGATAATGCCTTGAGCATCCTTAATAGCAACATCGATACTGTCAATTTCCCAATCATTAGTTTTTTTGTTCTTCCTCCCCTTCACATAACAAATCCCTGCCTTCTACCCATACATATCAGTCTCAAATTCAGCCAAATCCCTTATCTGTCCCCCTCTCAATTGTTAATTGAATTGAATATTCTGACCAAACAACTTCTTGATCTAAGGATTAGTCTGTATAATAATTAATGATTGTCTATGAATTTGAGTGTTCAACACACTTAATCGCTAACCAATTAGAAATATCATACTCTATTCGTCTTCACATAATTGTAAATGGCCATAGCTCCAATGATGGTGCTAATTATTGTGATATTTCTAACTCCACCCACTTTTCTATACAACTCTTATTGTCTATATCTTCTCGCCTCTTCTATTTCTTATTCAGTAGTAGGCACTTTGGGTTTGCGAGCATCTATTTCCAACTTTAGATCATAGAGAGTCCTACGATCAGTAACTAGCGGTGGAGTCATTGCCTAAGCCACATCCTTCTTCAGTACTTGATTTGAATCCACCAGAACTATTCTGAAATCCCCTTGCAATCCAATGTCAGCAACCAGATGATCAATCTTCCATAATCTCACATCTGGAGTCAATTTCCAATTTTACAATGCTTCCACATCCTTATTATACTTCATTACATCAGTCATTTATTTTGAGGATGGAATATAATATTAGGCCTTGTTTTGTACTTCCTGTAATTCTCTTGATTGTCCCATTAACTCCACTTTTGCGGCACCTTTAGGACCAACCACCTGAAAAGAAAATTAACACACATCATTATTTTGAGTCGCATTGCTACCCAAATTTATCTAAAGTGATAGTGGATATCCTGCCAATTGAATTATTTATTCATTATGTTGCAATATTCTCAATGCTTCCTACACTATCGGATGATCATATTTCTGTTTATGCAAGTAGCTTGTACCAAAATAACCCACACCAGAAAATCCTAGAAAACATAAAAGGAAGTTTGGCCCAGACCTAAATGGAAATGAATTCTTTAATTTATTAAACATTATTTATAATTTTTATCCTATTTTTAATAAATCCAGCTATTCCCTTAAAATTGTTAATTAAGTGTTGATTATCTTAGAACTTGAGAATCTCAATTAATTTTATCAACATGTTATAATAACTAAATTTATTTGAAGAACACAAAAAGTATTTTAAAACTAATCAATTTGATTATATCAGATTTCCTATTTCGTATGAATTTCACTTCAATGGGTTGTTATAATAATTGAACTGCAAAAACAATTTGATATTCACTTTTAAAATTGGCAAATAGAAGTTTATTAATAAAATAAATAAACACATATGTTTGACTTTGGATTTCATGATTGGTACAATCCTAAGTAACTAAAATGCAGGGGACTTATTCATTTTGGAAATAGATTAGAAAAACTTGAAAATTTGTATTTCATTCCTATTACTAATCCTGATGGAGATTAACTTCGTATATTATGTGAGAAATGTAGTAAAACGGAGTCAACTAACAGAATTAATGTCCAATAGACATACACTTTCGCAATATCATGGTTTAAGTAATTTGAATTACATTATTTGGGGTATTTAACTAATAACACTTTACTCACAAAAAAGTCAGAAAATTAAATTTAATAGAGAGAATTCTAGGAGAAGTTATTATTATTGTCATCATGTATCAATGACTTAAATCACAACAAAGTTGAATCCTTTTTATAAACTGTATGGAATTCTAAAATGATCTAAAATAAAATAATTGACCAATCATATGAACAATAGGCATTTTTGGCTTATGTAAAATAGTAAAGCAATCAACTGTTCGCTTTGGCGTCCAGACACTTTTATAATATCTTTCTGAAAGCAGATGCCAAACTTAAAAGTTAGGATGATAATGATATTGTTCAAATTGAAGTTTCAAAAGACTTCGTATTTTTATTAGAAAAAGAAAGTTCATTTCTAGTTAGTAAACAATTAATAATTTCTGTCTATTTATATCCAAGCTTAGAGTATGTTGATTCCTTCAATCATGAAATTTAAAATATTAAAGATTTCGTGATGAAATCAAGTGTCCAATCTAATCTATTAGTATTTCAACACAAAAATTAATTGAAGGTAAGTGAGATTTTTGTTAAAACTGGTAAAAAAGATGATTACAAACTTAAATTTCTTCTCAACTATTAATATCGTCACAATTGTGAAATAATTGACTCCATTCTAGAGGAGAATAGATTAGTATTCATTGATCAAACCTATAAACTATTTGTTGTGAATCCCTAAAAGAAAGAAGTTTAATTCCTAACTAAAAAGCTACAAGCTCTTTAAAGAACTAATTAAAAACTAGTGGCTCTATTTCATTTTTATAAAGAGCTCCTGATTATTGAATTATGCAATAAAGTACTTACTATGTCATTACAAAATTGTAAATTCAAGAAATCTAGTTAAATCGCTGAAGAAAAGACTTTGGCTGTGTCATATCTTTGTAAGCCTAACAAGATCAAGTACTCTGTGCTACAAAAATACTAAAATACTGAAGGGATTATAAAAAATGAGATAGTCGCATATAGTTTCTAATGCAATAAACAATTGAGAAGAGTAAACTTAAGAAATTCTACAGAACTAGGCAATATAAAGTTGTCGCTAAAAAAAGACTTGAAAACTTTAATCCTGCTATCTAATGAATATGTTTCAGTATATGATATGTAGAAGGGTGTTCTAGTATTTTGTTTGCCATTTGCTTAAAAGTTTAATGCTAACAATTACGATTTTTAGGGGTACTGTTTAGTTCAAAATTAAGAGAGTAGGGCATTGATTTGGAAATAGGAGAAACTTTTTGAAAGAGACATTAGATTATTTTTTAAAAGACTTTGATATTAAAATCTTAATATTCGAAATATATTATCACATTATATATATATTTTTAATAGTGAAAATTTATTAATACTTAGTCTTATGAAATTTGCAGATAAATTAATATAATAATAAAATCCTCCAGCACAGGTTCACAGGATACTGAGAATCGGAGACAAGGACTACCAGAAAATAACTTAATAAACTTAGCCGATTTAGATGATGTCTCAGAGAATGAAATAGATAATCTAATGTCTAAAAATGACTGCAGCGCAAGAGAATGCCGTAAGCTTGTCTTGCCCGTAGATAGGGTACAATTATCAAATTTTTGTTGTGTTGAAACATATGAAAAAGAACCAGTGGTGTTACAATAATTTGTCATCGTCGGATTATATGACCTTAATAAATCCTTAGAAGTTGAAGCAAAGCCGATTCACGTAGGTGGAATGGGAGGAGTGTCCTTCATTTCCTTTTTTGATGGGGAAGGTGGAGAGGCCTTACAAGATCGAATATCAATTCATTAATGAAAAGTTTAAATTAATTAAACAAACTCTGAGGTATAATTAGCATAGTATTATAATAGTGGTTTTGAGGCTCGAGTGGTTTAGCATGAGATGGATCATTTGGAAGGGATTACATTGGACAGTCCCGATAAGATGCTGTTGGAATCGAAGAGGGAGAGTTTCAAGTGTGACGATATCAATTTTGAGGGTTTGTAGGAGTAGTTGGCTGATTTGGAATTGGCTTCTATGAAGATGAAATTAGATTAATTTAAAGGCAATAAATGAATATAAATGAATTTAATGATTTTAATTTTTATCATATCTTTGAGATATCTTAGGATGTATCTTAGAAAGTAGAGATGAAAACCAAAAGTACTCCCCTAGCAATATAGTTGAGGAATCTGGTGTAGAAAATGATTCTTGACATGTGATTGGGTGTTAATTCTTTGAGTAGAGTATTGAGATCTAGAATTTGATTGGTTGATTAATCCAAGAAAGGAATTTTGAGAGTGTTTAAAATTGAACTGAATTATCTATTCTGATTATTTAATTAAACTCAAAATGTCATCAGGAGGAAAAGGAAAAGCAGGAAAAGGAGGAAAGGCAGCAGGAGCCCACAAATCAGTTTCCAGATCTCACAAAGCTGGTTTATAATTCCCAGTCGGAAGAGTGTCAAGATATTTGAAATAAGGAAGATACACAGAGAGAGTTGGTGCTGGTGCTCCAGTCTACTTGTCAGCAGTCCTTGAATATTTGGCTGCTGAAGTTTTGGAACTCGCTGGAAATGCTGCTAAAGATAACAAGAAGAACAGAATCAACCCAAGACACATTCTCTTAGCCATCAGAAACGATGATGAATTGAACAAATTGATGGCCAATACTACCATTGCTGATGGAGGTGTCTTGCCCAACATTCACCCACATTTGTATTCAGCTAAGGAAGACCCAAGCCAAGCTGTTTGATTTAATTTTATTTAGTCAAATAATTAATATGAATATTGATAATATCAATCTGGGCTACTTTCAAGGAGATCACTCCTCAACTTGTTCTTATTGTCACAAAGGGAAATCATACTCCCAAGGCTTTTCAACAAGTAATTATAGTAATTGTATATCCAACAAGATAAGTTGTATCCCTCCACATATCAATCCATGATGGATAGAGGATGGAGAAGGTGTGGCACTTATTATTACAAATACAATTTCGCATAGAATTGCTGTCTCTCTTACACCATCAGAGCCAATGCTCTATTATCTTAGCAGAAAAAAGGGTAAAGGAAGATTGCCAAAACATTTTTAAAGGTTGTTCAATCCGATTTACTTAAAAATAAAGTGGAATCACTGAAACCAGCCATTCAACAAATAAGCAAAAATCTAAAGCAGTAATAGGAATAAAAGCAATTAAACAAATAGCCATAGCAATTAAAACAGAAGGTTGAGCCTAAATAAAAAATAGTAGTAGAAGAAAAATAGAAACCCCATAAAGTATCAGAAGAGATAGTCTAATCGTTGAAATTGCAATTTCAATAATTCTAAGAATTGATAGCATAAAATATACCAGAAGTGATTCAATTGTTTAAAGAGTATTTTGACTCCAAGGGATTTAAAATTGATGAGGTTCAATCCATATTCCAAGTCAATCTCAATATTGATACAGTTCAAATATTCCCATCTAAAGTCAATAGCAAAGGAGACTATTACAGTAATTTTATGATGCTCATATATGGTCTGAATAAGAAATTGTTATTCTAAGATTTCCCTGTCAATAAATTTGCCTTACTAATTATTCCCTTTGTTTAGAAGTATTTCATTAGCAATCAATTCCTATTTGTTTAAGAACCAACTGGGTTTTTATCAGTATTCACAAAAGAAAATTAGTAAAAGGCTGATGTTCATTTAATGTAAATTGAAAAATAGTTGGTGTAAGAAAAGTAGAAGATCATCATTGAGTAAAATCTTGTTAACCAATAAAAATGTATGTATACCTATATACTAAAAAATAGAAAATATCAAACTAATAGATACTGAGACATTTAAATCAAACTAATTTTAGATAGGAAACATGAAGGTCTTGTTGAAGCCAGCAGAATGCACAGAAGAGAACTTCAAATTATATTAAAGTTATTGCAAGGAAATTCATGGGAGTACGAAGGAAAGTAAGGATGGGTATTCTTCATTTTTATGCGAACAAGGTTTAGATTAGAAGAAATTCATATAATCATAAATTGATAAAAGTAAGATCCTGTTTATGGGCTGTTTTCATATGAGATATTACTTAGGGGATGTTTTGGTTGCTATTGGAGTAGTAGATATCACTGAGACAGCTATGAGTTCAGTGTATTTCTTTTATGATCCGATATTTGAGGAATTCAATTTCGGAACATTCGGAGCTCTCGTTGAGATTGAGTATGTGAAATTGATGAATCAACACTTCCCAGATTTCAAGTATTATTATCTTGGATTTTACTTACAAAATACGAATAAGATGTCATACAAAGGGGATTTTGAGCCATGTGAACTGTTGTGTCCAGAAACATACACTTGGGTAGAATTGACAAAAGAGTTGAGAGCTGAAATTGATAGGAGATAAGCCTTAGCTGTCAATTAAAGACAGCTGAGAATAAGTAAATAAAATGTGGGAGTTATTGATGATATGAAAATAAATGACAAATCATTTTATGGTTCTGTGCAGGTATCGATGAAGGGGAAGGTGATGAAATTGTCAGCGTTGAATTTCAATATGAATAAACTGAATAACTATTTGGATAATGCTTATAGTAGATTTGGAAGGCAATTGATGGAGAAATTGATATTTGAGTTATGATATTGCAATAAATATTTATATATATATAATAATGCAGGAGAAAATCATTTAGGAAAGTTATTCTTATTTGAATGACTTGAATAGTAAAGTGAACAACAGTAATAAATTGGTATAAGAATGTAATTATCAATAAGGTCGGTATCTACAAGGGGTTCATACGAAACATCCATTAATCATTTTGTACTCTCTCAATGTAATTAACTGAATACTCAGAATAATTTTATTTGGAGTTGGCATAAACATAGGAAGAAAATGAGTTGAATCTCTTCTATTATAATCAATTGTCCAACGCCATCATAAATTTTGCACACAATCTAGATGAATTGACAAGTGAAATGAAATAAGGCATTTTGGAACCTTACGAAGAATTCACGCAAAATTACAACTAAATCAACAACGAATTAGTCACCAAGGGTCAGGAATTCCTGAAGCAAGTTGAAAAGCAAAGAGAGGGTCTGTTTCTCAAACAACATGACTATTTAAAAACAGCATACGATTTAGAAAAGAAGAAAAAATCGAAAACCTTGAAGTTGAAAGCAGACGAGTTATTTGTCGATTATCGATAGGAATTGGCCAATGTAAATTAATTATGGGACGTTTTCAACGACAAATTTAAAAAATCATTTGATGAATACGATTCTAATGAATTGGGTAGAACCTCTATCACAGAAGCAACTTCAGAAAAGATATTACAACACATTTCCAAGATCACAAATACCTTGAATGCGAGATTGTTGCAATAGTTGCAGTAATCCAATGACAAATTACATTTGATTCAAAATAAGTACCAAATTGAAAAGTTACCCATCTTGAAAACTATTATGAAGAATAGGAAGTTTAACATCTTCAAAGTGACAAAGCAAGACAATTTCATTACTTATGATGATTGGAAAGCCAATATGGATTCTCATGATAAGTTTGATCCTGCCAATCTACAGAAATTCAAGTTGTCCTAGCAACTCGTCTAACAAATCAACCAGTTGACTGATGTTATACAATCTATATGCAATAACACGTACTCAACTGCTCTTGGCCAATATGATTATGAAACCTTATTTCAACATGCTGACACTAGGATTAAATTGCTCGATAATATCGTTGATATTATTGATAAAGCACCTACAGATACAATAACAATTAATCAATAAGCTAATGATCTCTTAGTGTTGATTGCCAGAAACTTAATTATCAGTAAATTTATTCATATTATTATTGTATATAGACTTGTAAAAAGATCAAGCTTTTAATGTTATGGAATTCAATGCTTTATTAAACTTCATTACTCAATTTGGAATGAGAGAAAAAAATCAATTCATAACTGTAGGTTCATAGGCAAGTGAAAAAACCTCATTATTTTATGTCAAAAATAATTGGTAATAATTATTGTTGTATTTAAATGAGAAGGAGAATCTTGAAAATAATTCAAACAAACAATAAAACAACAAGAAAAAAAATAAACCTAAGAAAAATGAAATCTTGAATTTCCTCTATTAGAAGAAACGAATCATCAAGGAGTAAATGACACAAGAATAAAAACTCAATTACCTAAAGGTCCTCTTAAACCTACAAAAAATCTGCTCCATGATGCTCAAACTTGATATTAAAATCGATTATGCAAGTGAAACTATTATACTGTTAGCCAAGATGTGCAACATTAAAGTGCAAGACATCGTATTATTATTGGAATAATTTGAATCCATTAAAATTTACATGGAATAAATTCAGCCATAATCACCCAAGACCTAATAAATGATTTTGGAAAAGAAGAGACTGTTTTACATCTTTAAGAAGTGTCTTAAATATTTGGCACTTTAGGATCAATTGAATATAACGTTGGTTAATAAGGAATTCTCCACTTTAAACACTAAGGTCAAACAGCATTATTTGTGTTTTAACAACCTTAGTGAAAGACTATCTATGAAAAGAAAGTTATTATGGACAAGTTTGTTATAGCCAGATTCAGTGCAACTTGACTATTATAAATTAAAAGAGAAATACTCAAAGTCAGCTGGATCTAAGGAAGCCTCTTTGGAACAATAAATTGCTTAGGATGTGCAGAGGTCATTCAATAGCGTGGGATTACAAAGCAAAATTAATCATCTCACTTTACACAATTTACTCAAATTATATGCTTATTACAATAACACTGTCTCATATACATAAGGAATGAATTTTGTTATGGGATTCATATTCATGATCATGGTCGATGAAGAACTGACATTCCGTTGTTTCTCTGCACTCATCAACCAATTGCTAAAGGATGTCCTCCTATATGATCTAAAATACATTAGAGTGTTCTTTTACAAATTAGATCGATTGTTAGCCATATTCATGCCCAAAATCCATTTGCATCTCAAAGAAGAGAAAATCGAAGCAGGCCATTATTCTGCTCCTTGGTTTATTACTCTATTTACTGGGTCTTTCATGAAGAATGAGTTTTCTACGGTGCTCTTTGATATTTGGGATCTATTATTGAGCAGAGGATGGTGTGGCTATTATCAAATCTTATTGGGAATCTTTGAAACCTACGAGGAGAAAATCCTATCAATGAAGTTTGATAATTTACTGCAATTCTTAAACAATCTAACCAAAGCTGAGTTTTTTACTTAGAATACAGATGTATAAATATAAGTTATTGATAGGAAATAGCATCTTTGAAGACTCTAAAATATAGAGCATTGAAATTCAAAGTGACAAATAAATTAATTGCAGAATTGGATAAGGAGTACTATTTGGTCAGACAAAAAATCAATAATCTGATGAACTCATGAATTAATATAAATTATATTGTTAAAAATATTAAATAAACTCCTCCTACCTTTTTCAGCCAGTCATTTAATGCCATTTCAAAAAATCAGGCTTATAATTTAGTTTTTTTTTATTAATTATGAAAAATAATATAAAAATATGTTTGATAAGAGAAAAGGAACCTTATAGAAAAAGGTGGAGTAATTCCAAAATAATGATAAATTTATTCAGCCTACTCAAATTGGTTTTTAAATTATAAATGTATTCAACTAAAATTTTAATTAATTTATTTTAAATTAAAGAAACTAACATAAAAGAATATCCATAGGTAGTGACAACGTTAGAATCTTTTAATTGAATAATATTTATTATTTTTTGTTCTCGGATATGTTGACATAAACAATAAAACGTACATTTTACTCAAGATTATGGCAAATTTTAATAATTTAATCAACAATATTATTGAATTTCTACTCAAATAATGATAATTCTTCCTTAGAACTTATAAATACTACATGTAGATTTTGTTAAGTCAAATACAATCTTTAGATACATAAACTGGTAATAAGTTGATGCACTTTATTTTACTATGAATACTTGTTTGTAAAAAGCATTAACTCATCGCTTTTAAAATCCTTATTTAAATACATTCTTAAAAATACTAGTTTATATATTTCAAGTAATCTTGTATCAGTTGAACTCCTTTTATTTAACACCTTTCAACACTCTAAATGTAGATTTTAATGAAACTTTAAGATATAATGAATGATATAGAATTTAAATTTAGAATAGTAATTGTCAAATCTTAAGGTAACTATAGATGATTGAATTATTTCAAGAAATTAAAAAATACTATGAAATAGTAATTATTGGAGTTGGTTTGCAGAGTATTTAAATGATAATATAAATAAAGCATTAATATCATTCAAGGTAGATTCTAGAGACATCATATTTCTTTAATATCAATAACTTCACTAAAATAATGACCGCAATAAAACATAAAAACGAAGGGGTACCTTTGGAGAGATCAATTATTTTTATAATATTCCAACAAATTAAGCTTAATATCAGTAGATGTAAGTGATTATAGATATTGTGATAATATATATATTTGATCAAGATCTTTTCTTTTTGAACGGGTTTTCATGAGTCATTTCAAAATAATTATCCACAAATTTAGTGATTTCACATTGTTGATTTGCAAAATTCTTAGTTGGTTTATAGACATTCTAAAATATTACGGAAATTTACTAATTAGTTGGCAAACCATCCTATTTCTTGGTTTTGTGTCATTGGGAAATTGTATTTTTGTCTTGGAATTTGATTTCTCAACTCCAAAGTCTTTTCTAATTTCTGATTTGAAAATGCTTCCTCAACAGGATCATCTGTATATGGATTTCCAAAGATGTCATTATCCTTCTCCTTTCTAGATGACTAATGTGATTGAGGTTCTTGCAATTTCATTATGATATATACTTATATGATTGGGTTTTTCAGCCAAAATGACAACTAAAATGGATAACAATTAATAAATACCTCTATTGGGATTCAATTAAAAATGCTCAGTTCTATTCTTATCAAAGAATTTCATCTCGTTTCTTATGTTTTCACTAAACACTATGTCCTTATTCACCACTTGACCAGGGTCTGGTTGTTTCAGTTATCTCTTTTATGCCATTAATTTATTAAATATATGAATAAATAGCTTTTATCACTCATTACTAATAACCAAAGCAAATGCAACTCAATTCATTTATTAAATAATGATAATCTCTTATTTTTATATCATATTAAGTATATTCAATCTATACAAATATTCAAAATATATTTATCTGTTCAATTTCTTAATAATGTATTTGATCTTCCAATTAAGATATTGAATTAAAAGAGAATGAAATGAGAATTAATCTTAAATCAAAATAATTCATTCAAGTAGTTCTTATTCAATTCATTCTCATCGAATTTATAAATATCCTTCTACCTATCACTAATATTCAATTTACTAAATCGAAAAAAATTGAATATCTGTAATTTTCAATCAATAATACCCTTTAACATATAAAATTTGAAATTAGTATTATAAAATAGATTACCTATAAATTGAAATCAAATATCGATTAAAAATATCTAATGTTGATGGTAGAGTTGTAATCAAATTATTTTATGTGAAGGATATCTAAATTAAATATTATCAATCTATAAGGTTTGAATTTTTCGACCGAATTTAGATAATAAGAAAAAGGAGATGTTACTTAATGTAAAAAACCTTTCTTAAAAAATAAAAATAATATTGTAACTAAATGTGTATATCTAAGATAAATTAATGATGTATAGAAAATGCATGTTATGAATGCTGGAACCTGATCATAATTCCATAATTAGTAATAACAACAGGAATGGGATTATGAGAATTAATTTAATTGTTGTAATTTTGATAACTAATCATAATTCGAATGAGTCATGTTTAATTCTAACTTTACTTTCACTCTAAGTTAAGGGCAGAATCCAATGGATATATTCAGAGCCAAAGAGTTCTTTAAAATTGTCAATAACCTTGGATTTTGAAAATGGATTATCTGTTTTCATTTCTTCAATGTGGAATTCAACAGTGGTAACATTTTTGGCTATGTGATACAGATGAAATCCTAGAAGTGTTCCCATGGAGAGGCAAAGGAGTAGGGAAGTTAGTGCACACATTTGGCAAAGGAATTTAGAATCTCCTTTGAGTTAAGTGTCACCGAACATTTCAATTGTGATAAAGATGACGCATTGGGACAGGCAGAGCAATGCATAGATAATGAATTGGCAAAAGAATCTGTGATTCTTCTGTCCGATGCAATTGTTGACCCAGGGACAATGATGATCCTAGTTAGGTTGTTGTGAAATACCATTCTGAGAATGCATTTATTACATTCTTTGCAATGATGGGTTCTGGGTTATTTGACATTTTTGCATTTGAAACAATAGGAATCAAGTTGCATGGCTTAAATGATGTCACTAGATAAATGAGATGATATGGGAGTACAATAATTCGTCTTCTTCATCGATGGCCAATTCGTATTTCTTCATTAGTTTTTGTTTTCGTTTTTTTTGGATGATTTCTGAGTGTTTTTTGGTTCTGCTCTTGATTTCTTCGAGAGTATGTTCTTGATAGTTTTTGGCCTAGACTTAAGGGGATATGCGAATACCAGATCTGGAGAGGGATGTCCAGGGGATTGGATTTGTGCTTGGATGTAGGCCCAATGAATCATGAAGTAGATGAGTGTGAATTCAATCCCAATGAAGATTGTGGATCCACTATTCTATATTAATGATAAATATAATACATTGCTGTATCTATAAGGTAAATAATGAAATACAAATACATAATACTCACTCAAGATGATGCCATAGACAAAGATCACAGACAAGATGCCTTTTGGATTTTAAAATTTCATAAATTAATTATTAAAATGGACCCGAAACAAAAAAAAGATCGTTCAACATCAAGGGATAAAAAGAAGACAAATAAAAAATAAACACAATATAGTTATGGATAGCTGAAGTATGTATTTGTATAGACAATAAGATTTGGGGAAGTACAGAGTAAGTCCAAAAAAATATCATTGAAAACCTTTTTTGGAAACCCTGAATTTGAAATCTTTTGTTTGAGATTCGATTTCGAGGATCAACTCATAGCAGCTGGTTGTTCGGATGGAACAGTCAAGGTTTTTAACATAGTGTTTGGTATGAAGAAAGCAGCAATATTTAAGGGAAATTGGCATTCAATTTGCAGGGATCTTCAGAAGGAGCCAGTCCTACGACTGCAATTAGATGGAGGAGAGATGTAGCCAATAAAGCCAAAAGCGTGTTTTTATCTGCGAATTCTGATGGCTCCCTCATGATGTGGCAGGCTCAAACTGGAAAGCAATTATTCAGAACAGTCGAATAAGGCAATCAACTATTGGCCTTAGATATAAGATCAGACGGAGATCAATTTGCCACTGCTGGCAAAGATTTTAAAGTGAGTGTTTGATAGTGATTATAATAGATACGTGTTTATGACGATGAAAAGAAGGAAGTGATCCACACTTTTGACAAGGCTGATTAGTAACATTTCATTATTTACACAAGCAATCAACCTGGGCATCAGAACAGAATCTTTGCTCTCAAGTACTTAGAAGAAACACCCAACATTCTACTCTCTGGTGGATGGGATGGCAATCTCTTGATATGGGATCTCAGAGATCACAAATCTATCGGAACTATCTATGGTCCTAATCTTTCTGGGGATAGTTTAGATTTTAGGTATCCATCCATCCATTCTAATCTAGAAATGGTTAAATCTTGACGGGCTCTTATAGAACAAACAACTAAATGCAATTGTGGGATTTTGGTACCAGGTAACTAATCTAAGAGATACCATGGGATAAAAATAATACCAACAGTGATTTCTATGTCTATTCTTGTCAATTCAGTAAAATAAATGGAGACACCATCTTGGCTGGTAGCAGTGGCCGATAAGAATTAAAGTTGTTCGATATTAATAATCAATATTAAACATGCGGTTACATCCAAGACTTATAAGAAGGTATGAATAATCTCAAATTCTCTCATAGGAGTCTACTGTGTAGATTACGGAAATAAGAGTAACAAATTTGCTTTCGGTGGAGGAGAAGGTGTGGTCTACATATGTTCATTGGCCAATTCAAAGTGATGAATAAATAATAATATATATAAAATAATGGACCCTTAATAATTAATTGATAATTTAAACGATATCTTACTGACCGATTACTTTAGGTACATTGAAGTCTTGGGAAGAGGCAGTTTCGGAATTGTGGTTGCAGCCTATAGTTAATAGTTAGACAAAGTGGTGGCAATCAAAGTATTGAATAATTAAACACTAGATTACGCCCTATTTTGAACAAGAGAATGAGTCATCGCTTTTGTAAGAAAGTTCTCATCCAAATATTGTCAAATTGTACAAGGTTAGAATTTCTCCTTATACCCCTTAAGGTTCTGGTTGCTTATAATTTTATCTACCTCATAATGGAAAAACTAGTTGGAACTACACTAGACGTTGTCTTGAAGGAACAAACCCTTGACGAACTCCAAATTAGAAACATTATGCTCTAAGTCTTAAATGCTTTAGCCTTCATACATCGCAAAGGAATCATACATAGAGATCTTAAGCCTGGTATTTTGTAAAACTAAAATTAGAAAACATCTTTATTTCTAATGGCAATCATGTAAAATTGATAGATCTAGGTCTCGGGTACCAGATTGTTTGCAGAGGCATCATCGGCTAACAAGTTGGAACTCCATATTACATTGCACCCGAACTCATAAATGGTTGTGAATAAACGCAAGTATTTTATACTATTTAAATAAGGCTCTTGATATCTTCTCTCTTGGAGTAATATTCTATCAGATGCTGTGCAACAACAAACACCCTATCTGGACTCAAGGATAAACCAAAAAAGACTATTACCGTACCCTCTCTCGAGAATTTCATATCACTTATCCCTCTCATCTATCCGAGTATATATATGATTTCATAATATCCAAGAATGGCCCAGGATTTCATCAAGAACACCCTTACTCGCAGTCCAATCGATAGAATGACAGCTGAACAGTGTCTGGAACATCCCTGGCTACTGGGAGAGGACAGGAAGTCTCACCCGATCACCAATAAAGAAATCATTTAAAGATACAATTTTATTTAAAAGTTTCAGCTTGTATTTAAATTAATTTTAAACTATTAGATAGTGAAGGCATTGCAGATGGTAAAGATCTTCAAATAGTAATGCCACGAAGAAATGTATTATTTGAAATCTTAGAATTCTGATGAAATCAATGAGATCTTCCTTAATGATGATGCACCCAAAACTTAAAGAGTCTACACTGATACGCACATCAATATTCGACATCATCAAAAGACCTACTACAAACCCCAGAGTTTGAAGACTATTCAATTAACCAAGATGACTTCATCTTAAGATCTGGTGTCTACTAAAAATAAAATGCTCAATTCTAATCGATGCTACAGTAACTATGACATAAAATAATTCTAGATTGCCCTTCCAGATACAAAACGTCTCTGGACATACAATTGCCAAAAGTCAATAGTTAGAAGAGAATTCATTTGTAATTACCTTCCATCTCTCCTTATTAAACAAGATAATCTAGCTTTATTTTTAGATAGTCATGATTTCTTTTTGTATATATAATAATATTCAAAATATGGATAACTAATTTTATAATTAAGACTCGTTAGCATTTGGTTCACCTTAACCAACATCCCAGCTCCAACCTTCCAAAGCAATTAAGTTTGACAATGTTTCTATATTCATTTAATCAATTATAGGTACCCACCAAATAAAATAAACAACATTCCAATGTCAAATTCAAAGAGGCTTCAAAAAAGGTTTCGCAATAGAAAATAGATTCAGTCTAAAAAGTGCGCCCATCCAGTGCGTAGAAACAGGAGAAGTTCAAACCCTCCTGGAATGATAAGGTCGAAGCCAAACCGAAACAATTTGATAATTTGAAGAAGAATGAAATATTCAAAATTGAAACCAAATTGCAAAAGGAAAAAATTGAAAGAGAAAAGGAGAATAAGAAACGACAATTAGAGAACCCACCACCCGCAGCTGTTAAATCGTATGCTACGATTAAAGACATCGAAACAGTGATTAATGATTGTAATGAATGTTATTTTATATAGAGCAATATAAGAAGGATGTTTCTGAGATGAAGAAATAGAAGAGAGAATTGGAACAATTGCAATGGATGATAGACTAAGAGAAGAAATTGAAGGCAGAGTAGAATAAACAATTTGAAGAAAAGTTAAGGCAAATGAAAACACAACAACATCCTGATATGGCCTAAGACATTATGAATGCCAAGAAGAAGGGTATGGAAAATAAAGAATCACCATACAAAACAAAAGAATAAAAGAAACAAGATAAAAAAAAGCAACTAGAAAAAAATGTTGATGACATCTATGTTGAACCACAATAAAATAATTATCCTATTTGGAAGGATGGAATCCAATTAATTCATTATGAAGCCAAGAAACCATTATTACCAGGGGAGTATGATTAAAATGATTTGGATTTGATACCTTAAAAGCAACCTTAGTAACAGCCATAATAAGTGAGGATTGATGATAACAAATTGAAAAATGAATTGATTGAAATCTAAAAAAGAGAATTGCAGAGACAACATGAATTAGATGCCTTAATAGATAAACATTAATAATTGCTGAGATCTGAAGCTCAGAATCCGAACAAACATTATAAAGAAATCAACGAAAAGTTGGATAAGATCAAGGGAAAAGTAGATCCATTAGTTAAGAAGATTGATAGTGTATAAATTGAATATCCATTCACTGGACATCTTTTAGCAAGAGGAGTCTCTAAAATGATTTAGGTACATTCTGAAAGATTGACTGAATTGCTGATTGATGATTTACTATTTGAAATGGTAGACATACTTGATACATTGGAAATGAAGAAGAAAGAGGAAGAAAGACAGAGATACGAATAGATGGCACTGTGTGATTACATAGAAGCTGTGAAGGACATCGCTTTAGATTAAGACAAGGTTGAACAGAATTTCTAATAAACACGATAACAATTTATGAGAGACAGTAATAATAGATATATCTGTAGCAAGACTTGATCAATATGTACCTGTTGAATAATTGGGTAGAGATCAATAATTCTACATTAATCCCATGGACCGTTTTCGTTCAATAGAATTGTCAAGTGGATTCATAATTAAGATAATGGAAGACAGAAAGAGGAGGATTTAGTATGTTACTCAAGATAAGTAATATTACCCTAAGAATCTTGAGTAATTTGATTTAGTAATTACGTTGCTTATTATTCTTAGATAACCGAAGCAATACTTGAAGAGATCATTTGGGAACGAGCAGCTGCATTGTATTAGAGTAGTGATGAAATGGCAGAATAGATATTTATTAATGAATTCAAATGATTCTTTTCTTATAGTATTAACTTATTAAAATAGATTAATCAATTAAATAACACAATTAAATGAGATTAAATATTCTCAAAGAAAGTTTCTCTACATTCCTGAAATCTGGAGACAAATCATACTTTAAATATGGCCTGGTTGATTGCAAACTCAAAGATATTTCATTCTAATTTAAAACACCTTAATTTAAAGATATCGCCCAATAATATTACGAAGCATATGAGAAGAAAGGCGATGAATATGAAAAATTGAATGAAGAATTATAATAATGGATCCGACCCGAATATCTTTAGGATGTGTCTCAAATAATGAATCATTTTAACATGTTAGATTTGTCTGCCTGGTAAAACTTGGTTGTACAAATATGTAATAGCTTAGAAACTATTCCACTCCAAGAAATGAGCATCACTCTCAAATAAATATTCCTTTTCATGAATAGAAAGTTTAGAATGTAAGAATCAACGGTAGAGTAATATCATTATAGTGAATATGATCTCCCTCTTGTTTTTACAGAAAAATAGTTGTTTACTATTCTCAATTAAATGAAATTCGACCAAACTCAAGTAAACGATTACTTAGATGCTCTGACTACTCTACTTAATATATTTTTCAAATTCAGTCGAATTTAACCAATATCCTTTTATGATGTTTATGAAGTAGTTAGAAACAAACTCTAAATTGTATTAGATAAACATCTAAATGAATTAGATCTTAATAATTCAATAACCTTGTATTAAAGTTATGGATCTGAACCCAAAATAATTTAATAAATTATTCATAAAGTATAATAACTTGATTCTGTAATTCCTCATCGAGAATTGGATAGAATTTTAGAAATATGGAAAACCAAAGGAAGTATAGATTAGGATTTGTTACTAATTTTAAAATCTGAAATTCTATATTAAATTAATTTGACCAATAAATATCAATAAAATAAAGTGTTTTAGAGAATATTTGCTTTAATCTATGCAAATGTTAATGATGCAGAAATATTAAATGTTATAGAAAAAAAACTATTAAAATCTACTCAATTGCTTGAAACTAGAAACTATTCATTTTAAAATGTATTTCTTTGATTTCTAATCTATCTTAGGGTTATTTAACTTGCATTAAAATATTAAAACTACGACATCCTGAATTGACACTACCTGACATCAAAATGAAACCTAAGAGTGTTAGTAAATAGATGTAAAAGTCCTTATAAGAAAATATACTAATCAATTTCTTCAGACAATATGTTAAATCGTTAAGTGAAAAAGTAAAAATTTAAGTTGATGCTCCTTGCTGGATATATTTAATAGATGTGGCATTGTTGTTTCAAGATGCTAAAATAGCATTTGAACTATCAGGTTCAGTTTATTTCAGAGGCAACAACTTAACTGGTAAGAAATAGGCCAAAAAGGAAATTATGATTTCTGAAGGATGGAAACCGATATTCCTTGGAAACTAGGAAAAGATTTTATTTAATAATTTTAGTTTCAATCAACAATAATTACCAGAATAAATAGAAAAGTTATTTGATGAATTATTTGAGAAGGCCTTGGGCAGGAAAGTGTAGAAAAAATAAGATTGAGCATAATATTTTGATATATTTATTCTTATTATATTTTTCAATTTTCATCCAAACTATAGATCTATAAGAATTAATTTTGGGAAGCTTATTTATCTTTTTGTTAAAATTAATAAACTTCTGATTGGCTATCATCATCGTTGTCAATCAAAATGATCTATAATTTATTCTCAAAAGGTTTCTCTTCCTTAAACATGAACTCTCCCTTTTTCAAGGAGTCCTTCTTTCTATTTTAATCTTCTCTTTTCATAAAGTCCTCCTTTTTCATGAAGTCCTCCTTTTTAACGGAGTCTTCTTTTTAAATGTAGTCCTCCTTTTTCAAGGAGTCTTCATTTTTAAAGGAGTCTTCCTTTTAAATGTAGTCCTCCTTTTTCATAAAATCTTCCTTTTTCAAGAAATCTTGCTTAATTTCATCTTCTTACACTTAAGGACTGATTTTTAATAAGATATCTTAGAATGCCTTCTAATGTTCTACAACTGGTTATTGTTCGTTGATTTCTTCAATTGAACTAGGTACTCTGACTAGATGCACTTTGTCATTTTTTCTATGGTGAATATAACATTTATAACAGAATATCCAGGATATAAGTAACATTACACAAACAACTATCAATGCATAGAATACATAGGGATTAGAAATGGGACTTTCAGGGTAAAGATTAGATGTCAAATTACATTAACTATCCTTCAAATAATAACCAGCAATGCAAGAACTACATATATTTGGAAGTGTGCAAACACATTCACTTGGACATTCAGGATCACATAATTTAGTCTTTTAATTTCTTTAATATCCTAGAGGACATGACACTTCAGTACAGGAATTACTTTAATTTAATTCGTAACCATTTACACAAGATTAACAGACCAGAGGAACTTCACATTAATTACAATAGAGACCACAATCCATTATGCATTAATTATCCAAAGATAGATAATAACCATATGAGCATCTATAACAATTTAATGGGGATTAGCAAATGTTACATTCCTTTCCACATAATTGAGGAGTAGTGATAAATTACTCTTGTCCTTATTTATTGTAGTATTAGATTTGAATACTATCTCCCAAAATGGATCCATCAACATCTAAACTTTTTGATATGTATGTAATCGCAAATCTATCATCATTCATTATTTGAATGTTAGGATTTTATGGATATTTTCCTGAAATCGCTACTTTTATAATTTAAGTTAATTAGACACCCAAAGAATCAAATATTTAGAATTGAATTCCATTTGGTTAATACTATGAATCTGTAGTTTACCAGGCTACTATGAATCCATCTTTGAATAATTTTAAATCTGGTGTTTATTCTTTAATCTAAGAACTTCCTATTACCTTAACCTCACTTTTTTAAGATAAATCTTTAGAAACTAATTGATAGTTAAGGTCGAACATGACTTTGTAAGTTTATATATTCTTGTTTTCCCATAAGAATACAAACATTCCACTTTGAAGATAGGCTGTTTTAAGTGTAAATATTCCATCATCAATAATGGCTTAAGGTTAATTCACTGGATTTCCAAATTAGGTGATTTATTAGACAAACACATATCCATTGCTTGTGTAACTAATATATATCATTCCTTAGTCTCCCTCTGTAATTGATGGAATTGTTTAATAGCTCACATTAGGAATCTCTTAAACTGAATTGATACCTTAGAGATTAGGATCAATTAATTAGTATTTAAAGTTGTAATTTGATTGGTCTTCAGGGCTTTGAGTCATGAATGATACAACCATGTTTTTATTTGATAGAGTTAATAATTAACAAGGTTGAGTCAGTGATGATACAACATTGTTATTAGATACTCCAATTGACTAAGCAGATGTTAATTTAGTACCAGTAGAATCGAATTCTTGTAATAGGAAATTAGTCTAATCTGAAGTAGAATCAGCCCAAACAACATAAAAGTTATAGTCAACAGCTGCTAAATGAGCATAATATTATTTCTTTATTGAAGAATCAACTAGTAGTCTTCTTGTCTAATCTGATACTATGATTTCAGCTCCTAACTTAGAATTATCGGCAGAGTATAATTAGAAATATACTCCTGCTTTCTCACCATTTTAGTACCACACGAGAACATAGGATCCATCTGGGAATGTATATCTTATTGGTGTACTCACACTTGTATTTTTGACTTAATCAACAACAGTTTAATCTTCAAATTTACATTTAGCATCTGCTGTCAAGACAAAACCTTCAGGACAACTTGTACAGTTGAATGGTAAGTCACAAGTTCTGCAACTGGATGGACATTAAGGTAAACATTCGAGTTGATTCAAATAGTAATTGTCTTGGCATTAATAACATACAAAATTATTTGATTCCTTATAACATTTATCACAATTATTTGGACACTTAAATTTGATGCATTGATCATTAATTAATTCATAACCAGTGTAACAAATCTCACATTTAGCAACAACTGAACACTTATTGCAATTTGAGGGGCATTATAAGACACATTATGAATTAGTATCTAAATTGTAATTAGTACCACATTTTGTACAATAACTTTCATTTATGCATTCATCACAATATTACATGCACTTGATATTTTAACCATTAGTAATTTCATTACCTAATTCATCATACTCCTTAAATAATAACATATTTTAATTTTTTTAGCATATTACATCCAAACACTTTTTTTCTTACCAAAATATCTTAAAACTGTTTTCAAATTAAACAAACTTTGTAAATATATCAGATTAAAATAAGCCAACATAAATTTGTGAACCTAATTTTGTACCAGAATTTTCAAAGTATTAAAGTACCAATTAAAACTTAAACTAACTATAACTTGGATATTCCTTTAATACTATGACAAATGTATTTTAAAAGGACACAAATTTTACAAATTCTTCTTGTTGCAATTTATTTTCAGTTATTTTCTTTTCTTAAGTTATAGGTGTGAATTCCTTATTTAATAGTCTGTAATAACTCAATTATCCTCCTTTAGCAAAAAAATTCATGTCAAAAAACATTTATGTAAATATTTAGATTAGATTACCATTTTACAACTCGTGTATATTGCAGGAATAGCTATTCAAAATTTAAGAATATGGGCAATTCCTCTATATCAATTACTCTCCTGTCCATAGGATTATTCCATTCGTTGAATAAAAACTAAAAGTAGTAGAATCAATTCTTTCGTTTGAGCTTAAATTCTCTTATTGGAGAATTACTTATGATTATCCAATAGGAAGTAATTCAGAATCCAAAGTTATCTTGTAAATCTTTCCTTATTGACCTTTATCCCATGCATTTGAAATGCAAATTAGAGAATATTAATTATTTATCTATGCCACTAAGAGGGCCAAATTTTTATTTGTAGATGAATCTAAATCAATCTATTTGAGTTATATAACTTTATGTATGGTCACTTATTAATTTTAACCAATTCTGAAAACCTCAATTTAGTCTTATTAATAACTAACTCCTACATAATCTTATTCAATTTTTTAAATTTCTAAATTAGAAAAATAATTGAGTTTTTTCTATATTGTTAATTTCTTAGTTATTTATGACTCAAAGATGAAATAAGCATTCCATTCATAAATTTCGCTATTTTCTGAACGATATTAAGTGAAAAAGCATGAAGTTCCGTCACTTGAACTCACTAAAGCTGTGGTTTCACCCTAAAATTCTTAAGCAGTTAAAGGTTAAGGTTAATGATAGCCTAGTTTTAGAGGAGAGCATAATCCTTAGATTTCTTCATAGTATCCATCCTTACATTGAATACAAACTGAAGGTATGATACAACTCTTACAGTTCTATGAGCAAACTGGATTACAATACGATTCTGTTAGTAAATAGTCACCCATGCATTATATACATTCATATTGACTGACACATTTGGTGCAACCTTAATTACATTGGATTATTGTTTGAGTGGAATGTTCTCCTGTGGCAGTCATTTTTTATATCCTAATGTTAGAGTTATCATAAAAATCAAATATGTTCAGCTAAGCCCAGATAACAAAAAATGATTGATCTATTGATTCAGCTATTTTCATAATTGTTAAGGCATTCCAATTATTTTTGATCTTATATTAATTCATAAATTGAATTTCCATATCGGAATTTAGATAATACTGTTCTTATGTAGATTAGCCATTTTTAACAAATTCAATAATCACAGAAAGCCCTCCTTTATATTAATCAACTTGAATATAGGAAATTTACATGTACTTACCATTTACCAATTAGGGGATTGATTTTATCAATATTTGATTTCCTGAAGGCACAAAGTTTTGATCATAAAATTGAGCATATACCGATATATTAGTATTTTCATATCTATAAAATACAAAGACAAAATATTAAGAGATACTACTTAAACAAGCTTAATTTAAAAAGAATTAAAGTATAAAATCTTTTTAAATAAGTAATGATCCATCAAATGAATAAATATATACTTAGAATGCATGTATAATTGCAACATTCTAATCAGTAGATGAAATCAAGAAAATACCATCAATTGAAATAAATTATTCAACAGTTGTAATTTAATTGCCAATTTATTAATTGTCAGAATTATAAAACTTTAGTTTTAATACTTTTTATAATGGTTCTCCACTTAATGTTAAGTATCCAATTACATATCCTCCATTCTTTAATTTAATTATTTTTGCAACGTTATCATTAGTAATATCAAACCTGTAATATCTAATAACATCTATATCAATATCATCGCCAAGTCTTTATTAATTTTTGGTGAATCTGGCAACCTTTAGTATTGCTCCATCTTCTGGATTACCATCAACATATAAAATAATAGCAGTATCATCATTTAATATTGAAATCTAAGCCGAATGTTGGTTTCCTTGAGTAATTTAATTCACTTAAAAGTTAGTTCCTATCTTTTCTCTCTAACTATCGAACACCTAACCATAAACACCACAATAAAATCCATCTTAATAATTAGTATTCCAAATTGCCATTACGGAACCGTCACTAAATCCAGCTATAGAAGGTTTAGTTTGAGTGAAATAGGTAAATTAATTAACAACTAATGACTTTAATTAGAAATCATCAACTATGCAATCTGCTTCATAAGGATAAAGCTATGAAGGACATATCATACATGTATCACCTTAAAGGTAAAGGCAAGAAGATTTATTCTATATTTTGCAAAACCATCCACTTTTCAAATTATCATACCAAATTTCGTATCCATCCATGCATTTTTTACATTCAGTATTGCTTATGCATTAAGCACAATTAGGTGAACAAACATTAATTAATATCTTATCTAAATCACCAGTATTGCTAAGAATTGATAATTATAATCCCCATTGTGAGTCATTATTTCTATATTCCCAGGCAAATCCCATTTACTAATTAGAGAAGGTAACTAGCAATGGTCTACTAATTTATGAATCAATTTAAATTTGTTACTAAATTATAGTTTCTCCATAACTATTCAATACTTTATAAACTAGGGACTAGTTTAGTTTTTCACAATAAGTTAAAGCAATCTAATTCTAAAATATTGCAATCGAAAAATCTGTGAACCTTTAATCATATCTACCGCTATTAAAAAAGCATAAATAAATGTCCCTACAGATACTTAATATCCACTCTTTTTTTCCCTTTAATTTATACATTAATACAACTACTTCTTGACTCATTTCAAGTTTGACTTCAGTAATAAATGGAATATTCATATTAGCACTAGACTGTTAAAACCCAATGTCACTTAATACCATTAAATTTAGACTAAGTTGATTGATATTTATTAAATAGATCGAAGAATCAAATACTTTAATAGCTTTAATGATATTTTTATTACAATCATCAATTGTTAAGATTTATGGATTATTAACATCTATCTTTTAAAAGATCTTAACATTTGAAACTTCATAAACATACAATGATTAAGATTATGCAATTTAAGAGACTCCATCAAATACATAATTCTTTAAACAAGTAATGAAAATAAGATACTTCTTTGGTAAACTTTCAATTTTTAATATCCTAAGTATCTAACTCACAACTCTGATCCAATTATGGTATCAATTAATTTGTAATTTCATCTAATTTATAAACCTTACTAATTTTTTTATCTGAATCATAAACTATAATCATGTAGATTAGATCATTTACTATAGTTGCATCAAAAAGATGAATATTTTCAATAGTAATTTCAACAAATTTTATTTCTTCCCCAGAAGAATTGAATTTTCTGATTCTCAAAACATTCTAACAAATATATAGAATTGCATAATCATTGTTAGAGTATTTCATAAGATCCTTAATTGGCTCTTAAATACATTTATCTACAATTTCAATACCTTTTCCATCTTTAATAGGGTCTTTCGTTATTTATTAAGGCTGATCAGGATCTGGCAGGTCATTTTCTCTATCAAATATCGTCTACAATAAACGACAAGAGCATGTTACATCATTACATTCATCTTTTTACATTAATATTTTGAATCCATTCTGATATTAAATAACTTCCAAGACATTTTGGGGCATAGAACAAATATATATCTAATCTCCTATTTTCCTACCAGTATTATATATAAATTAAGCTATCAAATATCTTTATTCATATTATTAATCTAAATTCTCTACTTAAATAAAGACAACAAATGAGTTGATATATTTAAATACTTTAACAATATTTTATCTATTCATACTTTTATTCAAAACATTTGTATTTTTGAATTGAGTTTATCCTGAGGCATCCTCAATTTTATACTAAATTTGTATATTATTATCACCATCAATTAATTAATTAAATCCAAATGCTTCAAATAATTTGATTACATTCCAGGTTTCTGTTGAGGGTAAACTACATGAGCCTCCATCATACAATCGAGCGTTATCACAGAACTTTTCTTCAATTTTATCTTTTTGTATTTTGTACCTCTGGCCATATTAATCAAATAATGTAATATAATCAAATCCTCTAATAAGACCAATCCCAATTTATTATTCTAATGTAAAAATTTTCTAAATATCTTCTACTTTTTATAATCCTAAATCTAATTTAGCATAATAAAAATTAATATAGTTAAAATTGTAAATTGAATTTTCAATAACTTTTTATTCATAAAATGTAAGAATATATTAGAAACCCTAAATTGGTTCTAAAAATATGGCATAATTTGAAATCTAAATTCCAGAAAATTATGAAATGTCTAAAATTACTTAACTTAATAGATTAGAATTTACATCAAATCTTTGTACTTATATTTCTCCATTTTACAAATAGAAAACAAAAATGATATTTTCATCTTCATAGAACATTGTTCTCTAAGTATAATAAGCTGGATTTTAGACATTAATAGAAAAACTATTTACTATTTATTATCCATCCATTATTTTCACATTTACATATGAAAGGAAGCAAGAAAAATAAGCTTTTAATCCTTCATTTAACGTTTGAACTTTTGCAAAAACTTCACCTCCTTCGTATTCTATTAAAACTTAAGGTTAATAAATAGGAAGTTTAGAGCATTTTCCTTCTTCATTTAAATAATAGCCTTCTTAACATAAAGTACAATAATGTGGAAAATTACAGTAAGCACATCCTATTTCACAAACAGCGTCACATCGATTCTCGTTTTAGTAATAATTTTCAAGACATTAATCACAAATAGTAGGATCTTAACATGTTTAACAATTCAATTAACAAATAATCTAATCTTTTACAATTATTTATTAATCATAAGATAAAAACTATAAATAAAGGTGATATTTATCTTAAACACTAAATCTATTTTCCTTTACCCATAGAATAAAGTATTATTAATTCAAGCTTGGAATAATCTTAAAATTCTTGTATTCATTTATTGTTGGAAAATAGGAAGCATCTATGTGGAATGTATTTATTAGGGAATATTATTTGTCCTTTAATAAATAAAGCTCTTAAACATCTTACTGTTTTACTCTCAAATGTAATAAAAATAATAATCCTTCATCACATAAATACATTTAAATCTCTGAATAAGAATCTAATTATTTAATAGTTATTGGATCTCCAAATTCAACAAATTATTTATTGAAGAATTATACTTAAACACAATATTTTTCTTACTACTTTATATACCCTACTGCATAAAAATCATTGGTATGCTCGAAAAATACCCTTGCAAGACGAAACTAGTTAAATATATTCAATTATTTTTGTTATAGTAAACTTCCATCTAATGAATACAAATAAACTGTAAATCCCATAAATAATTAATTACATAAATAAGCAACAGTTGTATCAGTAGCAGCTAATAATGGAGAATAGAGCAATATTTCTGATTATCCTACAATTTACTATTTAGCTACCAAGTTGCTTAGTGAATCATAGAAATTTAGGCAAACAGTATAATGATAATAGGTATTCTGTGATAAATATTCAATAACAAAACCTCCATTTTTTAAACTTACTATTGACCATTATGTATCACCTCTTAAATTGAACGAAAAATATTAAAATGTACCAACTTAAAATTCGTCTCCAATTCTTTGCAATTACTTATCAAATTTTTAAGCCATTATTATTGCTTCACTTATCTAAGGATCTCCATCAACATATATTATTACAACTGTATCGTCCTATAATAGTGCTACTTTTGGAGAATGACATTAACCTTGAGATTTAGCATTAATTTATATATTATTTCCAATTTTAACACCAGTTTTATCAATTAATTGACCAAATACTCCCCAGCCATTACTATCTTATAAATAACTTGACCAAAACATTATGATAGAACCATCACTAAATTTAACCCCCTCTTAATTTTTCAAACCTAATGACACTTCTTAATTAATCCTAATTGCCTTAACTTATACTTCATCTAAAATACAAGAATCATTTTCTAAATAATAAGTGTCTTTGCAAAGCTAACAATTTTTGTTATCATCACATGATTTGCAATTAGGATCACATTATTTCAAACAATAGTTTTCATTTTAACTAATTTCTTATATAATATATCTTGGTTAACATTATGTACAGTATCTCTCAGTAAGGCATTCTTTACAATTTTCAGAACATTAGATCTCCATTTAATCAACAAATTATCCACTTTAATTCATGACAGCATAGGAAATTTCCCATTGACCATTTTCGTTTTGAACGGTCCAAGTAAATCCAACATATCCTTTCATCAAAACAACTATTTGGGTGCTGCTAATCTAAGCATCACTTGATATAACTCCTGTTGAAAGCTCATTTCCTTATAAATCTATGAACTAAAATGAGGAACTTTTAAGGTTATCATTTTAAGTCCATTATATGAATAGGTTGTTAGCCACAATAGCCAATTAAACATCTGAATTTCCAGGAATAAAATCAATTTTAATAAAAATGATTATCAATATCTTATTGCAAATTCTTAAACTCCAATTTTATGCATCATATGTCTTGTAAATAAAAATTATAGTTTCTTTATTAATCTCAAATTTAACTTTTTCAATGTTAGGAATATCTATCGCATAAGCCTATTGAACAATTCCAAAAGAATCTAAAGATATTAATTGTCCACCTGTTTAACTTATTGATAATGTATATATGGTATTGTTAACAATTTTAATTTCAGTTACTTTGTTTTAATTACAAGTATTCTAAGTAATTCCATCAGGATAGTTGAAATCTAATTTATTAGCTGTTTGTGAAAAACCAAAATCAAAAATGGCTATTGTTTGAGATTGACAATTAATAAATGTTTAGTCAATTTCAACTTATTTATCATTAGAGATTAAAATTACAAAATTTTGAGTCATTGGCTGAAGTTAAATACTATGAATAATAGATTCCTATGTTATCTCTTATTTATAATTTAAAGTTTAGAAACTATTATCGATTTAAAAAAGTTGATATTTATTAGGTCTGTTAACAAAAACAAATGCTAAAATAATTTGATCTTAAAATAAGATGGTATCTAAAATAAACACAATTTCAATAGTTATGGTAATACTCTAAATTTCTATTCCATCTTTATTAAATAATCTGGCGCTAAATATGTCATTGCAAATATAAATAATAGCATATCTATTATCTACAAAATTAATTAGTTTATTTTGCAATTGTAAATTACATTTATCTCCAACCGGATGCTCAATAGTTCCAATATTAATTGGGCTTTTAGGATCAGTAGGGTCTGTAGGATCTGTAGGGTCTGTAGGATCTGTTGGATCAGTTGGATCAGTTGGATCAGTAGGGTCTGTAGGATCTGTAGGATCTGTTGGATCAGTTGGATCAGTTGGATCAGTAGGATCAGTAGGATCTGTTGGATCTGTAGGATCTGTAGGGTCTGTAACATCAATAGGGTCTTTAGGATCAATAGGATCTG